ACAGGTCATGTCGTCATATCAAATCATATCGGTCACGTTAGGAAAGCGGCCTGCCTTGATGAAAAATCGGCTCTAAAAAAATTAAAAATAAAAGAAAAAACTTAAAATTTTTTGTTTAATTTTGTAACTCTTGAGCTCACGACCATATTACTTATTCTACAAAGTACTACTCAGGTACTAGTAAAACAAAGGGTCTGCAGTCATCGCATTAATAGCGTAGACTCAATTTGCTTGGCCTTTTATTTACGGACGAACGGTTATGCCTGGGTTAGATTCTCTCAGAGTGCTTCCGTATTCTGAGGCTCCGTCACGCCTAAAAATATCTCTGAGATCTTACGTTAATCTCTGAACCTCATTCGCTATTCCTACTAACCGGAAATAAACATTTACCTCAAAATGCACGAATCCAGCTAATAAGTGATACTCGTAGTTCCGGTTTCAACATCCAGCAGCATAAGTAGCCTTAAGCCAAGTACACCGATCACAATTTGTTCCCTGCGTTTTTTACTAAAACCCTCGCTGCAACTAATTATACTTTATATCGAAACGCCCATTGAAATCCTGGTTTTTTCTGGGATGCATGCGATTGGATCACGAATGCAAATCACGCATGTATTATTAATACTTTTATTGTAAGGGAGAGACGCGACTGCGCATCTTGTGTGTCTGCTAATAGTGATAAATCATTGTAAGACAACACGCAAGTCGTAATAAAAACATTCGCTTCAGTTCTAACTCGACGGAAAAACGCTAGAGGGTAAAACATTAAAACGCCATTTCTTCACATGTTTTCGCCAGGATAATACAACGTATCTATGCAGATTGCTAACGCTGAGACAGAAGAACACTGGATCCAGAATCGGCTGCAAAGAATACAGAAGTATCAACGATGTCTCCAACGTCGCCGACCGGGTGGACCGCAGAATATCCGCTAATATGTAGTAAACCGTAATGGGTATCCAGCAAATGCAGGCAGTCAGTGTAAAAAGCATGAGAAGGAGGAATGGGTTAATGGTCGCGGTCCGTTTACGCTTCTCGATATGTTGGGCTTGTTGGACGCCGGTTCGCAGGTCTGTCGGTCCGGTTCTCTGGCGAAAGCGTATAAATTTCCAAAGGAGAAAAGGATAGCAGAGCGGAATGAAGACTTTTGGCACATCAAATACCCAGATCAAGGAAAACGCATACCATGTCTGCACAGCTTGAATATTTAGGCGGCATTCTCTTTTGGACGGCATACGGTAATACAAGCTATCTAAAAAACAGAGAACCTTTTACGATTCTTATCTGTAAGACAACTATATACGAATACCTGTCTATACCAGCATAACACAATATGAACAGAACAAAAACAACAATGCAGTTTTAAGAGGTTATAACAAGAATATTTCCTCTAGTTTCTCGTGATCCGGTATTGTCCCCATCACGCACATGGCATTTCCTCTTTGAATCTGTATAGAGATCCGCTGCCGGAAAAATTCTTTCGCGCGTGGTTGTTCGGTAGCGGCCACTAAGAGGTGTCCGATTTTATCGACCAGCTTCATCGCTCCGCCGCCCAAAGGTCCATATACTTCGAAGGCTGCTGGGGTGAAGTTATACCTTGGCTGCAGCCACGCATGTTTTGCGAGTTTCTTTGTTTCGGCCATTTCTGCTGCGGCACCGACGTTGACGGATGTGCGGTCAATATATGAAGTTGCCAGAGTGTCCACACACGTCACGTCTATTGCTAGTGGCTTACCACGCTCCCATGGGATAAGCGTAACAACGTCTGGTCTTTTACTGCCTACTATGGCCAGTCCCTTCGGTTCCATTCTGGCAGGGAAACCCCTCGTCGTTAGCGCGCGAGCGAACTCTCTGCTGATGACTCTTTACGATTCTTGGAAAAGCTATTAGAAAATCATTTCGATGTTAGTTTATTATCCATAGCATACATCGCTTGTACCAACTGATCATGGGTCATGGGCCTCATGGCTACGAAAGCGGTTTTCTAATGTGAACACCACCGAGAATACCTTGTCTCTGGTGTCCGTTTCGCGAATTCATATTGTAAAAGTGCCCGAAACAAAAATGGTAAAATACAGGATTAGCCTGTATTATCAGATACAGAAGTGTTCAGTAAAAGAAGGACGTAAAAATCACAAAAATGAATACGAGATCACAATTGTTACGTAATTTGACGTTCTTCGCATTCCCGAACATTTTCGCAATACAGGTTCGCGCACCGGACATCAGAGACTCGGTCTTCTTCGCGTTGTTCGCATGACAATACCTCAAAAATCGATTACATGATAATTATTGTTTTATACAAGCTTGTACATGATATTAATGAAAAATTATCAATCCATAATGTGTCCGTACCAGCTGATCGTGACTGTAGAAGCATGCATTAGAAAACGGTTTAAAAGGCACAGTTTCTAGAAGTACATGTTGATCCTACTTTTTTACATCAACACTGTTCCTCACCGAGAACAACTCCAGGTAGTTGGCATAAGTGGACATAAACCACCATTCCGAGGCAAAGAATCCATGCCACCGTCGCTGTATGGCGCGCCTTGTAGGATATGGGCAAAAACAGAGACCAGGCGCGATTGGTGCTAATCAGTAAGTGACTATAGAGCGTTATGGCGACAATAACATTTCGACAATAAACTAGCAACGTACACACCGGATCGCCTAACCACCAATTACCGTATGGCGCAACGATCATTAGTACATTATTAAAACCGACGTACAGAATGTTGCTTATGCAAAGTACGATAACGTAGACATTGAATGGCGTTCGGAGGTGTTTTTCTAGAAGAAGAGCAAGGAGTACCCCGATGTTTAATAAGAGCGTCACCGCTGTCATACCGGTGAGCGTTGCCGTTGAGACAAAATTAGAAACGGAAGCAGACCGCAGTACTGAAGCATTCTTCGTCGTTGACAGCAGCGTTGTATTGTAATAAATGTAACGGACAGGTGAAGAAATGTCTGCGTACTTAATTTCCATGTTTAGACATGCAGTTCCACAAGGTAATACCAGACATCCACATAAGCTTAGAACAGCCTGCGCATTACCGGGAACAAGCAGTACATACTGTATCATCAATTCATCAAATCTTCAGCAGTTTGTCCAAGATCAAGAGAAATGCAACGATTAAAAACACTCGCAATGTTATTCAATGTTTCTTAAAAAGTTAAAAGTCTGATAACAAAATGAGCGAGTAGGCTTAGAAATTCCACGTATAACCGTATAACGGTGGACAACTAACATGGAAAAGGAAATTGTAAAGCGCATCCCATCTGCCTAACCGTCAGTCGAAAACATTGTAACCTTTAGAACTCCCGGTGTCATGAATCCGTACGAGTATTCATGGTACAACACGCCACAACTTCGCATTTCTTAAGAGAAGTCGAAGAAAAGAAATGACGTACTTTGTATCACGCCACAAACACACAGCCATTGGCGGCATAGCAATGTACTGGATGCCCTAAAATTTCCGTTCATTTCCGATGGATATGCCCGGTCATCATTCGCGAGGGACAAAACTCGTTAATTTTTAAGGATTTATGTACAGAATGATTTTATCATTTCTTACACTGTAATACGTGAGGTGGATACGGGGCTGCAATTAGAATCAAGAAGGAGAGATAGGTCAGCAATCCGTGGATGTCCTCTATAGTGAAATTGTCATAAAGTTTTCAGTATGAGTCATAGTCACATGCACGGAGAACCGGGAAAAATCTTGTCTTTTATTTTTCTCATATCATTTGTATCGTATCATCGCGTGCCGCTCTGAAAATTTAATGCTTTGGTGCTTGAGTGTGCACTTGCACAAAATATGACAGAACTCTTATTTGCTTCGCATTTATTTGTTAGAGGCAGTGCCGACTGCCGATACAGCGTACTATAAGACAAAAATATAATAGGCACATGACAAGGAAAACTGTGCAGTGTGCACTAAATCAGCTGTACTCTCAACTGCCATACTCGGATAGGTCAATTGCATCGGCTGCTATACTATTGCCGCGTTCTGTAGTCGCATGATAATAATAAATCTTTGCTGTAATAATAATAACGATCGTCCTGTGCAGTACCATTGTATCAGTTTCCGGATACAATATCATACAAAATTTTTAGAGAGATTTCTGTAGCGGTAATAACTTGATACAGCCATGAGGTCATAAGCCGTGAGGCCGTGAGATCTGTTCAAGCTATTTCCGTGGTGTCGGCTGAATTAAAGTACGCACGGCGCTTGCGTTGGATTTCCTACGCTGGCGGATGCAATTGCTCTAATCTTATTCAAGCTTCCGCCAGATCAGGTGCGTCAACGTAAGAAATCTGGTGTGAAATAATCGGAAACTAACGAAGGGAAGGCGCTGTCGGACAGATTCCTATCCAGTCTCGTCCATAATTTTTAGAGTACGATCACAGGAAGGAGGACATTGTAAAGCTATAAGCTCAGGAGTAGCATCAGGACATCGTTATTTTTGTGTTGGAGCTGGCGAAATAATTGGCTTTATATCGACCATTTTGAGACATCCAGCGATCTATACTACGAGTATGATCTCGATTGTGACCTTTTTTTAATTGCAGTAAGGAAAGCATTGTCGACCCCATCGGTGGCGTGAATTAAGTTTGCTCTGTATAGAACGAGTAGCAGGTACTACAGGTGTTTGTCGGAACATGCAGCGTACATAGTACATACTATGCATCTCCATTAACACAAACTGCCTGGAATACCAAATGCGCATTAGGTATTATCTGTTTAGAATAAGCACCCAAAGCTCTATTAATTGGATTTTTATGATGTTTTTATTTTTTCTTAATTGTGTTCTAATCAAATTTGTGTTTGCAACAATGACAAAACGGAAAGCTCCGAGACTACTCTCGTAGATAGCACTACGCGCATATCGCATATGTAAATCATACCGTATTAAAGACTGCGGGATTTTGTATTTTCAATAATATACGCAGTTGTATTGTATAGTACGTGGTTGATGCAGTATTTCCATAGTAGACGCGTAATACGATATTACTGTGCTTGCAAAAACCGATATCAGAGCTGCTAATGTTTGTCTGTTTACAAAAACACTGTACTCAAAATCTCATCCTTGTGATAGATTACGCTTTCCAATAAACTGAATATCCATTTCGCACTCGCTCCTGGTTTTCCGGAGGTTGGAAGTAGACAGTTTACGGATGCCGAATTTCGTCTGGCAGAATACAACAATGTAATTATGCAGGTTGCTAACGCCGAGGCAGAAGAATACCGGGTCCAGGACGGGCTGAATGGAGTACAGAAGAATCAGTGCTGTCTCCAAGGTGTCGGATTTGTATGATGCTACAAGATCAGCCAAGATGTAGTACACCATGATGGGTATCCAACAGACGGCCGCGCTTGCCGTAAACATGGTCAGCAGAACAAAAGGTCGCACCACGGTGTCCCGCCTTTTTAAAAGATCCATCGATCGTCGAGCGTCAGCCACTCGTTTGTCAGCGGGCACTGGTCGTCGGCGGACATGAATAAATTTCCATAGTAGGAAGGGATAGCATACTAGGATGAACACTTTGGGCATATCGAAAACCCAGACTGTCGAAAACGTGGCCCATGCATTCTGTGCTTTGCTATTAAACCGGCAGTCCTTTTCCGTGGAAACTCGATAATAAAGACCATCTAAAAAATAAGTTTCTAGGTTCTATGTGAACTCCTATAAACTGACTTGAAACCATTCGTAAATTTTTGCTGCTGTCTGTATTATCTTAAAGATCTGCAGGATGGTACTCGTTTTAACGTTTTGATAACGAAGTACTTCATTAGCAATAAATGTCAAGCACATGAGCAAAAAATAGTTCATATAATATGTACGAAGTACGATCGTAATATTACTAAAAAACACTAAACACAGTAGTGAATACCCGCATAGATTACTAACGTTTGTTTAGTAATATTACGGTGTAAGACTGCGGGTACTTAACTTACCCAATATTAATGCAGGAAGCTGGCAAACATGGACGTACATCACCATGCCTAAACTTAAAAGCCATGCGACGGTCGTCGTATGATGGTGTCTGTACGATATCGGCCAGAACAACGCCCACGCACGGTTAATGCTGATTAAAACGTGACTGTGAATCGTTATGGTGACAACAATATATCGGCAGTAAATTCTCAGAGTGCACGCCTGGCCGCCTATCCACCAATGTCCATGGGGGGCCAAAACCATCAGGATGTTATTAAGCCCCACATACAAAATATTACTAGACAAAAGTACAATGATGTACACGTTGAAAGGCGTGCGAAGATGTTTTTCTACGAAGAGAATTATCAGCACGCCGAAGTTAAGGAGAACCGTGGCAGCTGTCAGACTGATTAGACTCACTGATGAACCGACGGGATGGGACAGCGTAATATTCTTCGCCGGTAGGAGCAATAAACCGGCATTATGATTTCTGTTCGTCAGCAGGTATTCAGTGTAATTATTCGTAGTCATTTTGGGTAAAAGGTCAAGCACTACTGGTGAAACGTGCTGACGTTTTTATGCTGCTAACTGATGAAAACTTGTGTACATAAGTATTTTTGCGCAGAAAAACTCTAACAACAGTTTAAATCTGGGGCACAAGAAATAATGGGAATATGTTTACGTATGAAAGATTGTAACCCCTGTAGTGATGAAACGGTCTCCCGTTTTATCCGCTTTGTCTGCAGGCACGTAAGCCTCTTATCCGCGAAACTGGCGATACACTCTGCTGTCAATACCAATTAGCAAAGTGTATAAACACATTTCCCATGGGCCGTTGCACCTGCGTCCAGGAAATTGCCGCCTAAATCTGACCGGGGCTCTAATACAGTCTTACATGTCACTGCTGTTAACTGCATGGCTGCTTTGTGCGTGCTGTTTTCTACCGTAACAAGTTTCAGTTCAACATCCTAATGCAAGCTCACACTGGGTTTGTGCCGGAAACTGAATTAATGTGTTGATATTTTCTTTGCACTGAAATTATGCACCATTTAACCATGCCGTCACGGAAATAGTATGGAATTTCCCGCTACATGGCGTGATCTTTTCTGCTCTCCACACAGAAATATGCGTCTGACGTCTCAGGAGTTTCCTGAAATGTCAGACTGTATCTGGAAAATGGTGTCCGCTCAAATTTACGCATTGGTGCCTTGAGCTGTTTAGCTTAAGTTATTCTTCCTTGAATAATTAGAGGAAATGTGTTATTTTCTTACACCGGAAACGAAATTGCTCACAGCTGATTGTTTACTGACACCACAGCATGCAATTTTAGCTTCATGAAATAGTAGTGCTTTTCCATCCGTAGTGTAGTGACCTGTCGAAACGTAAAAGAATCGCTGCAGCACGCACTGCATTAAGTGTCCGAGTTAAAATACCTCTGTACCTTCGCTGCAAACCACTAACTGTCTCCTATTTCGGTTCAGTACCGCTGTGGCCAACTTTTCTCGTACCAATAGGACTGCACATTCTCTTCTTTTACGTGTAAGAGTATGATTACCATATGCGGTGTATCCTAATGTAATTTTTTCCCGTTTACAGGCTTTATCTGTAATACAAACCGCAATTTTCTGCGCAGGTCTTTACAGTATGGTAGGATGCGGATTTTCATCATTTTACCCAAATGATTTGAACACCCTGAAAATTATCGGGGAAGAATGACGTCACTATTGCCACTTTAAAACGGTGCGACCATTAAACATCTGGTAAAAGTTCTGAGCATGTAATGCCGTTCAGACACGTACACGTCTGCAGCACCCATTACCGTACAAAATTATCTTGCCGGTTGATAAAAGCTAATAAACAAACTAGGTAAATATTGCATGATGAGCAGTGAGCACACACTGTGATTGCTGCCTGTGAGCTAATCTGTACGCTTAGCAGCTGAAGCTTGGTACTTTGTAGATTCTAACTGTAATGAAAACCGATAGATAATCTCGGTAATTATTTTGTTTGTTAACAGCCAATTGACAACACGCGAAACATGGGCATTTATTAATATTACATTGAGCAGATCACTGCCATAACAATTTTCCGAGCAAACATTCACAACACAACTTAAAACATGAAAAAACAGGGTCGCTTCGCGGCTCACATCCCAAACATCCAAACACGGCTCTGGAACAGCTCAGGAACAGGAGATGGCAGCGGCAACAGCAGTGGCAAATGATTTCCGAATTTGCTCATCGCAGGAGATGTAACGTTCAAAACAATTACTGCGCCAGTTACCTTGAACTTTTAGCGCCTCTGCGGATACACCCACGGTGGCCGCAAAGGTCGCACCGCCCCGCCGAAACGAATGAACGGAAAACTTGGCGGGGGGAATACCGGCACAACGTAAGGTCTTCCGTAGTAAGCTGTTAAACCTGTTAGCAGACATGACCTTTATTACGTTATGGTGCTTGTACGATAATAATTCATCAGACCCAGACGCATTTGTTTCCCGTATCACGCTTTTTATGGCTTTGACTGGACACAGCGTCGGATTGTCTGTGACCTTTGGCAGAGAAACTTTAACACGAGCATTTTTAAAACGATTATTTTTAAGAACTGGTAACGACAAAACAATGCCCGGTTCTGTAAACATAACATCGGCACATTTCACTGTTGTGCGCCAATTTTTACTGCCAAACAAATTCGAGCTACGTGCTAGAGAGTAAAAAGCGACGAGACATCCTGCCCAGAATGTTTTACGCATGTACCTTTTCACAAACTTCAAAGATTCGTAAATTTTAAGAAGATGATGAGGTAATATCGGTTCACATCTAAACGGCAGTTCTTCTCTTGTTCGCTGTACTCCCGCAAGAGCTTGTTTAATCGAAAAATGATTTAGATCAGGCGGATACAAGTTTTCGAGGTGATGCAGTGATACAAGACTTGCTACGTAATTTACAACAGTCGTATACTCAATGGAGCGCTCGGCAAGATAGGCTATATACAAACATACCGTCTGCACCGAGGCAGGCAGAGCTTGCAGCCTATATAAATTACAAAATTTTTTGAATTGATCCCACTGCGATTTTTGCGTGCGTTTCGAACTTTCTGCCAGAGAATTCAGTTGCAACGCCCGCAGTTTCTGTCGGAGACTTGTCATGGGGATAGCTACAAAGGGAAGACTTATTTATTTTAAAACCTGGAAAAGGACCAACAAAATTTTGGAAAAAACGCCTTTCGAACTCAATCCCTTCAGACAGCCTGCTTAACGAGTCAGCTATTACGTTATTTACACCAGAGTAATGACGTGAGCTGATACGAAAATTAAATTTTAACGACATTTCAAAAACCAATTTTAACCATTCCAAAGCATCAACGTTTTTTGTTGTACCTCGGCTTAGGAAGGACACTGTTTGGGTGTTGTCCGAAAGCACAACAACACGGCACCCATTGAACAGAGGTGCCCACACTAGCAGCGGCAAGCATGCCGCTACCAATTCAAGAAAATTAATATTACGTTTTAAACTCGGTTTCAAATAAGGGGCCGGAATTCGGTTTATTTCGAAAACATCAGGTATTCTGTGCCCTAAACCATCTTCCCATAAGCCAGTTAGCCACATGTTTTGGGAAGTTGCGCCAAACCCGGCCAGAGAGGCATCAGTGCAGATAGTTATTTCCGGCCAAACACAACCAAACGGGGATGGACAGAGCCCAGTGACCTTAGGTGCAAGCTCAATCCACCACATAAGTTCCGCACGTAAAACTTGAGTAACTCGCGCATGATCAGTCGGCTTTCTTAACTTTGTTAGGGCATCAATGAAAATGCGCGTGAAAGTACGCGCACCGTAAACTGCTTTTGACGCAAAGGACATGTGACCAACCAATACTTGGAGTTCTCGTTTCGTTATTTTCGCTTTTTGGGAGTGAAACTGGGCCAAGTCCGCTAATTTAATCAATTTATCAGCTGGTATTTCTAGTCGTTCTAATTCAGAATCAATAATTATGCCCAAGAACGTTACGCGTTTAGATGGACTAACGATTTTTTCTGATTTAACACGAAATCCTAAACTATATAATAATTCAGTTAAAATATTTTGCGCGTTCAGGCATTCTTCAAAACTAAAGGCAATAATTAAAAAATCATCAAGATATGCAACAACGATAATATTTCTTTTTTGCAACATTCTCACGATTGCTCTAGAAATGCGGTCAAAAATCCCTGGTGCATTTGAAAGACCAAAGCACAAAAAATTGTCAATATAAAACTCTTCAGCTGAACTTCCAAAACCCCATCTAAACCCTTGGAACTGCCTGTGAGGAGGATAGATTGGCACCCAACGATATGCTGACTGTATATCAACCACAGCATAAAAGCAATCGCGAGAACTCAGTAAAACTGCATCATCAATGCTTTGGAACGAAAAATTTTCTGTAACAATGAAAGAATTTAATGAACAATCGAAAGGTCGACTGCAGTCGGTTATTGGCCTAGGAATAATACTACCCTTTTTTGGAACAGCTCCTATGGCCTGAACCCGGATTGGTTTTGCAGTCTGCTTTGTAATACGGCCCAGATTCAGCTCTTCTGCGAACAGTTCATCCACCAAGGGTTTATTTTCTGCGCTAAGTGCACTTCTGTAATTAGTACAGTCAGCCGGAGATACAACAGTGTCATCTCCAACTAACCGGAACCCTTGCGCAATGCCTGTCAGCAGAAAATCTGAGTCCGGGTCAGAACCATACAATTCATTAACCCAAAATTCCAATTTTTTTGTTAATTCGCAACGATTTAAAATGTCAACCGATACCAAAATAACATAATTTCCAAATTTAAGTAATTTACAAACATTGGTATCGATTTCAACACAAAAACTAATTTCAGCCATTTCACTGCCGGACTGCTGTGCAGTTCCGGCCTTGATGCTGTCGCGCACCGCAGTGGCCGCAAACGTGTTCGAAGGAACACTTGCCGGGCGGTTTTGCGCATTTGTCATCCTGCCAGAAGAAGCAGCATGCAAAGCGGTATCTGGGATGCTGGGCATCCCTATTGTTCCCGCGAAAAAGCCGACTGTTATTACGTGAGTCACCACTGTTTGACGAAGAAGGCCCGTTATTATTTCGACAATTACCGGAATTAAAGTATTTAGCCCCAATTACCGAGCGCTTACTTTCGTTAAACAACGAAAACCCCTGGCGTTTTGCTGCCCTTCTAAAGTCATCATCAAACTGAATTACCGCTTCTTCTTTGAAATTTATGCGCATTGATACCAAAAATTCAATGTACTGCAAGTATTCTTGTATGGTCACTGCATGATCACCTTCAACTTCTTCCGCTAACGTGTTCGCAATCGTTAAACTGTTCAAAATTAGCTCATCAAATGAAAGATCTGTAGCCAGTAAATCACGTTTCTTACTGACGGAAGCTTTATACGCGATTTTAAACGGAAATGGTAACCTTTCCGCGCTCGTAAACAAATTTTTTAAGTAGTCACGATTAGATTTTCGGCGACTGTGCGATTTTACATCAGATTCACTGTCACTGCTGTCACAATTGCCCTCACCTGCTTTCCGATGATTCCGGTGCCGACTGCTTCGGGAACGGGAAGGACTTGCGGGACGTGGTGGACTTGCTTGTCTGCGCGTTGTTGCTCCTTCGGTTGCAGTGGATGCCGATGCGACTGACGCGCTGTCCGGGATCTCAGTTGTGTTGTCGATGAGGTAGCCCTCAATTACGGCTCGGTCACGGATGAGGATCATGAAGGTCAGATTGTCGGGGAAAGTGGAGGATTTGGCCAAGGCCAAAATGTCATCGGTTCCGGTGAAGCCGGCATCCTTCAACTGGGTCACGGTAGCCTCGGAAAGCATCAAGGCGCTTTTCAGTTCATCGATGGTCATGCTGTCGGTTTCTTCCGGCGCGACGTCGTCGATGAGGTTTCCGGTGCCAGTTGGTGGCGGTGTTGCGATCCCATAATGTGCATAAAGGCGAGTGATCAGGTCATTCTTTTTCCCCGCTTGGCTGAGTCCAAGTTGTGCACAAAGGGAACGCATCAGGGTGACCGTTCCATACCGATTCTTCAGCTGAGACTTAGTAAGCGTGGCTGGAGGCGCCATGCTAACGCTACCGTAAATTCTAGCGCTAACGCTACCGTAAATTCTAAAATTCGAGAGAAAAATTTAACAACTGGAAGTAGCGATCTTGCAGGTTGATAAAAGTTAATAAACAAACTAGGTAAATATTGCATGATGAGCAGTGAGCACACACTGTGATTGCTGCCTGTGAGCTAATCTGTACGCTTAGCAGCTGAAGCTTGGTACTTTGTAGATTCTGACTGTAATGAAAACCGATAGATAATCTCGGTAATTTTACAATGCTAATTGGTATCTCATCGACTATATAGAACATTACCCGCAAAAAACATCACGCTCTTGCCCTTTCAAGTTATAAAAGATTTCTGTGGAAATACAAGAAAGAGAACCCCGTGTGCCAACTTAACCCTAAGGGTTAAAACACAATATTAATCATTCCACTTTATTTCTACAAGTACCAAATACAGCAGATTCTCTTTTAGTGTGCATGAACAATTCGCAGTTTTGTTAATTTTTTTTTCTCTGTATGTTACGCGGTACGCACATACTTTGCATTAGCGAAATGTCCCTTGATCCGAGTAGTATTACTTAACTTTCATAAATCACAACTCAAGAAACAGTGGTCATTGATCATTAATTAGATACACGCACAGTTCTCGGCCTTAGCACAGCATGAATTTGCACACTTGTTTCAACATAATTAATAACAATTTATCACATTAGCGAGCCATTCGGACAAAGAAGTGTCGCGACAATCAGCATTGTCGCTTTCCGCATCTTTGAATTATGTAGAACAACAGCATAAACAGTCTTCTGCTACAATGCCAACGCTTAATTGATGTCATTAATCTGCTGTATCACGGCCGTTCTTGATCTTCGGCGTACCGGTATTGATGCCAGAAGACGAGTTAAGCATGGCCAGCTTCTGTCACTCTATCGCAAAAAGTACCAGGTATATAACGTACATTTCGGTTGGCGAGAAATCATCAAGCCATTAGTTGCATAACTTGCATTTGCTCTTGTATTTCCACTGTTTCTCAAGCCAGTAAAGCACCATGAAATCCGCTATCGTATTCGCTCTCTTCGTGGCTGCTTGCAGCGCCCGAACCTTGGTAAGTGATCAACCCAGGGCTGTACTAAGCATAAAGGGCAACCTGGCTAGTAGCGATCACCGTAATTAATTTTTTCGATGTTAAGTTGATGAAAACTTTCCGTACTATCTTCGGGATTCTCCTAATCGGGGATTTATTCCAGGATAAACGCGCCAGTGATCAAAACCCTAAAGTATTCTCAGCTTTGGATAAGTTGCGAGGAGGCGCCAACAAGGCTTTGAGCGTTGACCAAATCCAGGAGCTGTGGCTGAATGTTAAGCCCGGTCAGGATTTCCCTCTCATTGCCACCATTCCCAAAGCCAACGTTGACTGTGCCTCAGTCAAGCCAGGTTTTTATGCTAACGATGGCGAGGGCAAATGTCAGGCTTTCGATCGTTGTGACGTCAATGGAAACTTGACCAGCTACCTGTGCCCCAATATGACCGTAAGTCAACATCTTCTTAATCAGCTGCTTTATTCATCCAATTAAGCATTCAGTCTATGGATCTTAAAATGTATCTTCAAGGCTTAATCAAAGTATTATCTAACCTTAATTAACGATTCGAACGCAGCACCGCAAAGTGTTTGAAAGCAAGATAAGATTGAGCTGACATTGAATTTACCGGCAAAGAAATACCATTCTTTAATCAGACCGTATTATTTACAGCTGTTCAACCAGATCACCTTGATCTGCGATTGGTGGTTCAACATTGACTGCTCGCAAGCCCGCTCTTTCTACGACTACACCAACTCCCGCCTGTATGTCGAGGGAGCCGTGCTGTTGGATGATGAGCCCGATTACGTCATGGCCTCCACCGGTGCCGTCGCCGCACAGTCGACCGGCGGATCTGCAAAGGGCTCTGCATCTGCCGAACCCAAAAAACCCAAGAAGAACAAGAAGAGCAAGGCCAAAGCTGAATAAAAGCGTTATGGAATACTTTTCGTTAATGCGTTTGCAAAGACTTTGTGATACACGTGCCGCTTTGGCGTCTCTCGTTGCTACCTACACTGGCTAAGTTGTGTTCGAATGGTTGCTGGCGGCCATGCTCGTGCGCTTATATGGACCTATACGTTGTTGACGATCCGCTGTCATTTCAATCAAACAGCGTGAAAGTGAAAGCGAATATAAAGAAAGACTTCGTTAATTCAGAATCTCGCGTTTCACTTGTGTACTGGGAGTTATAAAACTACATATTGACGATAAAACTGTTTAATCGACTTTTGTCAGCGTTCACGATGCCTTGCGCGTAATAACCACGGCACGGAGATTCAAACACTTAAATTCCGCAGTTAAATTAGTGCCTGATTGCCGGTAACTGATAAAGTCTAGCTAGAGAATTAATTATGGTTTGGCACTGATGACCTAGTCACAGAGCTGTACATGGACGGCAGCATTGTTGAGCGGGCATCATGGAAAAAAGGGGTTCATGGGTGTAAACCCATGTTCAAATCCACAAGAAAATGAAGACTTTTAATTGCATAGATCTTTACTCAAGATGCACGCTATCGCAAACGACAAACTTGCGCTTTTGGATGGGAAAGTTTTTTGTCTAAAGGTCACTGTCGCAGTATGGCTAGTTCGCACAGGGGCACCGCTTAAAGCGCACTGAGTCAGTTGTTATGAATTTACTACAGAGTCTGTACGAGTACCAGCCAAAACGTTTGGCTGGAGCACATATTCACCAACCTGTCATACTGCCAGCAAAGATGACCTGCGAGATTTTTGTGGCTCTTTTTTAATCCTATCTCATCCACTGCTGTGACTCTCTCGGGCACGACAACCGAGATTCTAAAGCGGCCCAAATGTCCTTCACGTTAGACCTTGGGTGCATGGTAGTGACAGCGAATTACTGCACTGCCGTCTTACTGGCATAATTTAAATTTGTAACGGATTCCCAGGCTGACAAACAAATGATTACGCAATCTAATCTCACTCCACCCACGATCGCGTTTTAGAAAGCGGACGAGTAGATATCATGGAACTGAGCTCCGGCTTTACTATATCAAAATTAGTGGAAATGATTTTTCAGAATGTGGTCCTGATACTGCAAGCACTATACAACTTTGGTATGGCCTTTTAACTTTACATATTCTAACGTTTAGCGGATGATAATACAAATTCAAAATACGATAGAGCCGAGCGCGGTTTTTTGATGCTGTTTGTCTTTTATAGCACTCACTACTCCGCAATCTTACCTGAAAAAAATCACGTGATAAAAATCCTATGGGATTTCGGTAGTGCAAACCCTGAATGTCGAGAAAATACCTACAGGGTACTATACATCACTCAAATCCGCTTTGCAACAAGCTCCTTGAAATGTATGTAATTGTACTCTTATGTACTCCTCAAACACCGTAGGGTAGCTGATGTGTGCTTTGACGTACAAATACAATATCCATAAAGTATGATTTTACTATTCACGTATTACCAGACCTACCTCGAAGGGTGTCTTATATAATATTATATCCTTTCCTTAACTGTGCATGGAAGTAAAGGTGACGTTAAACCGATGTTAAAAAGTTCTCAGGATCAGTTTGTTGCACCAGCTGACTATTAGAGCATCTAAATGAACGCTTTTTTAATGCCAAGGTATGCGGGCTTCAATCCCTTTAACGTTGTTTAGTATATACTGTATTACAGATGCCACATGCTACATTTTCAAAGCGCATCTCATACCGCCAGTTCATTTAATTTGAACCTTTTGCAGTACTGGTGATGCGGAAGCCAGAGGCCTAGCATACTAGCGCACTGTACTCTTAAGCCTTAAGGAGAGATTTGACATGATTGTATGAACCAGATAAGAAGCGCTATTCGATTTGTTAGCAAAAGGGAGTTACTACGAGAAAACGGTCTTCTCTTAATTTATGAGCGTAGACATTCCTGCTTGAGCAAATACAGGTACGTCGTAAACATCGTTCACGGCGCTTATCTGAAGCTGGAACAGATGGCAAATGAATAACAAGGGGAGCGACGTGGCTTTCCGGTTACCGAGAGAAGCAGTACCATCCCCTGATGCGGGTGTTTTATTGTATAACTGTTGTCTGCAGCAGCCTGTTGGTAACACTGCATAATACCCCCTGTTGTATGAGAGTGAGCTGGCTGACGGTATAGAGGATAAACAACCAAAGTTCAAGACTAACCGGAAGTCATCCCCGAACAACAAGGTAAGTGGATGGTCAGTTTTGATGTTCAAATAAGAGTGCTGATTTATACTTTTCCTCTAATTTCTTGATTATGCATGCGTGTTTCACAGAAACCGTTGTCTAGATGGCACTGTGAAATGTGTGAATTGTTTAGAAGGACCAGAAACGTTCATGCCGTCTGCATTGGTTCGCGACGCATAACGTTCTTGGTTTGTAGATTTGAAAGGTTACAAGATACCCTAGGGTTTCTGGTGAGGATCATTTGTTATTAAGGATCGTCTCTTAAGGTAAGGATCATCTGTTGGTCGGATTCTACCGCGAACTTACTGTTGATACGACGTGTTGTTAATGTGATTCGGCAGCAGGTGGGCGACCGAGGACTGGGATGACTACCTAGAGCAAATACTGTACCATTATTTGCTGATTTGTATTATTTAATGCTATCTGGTGCAAACTTTTGATCCATTTTCCAATCATACTGAACGTGAACGGGAACGTGAAATAGATTTCTCAAATTCTCAGTGCTGCTTCTCAGATACGGTACTTGATGTTAACTAATCTACGGGAAACGCTACTCACAGTCTCATATTACGCCCCGTTCACATTGTTTAGGGGCTGGTTCGTGCGTGTTTGTGACAGTAAATATTGCCAGCAGGGAACAGTGTAAAAGTCACCATTTATATCGCAGAATGTGTACTCAGCCAATACCGCTGATGGCGGCGGGCGGCTGACCTGATTAAAATAAAACCGTTACGTCTATTTAATCGTCACAAACACAAAAGCAGGAAGAGGTGTGCCAGGTCGCAAACAGCGATAGCCATTGATAAGATAGTTTTACGCTGTTTTATCAGATAGATGGTTTTATGCGACGGAATAGGGAAGATGTCAGCTGCGCCGCGGTAGCTGATGCAATAAACAAAGGTTGACTGCCTAATCATCCGTTCGCCCTTACTAATGCAATCATCCGTTCGCCCTTACTAATACTGCATGTATCAACGCACACCAATCAGTGCAGCGGCGATCGTATGACACGGCACAAAAAGCTCACGGTTCACGGATTACCAAGCTAATGGTTATGCAAATACGCGAGCATAGGGTATAAACTGCGTAACCTACGATATCGGTATTCCACGCTACTTTTGCCACACAGTCATGGTTAATGCTTTTACCTTGTTTACCGTAGCAATATTTATGCCTTCTGGATGTAGCAATTTTTTGATTATTCTGATTGAAAGGGACAGCTTGTATCTGTCTCGGTAACAGTAACGTATAACACAGCGCCACGTCTAGCATAGCAAGCGGTCATTCGAGTTTTAAAGCCGATCATAAAAACCGGCGGTGGCTGGGAAATTTGATAGTCCGCTCGTTTCCGTGCCATGGCGTCGCTGCCAATCAGTGAGTGCAACTTGGTGAGTGTACACACACAATTCTTTTGGCTACAATATTATACTTATATTATACGAGACCGTAATCAATTCCGTTTTCCGATCGATCTGTAGAAAATTAGCTTTTTACTTAATCCTTGTCATGCTGTGCCGGCCCACTTGAACGTGCAGCTATAGGCCGCTCCATCGCATCGTGCTTGTGCCCGGAAAGTATGTCAGACTAATAACACGCGCATATCGATACATACACATTTACACACACTCTCAACCAAGTCTCTTTCCGCCGTCGGCAATGAAAAAGCGGTCATGCAGTGCTCGATAGATACAACAGGTAGTACAGTGCCATTACCTGCCTATTTGTATGTGTAACCAGGAAAGAGACACTTCAATCTAACGCGATCATATTATTTTGCATTTATTTCGTGTACTGGTAGAAAGTGTTTATGTTTTCAGGTTCTCTTCTCTGATGTGTACATCAAGTAGGACGACGACGCAAAGAGAAAAACCGAGGTGAGTGGAAAATGAATATATAATGTAGCACATTCACCTCGTCAAAGTAATTAAAGCGAAGATACCGGTAACGCTCTTTACAACGTTCATCGGCAAATAGCGGTTGATTTGAGTTAACAGATGTTATGAAAGACGGGTTAAGAGAAGCGTTCGTTACCATATGGTACGATAAACAGGCATATACCGCACTGTATACCCGTTATGCATAGTTGCGGGATCGTTCCCGAGTTTATCGAACTCGGCTTTTTCAAACACATGCTCATAACTTCCGGGTATGTTGCAGCAGCTGCTGTCCGTTCGCTGGCGTGTGGATTACGTAATAACCAGTTATAAACCGCTATAAGAAGTTTGTCGGTAGGCCGGGGTGGGAAGTATGTTGTACACAAGTAAAAATAATCAGTCATAAACACACCGAATCCCGGATGAGCGCTGATGATTAAATAAATCATAACACCACAACTTTGCCAATCAGTAGCTCATAAACACTAACTGCAGGTGCCAGTGTTTTTTGCCGACAACAAAATACACCAGTGTAGCTAACAATTTCCTCGTCTCTTCAAGGTATCCAGTAATCTGATTGCTAATTCTCTTTAGCCTTTGATCTACAAAACTAAAATGCGAGAAACATTCATTAAATTCTATAAACTACTAATCAAAACTAGAAAAGCTTGAAATTTCCCGACAATTCAGACGATAGAATCAAAAACTTCAAAAACACTGATGAAATGGATAGTAAAAAATTTTTTATTTCTCACTGAAGGGTCTTATTACAGATCGAGAGAACTCCTATCGATAATCTCACAGTGATAAATATGCGCTACAGATATGAATAAGGAAGGAAATGGCGTCACTTAAAGGGTCTTATTAGAAAGTCGTATTGCTCTTTCCTCGTCAACAGGAAGCCGATAGATAGCGTTTTATTATCGCGTAAGGACAAAGTTTGGATGTAAGATATAGCACAAAGGCCTAATTTAAAAAGCCCTTAGGACGCATACTTTTATGATCCGAATGTAGCAATTTGCAGTTATTATTAATTGCCAAAGCCCGGGGGTAATTCTTCGGCTTCGCACAAACATCCTTAACTTATTTGTGCATGAGCTGCAAATTACTCGAAGTTTGTATATGGATCATGTGATGAAACAGCGGCTACCGATTTGTATTATCTGCTTACACCTGAGAAATAGCACACACTAACGTTATGCAATGCCAAAAAGCAATGCTTGGGTGGGCGATTAACTCAGCTGCCGGTACCGTTTTTTTGTCGATTGCATAACAGCAGCATACGCCATATACCATACTAGCTAGTAGGGGTTCATGTAACTTATACTAGTTAACAGCGGCTATAACGGACTTTCTTTCGCCCTTGCGAACGTAGAAAAGTGTCGACTAAGCGTTTTTTACCGATCTGTGCTTTAGTACTCATCCGACCTGGGTAGATGTTTCATGCAAGTACACCGAGTTTTGAGTTCTACGGCGCGTAAAGCTAGCATGTAAAATAGAGGTGTTTTCATAAGATCCGTTTTTTTTTTGGGTAGCGTAACTCGCTAACCCAAAAAACTTAGGAATTCAGTTGTTTGGGTACCGATTTACAAATCACAGTTACGAGGATAATTATAACTCTTCGTAAACTCGATAACTCAAAATAACTCATGTCAAGTTCAACAGTTAAAAATAACTAATCAAGTCTGGTACATGAGCATCACCCATTGCGGTGCGGTACATACCGACAAATAGAAATGCAAATAACGTTCTCGTAAGCATATCTGGTCATAACGGACTTTCGCAATAAGACTGTAACAATTTTAAGCATCTGTGGTGCGTGCCAATTCGACGCTTACAGTGGAAGGACAAGGCTTTCTCTAAGATATACAGAGAACTGGTTTAAAAACCTTGTGGAAATTGCGAACTCGTTGAAATGTGCAAAATCTTGCATGAACAAATAACAAATAATCCGTGAATTGAAACAGCGAATTGGTTCGGAGCCGTTTAAACCAAACTTTAAGAAATCCTACGAAGCCGAATAGTACGTATGCTCCTTAAAGATGGGGGCCTTGAACTGGATTTCAACAGAAGTTTCTTAAGTGTCAAGACTACTAAAACTCGAGTGCCATCTTGTTTAACTAGTTTCCCTCGCGCATTTCGGGAATCGTGTTGAATTACACGGTAGAACAATTTGAAACTTGGGTGTATATTCGTAAGTCTCTTTTCGGTACCAATATGGATCGCATAAAAAGCAGCAGCTGCAACTTTCGTGCGAATCAGTACGGTACCGGTGTCCCGAAGCGGTATCATACCGCGTTTTTGGGGCACTTCCATTTTTGCTTCGAAACATGCGCCTGGCTTTTATCCCCTTATAATTATGGAGCGCAAAGCAATAAGCAAGCCGCTAATATTCCACTCACGCAAACAAGGACTGGGTGCGCACGCGATGGCGCTCTTGGGGAACGAATAAAACTGCCATCTCACCATCGTAAAACCATGCGCATCGATCGAACAGATCCAATTATCATTAAAATCCACGACCGGGCCGAAGATGCAATCCCATAGAGCGAGTACGCGCGCCTCTGACCCGGTTATTAAGATTAACTAGCAGGATCACGAAAATGTGCCACAGGATACCAGATGCCGTGTGTTGTGTTAGCGCATCCGGGGCTTTGAGCAATCTTATCGATCGATTATTACCGGCGCTTAAAGGTTCTCTTGTCTCGCGAAAGTAAGCGATGCAGTATATGCGGCAACCAGCGTGCATTAATTAGGACTATCACGACTGGAGACTTCTCATCAAAGTCGTTTTTGTTGCAAGATGGGCTGATTTTGTTGCTGAACGTCTTGTAGGGTTAAGAAATTACGGCTCTCGTGTGGCCAGTGAAATCCAGAGATGTTTGTACGTGATAGCCTTAAAATTAATGCTTTTGTGCTTTATTTTAATTGGCTCAGGCTTTATAGAATCATAATTATCCGTTTTCAGTCCGGAAGAAGTGTTGCTACAGGTTAGTTGCACTCCAGTACAATCTGTTAGTCTGTTTTGATGACCTTTGGCAGACGTCTGCCGTATTTAAAGTTTAAACGGCCCTTAATCGGCTTACTGTTCATTGAACAGCGCTAATAACTGTAACCGGAATTCACGTACAGTGTGTGCTCTGCGTTTTGCCGGCGAATGTAGAGCTTTGTTACGTAAAATGAGAGCAACATTTTCTTAAGAAATCACGAGAATTCACCGTTTAACGCACGTTGCAGTCTAACACAATGCCTAATAATGCAGAAACATAATTATCAATTTAGGCTTCTTTTATCGGCATTATGTAATTAACCATGATAAGCAACGATAGTGTTATCTCACTGTAACTAACTGTTCCAAATCGGACAATTAGTTAACGAATAAGTGCCTAGAATATTCAAGCAGCCTTTGCTAATTGTTTACTTGGCGAATGATATATGATATTCCATATGACCTAGAGCAAACAGCCCATGCAGGTACCAGGTGTATCGCTGAATCTGCAAGCCTACAGGGAACGATTTACCCATCAAGCAAGCCAGCTAGCTGCAATTTATGATACATGAACCAATGAGCCCGGTAGACAGGTTATTCAACACAGATGGCAACAACAACCATCATGCTCAATGGCACTTTGAAGAGTTGGTGTTGTTGAACGAGAAAATTCTCTTGAAGGCGGAAATAAAACCGGTTTCCTGATATGGAACTGGCTGCGGTACTTTTCGCTTGTTTTTCATCTGGTAAGTCTGCGTTTTTTCTGGGCCCGGACGGATGGCCGATAATATGAAGTGCATTGTTAACGCGCTGCTATTGACCGCTGATGAGAGAACATTGTACGCCGGCCATTTACTGTACCGGTGGGGGCATGGTATAGAAGTCATTCTTGGCACAGCCAGGTGGAAAGCAGCAAAGTAACAAAATATGCACCGTAAATTTTGAACGAGCGTTGTTAGCACTAAGCAGTAAAACTGAAATAACACACAGCACGCAATGGTGTTAATGGCAGCCGGTTCCCTTAGTCAGCGGTGTTGACCTTGGAGTAGGATTGACTGGTAGTGTAGTACGAGTATCTCTCGATCATGGTTCATTAGCAATGTAATGAACAAGACACCATGGTACAGTTGTCATCTTCCACACTGTTAATACGGTGGATGACTGTTTAGCCTGAGAAAATTCAGCGTAACCTGAATGACTTTGAACAGGCACACCCATGTATGAATGATTGTCATCGATCAGGCTTTCTTGGCCACAAGTTGATTTTCTTCAATCGAAGGAAGTTTTGAGACAGGCTGATTAATAACAGGGTATTGTGTTGGGGCTTTCACAGCGGTATTTGTGTAGAGGGTATTTGTGCAAAGAATTCGAAATGTCGTGCACCGATGAGAAAGGAGCTCCCTGATCGATATTCTCCTGAATCAGGATGTAGGGTGAGTGTTTAGTAATTAAAGATGAGGCTCACGTCCAACACACACGAATAGCAACGTCTTTCGATACTGCCTCAAACGGGATAGTTTCTGCTGGAAACGCTTATGAAACGGTTGCAGCAGTATCGTCTCTGTTTGATTAGGGCATGTTTCGTCGCGAGCAAATGCAATGTTTTGTTTGGGATGTTTCGTTGTGATGTTTATGGAGTGTTTCGTCGTGAGCAAATGTAATATGAACTATAAAGTACTTGTGTAACCCTTAGCGTAGCTAATTCGAAGCCGGCTTTCGGCATCCGGGTAAGGCACCGTAACGCGATTCGCAACGAATGCGAAACGCCAGCCGAGGATCGTCGATCTCGGTTACGTACTCCTACGCAAAAGCAGGGACCCTTTCTATCTAAGCTCAACTTGAGATATCGTGTGCTGTGATTGAAAAGGATGCTGTGGGGACATTCCAGCCGTTGGCTGCTGTTCCACTGTTTGCAATAGAGAGTGTTCAGGCTGAAGTTCATCATACTTTCATCGCTCAGTGTTTCGAGAGGCTGGCCAGTTGCTCGGCGCGCATTAGTAGCCAGCGTGGCTGGCAACGGGGTGAAAGTTTGCACTGATCGATCAGACTCGTTGTTGTGTGGCATCGGCAGCGACTGCGCGCGGCCGGCGTTCAACTGTGCCGCATTGAATATAGGTCGGCAATCGGCATGAAAATATAACGGCCCACTACCGGCTCTGTGTGCGTGTGTATGTGCTCTTTTCCGTCGTCCATGCGCAGTGTGCGCACTTCTCTTACATAGAGCGGATACATGAGCGCGCTTATTTACTGTATACCCATGAGCATCGCACAGCCAACTGCCGTCTTATTAGTTAAACTACACCGCCTAGCGTGTCTGCGCGGTGATTATGTTCCTAGCCGGTATCGTTGTCAAATCTACGTATCTGCGGGCGATTTGCAATCAGCGCACAAGGAATGGCTTGTGCACGGTGCTCTGGCCTCAGCCACCGAAAATTTTCGTGTCTTTAACGTAGATTTTGCACTGAACTTTAACTGCCGCCTCGATAACCGTGGGTCCCAGTGAACCGCAACGGATGTGTGCCGGATTGACTCGCTGGGTGCGGTGACTCGCGGGGAAACCTGTTATTGCGCAAGTACGATTGATTTTTTTGCTTGCTCTCTCCCGCTCCATTTACGAGAATCTGCATGCAACCGGCGCATGTTAACTCGTGCGTTGTGCGAATCACTCTCAGCTCATACACAAACACACACACCAGCCTGTCCGAATCGAGAAATGTCGGTTCGCACTTTTCGACTTTAGTCTGCGGGCCGGCCTTCTGCCACGCTCACACCAACCGCACTCGTAAACGCACGCACACGTCAACCAATCGGCGATTGGTTAGCGGCTCTGTTGTGCAGTGTGTAGTCAGGGGAAAGTCTTATCTAACCGCGATAAACTATTCTCCAACGATTTCGATACACACATATGACTATAAAGCTGCCAGCTCAGCTCTTACATATGTGCCAGATCATCGACGTTCGTCTACATTTTGCAGATTTGCCTGGACAACAAACACCGCAGCCATATAACTACGGCAAAAGAATTTCCTTGTCAATTTCCAGCCAACTGCCAACAATACAACAACGTGGACCGCATCGCTTACGTGTAAGGTAAGCGAGTTATGTGCATGTGGACACTAGTGTCACCTGATTACCTTGTACGATGCGTATCGTATAATCATAATTGTCTATTGTGTGTTTTTTCTCCTGCACACTGCTCCACATAACATGATGCCGGTATGGGGTATGTTGTCTTACTCTGACTGACGGCTCAGGGTTAATGCGCCGCTGTACTGTCAATGCAATCGCGATGAACGGGCGCGCACACTCAACACAGTTACAACAACCGGCTTAATTTTTGCTGCAGCTATATATCTGACGGGTGACATGTGATGTTTACTTATTAATCATCTACCGGTAGATTGCAATACATAGGCAATTCTCTAGTGTACATTAGTAACTGGTTTAAAAACAGTGGTTGGGAATCTGATTACCTGGACTAGATTGCAGTATTATATTTGTATGTACAGTATAGCGATGTCTTCTCACTGCTCCACTTTCCAGTGTGTAAATGTTACGGGCCTTACGGCAAATGTGGGCCAACACACGTTAACCTGCCACATGGTGAACTGAAGCGTTAATGCAATACTGCGGAGAAGACAGAGTAATTTTGTGCTGTGGTCTAGATAAGACAGGCAATTCCGTTTTCCCCTGTTTAACACAGTGCCCGTTATGACAACCGTCAATCCATGAAGACTTTTGTGTACTTAAGCGCAGTGCATCGTTTATACTTACTTTTATTGATCTTTGGGGCTTTCTACTCTAGTCGCTCACCCCGGCAGTATGAGCTGGAGCGAGCAACTTCCATCAAACCTGTTTTTCTTACGCACTTTTTAAGAACAGTTGCGATAATACACGATTCTTTTGTATAGCATAGAAAGCAGCAAGATGTAGCGCTGGCTGCCAGGTGTAAAGATTGGATACAAAAACCGCTGTGTAATGTGTAATCAAATAACTGTCGAGTAACCGTAAAAATAGCGTACACACGATGATCGGTATATTGCTATGTTTTTGTCCAGTCATGCTGCGATGAACTTCCAGCGAGTTTATGTCTCTGCTAAAACTGCTACATTACGTTTGCACAAATGGCAGTACCTTGTAACTGCAATAGCAGACCACAAGATAAAAGGTTGCGTTTGACAGTTAATAAGCCTTTTCCTAAAGTTAATCTGAGTTCAGCCATTGTAAGGCCATCAGCCTCTCCGAGCGGACAAATTGATCATAACAAAATTTCGTAGTTATTTATATGAACGGACGGATTACGTGCTCGTGTTGTGTCACAGTTGTTACGATTAGAGTGTGCAGGTTAAAGACTAATATTACCATAATATTGGGTCCGTACACTTGGAGTTCGCGCAGTTACTGCTGCGGTACTAACGCAAAATACAAAGAATAGTGAAATTAGAAAAGTAAGATAAGAAGAAAAGATATGTGCAAATGATAAAATCGTAAGTGCCAGATTTATCAGCAAGGTGTACACTTGTTAAGTAAGATGATTGAGTGAGAAACAGGAAGCCGGTATCTTGATTAAAGGTTTCTACGATCCTTGTTTATGCTGATCGGTTACTGATAGATAACGATGGCTAAGTAATGATAAAATTGTGAGAAAACTCTTATTTACGACAACCTGAAAAGCGCCCGAACACTCTGAACACCAGCAAGGCCGGAACTGCACAAATTGCAGTCTTCGTCCTTCTAATAACTGCTGTCATACGTACAGATTGACAAACGAGCAGACTGGAACCTTACTGAAACTTAAAAAAAACAGGTTTACAGAGGCATTCAAATTAACTATCTACTTCTTCTACCTTTCCTTTATTCTGCTCAAGGAAACGGTGAAAAGCTCAGGTAGAACGCATTTCTTTGCTGGCAGGTGTGTGCTTCTGTAAACATTTCCTGGTTTCAGGAAAGCAGTTTAGTAATTCTATCAAACGAGTATAATGCAGTTCTTTCACGCACCCCAAGCGTTTGGCCCAATCTGATTTTTGCAACCGTCGATCGTAAGAAAATTTCAAATTATCACGAGGTCTACAGTCCTAGTTAAAGAGCAAAGGGCAACGGGCATGCTATTGTATTCTAAATCTGAAGGACTTAATAAAGGGCATACTGTACAAGGGTATGTAAATTTAGAGGATTATGGTACACCTACGGACTGGAAAGGTACGTGGACTATCAAATAGCTGTTAGTATATTTAGCGGTCTTTAGATAAACGAAGCGCCAAGCTCGGATCTTCCTGCTTGTTACTAGCAGCTATATTGAGGACGAGGTATTTATTAAGGTGTCAGTGTTGTCGAACATACCGGTCATGTCAGGCATCGTCTTTATGATGACAACAACACGCGCTATAGAAAAATAACTGGGTGCATGAAGTTAACAGGGTGGCACTACTATTATCCTAAATTTAGCAGCATAATTGTGGTACGTACCGTATAGTTTGCGAAAGTACTGCAAATTATGCGACACCTGAGACTTTTAATGGAGCCTTGATCTTTTAAGGAGGCTTAAGAGGCAGCTTTTATACCGGAATGAATTGTAATTATGCTTAGTCTGGAAGGTATACTGCTATACACAGAAATGCGCTTCACGCTGACGTACCTCGTAACTTTGATGTTATACTTAGTTATACTTTGATGGTGAAACGGCTAAATAACGTATTTCTGGGATATGTAGCAGTGCTCTAGCCTCTCGCTGTTTAATACCGTTATCAAATATTCTGGTTCTCATTGTGAGGTGTTCCTGGATATCTGCTTCAATGCAAACTGCAAAGGCATGTTCGCGTAGTGAACATGCCTTTGCAGTTCATAAAGGTTCAAAAGAGTTGACGAACCATCAAGGTACTTTGGTGAAGCAGTTGCGACAAGATGAGAGAGACATGCGAGGAAACCGAAACGAAGGTTAGGGTGACAGGTGGCGGTGCTGGTATTGGCACTGGGGACAGCATAACGGTTTTCAAAGTATTACGAACCAATTGGGTGATGGTTCACCTGACAAAGCAAGCGCATGTAGTGCCCAAAATAACTTGTAAGGCCATTATACCCAGTACACACGTCAAAGTCAAAGGTGTACTGGTGACCTTTGAAAAGCTAATAATTGCTGATTATCCTTAATTCTGAAGTATAAATTCAATTATACGTCTCCCACGAGCTCTTCAGACCGTTAAAGCAAAAACCGTGGACGTCATCACATAATTGCACAATAACGGAGGTTCCTTATTTCTTTATGTTGCAAAAAGCAGGAAAGCAGACGACCAGTTCATTTCCATTCAGTTCTTTCAGGCGCACCAGCAAAAACAAAGCCTAACGCTACTCTGCGCAAATTCACAGTAAAACAATAATACCTCTCGCTGCACGCCGTAAAGTGTCCTGTTTTTTTAAAGTTAAATGCGATTTTGGTTTAAAAACCAGCCAAACAAACTTGGGTTTTAAGCTTTCTTTAAGTTAAAGGAACTCTCTGGGTTCTTTTAAGATGCAGAACATCCATAACTTTGCACGCATCTACATACTACAAGCGAAAAAAACAATTACAGAGCACTTTACGGTGTGCACTGAGAGGACTTGATGTACGGGTAAGATTCCTCAAGCTCTGGAAGCAGTAACTATTTGCGCACAAAACTTTTGATAGTTCTGTTTTGTGTGCAGTTGTGGGATATTCAGAAACACCTACAAGTAGTTTCTTTTAAATATTCGGTTTCGCCGCTCGCTCTAACCAGACACGAGAAGTTTGACTTTGCTGTCTTTCATGCAGGAAAAGTCAGATGGTTCAAAGAATTTGATCCACTCGATCGAATGAGGACTGATCGCGCTTGTGGTACTCAAATAATTTAACTGTATTCTTTTTGTTCCTCTACATCGTCTGCAGTAATTTCCCTAACGCCCCGGGACGCTACCGGAGAATGATTATTTGTTATGTTCCCAAGCATCTAAGCATAATTCTGCAGCAACTCCCTTGGGAGCTTTCCTCAGAATCAGTTCGATGCGAAATGTCCTCATTAAAGCCAAACAGTCTTCTTTCAGTGCAAAGGTCATGTTTATCAAATAAACAAAAGCAAGCGGCTTTAGGGCTTCTTTAGCCGATGTCATCTTAACGATGCACGTTCTCACATCGTTTGGTGCGCAACGGGGATCACGCAAAGGTATTACATTTTAAAAATAGATCAGGTGCCACGCATTAGCCTGGAACATCTGGTTCAGCTATTGATTACTGCTTGGAGGGTCGTGGCTGCCAGAGTGTAGTCTGTATGCAAAGTCCTTCTGCAGACAAACACGCATCGTGCGTCAGCGAAAGGTCGTCATTGACGAACCCTTGCTGGTTCCTAGAAAGAAATTGAGGATTGGAAGGTCGGCTTGGTGCAATAGCTTCCGAGAGTGTGTCAGCATGTCGACAAACGTTCCCGTACGGGAAGAAACTAGTCTCTTCAATGTCTCTGCGCAGTGTAACCAGCGAGCCGAAAAAACTGTGTTGGGGGAATTCCTAACTATGTGGTCTTCGACTCTGCACAATCCACATTTCCAGTAGTGCAACTTTTTGTAATTTTGATTGATTCCCGATTTACGCCGGTGGCGGTATGGAATAACCCAGAGAGAAACTACCAAATTCGAAAACAACAGCTGCTAGGCAGTGTTAATGATGGTAGTTTCCCCATAAACGCCGTGCTAGTGAATTATGCCGATCAAGGGCTCGGTACGGGTTATTATCAGCGTTTTATGTGTTTCATCATCCAGAAATGTGTAATCGCTGGTAATCAGTTTGCGGAAAGCTGTTTTACAATACTTTCCTTTAGGAGTGGTTATCTTGGTAAAATTTTCAGAGAAAACGAGTAAACAACCACGCTGATCCCTATCGATTTACAAACTGGTTCAATCAAGACTAAAGTTTGCATTTTACAATGTGGGGCGCGTTACAGTTATGTGTCATATGATGAGAATTAAGAGCAGCGGCAAAGTAGCACAGGACTTGAATTCATGGAACCTTGCGAAACTGGTCCGTACACCGAGTTCCAACGCACACACACAACGGCTTGGCATTTCCAGTCGAATATGTTGTTATTTAGTCACACACACACACCACATACCCATACGAGTGGGCTGAGTGCAGCGTCGGATAATTACTAAGCATAATTCCATGAAAACCAGCATGGCTCAGGGGAAAAATCAATAACGACCGCTTGGGGGGTGTATATTTGGTGAGTCCTTGTGCGAGTAGGCTGTGTGATGATCATAGACCGGTAACGATGGTGTGACAACACGAAAGAAAATACACTTGAATGTACGATACATTCTGGCAGGATGTGCAAGGATAGCGTTTTTCAAAAACTGCTGAGTGTCGCTCTTCTAAAACTGTATTGTACGGAAAGTTGTCAGCTAAGCAGCCTTGTTTAGCGTGATATGTCCCAAGAATTATCAATCGACCAAAGATTTTGCTATAGATTGTTTAAACGTCTGTGCCGGTTCATCTACATTTGAAGTTTTCTCCTCTTCTTCGTGATTTAATCCATGTGCGCTGCTAACCGTGCAACTGACTGGAATCCAGTAAGTTTTGTACGATTTTTGGTAAGTGTACTTCACCGGCTTGCACACAGTAATTACGGGCAGTGCCAAAAACTTTCCCAAGTATATCTGTATGTACACAGCATGTGATTGCGGAAGCACTTTAGTCCGGGGTGTTTGCGACTTTGTGTGCATTTTTGGAACGGCAGTGCATACTGTAGGTTACGTAAACTAACACGCGGCTTATCTGCTCACTAAGTCGAGCCAACAGATATTTTCTTCTCTCTTCTTTTTATTTGCCGATGGGTAGCAAACTGTAATGCAAAAGTTGCCGCCGCCGATACACTGCATACAATAATATCAGTACTTACTTTCTTAAAGCTGTTATCGATTAACTGAAAGCGCTGCTCTTCGATCAATATGTTGCTCAACTTTTTTTTACTCACTTTAATACCACGTCAAGCAGCAAAGTTCCCGGCGTGAAGAGCCTTTATGAAGTCCACTTGATGTAAGGTACACGTGTACTACCTATGAGTTGTCTCACTAACTTATGCGAAACGTTCACGGAACGATGTTACTACTATTTAAAATGACAGACTTTACAAGAATCGATAGTATAGATACAGCAACGCTTTTTCTGCGCAGCCGGCGCGATACCATAGGCGCTGCTGTATCATGCAATAAACATTACCAAGTAATAAACTCGGGCGCAAAGTACTTTAGCAATTTATGGCGCTTACCACGATGTTGACTCATCGTGATGATCCCGCAGAACTAGTTTTCGATGCAGTTCCGGGCTATTTTTGCACTTTGATGTACCGTAAATCATAGTTAGGTGTGTTTACTTGCGTTTGCTTAATTCCCATTTCATGTGAGACGTTCTTTCTTATCGCACGGAAGACGGCAAACATGTATGTAAGTGCTTAATGTTGCGCTAATTCAGTTTGATGTTAATCTTATTTAATGAAGTAAACTTAGCTACATGTTTGGACCATTAACGCACATCGTTGTAGGAGTGTAATTCAGAAAAGCGCATTGCATCACAGTTCCCGTTTATATTATTAACATCAGTAAACTGATTTTGCATAATAAATAATGATTATATTTATAACATGTATAAAGCAGATTGCTGATGCTTGATAACTTGATTGCAACCCAGATTGTAAGACCTTGCGAAAACCGGCTATTTGGCATAACGATAAAAGTCGTCCCGTGATTGACTGTAACAGATTTTAATGTCTGATACAATCGAGATCAATTAAACCTAATTGCTATCGATTTTCCGAAAATGAAGGTGTACGAAAAGTAGCACAATCAAACGCTACAATTCTGTGCATAATGAAGGTTATAAGGTGTCTCGTCAAGGTGCACCTATAATCTTTTATACGGCATTAACCAAGCCTGCTTCACACGGTAACCCACATAATTAGCGGGTTATAGACTAACCGCAGGGGTGTGTGCCTCATCCAGAATTAAGGCGTTACCCAGACAGATTCTTAATGGGATTGTTAAGTATGGTAACGACATTATGAATCGCTCTCAGCTCGTGAGAGAATTAGACCAGTCTGCAGGGAACCGACTTCGGCAATAGGCTACTAATAGCATACATCGCTCCCAAGTACCGATTCATCGAGTAGGTTATATACTAAGGTTACAAGCTCATAACCTTCGCGGGTACCTGCACAACTAAACTACAGTGGATGTCCTTTCATCGTGGTACAAAAACGCAGCTTGCAAGCAGATACTTGAGTTCGTTTTAAAGCGAATAAAATGGGAAGGGTGTACCTACCGAAGTTGGTAGTTTGGAAACCGACTTCAATGGTCGCCTTTCACTAGTACCTCAGAACTAACGGTCCAATCAACTTCGTAATCCATAAGGTTAATCAAATTTCCTTGAGTTTGACGACATAAAGCTTTACGTGTATGTTCAGCTGCTTTTTACGTAGAATATGCCGGGTCAAAGCTGCAAAATAGCGTGAAACCGAGAACGAGAGCGGTACTGACGTCAAACCGAGGAATGATCGTGCTCATGTTGTTGATTTAATTTGGGAGAGAGAGAGAGAGCAAGAGAGGGTGGGAGAGAGGGAGTCATGGACCGCTCCCGACTATATTGCTCACTAAAATACTGTCATCGCATCCCGTTTGGCGCGCGCGTCAGACACGCTGCCTTTTTTACGCGACCTTTTACCGGAATAGGGTGGTCTTCCGCTGCTTGCAGCTGCAGTTATTCCGGCTATTCCCGTTCACAGTGACACAGTGTATTCTACTTTTCAAGTTGATACAACTTTCCGGAACTTGTCAAACAACATCGTCATGCGATAAATGTAACAGCAAAACGCATACGTTGACATGGCGTTTTTCTGATTGATACAAATCCATACACGGAAGGCGGAAAATGTTGCTGAGGTGTTGGTTTTATGAGTGTTATTGCCATGGCTTCTCAACAGCAATCGTGCTACAGCATGCTTTAGCTCGTGTGTTTTGAGTTGCCGTCAAGACGTACCAATTACACATATCGAGAGCGTCCACATGGTCAACACTCAGCAGTATGTTTGTCTTGTATGAACTTTTTCTACATGCATTGCCTGCTAATAACCGCGATTGCGAAACTACCGTTGTAACTTTGCGATTTCCATAATTATTTTAATTCTAGAGTGTATTCACTTCTAATGCTAGAGTTGTATTACTTCGTTCTCGTGCATAACTATTTCGTGCTATGGTTCCGCCTGTCTGATTCTCAAGAATGGCTTTGTCATACTGATCTGGGAGCGGATTAACGGTTGGTTGACTGTTTGTGTTTGAGTAGCAGAGTATGGCGAATTGTATGATGAATACGCTGATTTACTAGAAACATTCCGGCATATTCATCGTTATTACATAAAAATATTATTTCACAATCAGCACTGCACTGTTACATCCTTCTGATCAACCATATCCTTTGAGCTATTTGTTTGCTTGTCAAATCGCTTATCTCAAGTTTTCTGATACTTGTGTTTGTCACCTTTGCCGCTTCTTATCAGGCGCCTCTTCAGCTTGCGAAATGCAAATACCATAATTTTTATCAGTGTTAAACTGAAGCTCTTTACTCTTACGATTAGTAAAGGTACATCCACCAAACATGTGGTGCGTCCTACCAACTTCAAGGTGAAACTGTGTATAATTTGCAGATACATATTCTGACTGATTCATCTGCGCCGGTATGCTAGCCGGAATGCAGCCGTCCGGTGAGCGCTATCTCTCTCCTCCCGTCAGTCCCCGTAAATCTGTGATAGTGCACACCAATTCAGCATTCAAACCCACACCGCTTCCCATCCCCAAAGTGCCCGAGACACCATGCGTGCCTCTCAGCTACCCTACGGCGGAGGTGCGCCACCCCACCTTGGCGGGGCTCCTGCGCAACAGCCACCAGCCGCTCGCCCCGCCAACATCCTCCCCCAAAACCCAATCCCATTCGCCCAAGCAAGACATGGGCCATCCTCTCCACAAGCACTACTCAGCGCACCCCGTTCCGGAAATCGTAACACCGGCGGTGCCGATTGCTGAGTATGTTCCACTGACCGGTCAGAAGAAGACCGCATCGACGTACACGCCCCGACCACGCGCCACAACCACGGTCGCGTCTCTAATCCAGTTGCACTTCCCGTCGTCGTCGCCGCCGCAGAGGCGTGACAGCGGCACCGCGGGTGCGTTAATGGAGACCGTCATTCGGGCCAGTTTGGATGAGGAACGCGAGAGGAATAACTACAATCTGCTACGAGCGGCACGGTCCCCTGACGTCGTGAGCACCAGTACGGAAAAGTGTCCACAACTGCACGCGCTCCTATCGGATAACTCGGTACCTGTGCGGAATGCACCGGTATCCAGAAACTTCGGGCAGCCTTCTGCGGTAGCCCAGCGACAGCCAACGACAACGGTGTCTTCCATCATTCAGTCCACCCGGCTCCCCGTAGAAAAACCGAAGCGAACCGAACGGTCAAATCGGACCGTGGCGGAACTGATCTTGCAGGCTCAATATAACGAACAAAGAAGTAACGAGCAGATGGAATTGCTCAAAAAGGTGAATCCCGTCACGGTTGCCTCGAATTACAGCACTGCTCCATTGAAGAAGCGGATCAGTGAACGAGCGCGCACTCCAGAAGCGTTTTTCGTTGAAAGAGTGAGAACTCCCGAAGTGTCCTCTGTGGAAAGAGTGCGAACTTCTTCCATGTCGTTTACTGAGAACCCCCGAATCCCTGACGTGTGTCTTGGTGAAATAGCCCGCATTTCTGAAGTGTCGTTTACTGATAGAACACGTTCACCTGAAGTGACCTTTGTCGAACCACAGCATTATAGCCAAGAAATCTTCACTTCCAGAGAAGATCGTAGATTCAACACCGATTACAAAGCCCACAGACTACAAGCGCAACTGGATAGAATCGCAGAGCGACGGACCGAACACGTCGAACCGAGCTGGGGTTCGTCGCGGATGGACGCTCTACAGTTTGGAGAGCCTGCACCGATCCGCAGCGTGTCACCGATCAGTGTAAAGCCTGTTTCTCCAGTTAGTGTAAAGCCTCCGACGGTACCTGACTGGAAGAAAACTTACGCACGTTCACTAATGGAGCTGCAGACAGAACCAGAGGTGCCATCTACACAGCGTTTTGACTACGTTGCGACTAGTGTCCAATCACCGGAACCTGAAACGGATAAAAGCTTCCAATCATCAAAAACCGAAGCGGTGAAAAGCATCCAACCACCCGAACCCAAACCGGTGACACCAATGCGTACTCAGTCACCCCAAATCGAAACTGTGGACACTATTGACAAGAAATCGCCTGATGCAACTGAAGTTGTGCCACGCAATGCGGAAGTTTTACCGGTTTCTGGAGAACCGAATACAGACAATGCTATTACACCAGAACTTAAGGCAACAGAACCTCTTGCTACAATATTACCGGAATTGACTTCTGAAACTCTGAAAAATACGACAGATGCCTTACCTGAAACGTCCAATGATATCTCTGTGCCAGAAACAGTTGTGTTCACGGAAAATCCCATGCAGCAAAACGCTTTTGACACCGAGATCCGCGCGATGACGTCTATTGAAAATTTACCTGAAATTGTGGCGATCACTAATGCTGCGTCACATGAAGACCAGGATGCAGCCAACACTGCGTCCACGTCAGAGATGTCGCCTATTGTGACGTCAGACATTGACATTGCGCAGCCAATCATAGAGCCGATTTCTGACGACGAAGTTTTTAACGTACAGCCGATAAAAGAGCCACAATCCTTATCCTCTCAACGACATGTGCCTGCCTCGTCAAACGTTATCACGGAAACTGTACCGGCTGTGCCAGTTTCTCTAGCTGCACCCGCGGCACCCAAAGTCAAGGAGACAATGCCCACTTTGTCATCGGACGGTTGGGGACAGGCCCTGATCATGGACGACGTTCCGCTGGATCTGTATTCCATCGTCAAACGCCGTCATGCCTCTTCGTCCAGCTCCATCATCCAGAGTATGATTGATGAGAACATCGAACAGCAGATCGGGCTGGGCAAGGGTAAGACACTGAGAACACCTGCACGCCACGCACACGCACGCACGAAGACGACACGGCGACACCGCCGTACTATACGTAAGGGTGAGCCCCATGTTCGGCATGAATGGTGTACACCCGTCTTAATAACACTAACCCTCCAGTAACAATCTAACCCCCACCCCATTCGTGTGCACGTTTTCACTAACCTTCGTGTCGCCCGTGCATGCTTACACTAACGTCTTATGTGATTAGGTATCTGTAACTAGCTGTGTATTTATCGTACCTTTAGGTCACAACTCGTCTGTAACACATACGGAGTTTAAGAAGAAAACGAAGAAAAGACGTGCGACAAAAGCGTACAGTACTACGCCATCGGATGCGGAATTTTCTGAAAACGATGAAAACAGTGCGGACATTTCTGACGATGACACGGACAGTGTGGAAATCCCTCTTCCCTCGAGGAAAACGGACGACGAGAAACCCGCTGACCCACAGACAGTTCGAACTGCAACGCCAGTTTTACAGCGGGAGATTCAGCCGTTGTCATCATCCCGTACAAACTGCACGATTGACCGAATCTCGGTTATTGCCGATCGGTGCTGTATGAACGTGTTGCCTGATTCCGCTGCGGAACCAGTTTTGCTGGATACCAGCGTATCACCATCGTATCGTGTAAGGTCACTCAAAGAACTCTGCTCTACCGAACTCAATAAGAAAGAAAAGAAACCGGCCTTCACGACGGTCCATCCCGGCAATCCATTGTCGCCTGTAGTATGGAACGCCCCTCGCGAGCGCCGTATTAACATAAAAAAGAAACGCAAGCGCGCTCGCAGCCATATCACATTTAAGCGTCCAAAGAAAAAACAACCCGGTACTCCGCTGATTCAAAGCCGGAAACCGTTTTCCACGCACTGCCCGTATTCGGGTCTGCCGACCATTTCACCGTTTCTGCCGCCAGCGGCCGCTCAATATGTCCAGCGCGCCCTGGAGCAAGAGCTCAGCCAGCGCAAGAGCCCCGCGCAGAGTCGCAACGCGTCCCGCGCGACGTCGGTTATTAATGCCGAACGACCGGAGATCCGTCGGCGCTCGCATACGCCGGTTCGCGCCACACCGAAACCGCTGAAAATGGTGATCGGCCGGTCGCGGTCCCTGCGCAGCTCTAACTCCGTCTCGGAAATGGAGATGCCGGAGGCGCTGCCTGAGTTCGACAGTGCGCGCTGGATGTCTTCCAAATCCCAGTGTATGAGTTTCGGGATGCCGTTGCCGGCGAACATCGGGCACATCTTCACCCCCGAATTCGTGGGGAGCGCGGTAAAAACGGAAGCCGATAACTACGATGATATTATGGAACTGGCAGTCGATGCGGAAGCGCTGAATGGAAGCGCCTTGTTCTTGGTTGCCATGGAAGATGGCTCGTTTGGTATTGTGTCCATACCGGAAACTTCGGATGATAGTGTAACGGATAGCGGCGATACGATAAGCGATATCGATATCAACGATATACCACCGTTAAGAATTACAGATGATAAGAATGTATCCAGTTGTCAGCTGGGCAATCACAAGGTGAGTCGAAAGTTGGTACTGCTTAGAACTCCAGATTAAACAGATTAAAAAAGCCTATTGTTCGTCGAATGTTTACTGTCTGGCTAATTGTTTGGTGATGTTGCACAATCGTATGATGTCGGTCAAATTTATGTTGCTAATTTATTACAGGAAGCGACATTTACCGACGATGCAGGAACGTATCAGCATAAACTGCTGGACCGCTTCCGCAAATCAGGTAATTCGAAATACGCACCATACGCTTTCGCTCTGTATGAAACCGTTTCCTCGTTTCAGCTAAATCAGACAAATTCGCTGAAGGAATACGGAAACGGTCACAATCTCGGTCTCCTGACTATGAAATTGTGCCATCAGGTAGTTCATTTGTGAGCGCAGAATGTTCAGCATTTTACGCAATTCCTGTTTATTTTAGAAAACGACACTCAAAAAATTACAATTAAAATCAAACAACACACCCCGTCAAACAGACGTGCAAAGCGTCGCAAACCAACGGGTTGGGATCATGAGCGGCCGAAGAAACGCAAGGTGCGCGACAGCTTCTGGTCACCCGAACCCGATACGCTGTTTGGCCGACGTCAGTCGGCCATCTTTCGCGATCCGTATGAATTCCCGGACAGTCCGCAATCGGTTGACAAAAGCGACACTGGCCTGACCGTTGGAATGCATTCGCTCTTTGGCAGTAGTAGTCGACACCATCGAGAATCTCTTGATGAAATCCACACGGAAGCGCTGTATACGGACGCCAAGTATCCCGCCACGGAGAAAATCAGCATTGGCGAATACCCTAATGCAACTGATATCATGGAGGTATGTGTAACGGCTGTTGAGCAGTCTTACAGTTATTGTATAAGCTAAGCGACTATGCACACTATGTGGCATTGGTCATCGTTTCTAATTACCGTTTCGATCGGAATTTCTAGTCATTATAATTTATTACGAATATCTAAAATTAGATTTTTGGTTAAATTTCTATTATTGCGTTGAATGCGCTCTGTCACAAGTTTACCGATCGCACAGGGCAGGGCGTAACCTAATGGCAAATTCTTCTTCAGTAGCGCAGTGAACGAAAAAACTGATTAGAATCGTTGGTTGTTGCACTGCAAAGGTCGCAATCCAGCGTTTGTTAGATGGTTAACTGATCTACTGTATAATTACGAGTACTAACTGAACACTAGTACATCGGCCTTGTTATTGCTCTTATCAAAAATCACATTTTTGCTGTAGATGGTATAAGCTAAGAAAGCACCAAAGAACGAACGTTTTTTCCTTTGTTGCGCTCGATCTGCTTGTATCGGTATGCTGTACATATACATTGCTCCTACACGCCACGCGAGAACTCCAAAGGTGGGCTCGGAATTTACTTCATTTGGGCAGTTATGCCGATCATGGCCGGAAACTGCCCAAGCCATCACAAGACAACAAAAACAGAAAAATTTTTACGCAGCAAGTGACATGTTAGCCTTTAACATTTCCCAATTTATACCAATTCACACACATACACACACAACTGCAACAGAGAGACCACTAGAAAAGGGACGTGTCGTGTGTCGCAATACCCGAATTCCTGCGTCCCTCTGAATCCACTCCATAAGACAGTTAACATAAGTGACTAGTTTATTAAGCCTTTTTTGACCTTTTTTTCCTCTGATGTTTTGCCTGATTAAATACCTGGCCTATATTGTTGCGCTGCTTTACAGACGACCTTATCCAGCGCTGACACATCTAGCGCCAGCGCGCTTCTCCCCTCCTCCCCCACGGAATCCGCTACAAAATCCTCCATCTCCGATGACGAAGAGGATGAGGAAGCTGGTAAACTGGAGATCGCAGTCGAATCCATCGATGATGCCGCCCACAAAGTGTCGATATCGCTGGACGGTGGACGACCCGCCGACACCGCTGAGGGGCCGACGGACGACACGCACGACACCACGATCGATCAGCCCCTGGCCGTTGCCCCGGCCTACGAGTTCAACCGGTACGAAACCGTTCTCTTGGGCGCCGAAATTGATATGCAGAGCGAGACGAGCTCCATCATGGATACCTCGGTCGATCTAGAAAGCGCCGAACCGGTTTTAATATCGATTCCGGAGGCCGGTGAAACTGCATTGGAGACCGATACGGAAATTAATGCTCTGCTGGGGAGCATAACGGAAAAACCATCGGATAGCATGAAAGATGAACCCGTGGTCAAGGCACCGGTGGTGGAAGTTGAACCGGAAAGCGATAACCGCGTTCCCATCGCTGAGAATCTGAACGCCGACACGGCGGGGAGTTCGGATATATCATTACAGTTTTCATCGACACTTTTACAGTTGTTAGATGCTAATGACGCCACGCAGCCGCACGTGCCCGAAGAAGCAACTGAAGTGGTTAATAAAAATGAAGAAAATCCAGCCATTTCGGCTGAATTGCAAGCCAAGCGGAAATTCGTATCGAGATTCGGACCGCCGTTGAAATCCAGCGAAAAGCCGCTACCAGCGGTCGCTTATGACAGTTCCACAGAGTCGATAACGGAGCACATTAAGACGCTGTCTGCACCCCGCCCACCGTTGCTACCCACTCCTACCACACCACCCATCACTGCTGAAATTACCGACAAGATTTTCAAGCACCACGAACCACCCTACAAACGTCTGGAAAACTTTCGGCGGATGGAGAAAGACGTATCGGAGAACGCTCGACCCATGTTCTACAACAAGCATAATCGCTCAATGTCGCCGTTCGCGCATCCGCGTCAGGACAGGAAACGCATTCAACGTCTGCGCTACGACCCGATTCGGCGCCAGGACCGGCGTAATCCTCTGCCGCGGAATAAGGGTAATTCCAACCACACACACTTCCGCACTACTAACACACGCTCTGACCCCGCCGAATTGCAGTGTCCCCAGCGCACGGATATGCAGCGCAGCAGCAGGCTTCCTCGTAAACGGACCAAACCGCTCTGTTACGCTGATGCAGTGTACGCTCCCGATACTATGTCTTTCGCATCCACCTTAGCCGTACCGCTGATTAACCAGGAGACAGCGACCCGCGCCCACTGTGTGCAGCAGGTGCGCCACTACGTTACCGACGCCGTGTGTCTGCAGGAAGCCGTGACGGTTGCCACGCCGCCGCCGCCCGCCTGGCTGCAGAATGTCGGTCGTGCGGTCAGTGTCACCATGGGTGACATTATGTCGCAACCCATCCTACATGAATCCTATGAGAAACTGCAAGTGACGCCGTATGGGAATCTGATTGTTGAAAGTATTAAGTGTGCGGGGGATGATGCGGGCTTTACCGGCTTTGCTGTACAGTTCCAAGGGTTCCCCTCTGTGGTGGCGCTGCCCGCCGAGACGATGGAGACCTACTTTATCAAGGACCTCATGCAGTACTACGCCACGAGCACGAATATTGTACCAGAAGATGGACAATCCTAAGGTCATAATTTATTTCACCTTAACTGCAGCGCAACCGCTGCATCACAGCGTTTTGTTCTTAATTTTCTGCTTATTTTTCTATGTGACCAATAAACTTTTGAATCAATACTCGGATAAGTTCAAGTAGTACACGTGCCCCACTTTGCAGGTGTAAAAAATTTGATACAGTACGAATGCGGGAGAAAATTACATAAATATTCCAACGATTTGCAGACTTCGTTTTCAGTCATACAGCCTCACTCCAGCTTCAATGTTAGTCGTACAGCTGCACGCGAACAATCTTACAGTCATTTGCTGCCACGGCGCGTTAAACAGCATCATTTGTCGGGGTTGTTGTGCGGTCAAAAAATATCTGACCCTGACAGGAACATGTGCCTTCATGCAGTTCTGCCGCTTTTCAGTTCACTAGAATCAATTGCATTTAACATCGGCTGAGATTGTTCCATAACCATGAGACATCCAAGAACTGGAATACCGATCAGCTAATACAGCTGTAAAACACCAGAAAGAAAAGTGAACATTTAAAAAGAGACAACATTCCCGAATGAGTTATCACAAGTGTCTCATACCCGTACGTATGCATATTGAAGAATACAAACATGGACATCTGAATATTTGGCGGAGATGGGGCAGTCTGACTGCTACGTAGCGGTTTCTGATAAAAATCTATAGAAACCAACAAACAAGAAATGTTGCAATTGTTAGCATATTAGATATTTCGTATTTCCTCTTACCGCATTCGGTCATAAACATCGAGGAACATTTTCGTGTCTGCTGGTGCTTATTTTCGATAGTAATTTCACGGGTGCATGCGCATATAACTTTTGCGTGGAGCAGGATTGCGCCCCGCACTTTACCTCCCGAGTTCGAGTGCAGTAAATTAGGCGTCTTTTCAAAGAGCGGGCAAAAGGAGATAGACAAAGGTCACCAGAGCGTATCATTATTCATGACAAGTTGGTCAAAGGACTAAAGTCTGGTACTCTGAAGTCTGAGCAATCCGGTCTGTAAAGAAAAGCTGCGAAGCCTGTATGTACTTCTGATGTCTTTATGAAAGTTTGGCGCACGGAGCGGTTTCATTCTGAAAGAAATCACACGATGACTCACAGCCTGTTGTTTCTAAATATCCGGTAGGTAGTCTTCCCTTTTCTTTCTGATGGTTCACAGCTGTGTTAGCTGATCTGCATCGTGGAGGTTCTCATCGAACAATCTCAGTCGCTGTTAACCGCAATTCATTCTATGTAATCATGGATTGAAGAGCGGCACAATGTACAGCTTTAAAAGATATGGTACGCACCCTGTGCAGACAAACCAAACAAAAAGTTACGAAACCTTGAATTTCTGCAAGCGATGCCGTCAAGAATCTAAAAGGCAGAATCAGAGAGCGATCTACATGTGGCACAAAAAAAGTATCATTTGTATTTGCCGGTTTGAACACATAAAGTTTACAGTTTTCCGTAGAAGTATAAGGAGCGTCGCATACTCGCACAGCACTTTGTATTAATTTTGTTAGCTGTTAGAAGATCTTTGGTAATGTACAGGCAAGTATGTTGTGTGATTATTACAGGCTGCGATGCTGTTGTTGGTGTGTGCCATGTGATTAGTGGTCCGCAGTCGGCCGGTGCACGATTTATGAAGTACTCGAACTGAAGTTTGGTCTAGTAAGACAAAACCAGTATACGTATGACTAGCCTGCTAAAAAAGGCGTTTTGATGGCACGCATGACGTACAGATACAGCAACAAAATCTGAAACAGTGTATTCTATGACTGCTGGTAATAAAAAAACGTTATTATTGCCTACTTGCGCGTTATACCGTATAACGAAACTGAATTTACCATTTTGTAACAGCTCAAGGAAATGTAAAATAGACTCATATCAATATCAATAACATTACTCGAGTAGTATATTCTCACAATTACAGGAAAGTTTTGGTGCGGATCGGAATGACCTGACAGCCTCCAGCACCGCAGTAGTTTCCCTGTTTGAAAAACGCCACTCTGGACGATCGCTGCAAATTTTTAGTCTCACCAACCATGTACGTGACACCTTAACACATTTGTCATTCCCCGCGTTAACGGTCCTCAAAGAACGCCTTTATGGATGCATAAACTTTGTGTCCTTCCGTCCTTGGAAGAAATTTTGTGTCTCACTAAGAACTAGCAGTCAAGAATGAACCCAATTCGGGAAAGGATTTCTAAAACATCAGGAACGTCAAGGGCAAGAATCACGTCTTATTCCACTCAAATCCCTACAAATGCATGAGCCACGAGTTGCTGTTCAGAACAGCAGCCTGTTCTGAAGGCCAGTAGCGTAACCAGTGCGAGCACGGCGTCAGCATGTGAAATGAAAGCAATTGCGAAGGTCACACTGAAAAGCCTGCGATTTCGGCGACATCAATTAGTATGTTTCCTATAGTAAATCAAGGACCCACAGATACTATACAACTTTCGTGAATTATTGAAAATTATAGCTAAGAGTCTAGGACTACAAAGTGTTGATGTGTCCGCTGGGCTTCGAAACGTTTGGGGCCTTAGGAAGTTGAGACTGGAAACAATTCGTCTGATAACATTCCCGCCAGAAAGAAGATGCTATACTATACTTACATTACACCCGGCTACACTTTCGTATAATGGAAAGGATTGTACTCGTATTTGTAATTCGTGTACTCAGTGATATAGCGTATTGTGCTTTGATATCTGTGGCCTTGAACCTTTAATAAGTATCATGATACGAGTACAAACTATGTACCAAAACGAAAAAGCATTTATAACAGAAACACTTCTATGCTATCTTGATCGGGGATCGTACATTTCACAGTTGTATTTGCTGCTTAAAAATCGTCCAGTAAGTCGCAATAGTTTCCAACATCCACTATTAGTTCCGTATATCCGTACATGGCTGCACCAACGAAATCGTACCTTGGCTGCACATGCTTCGCTACAGTTGCCGCGCCGACATTATATTCACGGAAGTGCGGTCGATATGAGGCCGCCAGCGTGTCCACAGGTAACATCCACCGCCAACGGTTTTCCGCGCTTCCACAGAATAAGGTGATCATCCGGCCTTTTATCTTTCACGGATAGACCTTTTGGTTCCATTCGAAGGGAAACCGGCTGACTTCAAGCGAGAATTCGCTGTTTGTCATGTCGTAGTCTTCCGGCAGACCGCTTTGATATCTTACTTTACAGATACTTTTATGATACAGTACACGCGGATTCCAAACGAACGAACCATCATCGAATGTAAGAAAATGCTCAGGAGCACCCTACATGAAACAACTTGTAATAGCTGTTACAAGAAACAGCTTCGGCTGCGCCTCCGCGTTTCTTGTGATCCACGGCCGCTTTGATTCAAATAATACCATTTAATTCGTTAGTAAAATCACTGACTGCCTTAGCAGTTATTGTAAAACTTTAGTAGGCAGGGAGTTTCGCTCGGTCACCCACTTACCTATCAATTTCTTCGCTGGACAGTGGTGGCAGCTCGGTCACTCACTCGCCTAGCAGTTTTGTTCACTGGACAGTGGTGGTAGCTCGGCCACTCACTCACCTAGCGACTTTGTTCTCCTAGGGATTTATAGCTCGGTCATCACTCACCTACTCTAGCGATTTTGTTTTGTTCACTGGACAGTGGTGGTAGCTAGGTCACTTACTCAACATGCAATTTTGGTCACTGGATTTTGTTCCCTTCGAAACCTGGGCTAATTCAAACATGGTTCGGAAATCAGAGTTTTCGTTTTAGGCATTTGAACATTGCAGTTTGATTTACAGCAATCCGGCTATTAAAATTCAGCATGTTTGAAAATGAAATAATTACAAATTTATTATAGTACATACTTTATACTTTGATAAATGTTATATTCAACAGGCACGGCTGTTATTCTCAAGGTCACCTTGAAAGCTTTACTGAAGCCAGTTTTGCCGGAACCGGCATCGGTGGAACGGGTTTAAATAATTTTTTAAGAAATAAAACGCATGTGACACAGTTTCTCAACAGGCTAAATCTAATGGCATTTACAGTTTTTTTTGTATGTTCGGGATCTCGATGTCTCAGCTTTTGTTGTAGTTATATTATAAATCTTGTTCCTTGATAGAACAAGAGTATTTATCAATAAATGTTGTTTTTACTCGGCAATACATTCTTGTCAATTATGCGTAAAAATTAACACTAACATTTGGTATAGATGTACGGCGTTTGGCAGTATCCGGCACAGTAAGTTCTAAAGTTAGAAGGCCACATTCATCCATAAGCCACGATGCCTGGCAGAATCTACACGAGAACAGCCAGAAGGCAATACAAGTAACGGTAATTGTAAGGAAATACGAAATCCATTCGTGTGTACCTACCTGCACTGCTGATAATAAAGCTGATATTAACGGAATAACAAATCCGAAATTCTGCTACCGTGCGTGCGGCAGTAAATGGATGCCCACAAACTGCGGGCTTTTTGCGGTCGCATTCGAGGCGGAAATTATTAGACAATCTTCAAGATGCTAAATTTAATGTTCAAATAATAAGGCCGGATCTTAGTTTAACGATGCTTTAAAGTTTAAGTGTCAATAAGCTTTGCTTGATTTGTTTCCCTCCATGCGGCGGGACACCGAGGCACCGCACATTTTCGCCGAGAACAATTACAGATAGTCGCAGACTCACCGGACATTTAGACGCAATTTTTGGCCGCAAGGTCATCTCGCCGCGCTGCGCCGGCTGCGGTTGGTCAATGGACATTTCGCTTACCAGACAAAAAATTCATCTGACTTGCCAAAGCACTGCAGAGAACGAATATACTCGTATTATAGCTAAGAAATTAAAAGAAACAAAAGAAAACCTAAGAAAATTTAAGAAAACCTTAGAAAAAACCCTGGGAAAACTGAGCGCGTTGAATTGTTTTGCGGGGAATTGTCGCATGCTTTGAGAATCTCAAGAGGAACTGTCCACGATCGGACGTCTTGCTACGTGATGTCTCATAGCGATATATCCTCAAAACGAAGTGTCCCAGCGTCCGATTGTCCAGCGACGAAAAAACGAGCAGAGAAACTGAGTGCGGCAAAATGCCGCATCGGAAAACGTACTTACTGGCCAGTACGTTTTTCGATTCCGTGTCCGAGCCGACGGTGGCAGAAATTGAAAAAGAGCCGTTTGTCATTTACCACATGTCAGAACAGTAAGTGCAAACTACCAGGCATTCCGATTAAGTTACTAATAATTTGCGTGCGCTAGATTGTGAATAAAAATTTGCCGTTGATATTATTGCGAGTTTCGTGCGGATTCGCCTTAGCCTAAATCGAATGTGACAAAAGAGTGTGGAGATGTGGATAAACTGGAAGCCATTAGTTCGGGGTGTAACTCTGACATACAAATTCACTCAAACTTACATCGCCGGGTCACGGCAGTCCAGACGCAAAGGGCGTAATGTGGAGGTTTTGCGCCAGAGCATTAAGCAGTGTCGAGATACCACAAGGAAATGCGGTTAAGTTGCTGTACTAGCCTTCTAGGAACATTTATTGATATGCGGGTGACACGTGGATGTTGCCTTACGATGCAGAGGATAAACGGGAAGGATGTTTTGTGTTTTGTTGAAAATCACCAGGAAGCTGACTGGTGAGGAACAGTTTCTAAATAAAACCAACAAAGGTCGAATTTTAGAAAAAGCTCATGAAGTACAGTGCATCTTCCAGCAAAAGCTGTGACAATTACTCGCGTCTGCGATGCTTCGGCGACAGGATGCGAAACACCAGGAAAATGTTCTTAAAAAACCTCCTTGCACAATTTTACTGTTCCATATAATATCGAAATTTAACTAACGCTAGCTTCTATTTTTTCAACTTTAAATAAATACATTTTATTTTTTATTAACTTCTATTTGCATATTGAATTATTAGTTATCGTTTTGAATTCCTGCTCTAGTACGAGTACACGTCGTACAGATCAGAAGGTTAAATGGCCTCTTTTTGAATTTTTCAAATAGGAAACATCTTTTTGATTCCGGGTCTTCGCAGTGATTATTATGGGTCTGACTGGAAATGGAATAACAATCATAATCATAATTATTATGATTCGGAATATCGACTACGTACTGTACCGGCGGGCGGTACGTGTTAATTTTGAAATAAAATTTCATGCCGGTACAAATTGCTTTGCAAGTTACAGTTTTAAAGCAACATTTTTTATGGACAAGGCGCCCTCCAACGGGCGACTCCTTCCTGGGTATTTTTATCGTATTGCGTGCTCAAGCGTGTTCTTGGTTTCCTCGTTTCCTTTCCTTCGTCTACCGACTCTACCCGACTCTACCGTCTCTTTTTGTGAGTTTTTTTCTCATCCTGCATCCATGAATGGATTCCAGATATTCCACCATATTGTCATTTCTGTTTTATAAATCCGAATTTCAGATTTAAGTACGAGGTCCTTGATTAATCATTCATTTGATTCAAGGCAAATTTAAACGCGGCTGTCTTTCACAGCTATACGGACACCAACTCATCGAAACCTGACGGGTTGCTTGCTGGCAGAAATGGCATCACGAGGAGGAGGCATGCAAAGGAATCCGCGTTCCTCGGGGAATCGCCATCGGAAGCGCAGCCGCGCTCCCCCCGCACAGGCTGTCATCAGTGCGGAACCTGCGGACATCGAGATCGAGACACCCCCGAAAACCCCGGGAAAAGTGGAAGGGTTCGTTGTGCCAAACATGGAGAACATGACGCAGTCTGAGAAATTTGCCTTACTCAAACGGTTGAAAGAGCAGAAAAGGTAAGTAAATTTCCAGCTGTCGTGAGTTTCGCAAAATTTCTTTCATCTGCAATCCTGCATATTGCCGTTTATGATTTATTATAAAAAATAAAAAAATTAATGATTGTGGTAAATTATTGATTTTGCTAATATTTATCAATTTATGCAACTCATGTTTATCAATAAAATTTGTTGTTGATGTGATATTGAAAGGTACTTGTTCTTGTAACTTGGTTACTTGGTTGGTAACTTGGTATTAATTTTATCGTTATAAATTTTTAGGTTTCCTTAGGGTCGTAAATTCTTAAATTATTAAATGTTTGACTGGTTTTTAACTTACGAGTATATAGCCTGTTCCAGTATATCCCAGAAAATCATTTATGAATACGGAATTCTGATTCTTTCCTCTGACCATGAGCGTAGTTGCTATAAATACAGTAATATTCAGGAAATGACGTTTTATACTGTTTTCACTGTGGATGTTTACACTTGCAATCAGTCTGTAGTTGTACATGGCGAAGCAAAAACCGGTTCGAAAGAAATGGATTTAAATCTTAATAGCTGACGCTAGCCAGGCATACTTCTAGCGATGTGATGTGTGATGGGTGAACCAAAATGAACTTCCACAGACCACAGTATCTCCTGTTTTGGGTGTTTCTTCCATAGTAAGTATTGTTTTAATTTTTTTAGGTAAGGGGTGTACAAGTACAAGTGTCGATTTAGGTGTGTTGAATTTTTTTACATTTGCTTCTATGTTTGTCTATTTATACTTCAACCATAACAAGCCATTACTTTGTTTTATTCGAGCCTCAGAATTTATTTAATTCCACGAGCATTTATTTTGGTTGGAATATAAATTGCCAGCCAACAGGCAGTGCGGCGCTTTGGTTAGGAACATTTCAAGTTGTATTAATTCATTCGTAAACGGAATTCATTAGATATCTGTCGTTCGATTTCCTTGAAGTTTTTACTTGCGGCCGTTAGCGCCCTTCTTTCCCGCCGCCGCCCTCTTGGGAGCAACAGGTTGAGCGGCGAGGATTTGGGGGGCTCCAACTCCGGGGGGAACGTAGTCAGCAGGGGGCGTGTCGAAGAGGGGCTGGTCAGTGTACAGGCGGGAGTTGGCAAAGTTCTCATAGGCAGAGAATCTGCAGAAAATAATTAATGTCAGTTCTAGCGCTAATATTCAGAAATCCAGATTATTAAGTAATAGTTAGTAAATGGGATAACTGCTAATAATCTGGAATAAAAGAATGCGAAAAAAAGGAGCTTACCGTTGGCAGTCGACGTTGAAGAAGTAGTCGCAGATGAGGGTGACCTGGTTGAAGACGGTGCTGTTGACGCAGAGGTAACTGGTCTGGTTGCCGTTGATGTCGCAGCGGTGGAAGACTTGGCACTGGGCCTCCGTGTCGGCGTAGAATCCCGGCTGCTTCTTGCTCTGACAGCTGAATCCCGTCTGCGGGATGGTGTTGTAGTTGGGGTACTGGTTGGCGTCCCGGTTGGCCAGGATGGCCTGCACTTCCGCCGCGTTCAGCGCCGGCTTCAACAGGTCCCACACGAACTGCTGCTGCGCAGCCACACACGCGACCAGGCACACGAAGGCGACGGCTTTCATCATTTTTACGGGTTATTTGGGCTTAAGTTAATTTGAAAAAAATTTTTAAAAGCCGAAGCAAAGTGCACTACAAAATTAGGCTGGGCGAAGTTTCTTTTTATACTTCGTTTATGCAAGCAGACAGTGGGCTTCAAGCAGAGATTGCATAACGCTTAATTATAACAGACAATCGGTTTTTACACGATGGTTGGGCGTGATCAAGTATTTTTGAAAAGTATGGGTTAGTATGCGACCTGCACCTGGACCGGCATAATGCGGTTTGCCCGCGGGATCGGAAGGTGTTTCAATGACTAAGATTTGAGAATATTGGCACAGTGAACTGATTCTCCACTTGACGGCAGTGGAATTCAATTAGCGTTTTGCCCAGATGGCCTGATTTTGTTTTCTGCAAATAGGTAACAGGAATGCACGCACCGACGTCGGTGGTGTTACGTAACCTGCAGAATTTTATTATGCCGGTTCATGGTTTCCTCATAGCTTAATAATTATTGATTTGCTGACTTGCTTATTGCCAGTTTTTCCAGTAAATCACGAACACCTGTCGAACGTTTCTTGTGCATATTTTTGTCATTTGCTGCTGGAGGAGGGCTCCTCCTTAGAGAAGTGTCTAATTAATGGTACGCTTCTAAATACAGTGTCTCCGGGAATATTAATTTTAATTTTTATACAGTAGTCAAGAAACTTGAACGCGAAGAACACCGGTCGGCGAATAGTGTTTGATGTTTAATTTGTATTTTTATTCACATGAGTGTGAACAGTTTATTGAATTTACAAAATTATAGAAACTGGAGTTTTGAATCGGTACACTTTTATCAGTTTATGTGTTATGTGTCACTTAAATAATATCCACACATTAGAACTTGTGATAAAATAAAACTAAATTGGCAGTTATAACATCAGATTTATAGAAATTTACAAGTACTTTTGTGTTCGCAAAAAATAAGCACAGTTAAGACTTTCATTCCGAAAAATATTCGACAGCAGCCGACAAATGGAACCACAAAACGCATTCGAAAAGTTATCACGACTTTTTTAAATAATAATATAGTATGTCGTAGTATTCAATCATTTTGGTTTGCTATAATTAAGTTGGAAGAAATTAAAATAAATTAAATTTAAACAAATTAAATAAGTACATAGAAGTATAGATATTACGTTGATATATTTGCACGTACTGTAATTATTTAGTCATATGACTCATATCCATGTGAGTCCTGCTCTGCCTGATTGTTCGGAACACAAATCTTATGCTTTCCTAATAAAGATGATATGTCTCTCCAGTGCACAGAGGCAGTCTCCACCGGATGGATGTTGCGAGACGCCCACCCGCCCGGACTCCAATCCCCGCCCGCGGGAGCGCATTCGCTTCGATATGGACGCGCCCACGGACCATTCCGCCTCCGCCGGCGGCACCATCGGCCTGGGCCCCTACCACGCCCTCTTCCAGGACCCCCTGCCCGGGAATGCCAAATTTATCGACGCCCACACCCATTTGTGTTTCTTCCTGAGTAAACTGGGCGACCGGACGGTGCAGACGTACGGGGATATTCGGCTGGCCTTCCCGCAGGCGTATCCGCCGTCGTACGGCGGCGCCATCCAGGTGTTCTGCGCGCCGCAGTACCTGACGTCGTTTGACACGTGGCGGAAGCGGCTGGTGGAGGGGACGGAGGGGGAGCTGTGGTTCACGGCCGGCTGTCATCCGCATTTTGTCGGCGAGTGGAATGACAGTCTCAAGGCGGCCTTGGAGCGGGTAATGACGGATCTGCGGGCGGGGAACCGGTTGGTGGCGCTGGGAGAGTGCGGTTTGGATTTTGACAACCGGAACAGGTACGTGCTTTTTCTACTTTTTTTCATCATTATCGCTCTGCAGTAGCCAGACTCCATTAAGGAGATATCTTACCAGGCAGGCTACTAGAAAATTAATTTATACAGTATTTCTGATATACGGCTAATACGGAAAATAAAATATTTTTTTCTGGTGTATTTTTATTGTGTGATTCGCTCTGTTTGATGCGATGCTGCGATAATGTTACCTTCTAGGCTGTACACTTCTTTCGAGAAGAATACATTTTACCAATTATTGCTTGTGTTTGATAGTTAATGGCAGTTTAGACTGATCGTATTGTTTTTTCCTTGATTAAACTTTATTTTTTCTGAGTTTTCTGCATTTTGGATTTCTTTGCCAATGTTTTGTGCGTGTTTTCTGTTTCGCCGATTTGTTTCTTTCCAGCAGTTTCCAAATTTTTGAGGAACAGCTGTTATATGTTATTAATTTGAAATTACGTAATAGCTAGAAATTTACGCACGGAAAAAAGCTACGATTTATGCTGAACCTTTGCACTATCTATAAGGTCTGTAAATATACGAGTAAAAACGTTATTTGTATGTGATTATGTGTTGTTAGTTAGTGTTGTGTAATATGCGGGAAACTCAAAATTACCATATAATTATTGGTTTGGTTCGCTTGAGATTCGGCATTTTTATTTGGTGTTGGCGCAGCTGCGTTCTTCAGAATAACGTTTTCCGTGTAAGTGGAGCTGACTTCGTTGAATTTCTCGCGACGAATGACAAGTTCAAACGTGTGGTCTAGCGAGGAAATTGGAAGCTGTTTGTTATAAATTAATTGCTGTTTTCTGCTTGATATGCGGTTTGGCGTTACGCCAAATGTTCTTATTGTCTGCAACGTTGATTAATTTTCAGCCCGACTGCGTCTGCGTATCTTTAATTGCCAGTGCTTTGTGAAGCGCTGGCCGACGTTGTTTCTTGCATTTAGATCGATGGAAAATCATATTTGATAATGACGATAAGAAACATGAAAAGACATTTAACAGTAATAATGATAATAAAATATAATAATAAAACATTTCGTGTTTTGAAATTTTGATTATTTAATCACAGTATACTGTACATAGTATTTTGTGGAAAGGATTCTGTTGTTTTTATGCTACATTGCAGTTCCCTCCTGGAGAGCAGGAAACTGGGACATATTTTTGGAAAATGTATTTTATGTTGTTAATTAATTCTGCGATCTTTTCTGTTAATAAACAGACAGTGTTGTTTTGGAAGTACTTTACGGCGAAGCGAACCCTAAAGCTCCCGTAATTGGACTAACAGTGGTGTGGAAGGAAATAATCGTTAATTTAAAAAAATCCATAACCTAAAAAGATAATAAATTTTCCTGGTAATGAGGATAATAAACTTTCCCGGAAAAAATATGACAACTTACACTGTCATTACGTAGCCGGTATCATGAGAATTGTATTCTTTTGCAGAGGCGATGATAAGAAGGTGATCCAACGTCGAGTGTTCAAAGAGCAACTGGACATGGCACGACGGTGGGATCTGCCGGTGGTAATTCATTGCCGGCAGGACGGAGCTGATAGTGCATGTCAAGCGGAAAAGGAATGTTTCGACATCCTGAAAGAGGTATATATTTTTTATATACGCGGGTTTTTTTGGAAACAATCCTGTATAAGTATATAGAATTTTGTACTACATGTATGTGGTATATTTGCATATCACGAGATTATTGGCATATCGTGAAAGTCGCGATACAAACGATGACTTAGCAACTGTGCGTTATTTCCTGTTGCTGTGTCTTTAGATGTTGTACTTCTCATTTAGTTGTTATCTTGTACTAGTCGTAAAACGGTAATACTTATTAAAGTATTAGCCCGTACTTGGAGACATCACAATTGGCGTGATAGGATTTGAACAGTAGCTACTGGTGTACGTGAAGCATTCTCGTGTTGGTGAGATGGCTACCAAGAGTACGAACGCGTTTGTAATGACTAAGTTTGACCCTGCGACCATGAATTGGTTGGCGTGGAAGATCCGATTCAAGAACTTCCTGCAGTTGACGGAGTTACCGGATTCCAAGCATGGCCTTCTGCTACTGGAAAGTTTGAAACCCGTCCATTTGAGACCCTGGTTTCCTCTGTGTGCCTCAGGATCCCCGCATCTATAAGGTGGATGACCTGCTGAAAAGGCTGGATACAGCCTACACGAAGTTCACCTTCAAACATACGGAAAGGGCACAGTTTTTTTCCACACGAAGCAAAAGGATGGGGAAACATTGGTGGAATATGCGAATCGTCTCAGAGACAAGACGATTTCGTGTGCATTTCCTGCAACAATTCTGGACGAGATGTTGCTGGCCGTTTTCGTGGCGGGAGCTGCGAAGGAGTCGACGCGTCGCCATTTAATGTCGAAGGATCTGTTGACCTTCGAAGAAGCACTGGAGAGTGCCATCAAACATGAGACTGGACTAGAAGAAGCAAAAGGTGAAGGCGCCGAAGTTTTGAAGGTGACGAAAGGAAGAAACAGAGGAAGGGCGGATCCCTGTGAACGCTGCGGATCAGAAAAGCATTCCACGGATGACTGCTTCCACAGAAACAGTATTTGCAATCGATGTGGTCAGAAAGGACACATCCAACGCAAATGTCGACAGAAGCAGACTAATGCGGTTTTCAGTACTTATGACGATAATACTCGAGAACCGTATGATATTCTGTAATATTCTGACGTAGTAACTTCTTTTAGAAGTTGGGGACGATTGTGGTATATTTGCATATCACGAGATTATTGGCATATCGTGAAAGTCGCGATACAAACGATGACTTAGCAACTGTGCGTTATTTCCTGTTGCTGTGTCTTTAGATGTTGTACTTCTCATTTAGTTGTTATCTTGTACTAGTCGTAAAACGGTAATACTTATTAAAGTATTAGCCCGTACTTGGAGACATCACAATGTACAGAGTATAGAACTCTGTACTATCCTGTATAAGAAATGAACTGCACTTTGGTCAGCGTTTTGTATGCGCAAAATTAACCATCACCGTGTCTAGTGATCCTTATTACTTTAAGAGTTGATTAAGGATTAAAATATTACTGATTTTGTTAGTATTGATTACAGAACACTGAGCAATAATGACACTGATTTTCCAGTGTATTCTGTTGTTTTCATTTTTTTGGCGTTAAATTACTGTGTACTTAAATCTGGTGTTCAGTGGAATTTTTTTCGAATGTTTTTCGTCTTTCTATTGGTGATAATTTATAGCGTTTGCCGCACAATTGGCCGGTGCATCGGCATTGCTTCCGGAGCGACTACTTTGCAGCGATCCGGTATATGGACTACTTCCCTAACGTGGTGCTGGGCTTTGTTCCCCTGGACTACTCTAAGGACACGAAGTTGAGCAATGTCATCCAGAGTGTGCCTTTGGATCGCGTTGTGCTGGAGACTGACGCACCGTACTTCCTGCCCGCTCAGGTCGGTGTCGTGTAGCTGTACTGGGAGGTTTTTCATATTCTGGAATTTTTTTACAATAAAAATTTGCTAATACTTCCTGTCTGTTTCCACATAAGAATATTTGATAATTAATCTCCTGTCAAGTTTGTGTGAAAAACAACAATTATCACCTATTCGATTTTTGAAAAGGTTTTTATCATTGTGGAATAACGCGGAGAAGCTACATTCGCATTGTTGGTTTTACACAGTGTACTTTTACCCAGCATTGTTGTTTTTACACAAAACGACACACCGGTTGGTTTTTTTGAATTTTTTTCAGTAAGAAACATGTGTTGAAAACTGTTTTAACTCGTATTACAGCGTTTAGACTATATTAGCGCTAAATTCGCTGGTACAGTGTTTACATGTCATTTTTTATCACTGTAGATGACGAATTTCCCTCGCGCACCAAATCAAAATCAGTTGTCAGTGCCTGGAGGTAAGATTATGCAACAGCGCATAAGTTTGTCGGAAGCCGGCTGTCATTCTTAATATCCTTATCTCTCTGTAATTCTGTTTACTGTTTTACTAATTTTATATTTTACTCGTACTTTCACTTACCATTAGGTAGATTTATAAAATCATTTTTTGAAAATCAAACAGATTTTGTTTTAATAATACAGTAGATGATCTTTAAGCATCAAGTTTCGCAGAAATTATTCATGTTTTAGGATTGGCATTGGCCACTGCCAAAATCATCGCGGAATTAAAGAATCTTCCCGTTGAAATGGTCGCTGAACGCACTTACGAAAACACGAAGAGAATTTACAAGTTGCCCTAAACTGTAAAGCTACACTTTGGCTTTTAGCTTTTTATGATATGAGCCATTCCTTCCTTTGAATCTCGTGTTTTAAAAAAAATAATTGTTTTGATTTGTCTTTCGGAAGTGTATTTAATCTTTGGTTTTGGACAATTGCTCTGATATTTTTCTTGAGTTGTCGTCACATGGACTAGTCTGCTGGAATACCGCAGAATGCAGTGCTTTTCGTAGTTTTCGTAGTTTTCGAACCTAGTGACTGATTTGAATTTTAATGTTAATGTTTGAAATAATTTCATGCAGCTTATGCGGACACGATAAAGCATTTAATTAACAAATCGATTATGAGAAAAGTTTCCGTGCCAGCAATTTTAATGAATTAGAATAGACAGTAGACACACCTAAAGAAGGAAGAATATCGAACACGCTGTCGCTGACCGGTTTGCTCTGCTTCATATAACTTTCGCCCCGAAGCAACCCGACTTATACACTTCGTATAAAACTAAGCACCTGATACACATTGTTATACCATTTGCGACAGCTTTTGTTTTTCATCGATAATCCTATTTCCACCCTAACCTACAAAATGATGAAAGCCGTCGCCTTCGTGTGCCTGGTCGCGTGTGTGGCTGCTCAGCAGCAATTCGTGTGGGACCTGTTGAAGCCGGCGCTGAACGCGGCGGAAGTGCAGGCCATCCTGGCCAACCGGGACGCCAACCAGTACCCCAACTACAACACCATCCCGCAGACGGGATTCAGCTGTCAGAGCAAGAAGCAGCCGGGATTCTACGCCGACACGGAGGCCCAGTGCCAAGTCTTCCACCGCTGCGACATCAACGGCAACCAGACCAGTTACCTCTGCGTCAACAGCACCGTCTTCAACCAGGTCACCCTCATCTGCGACTACTTCTTCAACGTCGACTGCCAACGGTAAGCTAATTAATTACATTCCCTTTTACCAGATTATTAGCAGTTTATCCCATTTGATTAATTATTAACAATCTGGATTACTTAATATTAGCGCTAGAACTGACATTAATTTTTTCTGTAGATTCTCTGCCTATGAGAACTTTGCCAACTCCCGCTTGTACACTGACCAGCCCCTCTTCGACACGCCCCCTGCTGACTACATTCCTCCCGGAGTTGGAGCTCCCCAAATCCTGGCTGTTAAGCCTGTTGCGCTCAAGAGCGGAAGGGGATAGACCGGGCAACCGCCCTTCTGAAGAAGAGGATCTCCAATGAAAATGTTATAAGGGCATCCATTGTCAGCATGATTCTCGTTTGGAGACAAATTACTGCAGAATGTTCCTAAACAAAGCACCGCACTGATTCGTGGCTGTCGATTTGTCATGCAGCGTTACGAAAATTGCTGTTGGTGAATAGCTTTAACCGACTGAGGTTCAAGACGGGAATTTCACACCAACCGATTAAAGTTGACGGAGTATGCAAATAACGGAGAGTTCAGCGAGCCGAAATCACGAGTATGAACGGCAACAGGAAACATGTGTGATAATACTGTAAAGTGCAAAACGTAATTTTCATACGTAAAACAATCGTTAAAACGATAGCGAAGTACAGGCGAAAAACCGGTTGGTTGATCGAGTGCAATACGTTTTTTAGTAGAAGTATTGATTGATATCTGTTGAAAACCAACAATAGCTTAACAACTGCTACATGGGAACGACTACGACTTACATATGTAGAATTCTCTTTGTCCTTCCCTGGAATTCCAGATTGACAAACTGTGTCACATTGACTGTCCTCACTGGGCTTTAGTAGATAATTTGCCACAAAATAGTTTAAGATGTTGTGCAGTACAAGCGCAGATATCTGGAAGTACATATTATACCCTGCGCTGAAACTACCGTAGCCTGCACATCTACTGTAGCGCCCACGCCGCCCAGCACCCGAAGTGAGTTTCTTTTCAAAAACCGGGATTTCCCGATGGAAAGTTAAAAAGAAATTTTTTGGTTTGGTGCACTCGGCGCTGACCGCCGATGACATCATTCGGCACAAACAGTCATTAGCATGACAAACATATGATTACATGTACAGTACCATAATATTACTAAACTGACAGTAATATGTGACAGTACTGACAGTACTGTGTTTAGTAATATTATGACAGTACGTGACAGTACGTCCGACTTGCAGCAGAGTAATGATTATTATTTTCTGTAGAAGGCACATTATTCTATTAATATCATTTTTTTAATCCCGTCATAGCAATCCAAATTGGGGACATAGTTATTAGTATTAGCAGACACTATCCCCAGTTATTACGACTAGAAAAGCAATGGCCTTTAACAACTACAGTGTCATTATGAACGTTTCATGAATGGGTTGTATGCTCCAGGGAGATAATAAAACAATAATAATAACAGGTTTTATTTTCTACATCAACTAACTGATTTTGTCATTGTACGAGTCGGTGCAGAGTGCGGACTGAATAATTAATCTTGTGGACTGCTTGGTGGAAAAACTTTACAAAACTAATGGCTGACTGATGGATAAAACTAGAAATTTTTAAAAACCTGCGCTTCCGCCCGTATAATTTTTACGTTTCTTTTTATTTTAGTATAAAAATTTACAATGTATGTGGCATTATAACTCTGGCTCGTGGTATGCTTCATTATTTGGATACTTATTTCGATTCTGTTAAAAAATTCCTCTCTTGGACCTCAAACAGATTCATTCACAAACGTCAATTTTCATCATGTTAAAATTCTGCAATATTACATATATAAATTCGCTTTGAAACGAAATCACAATATCAAACAAGATGTCGATCGTTCGAGGTCACTGCATCAAGCAGGAGGTACGAAATGTACTGCGCATGTACGAAATGTACTGCGGGCGCTAATACGTTTCTGGGAGGCTAAGATTACTAGTAAACATTTGCTTTCATCACTTAATGCGCTTGCCCTTCTTCACAGACCCCGCCCTTATATAACTCTATAGCCACTATAAGCCACTAATTTATTTTATTCTAACCCCAAAATTATTTTTGGTGTCCACGAGCATTTATTTTGGTTGGAATACAAATTGCCAGCCAACAGGCAGTGCGGCGTTTTGGTTAGGAACATTTTGAGTTGCATTGTTGTTATTTTCGTCATGTATTTCGAATTGTATTACAGAATCGCTTGTTGTCTGTCCTTCAATTCCTCGCAACATTTACTTGCGGCCGTTAGCGCCCTTCTTTCCAGCTGCCGCCCTCTTGGGAGCAACAGGTTGAGCGGCCAGGATTTGGGGGGCTCCAACTCCGGGGGGAACGTAGTCAGCAGGGGGCGTGTCGAAGAGGGGCTGGTCAGTGTACAGGCGGGAGTTGGCAAAGTTCTCATAGGCAGAGAATCTGCAGAAAAAATTAATGTCAGTTCTAGCGCTAATATTAAGTAATCCAGATTGTTAATAATTAATCAAATGGGATAAACTGCTAATAATCTGGTAAAAGGGAATGTAATTAATTAGCTTACCGTTGGCAGTCGACGTTGAAGAAGTAGTCGCAGATGAGGGTGACCTGGTTGAAGACGGTGCTGTTGACGCAGAGGTAACTGGTCTGGTTGCCGTTGATGTCGCAGCGGTGGAAGACTTGGCACTGGGCCTCCGTGTCGGCGTAGAATCCCGGCTGCTTCTTGCTCTGACAGCTGAATCCCGTCTGCGGGATGGTGTTGTAGTTGGGGTACTGGTTGGCGTCCCGGTTGGCCAGGATGGCCTGCACTTCCGCCGCGTTCAGCGCCGGCTTCAACAGGTCCCACGAATTGCTGCTGGCCGGCCACACGCGGCCAGGCACACGAAGACGACGGCTTTCATCATTTTGTAGGTTAGGGTGTAAGTATCGGTATAATCGATGAAAAACAGAGCTGCGACAAATGGTTCAATAAAGTGTAACAATTCCCTAGTTTTTATAATAGGCGGCGTCGTTTTGCTCCAGGGCGACATTATCAGTGAAGTTAAGCAAACCGGTCAAAAGAACACTTGGCGACGGCGTGTTCGATATTCTTCCTTCTTTAGGTGTGCCTGTTGTTAGTCTCATTAAACAAATTCCTGGCACAGAAACACTCCTCATAGCCAAATAGAAAATTGCTTTATTTTGACAGAATGCAACTCGCAGTTGTAGAAACAAAGACAAAAATGCTCACGAAATAAATTGTTCGTCTCAGTTTCTGATTTCTATGGCTGGTTTTAAAAAGGGCATTTGCCTTCTACAAATATCTTGTTATCTGTGTTCACTACTAATAATGTACTTATTCCGTTGCTTTATTTTATTTACCATGAAGTATGCATTTTGTTTTCAAGGCGCTTTTTTTTATTATAATTCACGATTCTCGTTTATATATCCAGAGACTTACTACCGGTACTGTTTTAAACTTATATTAAGATTTATCATTTTTATAATATTTATACTACCTATGTGCTAAACGCAAAAAAGAAACGCTGGTTAAATTTGCCCCAGTTACTGCCTCTTACAAGTTACAACTACTCGTACATAGAGGCAGACAGTCACGTTAAAAATTACCAACGGAAGAGACAATAAAAAAATGTGGCGGAGCGCCTAACCGCACATCAACCGAAACTCGCAGTTGATTGATAACTACATAACTTTCGATTTCCTTCGCTAGGCCGCACGTGTACACATGTCTGCATGTGCCGCAGGACATTCAGCGAAGTCAGCTTCAATTTTCACGGAAATTAATTAGGTTGACTTAATAAGACAACATTGCCCTAATTTAAAATTTTAAGATCCTGAGCGGAACCGATTAATAATTATATTCTTAAAGTTCGCACATATTTACAATACAGTAATAGCGAAAACTGACTGAAAAACGCTATCACGTGACTTCAGTTAATTGCCGTTAGCAGAATTATTATAGAATTAAAGGTTTTCCTACTAAAGGGTAAGACTGTCGGTACTCAGTTGGCTAGGTGCCAGCGGCCACACGGGTCACCGCCGGCAAATGATGGTCAGTACAACCATACCAAAAAACAAATTCGTTTTTATTCTGAAATTTCCATAGGGAAATCCCGGTTTTTGAAAAGACACTCACACTCCTTCTGGTACAATATTATGAAATGAAAGTGAAATGAAGAATGAAGCAGGAAATCGCGAAAGCATGATTTCAACCCTCATACAAACCACTCCACGAAATATCATTTTGAACTGAAAGTTTTTACTTGCCTCATGTAAGCGGTAGCTGTGCGGTGGGACACTTGGATTCCGCTAATACGTACAGACAGTAAGAGAGAGAAACCACTGGTCCCTAATGAAGTACTGCGTAACCGTAATCACAGATTATGTAGCAAAAATTACCTGCCAAAAAACGCGGGAATTTTGAAATTACTTTGTATTTATGTGATTTTCATACAAGAATATGCTCAAACACAAAGTATAGTGTACATAAAAATCGTTCAAAAAATGGCAATGGAATACAGTTATCAGTGTGTCGAATTTTGTCTAGCCGGAACTGTGGAAGTACGAATTGCGGATAACCCGTGTCGCATATAGATGAGCTTGCTGTACTAATACGAGCACTTTCTAGATAGATTTAGAAGTATACTGTACAATTAAATATTCATGGTGGTTGTTCAATTAATTATTCATTTCAAACAATTTTGGACTCCACCAGCCTGGTGAAACTAGCAATTTTAAAACCTAAACTACGTATACCAGTATTGGTTTCAGTGATGAACGAAAAAAACAAAACTTTATCCAGTAGATCGTCTGGGACACTTCTGATTTGACTCCACCACCAAATACTTGCCTATTCCAAATATGAAGAGTGTTTTTGCGCCAGAAATTTTACTGAATTAATTTTGTAATTTCTGTGCAATAGGCACACCTAAGCAGAGGAATGAGGAATAATATCGAACATGCCGTCGCCAAGTGTTCTCTGGACCGGTTTCCTTTACTTCACTGGTAATGTCGCCCTGGAGCAAAACGACGCCGCCTATTATAAAAACTAGGGAATTGTTACACTTTATTGAACCATTTGTCGCAGCTCTGTTTTTCATCGATTATACCGATACTTACACCCTAACCTACAAAATGATGAAAGCCGTCGTCTTCGTGTGCCTGGCCGCGTGTGTGGCCGGCCAGCAGCAATTCGTGTGGGACCTGTTGAAGCCGGCGCTGAACGCGGCGGAAGTGCAGGCCATCCTGGCCAACCGGGACGCCAACCAGTACCCCAACTACAACACCATCCCGCAGACGGGATTCAGCTGTCAAAGCAAGAAGCAGCCGGGATTCTACGCCGACACGGAGGCCCAGTGCCAAGTCTTCCACCGCTGCGACATCAACGGCAACCAGACCAGTTACCTCTGCGTCAACAGCACCGTCTTCAACCAGGTCACCCTCATCTGCGACTACTTCTTCAACGTCGACTGCCAACGGTAGGCTCGTTTTTCACATTCTCTTATTTCAAATTATTTGCAGCTTGTTCTTTTTTTAATTATTAATAATCTGATTTTTTAATCTTAGCGCTTGAATTGATTTTTATTTTCTTCTGCAGATTCTCTGCTTATGAGGATTTTGCTAACTCGCGCCTGTACACTGACCAGCCGCTCTTTGACACGCCCCCGGCTAGCTACGTCCCACCCGGCGTCGGAGCCCCGCAGATCTTGGCGGCCCAGCCCGCTGCTCCTCGTGCTACTGCAAGGAAGGCCACAGGGAAAAAGGGTGTTGTTGCAAACGGTGGCTACCTTAGCGGTGGTTTTTAATGGCAACAGTTTTGCTGCAGAACGGTTAGTATGGCCTTGAAGAAGTGTTCGCACGTCGTTTCTTACTAGCTCCAAGTGCGTCTGTTCCTACACGTAAACGGGCAATGCCGTTTTTTCATTCTATTTGTACGAGTATTACATCGCTACCAGAAAGGCCGACTGAGACCACTAATAACAGACCGGCTGATGTGGAATATAAAGCAGAATACGGCAGATAGTCCGGTTTTAACAGAGTAAATAAAGATAAAGGATAACGAAGCACTTATAATGGTGTTACGTGATTACATGATAAACCAAAACAGCATTATAAATTAAATTTGAAGCCTATTCGACTATACGATCATCTCGCCGAACTGACCAATACAAAAACGTCAAGGAAGCATTTTGAATAAGTACGATAAATGACGGATATGGACCAGATATACACCGGCAAAAAAATCTAGTAAAATTTTTTTGTACTCCAGAATTTAATTTTGATATAATTATATATTAATATGTTTTTGTTTATGCACTGGTTAACACTACTATGAGTACAATTTGTCGATAAAGTGTAAACTAGCTGCTGTCTTTGTCGGTGTTGCTTGCTGTATATTGTCGAAATCTTTGCAGGTACTGTACTACAGAGTACAGCACTCTAGGCCAAGAAAAACATCGGGCAGGTAAAACACACTGATCCCGTTACGCAGCCATCTCCTAAAATGCTTTCGCATTACAGTGTTTTGTCGTAATTTGTTTATTTGTATACTTTGTATACATACAGTAGTTTTATCTATGTTTGCGGTATAGTATTTTTGCAGATAATTTAAATAAGTTTAAATAAGGTGTTGGGTAGTACTGTACTTGTGTCGTGCAGTTACAATGCTGGACAATTGCATAGATTTTTACAGATTTTTTCATTTTTTCCTGTACGCGCTTTTATGCAGATGTGCAGAAACAACTGCTTACATAAAACCTCTTTTACTTATCACATGTTTTAACTTCTTAGCTAGAGTTTTCCCGTTTTCAGTATTCGTCATCGTGTTCCGTCTGTTATCCATGTACTGCTGCAAGTTTTTAATATGTGTTAATTCGCAATACTTAACTGAAACATCCTTAATTTTACAAAAAACAGTAATTGGATTAAGTCGATGTGCCGGAAGTGGAGGCAGTTCGGAAAACTCTTTTAATTCTGTAAGTTTAATAACTTTTTAAGCACATCCTTTTTCCTCAACGACTTACGAGTAAAGTCCCGTTTGAGCGGTAAAATTATTTTCGATAATAATGGGTGGATACAAATGATAAGATGCACCGCATTCACATGATGCATATTTTACGAGTACAATGTTCTCCTCAATTTCTCGACTTCCTTATGGAAAGTAGTTTCCGACAGTTTTTCAAGTACATGTACCGTTGTATGCGGACGCTGCCGCAGCATATACAACAACTAATCGCATCCTCATCCCATGATCATCCATTTCACTTAGCCCACTACTGCGTAGCGCTGCACCGCAACGAGCGTCCTAAACACCTGTCCAAGACTCCAAGCCGGGGCGCCGCCGTCAGCCGATTAGTCCGGCTATCCATCTCCCATCGCTCATTACTCACCCAACTCACATTATACGCACAATCGGCAGCGGCGCTTGACTTGTATCCCCATCAACGACTTCCGGAGCCGCTCGGTAATGGTGTTTTAAGAGATTCTCCACTTCCTTTCCGCGATTCCCCCCTGGATACTCATCCGCGGGATCATTTGCTAGTAGTGTGTCTATAGTACATTATATGCATATATACACCCGCCGGCTAACAACGTAGTGTTATAGACATGACAATTTGTGTTACGCTTGAAAAATTGTCGATGCTATAAGAACCGTACGGCAATCAGTCAGCTGTGCGGCAGTTAACCGACGGCCGCGCGATTGAGGGGGCGGGGCTTCGGGGCCAGTACGTCACGCGTATGGAAACCGGTGCGCACGTACACGGGTCGGGTGGATTACGTGGTAGCGCGGCGAGGGGCAGGAGCTGCAGCGGTTCATTCTTAAAAAACCCTTTTGCGGATATTATACGCAAAAGGATATCCTAACGTGACAATCACACACCGGTGTGGCAAATGCGAAACGTGATCGGCACAATGTCGGCCGTCGTGGGTTGGGAGCAGCGGTCCGGCTGAAATTAGCGCACTGGCGTAAATTGGGTGTTGTGTTGTGTGGATTTGGCAAGTGACGATCGGGACCGGTTGCACTGCGGTCGGTAGTCGACATCTTGAATCTTCCCGGATTTGACCAGTGTTGATGTTTTTATCTGTACATGTTGGATACATTTCTTACGTGTTTTTTAATTCGTCCAAATTTGAGCAACCTTACGGTAAGGAATCTATGTATTTGCGTATATATAGAGTACGTTAATTAAAGCTACGTAATTTAAAGGCATTCTGTGTTACGCATGTAGATCTGCAAGTAGGAGTGTTTTACCGGCACAACAATATTGTACATGTTATTATAATAATATCAGTGTGCGAGGTTTTGTAACAATATTTACGTATTTGAGTTATGTATTTTCTGGATCATAAAAATGATGTCTTCTTTTATGACTACAATTTGTATCTGTACTGCTCTGAATCAGCAAAACTTATCGCCTTAAAAAGGTGTTTACTTCTGCAGTTTCACTGAAATTCATGTGTAATTGTGTATTGTATACACCTGACAGTCTACAGCGTCATTACGACGAAAAAATTATAATAAAAAGTCTGAGCGTTTACGAAATATCGAACGATACATGGAACATACTGCTGCTCCTTTATTGGAATTATGTGTATATAAATCAACAGAGTCTAGTTAGCCAGCTGTTGTGTAATATTAGGACCGCATCCGTGTTTTATTGTCCGGAAGCAAATACATAAATAAACAGGTGAGGCACATAATGCAATGTATGGGAAATGTTTCACAGATCATTTTCAATGGCAAAGTAAACGCCACATGAAAAATGCATGGATGCGTGATATTTATCAGACAGTTATCGGCTGTTGTGATCCGGTACTTGGGATTAGGAAAACGTGTAGTCAATGGATTTAGCAGTGTGTTCAAGCTAAATGTTGGGTCAACTGAAGTAGCGCCCATTTCCATTATAATAGCCGGCATGAGCATTATGTATCGCTAACCGCTAAGGGCACACTTGAGGACCCTCAATATCCCGCTCCATATGTCAGCGCTTTTAACAAAAAAATCCCTATTATTATATTCCACCCAGGGTCAATACAGATATCGCCGGCATCGATTGTGTCGCCATTGAATTAACGACATTTTGTAACGGGGTCGGAATGATGGTGCGATAACCAGTGTAAACAGTTACAGAATTTAATTTCGTTAACCTTTAATTTTGAGGGGAGCAAATGCCTGTGAAGGGTGAGCAGACAGTAGTGCATCTCCGTTTAGTTTTTCTTTGTCTTAAAACATTCGTTACAAATTACATTATTTAAAATAATGTTTAAAACTATTTTTGATTTGATGCAGAAAATTTTTGGTAAATAATTTTTAATGTTTGACGCAACGGAATGCGTGTATAAGAATCTGCGAGTATATATCTGAAATTTTGTTTTCTCCTTTCGGCAGCCAAAACTGTGATCTTTGTGCAACGTAGCTGATTATAAAATTATTCACAGTTTAAATTTTTTATAGTTACTTATTAAGCATTATTTGGTAATTAATTAAAAATGTCGATTACTGTTTTCCTGTACATTTTATGTTCGGAAAGTGGCAGTCGGTTAAGCGGAACAGCGCATGATATACTTCTACAACTACGGAAACCTGAACTAGAAAAATCTTCAGAATGGGAATAGCGGCCTTTGTTCATCCGCTGAGCTTCAGGGAATTTATAAAAATATAATCGACTATCAAGACTAATTGCTCGCCTTTTTTCCGCCCGCTCCCCTTTATACTACGGGAATTGGGAGCAATTTTTTCATCCATCCGCTTAACCGCAGATACATCTAACGCCCTGACGTCAGTCTATTAAGAAAGTTTACTCTACAAACTCTTATTCCATTATGTAAGGGCCGTGCGCGGCGTTCTTAATAGGACGCGCACAACCAGAGACCCGACGGCAAAGTGCATCATTTCTTTCCAGCTGATTTCTCCGCCATCAAAGTAAGCTGCTGCACATACCGGACCGCGATTGACTGTTAGGTTTGGCCGGAATAAAATGGAGCCGCTAGGGATGCCAGCGGAATGGACGGATAAATTAATTATCAACACCACGTTTCCGGCACCGTACGCGCTGTATTCGGCGGCACTGCTTAACGCCTCAGCAGGCGGCGGTGTGATGCGGAATGGGACATTCTATCCGGCACCGCGTGCTACCATGTTTCCGCTGCCCTACCGCATCATCGGCACAATCCTGCACAGTATTATATTCTTCATTGGATTCCTGGGCAATGTTATGATTTGTATTGTGGTCAGGAAGACGCGCAGTCTTCATACGCCCACATACTGCTATCTGGTACGTGCCGATTGTTTTTAAAATGGTTTGTCGTTGGTCAGCTGATCGCGATGCACGCTCCGGTACACGCACTGATTGAATAGTTGGGAACCGCAAAATATGTTGTAATTAAATATCGCCTATAAAATTCATTTAAAAAAATGTCATATATGTATATATATACAGTAGACGCTCGGTTAATTTAAAAAACAAATTTAAGTGATTAGCTGCATGCTCGGCAATAAATAATAGCTGAAGTCGACAGCTCAGTTATGCAATCAAAATCGAGAAAGAAGGCTAGTCACTATCCTAGGAAAACGCATTACGTATAAAATGTTGCAAAAGGCGGGCAAACTTTTTTTCCTCTAGTGATTCATCTCACAATTTCACGTGCGTTTCCGTGTGCGTATTCACTAAGTTGACAGTTTTTATACGATAGACTGGATTAAAGGTCAACAAAATTAACGATACCGGCGTATTGATTACCCCGTCACTGACTGAATCAACCGCTGTCCGGCATATATACACATTGTTTGTCCCATATTTATAGGTTTCATTAGCCGTTGCCGATATCTTGGTTGTTTGCTCAGCGATACCGGAAGCGATTTTATCCTACCACCTGTACAGCAAACAGTGGGTCCTGGGCCATTTCGGCTGCTCACTGATGGTATTTACCAATTTCCTCTCCATTAACTCGGGATCGATCAGGTACGCATTTCCTTAGCCAACGCTCTGACGATTGTAGTGATGGGTTACGCCATCGGTGTCGTATTTTATCAACTACCAGTAAGCAAGAGAAAAATGATTATTTATCTGTTCAAATGTAAGTGGACACGCATTTCCGGCACAAATCGCAATCTATACCGTCTCAATTTTATTGCAGCATCCTGGCCTTTACAGTCGAACGGTATGTTATATATGATGCCAGCGGCAATCTGACCTAATAAATTTAAAAGCCACCGAAAAAGGCGAAATTAGAACAACAAAATAATAGCGAATGTGTATTTTTAACTGTTTAGAAATGGTAAAAAGTTATTGTTTGAATGCGCTAATGTTTAACAGCCATAACTTATTTTGCCGTACTTATAAAATAAAACTATTAAATTTCAAATTTTATAAGTCAATAACTGCTAAACGCATATTATGATCACGGCGCTGTACTGGAATAATCATATAATTATTATATACAAACTTAATTGTCGTAAAAATGGTTGTGTGATAAGAAGTTTAACTACAAAGTAAAAAAAGGTAATCACTCTTTCCATGCTTCTCTAGAAAACATTTTTGAATAAAAGCGCTAAATGCCGTTGCTGTTATAGTTACGCGCTGAACTTGAATAATTATACGCATATACGTATACCCGTACTTGCAGAAAAGCTTTCGATATCATATAATTTTAATGTATTATTTGCCGTAAACCATCAAACTGCATTGATGATCAATGCATCCTCATGGTTGATTTTATTTTGGCCTTTTTCTAGGTACGTAGCCATCTGTCATCCCATGTCCGCTCAAACCGTCTGCACGGTCAGCCGCGCGAGAAAAATCATCGTCGGCATCTGGATCGTGGTGCTCCTCTACTCCGCACCCTGGCTGGGCCTGGCCGTGACCAAGCCCTTAATCCTCTTCGACGTGAAAGGCTTGGAAAAATGCGACTACCGCCTGAAACGCGACTTCTACCTGTCCTTCTTCGTGGCCGACGTGGCCATCTTCTACTTCCTGCCGTTGGCCGTCTCCGTCATCCTCTACGTCCGGATGGGCTGTGTTCTATACCGCAGTATCCAGGCGGTCCACAAGACCACGGCCGATAAGCTGCGCCGCCGCGTAACCATCCAGGAGGACATGGACTCCATGGAGCGGATGAAAGCCGATAAGGCCAACAACGCCACCGACGCCTACATTGAAAACATGTCTAACGCGGTGCGCTCCCGCATCCAGGTGGTGAAGATGTTGGTTGTGGTGGTGGCATCGTTCGCCATCTTATGGCTGCCGTATCGCGGATTACTGGTGTATAACTCCATCAGCAAAAAACCATATATGGATATGTACTACGTACTATTCGCCAAGACGCTAGTGGTAAGCGAACACCATTTTAATTTAATAAAGGTTCAATGCTTAATTGACTGATTTGCAGTACTGCAACAGCGCCATTAATCCTTTCCTTTACACCGTGTTAAGCAAGCGCTTTAGGGCCGCTTTATTCAAGATTATATCGTGTAAACTCGGTAAGCCGGCGTGTATTTATCGTGTTTCAGAGAAGAGATTAGTGGATGTTGAGTGTATTATGTTGTAGGGATGAAAAACCAATCCATCTTGAATAAGTCGATGCGGCCCTCGTTAGGACTACGGCCCAGTACGCTGTACACACAAACACCGATAACCAGTCGCCGAATGTACAGGACGCAGACTGAGGCCTGTACTTATATGCTTCCGACGGGAACCAATCTCTAATACGTCTCATATAATTGTTTTTGTACTTTTGCAAGTAAAGGTGTGTTTCGCTGTGTTATATAAAAAAAAGAATAAATCAACAACTGACCAAAGGCTATTACAAAAACGATTAATGCATGCATTTGTAAAAAACAGTGGGGTAAATTTAGCGATACATTATGTAGTCAATTGAGCTCGTCTTGAATCTGGGGAAGAGTTTCAAAGCATTGTCTCGATCAATGGCCAGTAGATTCTGGGGTGATCCTTTTGTCGTACTCGCAACCGACGACGCAACGTACTCATCCCAGTTTTTCGTCTCTTCTAATGTTGCAAGCAGTGGATTGTACGGAAAATCCGTTGCAAATAAAATTCTATCAGGCTGCGCAAAGTTCGTGATAGCATCAAGTGTCAATGGATACTTCGATGTGGCGATGTCGAAGTACAGCGTCTTTACTTCTTGCAGAACTTGGTCCGGAGTTTTCTTAAGGCGACCTGAACGGTAGAACGAATTGGTGATACGCCCAAAAATGTACGGCAACGTGCCGCCGGCATGCGAAACGATGATCTTCACATTCGGAAAATCGCGGATAACATTAGACGCTACCATGTCAATGATTGTTCGAGTGGTTTCTTGGGGGAAATCCATCGTTGACACACTGAGATTGACCGTGGTGGAAACCGGTTTCAGACTGCACCCGTATGTGGGATGGATAAACACCGTCGCGTTACGGACATTTAACGCCGCCCAAATATTCGTAAAATCCGGATGGCCCAGATAATGTGTCGCATTACCATAGCTGGTAAAAAAGGTCACACCATCAGCTTTTAGTGTATCCAGAGAGTAAGCGATTTCGGCCAGTGTCGCGTCTCTATCGAGTAGCGATGGGAGTGTGGCGAAAAATCCGTACTTTTGTGGATTGCTGTCGCGTAGACGCGCTCCATACTCGTTAACTTGTTTGGAGATGGCAGCGGCCGTACTGGACGGCATGATGGTTGTTCCCGGCGCTGTTATGGAAAAGATGACACTGGATATGGAGTTGTTCTGGTTGAACTGATCGTCCAGTTCTAACGACCAGTTGGGATTACCGAAGCTCGTGGGGTCGCCGCCGTTAGCCAGAAAAGTCGCATTATAGAAATCTGGAATGTAGTGGTGATGCGTGTCAGTACGCTGGGGCGCAATGGGAAAAGCCCTGAGTGCGCCATACAACACGAAGAAAAAAAGGAGAATAAAACAATGGCGCATTTTAGATGTTAACGTCTTGTTGAATCAAACGGGAAGGATAAATATATACACCTAAGCAAGCCTCTTGTGGTGCTTTATTTCTACAGAAGCAACTGAACTACCGAAAGGTGAAAGAAAGATTACTAATTGTACGTCTTTAGCAACAAGTACGCTAGCGTTCGCTATTACGCGCAGTAAATTTATACGAGTTCGCCATTCTGCAGTTCTGGCCAGACATCGGGAGTGGCTACAACATTGTTGGTAATATTGTTTTTGATGATTTGGTAACGTGCAATAAATAATATTAACTTATAACAAACACTACGGTGTTTGATAACCTTGTCAACGAAAGTACGAGTATTAAAGAAGTTCTGGCATGATTCAGTTGCATTTTCTTAAGGCTTATGATTGCGATTAACTTGGCTACATTAAATTTTCTGTATTAAACATTAGTTAGCGCACTGTAACCCTAAAGGGTTTTAGTTACAGAGGCGTGTGCTGGCTGCCGATTTGATTCCAACGGCTACAGCGGCTACAGTTGTCACGATTAGAGCGAACACTGCATAGTTCGCTACTATCTTTTCGTGAACGCCGTCATGGGATAATAAGAAAAACAAAAGTAAAGATTAATGGCACTCCATAATTTACAGTTACGCATAGTATATTCTGTGCTATTTTGTCGCTACCAAAGTAGGATTACAACATTATGCTATTACAATATGAATAATTATCTGCTTATGAATAACGTTACCACACATGTACGAGCACAAATCATACTCTGTTTATTTATTCTGTACATCGCACATGGTCTCTGTCAAGAACGGTTAAAAACAGATTAAACTCATTGTCAGATTGGTGTGGCTGAAATAGGCGGTCGCATAAGGTTAATAGCTGTTAAGTACGACTTGTAATAACTTGATTTCGCTGATTACGAGCATTGGAATACTGTTAGAATATGTACTTCTACAGATATAAAGCTTACAGTCAAATCAAATGGAAGACTCGAACGCACAAGCTGTGCGGAAAATATGCGCTTAGTTTATTGCAAGGCGCATGCTGGCATATTTTCCGTATCAAGATAAACTCCAATCAAAAGTTCATAGAGCTTACAGATAATGACGAATTTTTTTGGCAAGTGGCAGTGAATGTTGCTTGGCCGACGCGTTTCACAACTGTTAACAAATAAATATCACTTGTTGAGCCATATGCGTGCTCTCGGTAACTGCGTCACGGTGACACCGGTTTGGAAAAGGCTAGTTAAATTAATTATTTTCATGGGAGGAAAGCAACGGCTGTCGAGGTACTTTATGCGGAGAATGAACTCTAACCGTTAGGTAATGTAATACAGGCTAACCTGAAACTACTGTATAAGCGTCAGAGCGAAGTTACTGCAAAACCGTTCTTAATCATTTAATTGCTGAATTAGTACATGGTCAGAAACATATTGCGCCGTACGACAAATACTTCATCGCAAATCAGCAGAACTAACCTTTGAATTATTGGGTCGCAACGTGCTTATCAATGGCTCACAAACAACAGGTGCTGAAAATAACGAAAGCTGCAGAAAATCTACACCGCTGCGCAGTAAATGGAACGTAAGAGCATTTCCCTTAACGTTCCTTGTGATGCTGTGTCCACCCCGCCGATATGACCGCCGAACATACATGGGAAAAACCCGCGGACCCTTAAGGGGTTTTGTTATGGGCGCGGATGCTTCAGAAATGAGTGGCGTAGAATGGCCAACAGGAGCGGTCGCCCGACAACAACGTTAATCAGCGTAGAACTGTATGACGTGATATGGACGGCGGAAAGTTCGAAAGGGCAGTCATGGACCAGGAAGCGTGCCCGAGCACAAAAGGGCATAGGCTAGCTACTATTTCTGCAATGCCTGATGGCAGATTTTAACCAGCAGGAAGTGACTGTAAAACCGATGAAGTTGCGATAAACTCTTAGTTTCACGTGTGAATAAAACATTTTACTATCAAGTTCTGAAAGGTGGGATTGCCATAGGATTCCAACTGCGTGTTTGCACTATACACGTAGTCACGTATGTACTCAGATGCCGAGTGTTTCCCGCGACGGCTGGTTGCTTCTGCGCAGAATTCGAGCAACTTTTGTATTCGGCCAGATAGAGTGATAGACAACATTAAACTAATGGATTAATTATAAAACAAAACTTAATCAGGCGCTCAACCGGCAGTAGCCGCGTCACGACTGCACAAAAGATATTTCGGAGTTTTAGGATTTTCATACTCGTAACATAAATTTTATTTTGTTCTGTTTTGAATATACAGTATACTCTACATTGTACAGCATTGTGCTTGTACGTTTGTTACTATTTTAAATTAAGGGCAGTCGATTGCCTCAACCGTGTACGTCTCCCTGGGCGGCTGGCAAAACAGCCTGCAATGTTATGAAGTTGGTCGCCTCGCAGTGTTGCATCCCATAGACTCATATGTTAAGCTCATCGACTTGTGTTTTACACATTTTTAAATAGAACCATGCAATCGATATCTCCAACGATAGAGAAAAAATTAAGAGGTTTTTCGATACCAAACAAGAATATTTCTTAATTTCAAGACCAGTTATAAATTTCAAGATCAGCTATATTTCTGGATCAGTTATCAGTCAATCATTTAAATTTCGTACACCTGCATAGGGACCACGTAATTTATTAGAAGTTGCTCTCCCTTCCCCTTTTCAAGCTGTAGAGTCGTAGACTATCCGATAATAGCCTAAATATACTAGTTATTGAAATCCCAATTTTAATACTAACACCGCCGGTGCCCTTTATATCCCCGTTTAACAAACCAGTACATTAGCAGGTTAATTGCTCCTACTTGCTTTCGCTGTTCCTTTTTTACTATTGCTTTGACCGCAGAACACATCCAAACACTTTAAATTAAATAAGAACGGAAGCATTTTCGTTGTCTTTCCTTCTTCGCTTTTAACCCTTTTCAAAAGCGGGAACTGTTACGGGAACTTTTTGCATGCTTGCTGCTCCGCGAGCTCCGCTCGGCCGCGCTCCGCCTTCCAATACCCTATATAGCGAACTGAAAAATTCATTTGTCCTTTTTACTTAACAATGCAGACGTGCCACCTTACACAGTACAATTCGCGCCACATCCAACTCCATCCCACCGGTTTTTAAACCGAACATGATTTAGCTTGTACAGAAAGCTGGATTCGCATTAATACTCGTATACATCAGATGTTCTTTATTCTAAACACCACGTAACACGCGAAGCAAACAGCTGGCTGTTCTTCGAAGCAAATCTTGAAATTCCAAGTTGGCCCGTTTGCCTTTCTCGAACACCACCTTGCCTTTTCGATCGAAAACGGAAGCGTAGCAAATTTGCTTTAAATCGCATACAGTTCTGCAAGAAAGGCAATCGCGCCCGCCAGGAAAAACAGTTTACGGCGCAGTTAAGCGGAAACTAAGTAAATAAACCGCTGCGGGGGTCAGGTACGTTCTTAAAATCAGGCTTTAGAACCGTCCTACAGTCGCAGAATCTTCGCGACCATTTTGTTTTCTTTCTTTCGTTTCATTTTCTTTCGCAAAACTAAATTTTGAGAAGAAATATACATTAAGACGATGGAATATTATCTATTATTGAACGTAAAGTTCCAGCCAGCTGCAGCGAAACTGTCAAAAAAGCGTGTTGGCTGTTGAGACAGTGATGGTTGGTCAGTTTAGCAGTGGTGAGTTCTCAGCTTTTCCCATAGACTTTGTATGTTAGGGTTTCGAAAGTTTTATTTCAAACGTATCTCTTTTTTCGAAAACTGATTAGTGATGGCAAATCTAGACTTCATGGGCTTTTGAATGATACATAGTTACGACTTACGACGGTTTGGATCAGTGGGTCGAGCTGACAGACTCAACAAAGATTAAGGCTTGCGCGACTATTATTTGCACCGAGCGCGAAGCGCGAGGTGCTGCAATTAACTGATCGTCAAGAGCTAAAATTTGTCTGACGCCACCAAGTGCGTACGTAACACTTTTCCATTTCCAGTAATGCTATTTCCATTGGAAAACCGAAAACACAGTAGCGCTACTGCACAGCACAAATACCGCTGGCTCTGCAAATCCATTAGCGCCAATTTTTCATTGGCAGTGGAATGCGCAACAGTTTCATGCGGTCTCGCTGCCACTGCATTAAAAAAACTTGCTAATTTGCATTTACGGTTTTTTAAAACATAACTGCAACGGTTCTTGCAACGAAGGGTTGATTAACCTGAAACCTCTTGTGAAAGAATCTTCGAACCAATTGTGATCTTTTTGTTGTCTTCCCTGCTACCCTATTATAATCCTGTGACTTCCGTCCTTTGAGTAATGACGTTAGATTGTGATTATTTTGAACTTTGACTGATCCCCCACCTACGTGATTTTCTTCCAACTGAGTCAGCATTAAAGGCAGAGGATTACCGTGGTAAGTGGGTATTTTTACCTATTTGAAATCGTATTGGCTATGATAATTATTTATCATTAGCACAATGATGATGCAGAATTGAGTTTATTAGGTATTGGACTGTGAAAAGCGCGCAATGGCAGGTGATCGTTAATATGCTAATTGTTGTGGTTTGGCGAACAGTTGCACGGAGGTGTAGCCTGATTTTCATCGTCCTGGACGTTCTCAAGCCTCTGCAGCATAAAAATTTCCTCGAGCACGAACTAGAAGGCTTCGGTATTCGCCCTAATAAGACGTCGCCGAATATATCGGCTTCCGGGAAAAGATAAAGGCAGGTCAACCGTATGGTACATTCTGACAAGTGTTCAGTGTTGAACTGAAACTCGCCCGTTTATTTGGTGCAATTTATTTCATTAATGTTTTTATTTTTGATGTGAATTTATTAGAAGCGCTGGACAGTCCCTGGATACGGTGCGGGCCATCCTGGCCGAGTACAAGATCCACAAGGCCGACGTGACGCTGCGCAACGACGCCACCGCGGAGGACTTCATTTGAGGCAACCTGCGTGCCCTGCGTCTACATTCTCAACAAGATCGACCAGGTCTCCCTCGACGAGCTCGACATCATCTATAAGATCCCGAACTGCGTCCCCATTTCCGAAAACCACAAGTGAAAGTGAGTTTACACTTTCAGTGAATTTGAGAGCCGATTGGTTCTCAAGAATCCGTAAATGGGTGATCGTTCGATCACACCGCATGGACTGATCGACACATTCCCTCAGTAGACTTACACTAACTTCGAACGGCTTAGTACAGGGAACTTTTGAACTGCGCTATATTAATTTTTATTTGCACTGCACAATACAGTGTGACATAAAAAATTACGTTTACTGATAAAACTTTATAGGATTTTAGTTAATGGATACAATTAAATTTTTAATTACTACCGTGTTTGATAAATATATTCAGTGAATTACTTTTTCAGAATAATGACAGCACCAAATGCCACTGATGCCCTGAACGCGTGGATCAAGCGTGTTAGTGTGCTTAAGAACGAATACACCAAGCGAGATGGCTTGAATCCGGATACTGCACACCGGCGTAGTACGGTAATTAAATTTCACGATTCAATAATTAGAAGCAAGAACGACGATCTGTTTTGAATACCGTTTTGCAGGCAATTACGAATATCCAATGTAGCATGCGAGCAGCGGTCGAGAACGTGGAGCAGACCAAAGATTGGTCTAAACAGTGGATACGCTGCCTGGTTGACCTTTATGGATACGACAAGCGCATCAGAGATTTAGCTAGACTGCAAGGGCTGGAGGAACAACGGCTGCTAGAAAAAAGCAACTCTTATCCGAACGAGCTGAATGGATCGAAGTATCAGGAATTTCTACCGTATGCAAGAATTTCTGTGGGTCGTAGGCTTACATCAACCCGTAAAGAATTGACATCGTCGGCAACAATGGCTTTTGATATCCAGCGAAAAGAACTCTACCTGAATGCACTGAAAGCCAAAATTTGCGAACTGGAACTGCAAAAAGCGGCAGCAGAAAAGAAGATTAATGCAGATCTTAAGGTCAAAGTGAAAAATGCAATAGGGTTGTTTAATATGTTACGATTTGACGCGCGCTGTGAAGAATATGCTGCCCTTCGTGTAGTCGATGGGTCCATGCCGTATTTTTTTATTGTTAGACCCGATCAAGAGCCTTCGAGCTCTTCGACGGAAAGCGGCAACAATGAAGTCTAGCTGTTCAATAAATAAAAGTCAGTGCTTGATGGTATATCTTGTGTAGATGGAAAGCGTTCAACACAGCAGCACCGCAAGAGATAACGATGTTCAGGGCTGCGACGCAGACGATTCTTCCGTGCCTTCGCAGAGCAGCTCCTCATTTAATCGTGACGTCATCAACACTTCTACAGAACTGTTTCTAGATTCATCACAAGTACAACAAACGAACAAACGCTTAAAGCGAAGTGAACAACAGCGGAAGCGACGGAAACTTTTGCAGGAGACTTTAAGACCCTCGCAAGTGAATGCTCAAAAAGAACGGGAACGCATCAGAGTTAAGAACTATCGTGATCAACTGAAACGAAACTCACTTGTGAAAGCCATGGAGAGTCTTTATAAAGGAGAATGCCGTACCCGCCCAATTTCTGATGTTTTAAATGAGTCTGGGCTAAACTTTCTGACGTCAAAAGAATTTCTCGAGGAGGAAACAAGACAGAAGGCAATGAAGTCAAAGCGTACCGCAACACCCAGAAAAGCTGTGAAATCCAGTGCAAACAAGTTGAGGCGGCGGCAAATGTCTGACAGCGGACGTGCTCGAAGCAGAGAAAACGATCGCGTTCAACGCAAAAAGGCTCGACAAGAATTAGATTTAGAAATACCGGATTTGCAAGCTGCGCTTGCTGAAATTCCTCAAGAGCACGATTCGCATTCTGATGTGATGCAGCAGTTTATTACACCTGGAACACTTACGGACAAAGTTGCTGTGGGTGTAAAACGTTTCCGGTCTGCGATCCAGTCTTTTTCTTTCAAGAAATGTTCGATTTGCAATGAAAAATTTCCGGACCTTTCTGTTTCAAAGGCGCAAGAGGCCTGCCGCCGGTGTATTGCAGAAAAAGGCTTACCAAAACGTTTCTCGAAAGAAAATAATATGGATCCAGGTGCTGCAATAGCTGAATGCTTCGGTAAATGTTCTTAATTACAATTTTCCCGTTATAGGCATGGATGTACCACCTGAACTAGCTTGTTTGGAGCCAATCGAAGAAATGCTGATTGCTCAAGTTGCAACTGTTATGACAGTTCACACGCTTCCTGGTATTTTTTATCAATTCGCATACACTTCTAGAAGGTAAACGCAGATTTTCTCTTTTAGGCGGTCAGTTAGGGTACAAAGGCAACGTCATCAGCTTTCCGCAAAACGTTCGAGAATTCGCTAAAGTTTTGCCCAGGCTGCCGAATCATTTGGATGTCATTATGGTTAAACGATCCGATACGCCAAATTCAAAAAAGTACAAAGTTCGCCGAAATGCAGTGGCTCGAGCACTACAATGGCTCCAAGCGAATAACATATACTATCGCGACATAATTATTTCCGAGAATAATCTACAGTCCTTACCAGAAGACGACTATATTGATGACCAGTTGCGCACAGTTGTTACAGCAGAGACAACAGGCACCCAAGGCGCAAAAGGGCCATTAAACACTGTTGAAGACGACGTTCCCGAAGAACTTGTCCCTGATACCGAGACGTTTATTCCCATCGTGAATCGCGAAAGCACGGAAGAGGAAGCTGTTCAGTCAGCTATCCGGGAATGTGTTAACAATGAAATACAGTGGCCAACCTTGAATAACACGCCCGTGAACGAATTTGAAGTAGAAGGGTACGATGTTTGCGCATTTCCCACTTTGTTCCCAACAGGCGTAGGCAGTCTCCGGGCTCCTCGAATTCGTTCAGTGCAGCCTGCGGATTATTTTCTGCATTTGATGAGATACGGCAATGGACGGTTCAGGCGTCACCAACGTTTCCGTTTTTTTGCTTTTAATTCCCTGCAGCGATGGAGAGCCATATCAGCGGGAAGCATCTACTTGAAATACCGATCTTGTGAAGATGCACAGATGACTAGCGAAGAATTCCGAGAGAAATACAAGTCCGATCCTTCATCTCTAGCAGCTCGTGTAACGTATTTCGGAAAAACGCTTTCGGGCACGAAGCAGTTCTGGATGGAAAAGCGTAATAATCTCTTGGCTATGTGTCGCCAAATCGGTCCCCCTACAATTTTTTTCACACTCAGTGCGGCTGACGTTCATTGGTTTGATACTCAGCATCTAATGCCCGATGGAGTTCCAATGAACATGGGCGAAGGAAACTCCAGTGCAAGTTACAGGCAGAGGATAAAAAATCTTATTACTGAACCTGCTATTGCGGAATGCGTATTCACTGAAAGAGTTGAATTATTTTTGAAGCATGTGCTAACGGAACTGTTTCAACTGCGCGACTACTGGATCCGCTGGGAATGGCAAGTGCGTGGAAGTCCCCATGTGCATGGGTTTTTGTGGGTTGAAAATGCTCCCGACATCGCTCGCTTACCCTCTATGACTGCCGACGAAAGATCTAACGTTGCGAAGTGGTTTAGTGCTATTTCTACAGCGATTAATCCAAATCAAGAACGAGAGAAGCCAGCCACACACCCTTGCCAGATCGAGCCACAGTTTGTAGTTGATTCTGAAGAAGATTATGCCAACCTTTGTAATTGCGTTCAACGACATACTCATTGCGCTGTAGGATACTGTCTGAAGAAGAAGAAAGGTGGCGCACAGTGTTGCAGATTTCATTATCCGAAAGAGATTTGCGCTGAATGCCAAATTGCGTTTGACGAGAAACAGCGCGCGAGACTGGTTTTGGAGCGCAACGATGAACGGCTAAATGCGCACAACCGAATTGTGCTTCAGACGTGGAGGGCAAATGTGGATGTGACGGGATTAGTTGACGTTGGGTTTGTGTTGAAATACGCCGCGAAATACGCTTCGAAATCAGAGCCGCGTTCTGAAGGCGCTACCAAGCTGCTCGAAAATATTATCAAGGGCATGAAGCAAGACGATCATCCCCGCGTGGCCATACAGAAGCTTCTGCTGAAAACTGTTGGGGAACGCGACTACACAAGTCAGGAAGTTTGTCATTCGCTACTTGGATACCCATTAGTCCGTTGCAGCCGATCTTTTGTAAAACTCTTCCTTTTCGAAAATACTCATCTTCGAAGGATTAAGCGCAGGGTGCAAACAGATAACGATTATAATGAAGCCACCGAAACCGACGCTGTGCAAAAGTACATTAGCCGGCCTGAGGAAATGGAAGAATTGTCGTTAAAACAAGTGATGATTGCGTTTACATGGAACCAGAAGGACAAACGCTGGAGACCCAAGCCGGCGGGAAAAGAGAACATTGTCGAGGTCATACCACATCTTGCAGTAAATCCAAGTGATGAAGGGTATTGCCGTCAAAGGCTGATGCTTGAGCAGCCGTTTCGAGCAGTAAGTGAACTTGTGGAAGGCTATAATGGGTCATGGGTTCGGGCATTCTCCGCGTCTAACAGATTTACTGAAAAGGGGCGTTTTCCCAACGATGCCGATTTGTCTGAAGAGGAATTCGAAGATGACCCACAGCCTGATGTTCAGCAAGCCGAGTGGATGGAAATAGCCGGTTTGGGTCCCGGAGCTGCAGCAACTGCTGAAGAGTGCGCGACCGATTTGGGTAGAAGACCCCTTGATACAAGCCATGAATGGGGAGCCGCAGTTCAAAACTTGGAAAATTCTGCGCTTTTGGCGAAATTTGTTGACAGATCGCGGCAAGAATTAGGAGATACTGCGCCTAAGGTCACTCCTGCAGAGCCGGAAAAGCTAAACGCAGAGCAAAGACTTATTTACGACATGGTTAAGACCCATTACGAATCCGCTAGCAAAATACCTTTGCGGTTAATTGTTCAGGTAAACAAAACTGAAAATCATCGCAATACATAGCTTTGATATAAGCTGTATTTGAAACAGGGCACAGCCGGAACTGGGAAGTCGTTTCTTATACGCACACTTATGGGATTACTCAACTTTGGGCAGCAAGATAATACCTCGTTACCAGCGGTACTTTTGGCACCCACGGGCGCAGCAGCATTTTTAGTTGACGGCAGTACCATTCAATCCCGGTTACGAATCCCACCTGATACTCAAAACATGAAACCTCTTGGTGGAGAAGCGCTGCGCGGTCTGCAGAAAAAATGGAAGAATTCTCGTTACTTGATTTTGGAAGAGCGTAGCATGATTGGCTGCAGAGTTTTTTGTGCTATTGACAAGCGACTTCGAGAAATTTTTGTTCATCGTTCCTCTGAAGCATTTGGTGGGATGTCTGTGATAATGATTGGAGATCTGTTCCAGTTGCCGCCTGTCAATGACCGCTCCCCTTACTGCCCGTCGAATGTTTTGTCATCGAATCAAGATCATCAGACTGCCTATATGCTGCACAGTCTTTTTAATCGAGCCGCAGTTTTGAAAATTCAGCAGCGCCAAATTGGCGATGACCAGACTTCCGCCGTCTTTCGAGACATTCTTTGGAGATTGGGACACGGTACTTCAACAATTGACGATTTTGAAATCCTCAAGAACCGCCGGTTAGCAGTGTTATCGGCTGAAGAACAACGAGAGTTCCGCACTGCTGTGAGGTTGTTTTCCACTCGACCCGAAGTTGAACTGTATAACTGTGAAGCTCTGGAAAAAATGGGTCAACCAGTAGCTCTCATTGGAGCAATCCACAACTGCGCTTTTGCAAAAAAAACTGACGCTGATGATGCAAAAGGCCTTCCCGCTGTACTACGAATTAGCGTTGGTTGCCGTGTTATGTTGAAATTGAACCTTTGGGTTAGCGTTGGCTTGGTCAATGGAGCCACCGGAACAGTCGAGCAGATCGTTTATGCACGGGACAGTAAGCCGCCAGCACTGCCGCTTGCCATCCTTGTGCGATTCGACAAATACCACGGGCCTTGCTTTCCTGGTTTGGAGGGGTGTGTTCCGATAGAGTCGACAACTAAATCTTGGACGAATGTTGATTGCCCTGACTTCAAGACAAACAAACAACATCGATGCAGTCGGACCGCCATTCCATTGGTTCAAGCGGATGCTGTGACAATTCATTCCAGCCAGGGCCGCACAATGGAGAAGACTGTAGTAGATTTGGGGAAAAAAGAGTTTGCTCCCGGTCTTAGTTTTACTGGTTCTTCCCGCACTCGCCGCTTACAAGATTTAGCTTATGGAAAAACGTTTGATTACAAAAGAATTCAGTTTTCTGGCTCTCGAGTAATTGCTGACCGGTTGAAGGAAGAAGCCAGATTAGAAGCTCTTGCAAAATCAACGTTTTCCAGTGGTATGTAATAAGTTACTTTATGGCAGTAAACGGTTGATTTAGAAGTTACGATTTATAGGGCAATCAGTATGCGACATCGAACCGGCAGAAATGGAAGTAAATTATCCAGAAGAAGAATCTGACCCTCAAGAAGAGGAATGCAGAAATGGGCTGGCTGTCTGGAATGCGTTTTTAACTAAAACGCTGGCCGATAGAAGATTGAGACTCGTAAACGTTGCGGGGATGGGAACTGCTTTTATCGTGCTTTGTCATATGCACTGCATGGAACTGAAGATCGTCACCAGGATGTTCGAACAAGTATTTTTGATTTCATGTCTCTATCTGAAAACTTCCCTTTCTTGAAGGATCGATGCCCGGAGCTAACCAAGGAAGGGTTGTCAGTTCTTTTGAATCAAATGCTACAGGCTAACACTTGGGCTGGTGCTGAGCAATTGGTAGCCGCATCTAAAGCTCTGAAGTGCAGTATTACCTTTATTCATCCGCATACTGTGTGGGATTTTGATAAGACTCATGTCCAGTCTCAGAAATCTGTGTACATAGTCTATGATGGAGTTAATCATTAGTGCATTAGCGCTGCAACTTGTATGTGTACAAATCACGCATACATACATACAACTAAGACGTTTTCACAATTGCCATTGGCTGGCCCGGCCTACTTTTGCCTACTTGTATAGATGTATGCGTGATTTGTACACATACAAGTAAGAAACGCAAATGCACTATTATATGACGGCAATACGTGAATAAAAGTCGAAACAAACACATCTCACGATTTTAAATATTTAAACGTTCAGTAGGTTTTACGATTTATAGCTGCATATTCCCAACGGTCTAGCGCTCGCGCTCGGTGCAATGATGTGGTTAACAACCACCGCTAGTATAGAGAAGAGATACTGTGTGTTCAAGGCCTTCATACGTACTTCACACACAAGTTTAGCCACCGTACTTGTAAGCCCGTCGTACTTGTAAGTGTATGGCGGGCCGTTTGGGTCAGGTTTGAAACATCAAATTCACAAACCACAAACATCGATTCTGCGGTGATCGATTTCCAAGGCATCAAATACACGAAACACAAACATCAAATCACCGGTGATCAATTGCAAAACCATCAAGTACACGGAACCATAAACATCAAATCTTCGGTGATCAGTTGCACAAAGATCAGTTACAAAAACATCAATTCCACGATGATCAATTTCGAAAACATCAAATACGCGAAACACAGAAAAACCAAAGGGTGTAGTGGTATTCAAAAACGCTAAAAATTTTCCAAGTCCGAAAATTTTTTGTGTTCCGTGTAATTGATGTAATTGATGTTTTTGATATCGATCACCAAAGATTCGATGTTTCGTGTAATTGATGTTTGTGAAATTGATCACCGGTGATTTGATGTTTGTGGTTTGTGTAATTGATGTTTTAAAATTTGATCACCGAAGATTTGAGACTTTTTATTCATGAAATTGATGTTTTAGAAACTGATCACCGACGATTTGATGTTTGTGGTTCATGAAGTTGATGTCTGTGAAATATGGCGTACCAAATACCTCACCCCCCGTAAACCTTAAAACTTAAAACTCAGAACACTAGAACGTAAAACACTAAAACGTAAAACAATGTAAAACACTAAAACAGTAAAACACTAAAACGTAAAAAACACGTAAAACACTAAAACCGTAAAACGTAGAACACTAAAACTAAAAATAAAACACGATACCGTAAAACTCAGAACTCAGAATCGTAAACCTCAGAACTCAGAATCATAGAACTTGAAACTGTAAAGTGTAAACCCTGAAACATGTTTTCGTGGACTTAGACAATTTTAAGCAAAAATAAACGGTAGTTCCACCAGCATAATCCAATTCCGAAATCACCGCCTAACTCCAATAATAAAGTAGAATTCCATGAATATTATTGGAATTGGCATTGTGGAATTGGAACTCTGAAAAGTGAAAAATTGTCTAAGTCCACGAAAACCACGATTTCATGTTTCAGGGTTTACAGTTTCAAGTTCTATGATTCTGAGTTCTAGTTGACAATTCTGAGTTCAGTATTCTACGTTACGGTCTTACATTTCAGTGTTTTACGTTTACGTTTGTGTTTTACGTTTTATTATTTTAGTGTTTTATACATTTTACGTTTTAGTGCTTTACGTTTTAGTGTTCTGAGTTTTTAAGTTCTGTTACAGGGTTAATATTATTACTTATAATAACATGAATCTGTGTTTTGATGTTTCGTGTTTTGATGCATAAGAATTTGATCGACCTGACCCAAACGGCCCGCCATAGAAAGTGTATATAGTATATAGAAGTACAGTACTCGTACCGTACCAGTATTGTGCGCAATAAATAGCCAATGGAGAAAAAAGTTCAAGGAACTGCAAGTTGCAAGCGTTTTCTTCAGCGCTCAAAACGTCTACGCTGATACGCTGAAGTGTTAAGCATTCCTAGAAGTACGTCTTACCATTATTCTTGAGGATTAACGATTAGCGGATTAATGTACTGTGAAATGTAAATCCTAATGTTATAATCCAAACCGTTTGTTACCAGATGCGAACACGATTGGAGTGTTTCGCCATTAAACTGAATTACTTTTTTCGATCGGTCATCGTGATTTGTGATCAGCACTTTTAACAGTAGCTACTGTGAAATGTTCCTAAAGGGCATCTGGTCTTATGGCGCCGTGGATGTCAGAGACAGCGAGGGACGAATCCTTCATGGATACGTTGTCGGCACCAAGGGAAAAGACGGTCTAATCATCGATTTTGGCTATCCCCAGCACCGTGCTGTTCTGGTTCCCCTTGCCAACTTCGTTCACGGCCGTCTTTCCACAGGATCTGAGGCTCCTGATCTGACGGTTGGCGACACCGTACAAGTGCTATATCAACTATCGCCATTAGAACCATGGTGCTGGCACCCTGCCACGATACTACCGGAAGGCAGCCATCAGGAATATTGCGCGGATGACTACACCTTTGTGGAGATCTCTGTGCCGGACGGGAGGACGGTGCGGGATGTGGTCGGATGGTGCCGTTTGCAGCCGACGGGTGACATGCCAGCGTGCCATTGGGAGAAAGCACCCCAAAAAGTCCCGTTCAAACGGTACACGGTACCGCAGGGACTTCCGTTTGCGCAGCTGCTGACAGTAACGCAGCTTCCGGACTTCAAGGCAAAGTGGAAAAGGATGACCGGTACGATTGCCGTGGATGTGAGTGCACGAGGATTGATTTGCCTAGCGCCATCGAAGGAAGCACTGCTCTCCATCCGGTGCAATACTGTAAGTTCTTGCCTTGGTTGCGATGTAGAACGGTTCTCCATGTGCTGGTTTTTTTTATACCAGGCAGCGACAATATACCCCACTGGTGTGCTAGGCTTGAAGGCGTTGCAACAGAATGTCAGGAAACGGAAACGGGGGGATGGTTCTACAGACACGACAAATGCATCCATTCGGGTACAGCACTTCGGAGAGATCCAATAGTTTCCCTCTCAGTTTCATACATTTAACCGGGAAAATTGAGTGCATGCACTGCTTAATAATACTGTATTTGAATTGGTTACCATGAACTGTATTGGAAATGCGATAAGAATTTGTTTTTTCTCACATTAGGATGCAACGCTATTGTTCTGACGAAATCTGGGAAATAATCGACAGGAGGATAGAGATTTTGGTTGTTTCTATAATCCCTAAATTATTTTAACTGCGAAGTAGTATGTCCGCGCTTGCACTCTTTGTTATGATTGTTGATGGCTTTTGGCTACTAAAATCCTACTTTGAATAAAGGTTGACTACCTAACTTACTGATTTGCAATATTGGAATAGCGCCATTATTCCAACTGAAAGCCACAACTGCGGGCGTTTTACAGTCGCATGCGCGACGGAAATAGTTAGCAAAAAATCCTGAAAATATGTTAAGAAAATCAGGCGTGTGAGAAAAAAATCTAACTGTAAGCGAAGTGTAAGTACGCTTTGCTTCGCACCTTTCCCTGCCGGTGGTGGACAGAAGGCCCAGAAGCAAAGGAAAACGTGCCGTTGGTGGCAAAATTATAAGCAGTAAACTGAAAGGGTGGGAGTACTCAAAAGGGAAGTGGTACGGAGTGAAAACAGTCAATTGCAAAGAGAATGTTCGTTTTTATTTTCGAAATAGAGGGTGACAATAGCCGAAGGGAGCGAAAGCGGTGACAATATTGTCAAAAGGGAGTGTAGGGACTTCAGTCACGCGCTTTATAATATGTCTCACATAATTGTTTTTTGTATTTTAAAAGTAAAGGATGTTTTTCAATGTGTTAACGTAAAAAACCGTCAAAGCACAACACTGACAGAGATATGTATTGCATACTAATACGGTTGTTAAAAAAAGATTGCATAAGCTTATAAAACATTTTCACCGGTACATTATAAAATTAATTGAGCTCTTTTTGAATCTGGGGAAGAGTTTCAAAGCGTTGGCTCGATCAATGGCCAATAGATTTTCGGGTGACCCTTTTGCCGCCGCGTACTGGTCCCAGTTTACCGTCTCGCCTAATGTTGCAAGCAGTGGATTATATGGAAAATCCGTTGCAAATAAGATTCTTTCAGGTTGCGCAAAGTTTGTGATACCATCGAGAGTCAGTGGATACTTTGACGTTGCGATGTCGAAATACAACGTCTTTACTTCTTGCAGAACCTGGTCCGGAGTTTTCGTAAGACGCCCTGAACGATAGAACGAATTGGTGATACGCCCAAAAATGTACGGCAACGTGCCGCCGGCATGCGACACGATGATCTTCACATTCGGGAAATCACGGATAACATTAGACACCACCATGTCGATTATTATTCGCGTGGTTTCTTGGGGAAAATCCATTGTGGACACACTGAGATTAACCGTGGTGGATACCGGTTTAAGACTGCACCCGTATGTGGGATGAATAAACACAGTCGCGTTCCGGAGATTTACCGCCGCCCAGATATCCGTAAAATCTGGATGACCAAGGTAGTGCGTGGCGTTACCATAGCTAGTATAAAAGGTCACGCCATCGGCCTTCAAGATATCCAGTGAATAAGCGATTTCGGCCAGTGTCTCGTCTTTATCGAGTAGCGATGGGAGTGTGGCGAAAAATCCGTACTTTTGTGGATTGCTGTCGCGTAGACGCGCTCCATACTCGTTAACTTATTTGGAGATGGCAGCGGCCGTACTGGACGGCATGATGGTTGTTCCCGGTGCTGTTATGGAAAAGACGACACTGGATATGGAATTGTTCTGGTTGAACTGATCGTCCAGTTCTAACGACCAGTTGGGATTACCAAAACTCGTAGGGTCACCGCCATTAGCAAGAAAGGTCGCATCGTAGAAATCCGGAATGTAGTGGTGATGCACGTCAATACGCTGGGGTGTAATGGGAAAAGGAGCGAGTTTACCGTACAACAGGAAGAAGAGAAGGAAAATATAACAAGGGTGCATTTTACGTAAGTGTGAGCCGTTATGTTCACTTAAAAGCCAATCATATATACATAACAATGTCTCTTTACGTGCTTTACTTCGACGGAAGTAACGTAATTATCTCGAAAGGTGAAAGAAAGATTGATTTTACAACAAATTGCTCTACCGTTGACTAACATATAAATGCCGCACACTTATATGTGTAGACCATTTTGCCGTTTTGACCAAGCATCGGCAGTGGATAGCATCATTATTACTGTAATGTTGTTTTGAAAGATTTTGTAATGTCTAATAAATAAAATTTATAACATGCGTTACGGTATTCGACAACCTTGTCAGCGTAAAGTAATTGAGAAGCTGCTATTTTGGCACGCTATAATGGCTTTTTTAACTTTCGAGAAATATAGTGCAGCGCAAATCATCTGTAGAATCATTAGTTACCGCACTGCAACCCTAAAGGTTTGCGGTTACAGAGATCTGTGGCTGCAAATTGGCTCTGACAAAACGATCGTGTTAGTCACTACTGGAGCGGACAATGCAGTCCGCTACTGTCCGGTCGAAGCGCTGTCACGAGCTTACAAGAAAAACAAAAGTAAAGATTAATGGTGCTCCATAAGTCATAGTTACGCATTGTTTGCTGTGTGCTATTTTATTGCCCCAAAAGTAGGGTCACATTATGCTGTCACAGTGTGTTGCGAATGGCTTTCCAAACATGTACTTACACTCATACTTCGCTCATTCACATCGTATCTGTACACCCACTACGGTACATGGGCAAACCTTCGTTGAAATGCTTAAAATTACGCGTTCGCGTAAGATTTGCACTGTTGTACTTGCAATGCATTTCGCTGATTATCAGGCACTGTAAAATTAATACGTGTTCATACTCCTTACGGCACACCCTTTTAAGTGATATAAGACTGTATTATGTCAACTGGTATTGAAATGCACACCAGTAACAATAACCTGTTTTAAAACTATTACAGACTAATATAGGAATGCGATAAAAATTGGTGTCCGCTCTTTATGTTGCTGCTGTGTTGTACTGACGAAATCTTGGAAACAATGCCAAAGCGTTTTTACTGTTTACTGCCAGCAGATTCCCGGGTGACTCGTTCTTTTTCACGTAGTCATTCCAGTTTCTGGTTTCCTCTGCCGCTCCTTGCGGATTGTATGGAAAGTCAGTCCCAAACAAAATCCTCTCCGGCGCTGCAAACTTCATGATGGCATCCAGTGTCAGGTCATACTTGGACGTGGCTATATCGAAATAAATGCTTCGTACTTCCTCCAGAACCTGCTGTGGCGTTTTTGTAATTTGTGCAGACTGGTAAAACGAGGTGAAAATCCGTCCGAAGACATATGGCAATGTGCCACCCGCATGCGACACTATGATCTTGACATTGGGGAAATCACGGATGACGTTGGATGCAACCATGTCGACGATGGTACGCGTTGTCTCCTGCGGGAAATCCATCATGGAGACCGTCAGATTTACTATCGCTGACACCGACTTTGAGCTACATCCGTATGTGGGATGAATGAAAACTGTGGCGCTACGCGCGTTTAGCGCCGCCCAAACGTCCTTGAAATCCGGGTGACCAAGGTAATGTGTGGCGTTTCCGTAGCTTGTATATACGATAAATCCGTCGGCATGCAGTACATCTAGCGCGTATGCAACCTCCTCGAGCGTTCCGTTTTTGTCAAGTAGTGACGGAAGTGCGGCAAAGAAACCGTACTTTCGAGGATTCGTGTCGCGTAAGTACGAACTGTGTTCGTTGACCTTTCGTATAATTCTGGCAGTCTGGTTAGATGACATATTACCAGTTGCCGGCACGATGGCAGTGAAGATTACGTTGGTGATTGAGTTGTTCTGGTTAAACTGATCGTCTAACTGGAGTGACCACGCAGGATTGCCGGTGTTTGTTGGGTAACCTCCATTTCGGGAATCTTCGTTGGAGAAATCAGGAGTAAAGTGGTGATGGACATCTATCCGCTGCGGCTTTTGCCATGATGCAGCAAACGGTTTAATCTTAATAGGAGCTCCAAGAGTGGCTGCAATTAATGAGCATAAAATAAAACAGAAAAAATGTGCGGTCGACATGGCCATGCTAATAAATCTCTTATGCGTTACTGCATTTGTGCATGTGCTAAATTAAGCTGCTTCTCCACAACATTGGAACAGCAAGAGCTGTTGAGCAATGTGCTTATACACAGTACACTTGCTCTATCTGTATGTGCTTAAACTTCGGCGAATTTTGAGGACGGTTGCCTAACTGTCTAGTCACTCTAGTGTATGCATCGGCTATGTTAAACGTATTAACCTCAGCGGGCGAAATGCATTTTTTACGATATTTGTTATTATATATCGAACTTGCCGTAACTTGCATGAGTTGCAATAAACATCCTATAACTATGGGTGTTATAACCGCAGTTATAAGGCGCATTATTTTAAGATTTGGCGGCTTGCATCCACCGTGTCGTTTCGCCTTGTTCGCGATAAAACCGCTCAGCCTTCACTGTTCTCGCATGTGCTGTAATAGCGAAATGTTTTGTTTGTTTATTTAATTTGGTTAATGCTTGCGACGTTCAGGACGCACAACATAACAGCAAACGGCTTTCTTAACAGCAAAATTTCTACAAAAAAGCCCTAAGCTTCGATAAGATTTCAGAGGAAACAAAAAACTGGAGATGCGGGGGATTGAACCCCGGACCTCAGCCATGCGAAGACCGCGCTCTACCACTGAGCTACATCCCCATTCTCAAGAAAATTTTGACGACGGTTGCCTAACTGTCGCTAGAGCGGAATAAATTTGCGATACTAGTAAGTTTATGTTTCTGCTTTACAGTGTACATGTTTGCCGCGTGGGTGGTCGAGCACATAAAAAAAGATTGTAATGCTTTAGTATTGTGCGAGCATCGGCATTTATGTTAAATCATATATGTGTTAAAAGTTATATAGCTCACATTGCCGGAATAAAGTAACATACTGCGGGAAAAGGGTCGATCTGTATTTTCATGCATACAGTGCAAATACTTACGTTACATACTCGTACTGTAAGAAAGAAAAAGAGATGTGAGTGCGCTGTGATGGCTGCTGATACTTGTGGAGAAGTTTGATTCAGCTAATATACGTACATTTCATTCATAGATACATAACATACTTTTGTAACAACAAACAGTCAAACGTTAATATTTTGGTCTTTAAACACTTATGGTAGCCGAGTTATAGTAGTGGTCGGTCAGGCTGATGAAATAGTTCTTATATAAAGTACCGTACAGGACATATACGTACAGGATCATACTGAAGCCGCTGCGAAAACTATGGCCAATAGGAGGTCGTTGAAAAGTACCAATAAAGCGGTGCAGACGACGAGGATGACAATTTGGGCGCTGTTTGAGGTGCACGATTCTGCTGTAGGGAGTAGGGACACTGGCCCAGCTAAAGCGTGGTTCAGCCTTTCAATTTTTGTCGTGTAAGTAAATAAAAGATGTTCATTGAACAAAAAATTTTTGTAATGCTCTAAAGGGTTACGCAGGATTATCTCACCGGTCTTACTGATTCATTTGAATAGATAGCCATGGGTTGACTTGCCATGCGGTAATAAGAACGGCTTTATCAAGAACGATGTTGCGCTCGTGACTGCCAGCAACACTATTGGAATTTCATGATAGAAGAATTTAAAATTAACCAACCGTGTTAATTAACCAACAGCAAAAGCCATTATGTTTTTTACTGCGACGTTTCAGTTTAGCAGTAAATACTTTTAAACCGTTTGGTGTGACTGATATCAAGATGTAGAAACATTAAATCTTTTTCTGCAAAATGAGGTTTATAAACTTTGGGTACGCCGGTAAGTTAATGGGGTACCAGACTCGAAATCCACATTTAGACAGAAGCGCATTGAGTTTTATCTTTAATTACCTGACGGAACACTATCATTACGAAACCTAGGAAACAGCGCCAGTGCATTGTCGCCATTTATTAACAGCAGATTTCGCGGTGACCCCTTCATCTTCACGTAGTTATCCCAGTTTTTTGTTTCCTCCAGGGCGGCTCCTAATGGATTATAAGGAAAATCTGTGCCAAATAGAATTTTCTCCGGAGCGGCAAACCGGGTGATGGAATCCAACGTTATATCATATTTAGACGTCGCTATATCAAAGTACAGCGTTTTCACTTCTTCCAGAAACTGCTGCGGCGTTTTCGTAACTCTCCCTGACTGATAAAACGAGTTGACAATCCTCCCAAAAATATACGGCAGTGTTCCGCCCGCATGCGACACAATGATCCGGACATTTCGGAAATCCCGAATAATGTTGGACACGATCATGTCGACGATGGTTCGCGTGGTCTCCTGCGGGAAATCCATCGTGGAAACGCTCAGATTAACGGTCGCCGATACCGACTTCAGACTGCATCCGTAAGCAGGATGGATGAAGACGGTAGCATTCCGGATGTTTAACGCGGTCCAGATGTCGCGAAAATCCGGATGGCCCAGGTAATGCGTCCCATTTCCGTAGCTTGTATAAATCGCTACGCCATCAGCGTGCAGTACATCTAACGCGTACGTAATCTCCTTTATAGTCATATTTTTGTCCAGTAGTGATGGAAGCGTGGCAAAGAAGCCGTACTTTTCTGGATTTCGGTCGCGCAGGGTAGCGCCGTATTCGTTGACCTTTCGGGAAATGATAGCCGCCTGATTGGATGGCATGATGCTGGTGCCGGGCGTGGTTATGGAGAAGATGACGGCGGTTATGGAGTTGTTCTGGTTGAATTGATCGTCTAATGGTAGTGACCAATTGGGGTTGCCGAAATTCGTCGGATCACCGCCGCTGGCCAGAAGCGCTTCGTTATAGAAATCGGGAATGTAGTGGTGATGCACATCGATGCGTTGTGGTTGGTGGACAGATTTAGTTAAGGGATTGGTGGTAAGGGGTAGTCCGAGGGCAATTTTAGCAAATAAATACAAAAGCGAAAAGCGAACCACAACAATCCAAGAACGCATGGTATGCGGCATTTTACAAACTGGATCTTGATTAAAAAACTATTTTATACTTTGAAATTCTGTTAAAGTTAATTAAACTTCAATCAGATACTTAAATGGACAAAATTGTTGTTTATCAATAGGCTAAGTAATAACAGTATTAAGTCAAAATATTTGTGTATATGATAAAGACTGCAATACACGGAGGTGATTTAAAAGAATTCTTCACAGTCTGTAGTATCCAAAAAACGGTGCCGGACTTAAAAAAAATGCAGCGCCATGCTGTAGGTGCACCAAAAGTCCAATATTTGCCATTCTCGTTACCTGTAACATTGCATTATAGTGCGTTGAATTATGGTAATGCAAATGTAGCATACCATAAATTCATAATCCTGGAGCAAAGCAAATTTCACCCGGCATTCACTGTAACGTTTTGCTGTTACACGCAGAATTAATTGTATCGTTTTCCGGAATGTTATCGCGACAGACAGACAAGTTTGCTCACACTATGTCTTGTTATTGCCGCCATGCGTCAATCTAGCGTTTATTAGCGCTCCTCCATATGTATGCTTTACTTCCTGGAGCAAGGAGTCGGCATCCTTTGAAAATTCATTCAGATGCCGCTAGGTACTTGTAAATATCTTTAATAAAAATGCACTACATCGACTCCGAGGGGAATGCTACGTAGTTTTGGCGTCGGTCAGTGTGTAGTGTGTACTTTTTCTATGTACTGTAATCAATTCCTCGTGACAGTATAATTCAATTACGGTCTCCTTCAATTCATGTGATATTGTTTTTTTTTGTCTACATTGGCGTACTTGTACACGTACACTACACAACGCATACTACGAGTACTACGAGTAGTGCTGTATTATGTGTCTGTATGTGTTCTTTACAGCTACATATGTCGCCTAGTATTTCTGCCACATAATTGTAAGAATAACTATTAACTATATTTTTACGGGAACATGTTTCTAAACGTCTAATGGAAGATTCGATTTTCTACGAAAACTAATAAACTGTTTTTCAAAAATTCCAGTAGATATGTATCTCAACAGAGTAGAATTTTACATACATTTGTATTTGTACTTTTACACGTAATACATTTTTAAAATGGCTGTTTATGGAAATGTATATTACACTGTATTTCCTGATTATGGAGTATGGCAGTACCGTGCATAATCTGTAGAATTTCACAATTTAATAACAATAGTCATGCACTATATAGATATATAAGCTGTACATAAAGGCAATAGAATGTTATATTAATTGTTACACATTTTTGGGCGGGACAGTAGCGACCATTTATCTGTATATTATAAGGTAAGCGATCTAACCGACTAAAACACATACAACACAAATATTATATCGATCGATAATGTCAAGGTCAAAGTCGTCCTCGTGCTTTTTTGGAAGTTGTTTGGTTTGTCGCATTAGCGGCCCTGGTCCAGACGATGCCCCTTGCTGATTAGCGGGAAAACCAAGATTATCATCAGCAAAACACGGTAAATATAGCCGAAAACAGCAGCTTTGCGGGGCATGAAGTTTGTACGTAGAGACAGGGACCAGAATAATTGTCCTTTAATCCGGATTTTTGCGGCATCTTTACGGCATCCGCTAGTTTCTGTAACCCATATCGAAAACAGGTCGATAAAACGATGCAGAAAACCATAATTTCTCTCGTTCTTCTACTGGTGGCCGCGTGCACTGGTGAATTAATAACATTTTAAATGTTTAATCTGTTTGGCTTATTCGTATGACTGACTAATGACATATGTCGATATATTAATTTTTTGTGTCCATTTTTTACAGCTTGTGAAACGATTTGTTTTAACCACATGCATTCACAGTTTATATGGTTCTTTAGTACGATGTGCAAAAAACAGTTTCCGATGTCCGGATTTGACCAGTTGCGGACCGGGTGTTACACCCACCGTGTGTGAAACCCACCCGTGCGGAGATACACAATGCAAGAATCATCCCACCGCTCAGTGCTGTCATAATATGTGCAAAGGATGTGAAGCCGCTTTTTATGAAAATGGCGTGGATATTACTAGCAAGTGTGGAAAGTAAACACTGCAATTTCTGCATTTCCACAACTATGTATGAATGATCACACTATGTAACTCGTATAATATTATTAATCTTAAAATTATGATAATGATTATACAAATGCTGCGTTTTCATCAAAATATTATACGAACATGCGAAAAGTATTCCTCACCCTAATTTCTCTCGATGTGTGATAATTATGAAGTAAGAAAACGGGACGAGTATATGCACAATTCAGGGTCGGTTTATTGGTTTATTAACAGCTGGTCGGGCATTTACGGGTCACGAAAAGAGCTAATCCGATCACGCAGCGTAAATCTTGCTTGCTGTACGTCCTGCGGATACACTATACTGCAGAATCCGCGCTACGTACTCTGTAATAATTAGACACCGTTTTAATTGCCGGCATGGAATGATGCGTGCTTTTAAGTGCAATTCGGCCTTGTACACTTCTTTCCGGACTTACATGCACCGGTTTCGACATCTTCATGAAGCACCGGAAGCTGAGGTATCCATCCTGTTTTCCTCACAGCTGGCTTGGTACGACTGATACACTATACAGTGATTTTGTTTACCGTGCATTGCTATTATCGTGATTAAACTGAACTCTCAGGAGCGCCTTGTGTATAACTAAAATATTAATCTTCCGTTCTCCGGAAGCAATCGTGAGATGAATTCTGGCGAATATTAACAGACCATCTGATGGCATAGTTTTTGCACGAAATATTAACTGATGTGGTAAATTATTAAGTTCTCTTGGAAAGCAACAATCGGCCCCTATTTCTTAAATAATTCTGTATATAAAAACAATTTAAAATGTATAGTAATAAAACCAAGTGTGCGACAGTTTAATCAAGCAAACAACCTCGAGCGTTATGTCATACGTCAACATTCTATAAATTCGACGTCAATTTTCTCGCCGTTGAAGCAAATTAAAAAATATTCAGGGTTACCATAAATTATTAATATTCGATATAGTCCACCAGTTTTAAGAGACGTGCGTAAATAATAATCACAACCTTGTTCGAGTGAAAACAAGGAATGTTAGATTGAACTTAATTTTAAAGGTTAAATATTTAAATAATCGTAGCGTTATGTAAAAGGTGACTCGCGCACGTATCAGAATGAGCGCTGACGTACATTATCATCCACAGTGATCAGTGTTTAAACATTAACGACTAAGGAGAATTAATGGTGGATATTCTTATTCCGCATTTTCCCTGACAAGAATGCACTTGAATAATAGATAAAAGTATTAATCAGGAGATTCAGGTCGGCACTCGGCAGCAGCGCTCGACTGTACCCCTTTTCGGGACACTTACAAGCACCACCGATAGATGAGAGACTGCTCAGCTGGCGGCGCAGTTGTCCTCCAACAGCAGTATATACCGCGCGGCACTTCCGTCGCAGATTGATTACCGCACGGTGGATTAAGCCATTTGTATTCACATGTATATTCCGCAGTTTTGCCGGCACACGATGTGATTACAGCTGTTGCAATGGGGGCAACCGTTTGGCTCAAGTATGACATCTTTATACCCCTGACGGATGAAAAGTAATACGGTGAAGTGGGAAATGTTGGAAAAATGTCCAACTTTAACGCCACTGTATTCAATTGTACAGCTGTGCAAATGGGCAATCGCTCATTAAAAATTGCTCATGTTGTTCTACTGGGCGCGCGCTTGTCATGCTGGGATAGCCGTTAACACCCGAGCCGTTGTGCGGCGCGGGCGCGTTGGTAATTCCGACCACGAACGTTGGCTTCAATGAAGAAAAATTACTTGTGCAGATTAGTGTGTTGGTAGGGATTAGCATGCGCCTGTAACTGTGTGCAGTGTCAATGGTGGAATTTACACATTACACCACGGGTTTGACGTCAATTCAGCACTGGACGCTCTTATGTAATGCCGGTCGACTTTGCGGCTGGCTGAGCTGTAATACCGTTATTGCTCGCGTGGATTTGGAAGAAATCGGCAATAAATTTAATACCTGATTAATTGTGCGGATTTCCTTTACGCCCACCAATGGATTTTTGTTTCGCTCACCGCGCCGAACCGGGTATGTATGTACTACCGGTATTACCGAAAGGTCATAGCGCTAAAGTGCTTATTTTGCATTAAATTTAATTTTAAATATTTTCATGCTTATTAATGTTAATAAAAGTTTCTTGTCAAGTGGAAAATGGTGAAAGTTTCAACAGTATTTTCACTGGAAAAATGACGGTGCGGATAATCGCTTTTAGCCGTGTACGTATATCTGGATCCGTTTTACGAAAATTGCTGCAACTTGTTCTGTTTTGAATGAGCGTAAAAAGGCCGGCGCACCGGAAGCGCTGTAGGCGCTACTCATCTGATATAATTTGTCCCTTCATGCGTTGGCTTTTGATGTATTCACGCATTGAAATTGAATTATGTTTAGAAGGACATTAGTACAGTGGTGCGCTGCTGTTTTCACTTTCAAGTGTAGTGTTGTATTTCATAAGTGAGTTGTGCTTGTAATTGCTGGATTGAAACTACAATCAGTGAATTTCCAAAATAGTACAGCGTTTACTTTACTGCTTTGCATAATGGACAGTCTGGAAATACAGTATGTACAATTTGTTCAGAAAAGTGAACCTGGCAAATGCTTGCCGTTATCCCATCTGTTATTTTATATTTTTCATAAATTCAGGATTTGTATTATTTGCGTGACTGTTGCGTATTTTTATATTTTAAAGAAGATTAAAAAAAAGTTTCACTAAAGGATGCTCTTCCAGACTAACAAGCTTGTCGGACATGTTGGAATATAATTGCTTCCGATTCTTCTTGGTATTCTATTAATGGCCGCCAACAATTTTGAAGCGGATTTCGGAGCGGAAATGTCCATGACGGACGGCTATAATCAGAGTGCTTTCGATCCGGGAATCTACATGGGCAACACAACGCCTCTGGTTCCGGGAAGTGCCGGCACATCCACGCTGTCACGTGCCACCATGTTTCCGTTGACCTACCGTCTAATTGGGACGATAATCCACAGTTTGATCTTTATTGTGGGCTTCTTGGGAAATGTCATGATTGTTATTGTCGTTAAAAGCACCAAAACGTTAAGAACTCCCACTTACTGCTATCTGGTACGTATTCCGCACAAGTACAAAGATTCCTTAAGCTGCAGTAGGTAGTTAGTTCCCTTCACTCGTTTCAACGGTAATAAAATTATTCGAATTAGAGAGCGTCGTACATTTTCTGCCAATTTAAAATAAAGTTAGTGAACCCAATATTGATGTGAATTAAATGGACATGTTAGTATCTTCGTTGTTGGCTCCATATAAACCGAGAAATTTGAAACAGCTACGAGTATAATGTGCGTTATAACACATTTAAAATTAAGATTTTTAAAAGATTTTTTCGTCGCTACTACTTATAAAATTAAGTACTACTTAGAACAATATTTGCTGTGTGTTGCTCCTAAGAAAATTGTAATAATTAACTGCAAATTTTCAGTGGTAGCAAGCATTTTAATGATATAGACGAGTTGACATATTTATAAATCAAAATAATTATATTGAAATTATTGTATTGAAATTGGGACTGTAAAGTACGTACACAACTGTAGTATGCCTGCGCTTGCATCTAGTAATAATGCTTTGATGGATACTGCTAGTAAAGCACAATACGTATAGCAGAAAATTTAATTAATATTCTACTGCGCATATTTATTTCAATTTTTTTTCGATGTTAACATACCCCTTTTGAAAGCTTCGATCGCCTTATGGTTAACCTGGCTTGCGCTAAATATTTTTGATTGATATCGGGATCAGTTTACCCACGCAACACCATTCATCACACTTACTGTAACAATTCCGTATTTGTTTTTATCGTAATAAATTCCGAGTAATCTTTCACAAAATGCTGAAATTTTGGCAGATTTTGCGCATTTCTCACCGTTTACACCAATTATCTCCAAAGATAATTACCTATAATTACACCGATATTTACACAGCGCTGTCAGTATACTTATGGTATTATGACATTTTCTTAATAAAATAATCCGCAATACCCGGCAGCTATTCCGCATAAGCCGACGCGCGGCGCTTACATTCAATAATCGGTTAAATTTCCCAGTGCCGGTCGCCGCAGCCTGCAAAAAACCATATATCACGTATATGATTAATATCGATTTCCAATTGTCACCACAGCATTTAGCACAGCAGCCAGATTACCCACTCTGGCGTGCCTGGTCTGCTAGATTAGCCGTTTAATTAATTTAGTGCCCTTTTGCTGTGCGCTGCAGCTAAATGGGGTGCTATTAGACCGCGCGGACTAGGGGAGGCCGGTGCAATTCAAATCATCCGGCCGGGCGCCTCTGCCCAGGGGTAGCGCTCTTTGTTAGATTGGAAAGTGGTCCCATGCATCCGCGCATCCGCCGATGTTGATGGGACAAGGTCGAGCTGGCGCATGGCAATCATAAGTTATATGCGGTTACGTAGCCACGGCGCAGCGTGTCAACACAAATCCCGCGTCTCACTGACTGGTTAATTGTCTTATAGTGTTTTATTATTTACATATGTTATACGCTTCTTAGAATTCCTTCCCTTATGTTTATGCAGATGTTTGCGGACCGTGAGCGTTGCGGTAAAAAGATAAACGCATTAGGGGCTAGAGCACTGATTATACACGTCGATACGCTAGAGAGACAGACAACAAATGCTTTCCATTAAACAATTATTTAGATTACTTTTTTCTAAGCATTGTTGGCTTAGTCGGCCGGCGCCTGTTTAGAATGCTTGACGAGTCAGACAACATTATGGGTACTTAACAGGTGGCATGGTGTGTTTGCGTTTTTAACGTTCTTCAGCAACTATTAACCGGAAATGCTAGTTTCAAGTTCGTATTATAATATTCTGTCGGTCCACACGAATAATTCGCAACTGATATTAAAATTCTCATCCGTAGGACTGACCACAAAACATATCGATTTCTGGACTGATTATATCACTCAATCGGGAAAATACTGTAGCAAATACTAGAGGCAGCATTTTTCCGATCATTTTTTGGACAATTAAGCAAGATAAAGTTATTTGTGCAGTTTTACTGTACCAGAAATTATGGCTCTGTGGCTGCTGAAAAACGTCACTTTGACCACACCCTCTATCTGTATAGTCTATATCGAAACAATTTGTGGCGACAACACGACATAGCGAGTAAAGGGGTTGCAATTATTCTTGTAATCGTGCCAACTTCTATACTGTAGTTATCGGGCACAGACTACAGTGTAGCAAAAATCAACGTAACTGTCGTGTAAATAAAGCTTTAATTTCCCATCTAATCCACCTAACAGTTTGTGTTTGCTGACGCAATAGTGTTGTCAACGACAATGGAGGTCAAACGTTTCCGAAGATTTATGGTTGAGGTATTTTTAAAGAATAAAACCCGTAGATGTCACTATCAAATCGGAAATACAACGATATTTACTACAAGTGCTTCATTCATTCAGACGAAGTAAATATTTAATGAACTTAGCGTAGATGCCTTTGCACTTTAACTGGCGCCCAGAATTGTCAAGATGCCTCTGGAGTTTGTAAAAGGTTTAGTTGCAACAACGGTTTGCCGGGAAATTCTTAATGGCTGCATTGGGATTACGTACTCTAATGATGGTGAATATTAATTATTAGGTCTCCTTGGCTGTCGCCGACATCCTTCTCGTATGCTCCACCATACCGGAAGCAATACTGTCGTATCAGTTGTACAGCAAACAGTGGGTGTTAGGTCACTTTGGATGTTCTTTAATGGCATTTACATCCTTCCTTGCAATCAATGCCGGATCAATAAGGTACTTAATTGCACAGACAGGAAGCGAAGGCCGTAGTTAAGCTTGCCTGTCAATGTACCCATGCAGTGCCGTAATGGTTAATTTTAAACTTTCTGTGTTTGCAGCATTCTGGCTTTTACCGTCGAGAGGTAAGCAAACGAAGCCGTTTCCAAAAGCTAAAATATATATAAATTTTTGAGAATGGGATAAATTTTTCATTCGATTAGTTTCTTGTGACACTGTCCTTTTGTGCCGTTTTGAATTTTTGAATTAACCATGATAATTATCACCAGCCCCGCTGTAATTGCTATAATAATCATTTGTATTAGCGGTCAGCGACCAGTGAGTGACCATAATCATATAATGTATACCAAACACTTCCAGAGCAGGCCTAGAGTTTCGTGTTGTTTCACGCGACACGCACTAGCTTTTGCAACTCTGTAAATTTGTACGGCGGCGCTCGAACCTTTTTAACGCGATACAGCAGCGCGCTTTTGTCAAAACGTAGTAAGGTGAAACTTTTGGGTAAACTACCTTTGCCCGTTAGACTGTCCTTTGGCTACGTGTTGAACCTAAAGAACTGAGCTACAGTGGACTACGAGGACCTTACAATGCATTTATTTACATTTTTCGAAACGCTGACCTCTTAAGCTCTTTTTGCTGATACGCTAATCGGCACCAATATTGTTCCAGATATATTGCTATCTGTCACCCCATGCTGGCGCAGAAAGTCTGCACGGTGAGCAGAGCACGGCGCATTATCGTCATCCTGTGGTTAATCGTCTGCCTATACTGCGCTCCCTGGTTGGGTTTGGCTGTAACCAAGCCCCTCCTCCTCTCCGACGTGCAAGGCCTCGAAACATGCGACTACCGTCTCCCGCGCAACCTTTACCGGTACTTCTTCGTGCTGGACGCCACCGTCTTCTACTTCATCCCGCTGACCATCTCCGTGATCCTCTACAGCCGTATGGGCTACGTTCTGTACAAGAGCATCAAACAGTCGACCATACGCAAAGGAATCCAAATGAGTGCCGAGAATAGCTTTAGTTTCGAGCGCTCCGAACTCCGCAGTTCCCCCTACCTGGATCAGCGGCGGCCAACCGAGTACGATTTGAAGAGAGCCGCGAATAGCGCTGGTAACAAGCGCTCCGAAATGTCGTCCACGGATAACTCCCGGATCCAGGGCGTGCGGATGCTGGTGATTGTTGTGATAGTGTTTGCAGTATTATGGCTACCGTATCGCGGACTGCTGGTGTATAACTCCTTTGGGAAGAAACCGTTTATGGATAAGTATTTTGTGCTGTTCGCCAAAACCCTTGTGGTACGTGCTGCTTGAGCGAATTTTTTTCTTTTGTTGGTGAATACCGATTGAGATAGTTTTATTGCAGTACTGCAACAGCGCGGTAAATCCATTCCTGTATACGGTTCTTAGTCGAAAGTTCAGAATGGCGTTCTTCCGCATTTTGCAAAGGTGAGTGAATGTTATCACTTCAGTTAATTATTCACTAGGCAAATCACACCGCGAAGGAGCTAACACAAGCCGAAAATTGTTAGGCTTTTTTGTATTTACAGGTGGTTTCGCAAGAAGCCTTCACGGAATCGACCATACGAACAGTGCGTCTCTTCATCCAATTCCAATGGCAAATCTGTGATCAAAAGCGAGGAAACAATGACACTGCACCCTTCGTATGCAGCGGTCTAATTCGATTAAAATTTTAAATTTACTGTTTTGCTCTGCAGCTGTTGCTAATTGTTGTAACTACGCAATACTGCAATCTGAAAATGAATAATAATCGCACATATATAGAGACACTATAAGTTTATGGCATAGAGTATTTGGATCGTGAACATTCAAAAATAAATGGCATCTTATGCGTCATGAGCAAGTTATACTGTTCTTTCGGAGATTCTGCTGTAGACGGCACAAAAGAAAACAGCGCCCGCTTGTCAGGTGACATTCATGAAGCACAATTCTGAAAGCCGCTAAATTCTTGTGGAAATTCCGTACGAAACACATCGGAAGTAATTGGGCGTTCGCGGGTAGAACAGGTCGGCGGCGCGGCGGCATATGCGAAATCGAAGGTGCAGGTGATGACCTCACCGGTTCGAGCTTCCGATATCCCTACTTCCACCCGAATGCCCCCAAACAAATTACTTTTCCGGTAAGGGTTCACAATGGGAGGTGGCTCGGTGTGGTGAATGTAACGGTGTGGCAGTTGCTTCGCCAGTGTCGATCCAGCTGGATTTCGCGGTCAGCGCTTCTGACGGAAAATCCTCCAGTGTCCGGCGGCATAACAATAGGCGGCGACTGCAGTTGATCGAGCATGTGACCACGGACGAAATAACGTGTTTCGGGAGTGCAGGTCGGCGGCGCGGCGTCATATGCAACCTCGAGGGTGCAGGTGATGACCTCACCGGCACGAGTATCCAATACCCGTTTCCGCCCGACTGCCCCAAACAATCTGTCCGGTCCGGTAATGGTTCTCAAGCTGAGGGAGCCCGGGATGTTGAACGTAGCGGTTATGAAATGACATCGTCAGCGGCCGACCTGGTGGGTTTTGAGAACCTGCACACAGTTGGATGCGGCCATCGTAGCATCAGTCGTATCACGTCATGTATGGGAATGGTCGGCAAGCAGTCCGGTGAAGGCGGTGTTGGGGCGCGAGAACCCGCCTCCACAGTCACTGCCGCCTCAGGGATCAGCTTTCGTGCAGTCGAAGGCCCGGTGGCTGGAATCCCCACAACGAAAGCAAGTGTGAGTCCGGTGCGATTTGCAGGGCGTCGTGCAGCTGCCGAAATTGAAGTTGCGAAAAATTTCTCCTTCAGCAGCGGGAATGTTTTGGAGGGGCTTCCCGTAACCCGGTTGCCCCTTTCGTGGCAGTGGACATCCGCTAATAAAGTGCCCCGTTAAGCCACAGTTGCGGCAAGGTATATAGGGTTAAACCTGGTAGCGCAGAAGTCGGGAATCTGATGTATAAAAATTCAGTAATTTTCGGCACGTTTCACTCAAAGGCATCAAGTTGTAATTAAGGGCCCAAACGTATGGCACGGCCTACAGCCTAAACCGCTTAGAATTTTTCAAAACCGATTGCACATTCTCTGTCTAGTTTTTCATGCTCTTCATGCTCGTTATCGATTTGATGAGAAATTATGATTTATGCATAAGTCAAATTATGAATATGAGTGAGCCTTATATAAGTCGTAGCAGCAATCGGAGTGAGTGCGGTTGTAGGGCGCAGACAGACTGCTCCGTGCGCGCGGCCTGCCTGGCCTCGATGTCTACATGCCCGATTCAAACCACATTTCTACTACTTTACTCGACTCAGACGTTTTTTGGAATTTCGATAAACAAATTGCAGATTCAGAATCAGCGTAAAATTCTACGAAGGCTTTGTGTCTGTTAAAAGTTTTTAGCTTTTATGGATCGTCCGCAAATCCTTGCCATACGTTTACAACTTGATGGCCGTTTCGGCCATTGTTTTTCTTTTGTCTTTCGAGAAATGTTAACGAGGTGTGACGGCAAAAAAAGTACTGAATTTTTAGACGTTCAGTCGCGCTACCAGGTAACCCTATATACCTTGGTTGCGGCATTCGTCGTCCCTCTTGTGCTCCTTTACGCGGCGAGTATTGTCAGTCAGCTCCGACCGCGTGTCAGCCTGAGCCAATGCGAAACAAAGCAATACAGGGGAATTTGCCACGAATTTAACTTCACTTAGCTAGCTAACTGTCCTTTATATTACGCCAACTCTGTGGTATACAAAGGATAACAAGTGAAGGCGTCTCTTTCGTTTAGTGCGTTAAAGTATACCTGTATGCCTTGCGCGCATATCACAATAATATGTATGCCCACACAGAGTACGCAACGCTTTGAACGCTTGAATAATATGTACGCAACGCTTTGAACCTATCACGGTAAAATTGCTGTCAGAAGCCCTGACAAAGCGCTCCCGCCCGTCACGAATATACGCATCTCCAGGTTGTACAACCATTCTGCGTAGGTTAATAACTGAGAAAAGGGTTCTAACAAAACCGTTGAAAATATCCGGAGACGCAAGCAAGGTTTGGCTGACACTTCGCCTACAGCCAATTAGCATTGGATCATCCTTTATGCGCTGAATTGTAGAGTGATTTCATCATCATGACAATTAAAAGCATCTATTACTCGTGCTCAACCACGTACAATACAAACAAGTATTGCCAAAACGTGGTGCTGACGCTAAATAGAATATAAAGTCACGCAAAGGGAGTTCTCCGATTTTACTGGTATTTCACCGTTTTCTCTTTGCCTCCATGATTGTGAATTCATACGGATTAATCTTTCTGGTATGTAAAAAATTTCATATATATAAAACATATGATCACTGCGAATTTCAATCACGTAGCACATAACTTCAGGAGATGGATATATTATGTTAAACAGTTCTCTTGTAAAGACGGTTACCCTAAAAATCAAAGTAATCTTCCATCCATGTAATATTATGGTCCCTCCAAGCCACAAATCAAAGATTGGTACCTACTTCTGCGGATAGTGGAAAAAACCTTTCCATTATGAATAATACGCAGCAGATTAGAACATACTTCTGCCATATGAATGCTACCAACTCTTCCCGTCCTGGAAATGTACTAGCCAAAGTTCCGTATTCCACGGCTGTTGCCTGGGTCAGCATTACTATGACCATGACCATGGCTGCGACGGTAACCATCATATTGCTCCTAACCGCCACCTTACGCTACCACAATCTGCGAGCGGGAGCCGGCCGCTTAATCGCACATCTTCTCTTCATCGACTTCTTCATCTGCGGCTTCACGACACCCGGCTACATGATCATAATCTTTCTGGATCTCGTTGGGATTAAATACACCATCAACTGCACCGCCTGGGTGACAATCCGGCTTATTAGCACTCATGTTCAATATCTGGCATCCATGTTTTTAGCTATAAATCGGTTAGTAGCCATCACCATGCCCCATCGCTACAAATGGTGGACACGCCGACCAGTCATGTTCGCCACGATGGCGTTGTCGTGGTTCATTTCCATCTCTGTGAATATTCCACCTTTATTCGGTTACGCGGTAGCATTGGGGAAATATCCACCGCTGATGAGCTGCACAGTGAAACCGTTGGAAGACAAGGTGTTTATTGTAACCTCCAGTATCGGATCACATATTCCCATTGCGACGCTGTGTGTGATATACATTTTTATCGCGGTGTACACGATCAGATTGAAGAATTCGGTTCATTCGGGCAAGCAGATGCTGCGCCGGATAAAGGTCGCACGGATGCTGTTTGTGTCGTTTGCGTTTTATTTCGTCTGCTTCCTGCCGATGAGTGTGATGCCACCGTTTTTCCCGAAGATTATCTTTACCATGCCGGCTGTTATGCTATGGCTGATTGCTCTGCAGATCCTGGGATTTAGCTCAAGTCCGGTAAGGAAGCTCATTAATCATAGTACCTAAATAATTTTGTTATCTGCTGTCACTATTGGTGTGCCTCTTCAAAATGTGACCTTTGCTGATAGACCGCATTTCAACTGACGAACGCACGTATAAGAAACTTTGTATCCACCTATGGTTTATAGTACATCTCTTTCGACAGTTCATTTTCCTGCTGATGAACGATGAGTACAGGAGGAGCGTGCGAGCACTGCTTGGAGGACCTTCCATACATCCAACCCCTACTACAATAGGGTATACGAAATCGGTTAACGGGAATCGCAGCGTGACGTTGAGCCACACTGGGAATAGCGAAACGGTTGACTGTCGTTCGAGAGTCGTTAAAGCTAAGTCAGTCCGAATTAAGCTACAAAACGTGGATTATGTCAGCCACGAATGAGGACTGCTTAAGACACGAGGGCTTTGATTCAGAATGTGATTCTGATTTAGCACAAGAAAATATGTATGTACGGAGTTCTGTTGAACGCTCCTGTAAATTTATGATTCAAATTTGTTCTTATGAACGAGATTTTCTTCGGCATATCTCGAGTCATAAGTATTACTGTATGTGTTTTCTGTTTAAATTGGCAAAGTTATATCAATAACAAAGCCATCTGTTGGCGCAGAGATTTGCTTAATCTTGCATGCAGTCTTGCTTGTTTGCTTGATCCTGCTCCTCTGCTGGCGCAGAGAGGTTGATTTCTGTACTTCTGTAAGTACATACTTACACAGTAGTTAAAATTAAAAAAATACGACTCGATTCGAAAAATATCTTGATTCGAATGTGGGCAACGACACTATAAAACCAACAGTGCAAATTTTGTTTCGGCTTATTAAATATTTGTTACAAACTTACAGCACAAACCTAGTGTGACTGCAGTTATAATCCTGCAATTTCCACAACAGTACGTCATTTAATAATATGTTAAAAACAGCTAGCGTCTTTGTACGTATGTAGAACTCGTATATCTATATTTGTTTGTAAACAATGCAGGAGGACGCGCATATCCGCATCGCAGCACCATCCCTGCAAGGCAATAAAAAACGTTTTAATGGACTTGCACAATACACTATACAGTCATTTGAGAAGCGTGCTCGCAGGAAGTAAAGCATCGAAATGAGATATATACTGTAGGTATGTTTGTACAACCCTTTTAGCAACTCTAATCTGCAGCAAACACTAATCAGTGTGGATTTTTCATCTTCTAGGAATCAGGTTTCTCAGTCAAATCTCTTGGGGAAATCTTCTTGGGTGGGCCCAGCAAACACCTTACAGCGGTACACATTAGTTAGTCAGGTCTCAGGTGACCTCAATTAAGGTGCTTATTGTGCAAAAATGCACCGTTTATTTTTGTACATACTGTGATCTGAAACATTGTGCATTGTCCATAAGGAACAAAAACAGGAAGTTACTTTTCCTGTTATGTATATCTGGACATCAGGTCTATAAAGCCGATGGCCCTATAGCACAGTTGCTTTAAGTGTAATGCTGAAAACCGTCAATAGAAGGAACGAAGAACATTTACCGCACTCACGCACAACAGCACAGTGTAGAACCGTCACCGAAACTGCTGCTGTTTGTGAGAGTCTTATTTCGTTGTTGTCTGCTTAATAATTACGACAGTTTCCCCTCGTACCATAAAATTAATTCGCCTCCTCATTAACACTGCTGCTAACTATTGTTGTTCGGCTGGCGCAACCGGAAACTGGAGTGTTCCGCACATACGTTCAGCGAAAATTCTGACTGAGTCCATAAGCCGACTGACGCAAATTACACTTATTATCTGCCCCGTCTCCAGTTTACGCGTTGTTCGGGGTTTACGTAAAAGCGACTGCCGCTGCAGACATTGATAATGTTGAATGAGTGCCGTCCATTAAAGGTTGTCGAAGGATTGTTTAAATTCCACTGTAACCTGTGGACCCTAATGTAGTGCGCGTTTTAACACGTTTCGGTGACAAATCGTTATGCTTGCATATTTGAATGCGTAAGTAGTAAGTACTAACTAAGCGCCATGAACAGTACGCATCACGCTTTCTCGTCTCATGCCAACTCCACCAACTCGTCTCGACCGGGACTCGTCCTGCCCAAAGTGTCCTACAGCATGGCGGTGACCTGGGTCAGCCTGACCATGACCATGACCTTTGCTGGCACGGTCACCATCATCCTCCTTCTCACCGCCACCATCCGCTACCGCAGTCTGCGCGCCGGAGCGGGGCGCCTGATCGCGCATCTCCTGTGCATCGACTTCTTCATCTGCGGCATTACCACACCCGGTTACATGCTTATCATTTTTTTGGACCTGGTGGGCATCCCGTACACCATTAACTGTACCGCCTGGGTGACGATTCGTATGCTCAGCATCAACGTGCAGTACTGGGCGTCCATGGTGTTAGCCGTCAATCGTTTGGTGGCCATCGCTCTGCCTCATCACTATAAAGTGTGGACGCGACGGTCGGTGATGCTGGCGATGATGGGCATGTGCTGGGTGATCGCCATTGCCATCAATTTGCCACCGCTATTTGGCCACGCGTATTCACTGGGAAAATATCCACCGCTGATGAGCTGTACAATGAAACCGCTGGATGATATGCTGTTTCCCATAATTTCGAGTATTGGCTCACATATTCCGATCGCCACATTGTCTGTCGTATATATTTTTATCGCACTCTACACAATCAGATTGAAGAATGCGGTTAACTCGGGGAAACAGATGGTGCGCCGGATAAAGGTCGCACGGATGCTGTTTGTGTCGTTTGCGTTTTATTTCATCTGCTTCCTGCCGATGACTGTGTTGCCTCCCTTTTTTCCAAAGATTATTTTCACTATGCCGGTTGTCATGTTGTGGTTAATCGCGTTGCAGATACTGGGATTTAGTTCGAGCCCGGTAAGAACTAGTTGACCTTTAAGTTAGCAGTTTTGTAAGTGTTTGTTTGCAATAAAACATTAACTGAAAACTTCACTTACAAGTGGGCTAAAAAATTGAAAAAAAACACTAGCCAGTAAGATACTCCTCGTATTACGTTTTTCTCTCTTTTATAAACTTCGCCAGAATTTTGCATTTGGAGCCGAGCAAGCTGTGCTCTGCTGTAAAACGTTGTTAATTCAGCACACAAATTTTTAGTTCATTTTTCTGCTGATGAACGATGAGTACCGGAAAAGCCTACGGGCGCTTTTTGGAGGACAGTCGATTCATCCGCGATGACGATAGGATATACGAGATCGGTTAATGGAAAGCGAACCGTGACGCTTAGCGGTTCCACCGGATCAGCGGCATTTCGTTTGACTACCGTTAATGGAAGACTCAGTCAAAAACACTCCCCGGAAAAGTCTATGCCTGGCGTATACGATATCAGCCAAGATTAAAACGGTTGATGTTTTTAACCAATTTGTACGGTACCCTGTCTATATGGGGATGGTGGAAGAAAGCATCAAGCAACTGTCTTCTCTGTATTCTACGATTTCGCAGCTAACGGCTTTCGCGTATCTTCGAACAGAAATTTGCTGGATTTGCATGTAGCAGCTATAGCAACACCGCTAACGAGTGATTTATTTTTATGAATCTTGTGTTAAATTAATTTTATGGCACATGACCATGATCCTAATAATATTTAATCTGTTGTAATACAAATAATTAATTCGCAGCCTAAAAATTGCGGCAGCAATGCTGTGCGTTTTCGACGTGCGGAGCAGTGTAGATTGTAGAAGTCGGTCAACTGTTAAACGCAGACGGGTTGTAAGATCCAGATTACACGAATCTGGAAAAAGTCTGCATGTGGAAACGCTTACAGAAGTCGCTGGATAATCTATAGCAAACACGAAGAGTGTAGCATATGTACTTTTGATTTGCCCAAAGATTATTTAATCCAGATTATTTACCTTTATACCGCTATCAGTTGAATCAAAGCGCAAACTTGACAAGCATATACTGCACAAGTATGTACTCTGTACGTGCGTGATTCAATATAATTATTTGCCGGGGCCGAAGGCAGCGACCGTTCTGTCTCTCTTCTGGTCTCATTATTTCTAAATATTAATTCTTTACACGTTTTGCGCAAGTACCTGGGAGTACTGTCTGTATTATCATCGGGTTCCAACTACTACTTGAATTTGCAGAAACATGTTCAGGTAAATTACTGGCCAATACGTCTACATACACAGCGGGTGCCATTAATTTTGATTTGTTGTAGACATTAGGTGCATATTCGCCGCTTTTTGTTATAGCTTGGCTATGTATTAATTTTGTCGGCGACGTATGCTGATTGGCAGGATATGGAATATTTATCAAAATAATGAAAGGCGCATTTACGTCCGATTTACAGGTTTCTGGCTGTTTGCATATTTGGCGCTGTATTGGTTGCCGGTCAGCCGGATTTTGGAATACTCAGCAAAGTCAAACCAGGCGATGCTACTGTACAAGCTGTCGCTGATGCCGTGCGTAATTGACCGGAGCGAAGCGAAGGTCTTCCTAATTCAGCTCCAGTGCTTAGCTTCACTTGTGTCCGTTACGGAAGTCTAGCTATGACGTCATCCTGGATAAGTCAGATGACGTCACGGCTCTATACAGTAGTTTTGCAGTGCTCACTTGTGTCCGTTACGGAAGTCTAGCTATGACGTCATCCTGGATAAGTCAGATGACGTCACGGCTCTGTACAGTACTTTTGCAGTGCTTAACTTGTGTCCGTTACGAAAGTCCCAAATATGACTTTACCGCGGACTAGCCCGATAACGCCATGAGACTGTAGAACAGTTTTGCACTGCTTATCTTGTCATGTCTGTTGGGGAAGCACCGTTGATGGTAACGTGGTGTTTCCTGTATGCTTAAAACGCTAATGAAGAACACAGTGGCACTTCAAATAGCAACCTTTCCCAATGTCGCATTCGAATAAAACGTGCCTAACTTATAGAAGAAGCTCGACAAGTAAGGGCACCCTGGCTTAGATAATGAAGACCCGTGCCAACCCTGGCTTAGGCAGTTGTAAGAAGCAACTGGGGTGATCACCAATTTTAACAGTGCCAATAATTCAAAAGGTCACCCAGAGCTTGGTTAAAATCGACTGGCAAATAGACACTCCATTGTTTGCGTAAAATTCCGTTGTTTGTTACAACATTTATTTAGAGAAGCGGGCTTATGATACCTAAACGGTTTCTAAACTAATTACCTTCAACTCTGGCAACAACTAAAACGAATTTTTTAATGGGAGGAGGTGCTTTAGGGACCCTGGGTTGAACTGCTTCAACCCGGCAACGTCTGCTAGGTGGAAAAACCACCAGTATAGTTCGCCAGTTTTACAACACCAGGACTATTGTTATTGCCTGGGTCACATATGCGTTAGATTAGATAGAGCAAAGATAGTGTATTTTAGTTGCATACTGTATTTTAGTACCTTAAAAAAACCTACATGGCTTAAAACCCACTGAAAAAATAACATAAAGTACTACGAAGTGTATCTAAATCGGCTCTTATGGTAATAATTTGGGATTAAATTGGTGATAACTCCATATGAGTATCTCACAATTTCAGTATTACACAAAAGTCTGCAGCTCTTTTGAAAAAACTGTGAATTTACACTGAAAAAAAACAGAAAAAACAGAAAACACTCAAAAATAACGCAAAGTTCTACAGAAGTGTATCTAAATCGGCTGTTATGGTAAAATTTGGGATTAAATTGGTGATAACTTCATATGAGTATCTCACAATTTCAGTATCCCACAAAGTCTGCAGCTCTTCTGTAAAAAACTGTGAATTTTCAAAAACAGCTGGTGGAAATTCCACCGCTTGGGCATTGTCGTAGGACAGTAACATGCTGCCTGAACAGGCACAATAACCAGAGCCGCACACTTCATATGATTCAGCCGTTGCGTACTAAGAGAGTAGCCAAACCATAACACTGTCAGCAAACTGATCAAAATATCAAACAAATAAGGACATCTCAGTGCTTTTATAATAGCATAAATGCTAATAAAACATTTTTCTTATCATATCACAATATTTTCTTCGACTGCAATAGGAAAAAGAACAATAGAACGACGTTGTGATCGAAGCAGCCAACAATAAATATGGCTGGCTATGATCAGTGTTATGCTCATGTAAACTGGCGCAGCCCACCATGACCCTGTTGCATACTGACCGGAATTCAAACATTTTTTGAGTATAAATTCAACCATGAACCTTTTCATGATGAATTAAATTGCACAAGCTAACTATTATAAAGTGTAAGCAGCTACCACAGCCAGGTTGATTCGAGTAGATCAAGTAGCCACAATGTTGTGTACAACGGAATTTGTGTGGTGTCGCACCGGCAACCACCGTGCCCACTGCCCACACCGCCCGTATTGTATATCGTTAATGCCCAAGCGGTGCCACCTACCCACCTACCCACCTACCCTTCAAATTCTAAACTACTGCAGCAAAAATTTTGAAAAACATAGTTCAGGGTTATTTATTGTTATTCTATGGTATGAATTTCAACTTCGACAAAAAATTCCTTGATACCTCGGGCATTGCCGGGTTAAGCAAATTTGCCGTAGTTTTAATTTCGCTGTAATCACGGTTTAGTGTCAGAAATAACTTCAAAATACTCGCAAAAGATACTGGACATACGGTAATAACTTAAAAATGATCAATTTGTATTTGTTGACGGGTGATATGTGGCAAATTCTGGGAACAACGGCTCTAAGCTTGCTTAACTACAAAGTGAGAAAACTAAAACTGAAAGAAGAAAGAAAGAACAGAAATGACAGAAGAACGGTGGCAAAAAAGTTTAGTCTGGTTTTCAGTTTTTCCTACATGTTGTCCGAGAATGATTTACAAAAAATTTCAATGAATTTTTGTCGGCGGGCCATGCAACAAAGCTTCTTGACCAAGCTGTGAAATCGCTTCGCTCCGGTCTGCTAAGGCACGCCAACGTGCATTTTTCTAGTAATAATTTTATTTGGTAACAATAATCTTAAGATTTAATGCTAAAATATTTGTTTACAAAAACTACAGATTTCTTGACTATTTGCAGCTTTGCACATCAGTCTCTGTCGATTAATAACGATACTTTTACGTCAAAACTGTCTTAATTAAGGTAATTAATATTTTATGGAAAAATATTTTTATGACCAGGTTAAAGCCAAGATAGAGGAAAAGAACGGAGCCGGCTCTGCGACTTTGAACAAAGTTGTACAATATAAAACCCGTTTCGTCGATATGCCAACCGCTCACGGGGGACTGACCGGAGGTGTGGTCTATTACATGAAGGTCGGTACTACTGTATATTCAACAGGAAGGAAAACCAGGGTCACCAAAATATTTACAAGTTTTATTTTTATGATTTCCTTTAGGTCTATAATTTGCCGGCTTATATTACAAATACATTACTTACGATAACTTATTACGATAACTCCATCAAAGTTGTGCATTAATAAATCGATTCCAAGATTAAAAATTTTATTTGTATAGTTTTTCAGTTATTGTTACAGAACAGTGTATCGCGTTAATTAGTAGAGTTGGGCGGCTGTAGTTTAATAATATTAACAGTTACTAATACCTACAAATACATTGTTCGACTAAACGAAACGGGTAATATTTCCTCAGTAGAATATTTGCAGCATGCAACTTACAAAACCTTACAGATTGAAGCTTCCCCGGGAAAGTACATCCAGGCAGATGTTCTTCAAGGCGATGGACGAAACGAACTCAGTCAAGCCAAGGCTACAACCAAAGACGCCGAAATTGAGGAATTTTAATTTTTTCGATTAAGTTTTGGATGTGTGTTTATGTTATTTACGCGCGAACGAGTGATGATTCTTGCCGATAAAAATTTTGTGCTTGTGTGTTAGGTCAGCCTTTACGGACTTTGATTTATCTAACAAACGCATGGACTGTACCTGACATTGCATGATTAAATGTTTTAAATATATAATAACAATATTTGTTAAACTTTACATAAAATTAATATTATTTTGGAGAAGTATTTATGGTATATGCGCATTTAAGAAAACAAAACGAAAGTCGAGAGTTGTTTTCTATGCTTAATTCAGACCAGATAGTTATAATTTTACAAGAAATTCGAATTGTAAATACTTAGAACTTTTGGGATGGGACAGCAAAAAATGTAAGTCGACATTATGTAATATCGATTTCGGCTAAAGTATGGCTGCTTCAGGAAGCAATATTCTTTAATCGCACAGAAACATACGGTCTTTTGGTGTATCCATCGACAGAGACAGTCTGACAGAATGATAGATGTCATGATTGAACTAAAGAGTTAAGTATGGTATAGTAATACTAAAACTTGGCACATCATGTACAATATATGTGTACTGCAGGCATTTATAAAATTTGCCGCTAGATCAGGATTAATTAACGTAGCACGTAATTCCGGTTATACATTTTTTTGTTAGGGGATAATGCAATCTGACTCATTCCCAGGTAGGTGCAATTTGCAACTTGTACCGGTATTTAAACTTGCACAATTGTAAAGTAAAAAACTCATTCTCTCTACAAAATTTAGCGCTTTCCTTCTTTAAGGTTCTAACAGTCTCCTCAGCTCCAAAGATGTTCAGGTACGTACCTTAAGACTTTCCTTGCATTCATTTCCTGATTTTTCGTGCATACGAGTATAATTATTAATTAATATATTCTTAGCTTTCACGTGGATGGTTTCGTGTACATTCTGCATAATTGATGCAAGCAGTAGCGTTGTGCATGTGCTTAATAATTTTCGGTGGAAAGCTAGAACTGCGGGTAGTTGGAATAGAAAATTTGAAATCGTGAGATTTTTTGAGATATAAATGCAATAATTTTCCGAATGATACGAACAGTATAGAATTATAGTGCTAAACGTTGTGTTGTGTCAGATTTTTTATCATTGCAGATTCCTGGTGATTGCATTGCTCGTTGGAGTGGCTGTTTGCCAACACGAACTTAGCGCCTTGAAGAAAGGAGATGCTGAATCGCAAAACATTGCCAATGCTGTACGTACCAATGTGTACGCAGGGTACACTATTTTAAACGCAGAAAGCGATAACCAAAATATATCCACTGTTTTGATAGCATATTACAGTAGCTTTAGTTTTCTTGGTTGATGTGCTACATATTTAAAAGTTTAAACTGGTGTTTTGAACAAATCGATAGGTGAAAGCCGATGTGGAGAAAAAGAACGGAGCCGGTTCATTGAGCCTAAACAAAGTCATCGAGTATAAGACCAGACTGGTCGATACGATGTCAAGCAGTGGCGGCCTTACCGGGGCCCTTGTCTATTATCTAAAGGTCAGTACATAAAGGGTCATTTATTGCATTGTATTTGAGATGATTATTATAAGCTGTAAATGCTTCTGACAGATTGAAGCTTCAAAGGGAAAATACATTATGGTTCACGCGATGAATAATGAAGATGGGATCAAGTTCAGCAGCGTTAAACCGACAACGAAAACGGCTCAGATTGAAGGCCATTAATCAAAAGGCTATTTTATTTCTAAAAACTTGTGCTTACAATGTTAGCATGCGACTAAAACTCTACTGGCAGATGTCATCGGGCAAAAACTACACGCGATTCTGCTTAGTGCTAGCTTCTTTGTTCTGTCGACCTGTCCTTACATACATTAAGCAATCAAAACTAACGTCATAACGTCATTAAAAAATTTACTGGCCATGATAACTTAGCGTTGACCGCATCATATTCGTAGGAGCTACGAATTTAGAGTTACAATAGAACGCGTGTATTTTCGTATAGTTGAGCATAGCAAATCGAAATGGCTTAGAACACCATTCAAAATCACCACCAAGATTAGATTAGGCACTATCAAGAACTTCATTTTTTTGGCATGCAAGCTTTCTAAAAATAGCTGCTGACTCGCTGCTGAAGAAATGCAGTAGATCTAGTTTTGCTGGATTTCTTCAATCTGTCTTAAAATTCTTTGTATATGAACTGCCATCCAGTTCAAGGGTCCATACTATACTGCATGAATACGTAACGATAGACATTTAATAATTGCCGGTCCCACATTCACACAGGTGACCCGCGACAGCTAGGTATGGGATATAGACTAAATCAGCGGCCATGACGTCCACGTATAATCCACTGAACGTGGGTGCCTGTCCTCCTGGGTACTACATCATGAACTGGGAGTGCCCTGGGAAAAGCATACCGGAAGTTTGTCCGAGCAGTTACCGCAGTCAGTTCGTGGGGGCTGTTGGTCCCTGATGGTGAACTTCCTCTCCTCGGCGAAAAGCATTCAAAAAATTGATTTCGTGGTTTTCTTTCCTAGTAATTAGGCATGTCTTGGGCTATATTAGCCCACAGAATTGATAAAGTAATTAGCACAATGTACAGCCGTTGAAAACATTCGTGATCGATCTAATTTCCTAACGGATGTGGAGGTTTGCCGGAAGTCTTTACTGGAATAAACCCTACTCACGTCTTTCATAAAATTAATCCCATTGCTTAGACAGCATAAAACATTCTGCAGTTTCATTACAAAACTGCGTTTTCTGGAGTTTTGTTTTATTGTTTTTTCTGTTTTGTTTACAATCTTTGCAAATGGATTTTAATTTTAGCAACAGAAATTCAAGCAGTAACATCTCCACGGAAAGTATGTCTCCAACAACGGTAACGGTATGGTTTACCGTGACCATGACCTTTTCCTACATCGGAGGACTTTTAACCGTCTTCCTCTTTGTCGCGCTGCTCCAGCGCCAGAGCTCCAAATCCCGTTCCGGTTTTCTCATTGAACACCTGTTACTAGTGGATTTTGTTATCTGCGCCATCATCCAGCCAACCTATCTGGTCAACGCCTTTCTGGATGCCACTGTTCCCGGACGGCAGACGTTATTCCACTGCATCGTCTTTACGACGATCCGCTTTACAACGTATTATACGCAATACTGGGCGCAGCTCACCCTAGCCGTCAACCGGCTCATCGCGGTGTCCTTTCCCAAGATGTACAAAACCTGGACAAAACGACACTTATTAATCAGTGCCATCGTCTTCTGCTGGTTGGTCGGCATCGCGTGTAATATTCCGCCATTCTTCGGCTTTGGATACACCATCAGTAATCACTTCCCGCCGTTAAACACGTGTTCCACCAAACCAGCGTCCCGCGGCAATATGGTGGTGATGTCCAGTGTCGGGATCTACGTGCCCATGGTTCTGGTGGGGGTAATTTATATTTTCATCTGGATTCATTCAAAGGTCATGAGCCGGACATCCGGTCGCTTGGCGTTAGAGCGACGTATGAAAGTCGCTAAGATGCTCTTTGCTTCTTTCGTTTTCTACTTGCTCCTGTTTTTACCGATGGCCATCGCGCCCACGTTTTTTCCCACAATCCGCTATACACGCCCGGAAGTACTGGTTTGGTTGAACACTCTACAAGCGCTGGGATTCGGCAGTAATTCAGTAAGTGACAGCTCTAACGAAAAAATATCCAAAACTGGTTTTGTTAATTATTATTTATTAACATATATATTAATTATTATTATTATACTATTATATATATATTTATGTATCATATTTTGTATTTATGTAATTTATATTTTGTATTAATATTGCATACATATCTTAATCTGTATAATTAACAGTAATAATATTAATTATTATTAATCTTTTGCAGATGATATTCCTCGTGCTTAACGACAATTATCGCAAGCACTTTCAACTTATGATGGCTAAGCTGCGGACAAAGGAAAAAGTTGCGGCTATAAACAAAGCGTTAACGGAAGATGCGGAATCACCGAATAGTAAAGATGCCGGCAATGGCGTAACTGGAAAAATATTACCCACGGCGGAGCCGTCACGACGCAACTGATTTGTTGTTACTATGTTTTAATCGACGGAAAAATTGTTAGGCATGTACTTCCGATAAAAATTCCGGCATTTTAGTGGCGCCAAAAATAATGTAGGTGGTTGTTGAGTGGTGCGCGACCGGAAGAAGTGTTTGTTGAAGAAATGTGACCTGAAGTATGCATTCTTGGCTGTAGCTATCGGTAGTACTGCATTGCACGTGGGAACTGTGTATTTCTAATTACGGAAACAACAGTTGCAGTAGCACGAGCGGTCAGGGATTAAGGGAATGCGCTGTCGTAGATTACGCAATACTTTCTTATGCTCGTGTGGAGCGGCTGTGTTGAAATGCGGAAATTGTCAGTGTCAAAATTTTCGTGTCACCTAACGATTTTTGTTTGATTTGTTTCGCAGACGCCGTGTGACAATTAGTCGCACCAATGGTGGCGTGCACTCAAACCGCTACTTATAAAAATTGATAAATGTGGCTGCATGTTTTACTATAGTTTATGAAATTGCATCAAGGTCTGCCAAAACCATCGCATTAGAGGAATATAAATCCAGATGTTAAGCGACGCGTTAAAAGGGCAATGAAAACAATCAGATGATTAGAACGTCTAACACTCTCTTTAATCACCCTTCTGCTTGGATATAAAACACTTTTCAAAGCTAATTATGACCTACACGGCGCAGCAGTGTTTTTTATGCCGCTGCAAATGGCGCGTTGTTTAGCATGTAATTGTATTCTCAAACGGGGGAAATTACAGTGATCAAGACCTTGATCCCCGGCTAATAATGGTCCGCTGATCACTTTCCAGTCGCAATTTTGACCGTGACACTGGGGTAATAAACAACATTACACAAAACGTCTCAGAGTGCCGACAGAACGCGAGAGAGCGGGACCAGCAGAGGGAATTCCATCAAGAGTGTGGCGCGGATGTTTTCCCATGACTGACACCACACAGCTGCATGTAATCAATAGTCTCTTGAGGATTGCTTGTAACTGTGAGTAAAACTTTGCTGATCGTTAAGATGGGTATATGTACAGCACCAGCTTGCGCAGTGAACAAATTACCGCCGACGATTAGCTGATATTTTCTGTTCGGTGATGGTTGGGTGTTCGTTGGAAATACTAGTGACCATGTTTTTCGTTTAAAGTTAACGCAGGAAATGAAAAACACTTTCTGATAAAATTTTGACTCGTGTAGGCTACGTTAACGTATCAGCTTCGACTGCGAATATACTGTTTTTGGACTTACAGCAGTACAGTGTAATCTATGCTGTACGTCAGCATACGGTTGGGATTCGATTTTTGTCACCCGGTGTTTAGCTGCTGCCAGAATGACCTTGATTGATGATGTGCCAGTAGTAGACATCAACAGTAAGTATGCATCAAAAGCGAAATTCTGTTCTGTGGTCAAGGTTTCTGCTGTAGGCCAGTGCATTTATCTTATTAAATACTTTATGCACTTAAATTTTACTTACATGAAATATGCCGGAAATGTGCCTTTCTGCTTTACCGAAATTTTAAATTTTTTATGTTTCACTTTGATTTCTATAAAAAAAGGAATGCTCATAATTATGCATAACATAAAAAGCGTAACTTTAGAGTATCCCCGCATAACTATTTTAATGTTCTGCTTTATGAATCGCTGCAGCACTTACAACGTAATTACATAGTTCAATGCGTCGTTTGTGACCTCTCCATTTAAACGGCTTTTACACTGTATGCATTTGAAACCTTACGTTTATCTCAAATAACCCTGCTAATGTGATCAATGTAGAGTATAATTACGTGATCCCAAAAAGTCGTTAAAGGCAGCCCGTAGCAAACGATAAAAGGTGGTCAACAGATGTATTTCTAACGGCACACTGATGATTGCGACGCTTCCCTCGGGGACGGCATCTTAATAACCCGCGCCAGCACCAGCTGTAGTTTTATTGCACTGTTTCTCTTACAACTCAATGTTCAATACTCGGCCTTGGGATTTACCATAAAATTTACAGCCTGCTTTGCCCACAGCTTTATACTACACTTCCGGTTACACTGGTCACCTTCTCCGATCAAACGCATTAAATATCATGGATTACGAGATTGACGCGTTTTATTCGCTGCATTTTACAGAAGCGGCACTGTCCTCATTGGAGCAGAGTTTGTATGACAACAGCAGTCTGTTCCGTGCGTGTCTGCATTGTGAGCTGGAGAACAACAGCGCCAGTGGCCTGCTGAGTCCCACACCGCACCAGTTACGGGCCTGCTTACTGTGGCTGACCAATGTAAACTATTCTGCGCAGTATTTTATGGATCCGTGCAATATCCGAAGGGTCACATTCTACCCGTTAGACTATCGCATTGTCGCCACGATCCTCCATACCATCATCTTCATTGTGGGATTCTTCGGCAATATTCTAATTTGTTTTGTGGTGCATAGTACCAAGAAACTTCACACGACCACGTATTGCTACTTGGTGCGTATGCAGCGATATTGCCTTATATTGTTTTATTTCGGCGAACGATGAGGTTTTATAAAGATTACGTACTTTCGTAAAGAGGCACGTCGCGCACATACCTGTAAAAATGTTAGCAAATAATTATAAATTTGATATACTCGTAATTTTATCAGGTTTCCTTAGCTATGGCGGATTTACTGCTTGTTTCATCAGCGATCCCACAAGAAATACTAGCACATCAGCTGTATGGAAAACAATGGATCCTGGGACAAGCGGGCTGTTCAATTTTGGTCTTTATGAGCTTTTTATCCATAAACGCCGGGGCGCTAAGGTACTTACTCATACAGTACAGTAACTTTACGCGCAATGATAAAAAAAGCAGCCGTACTTTACAGTCAATCTGAACTCGGCTATCTGTTTGAAAATGACTTGCCTTATTATTTTAACCCTAATCTTGCAACTGCTGATGTGAAAATTAAACGATTGTGTTTTTTACTCGGAATGGGTCTTAACGTTATCGCCAGTTGGATCCCAACAGAAATTTAGTGTTCGGGCTAGCATTTCCCTACTTCCGATTTGAGGGATTTGTAAGTTTTATTGAGCTGGTTGCAGTAATATTGGAATTGATTTTATAACAGTTCCTACTTATATTAATACTGAAAGCATAAGATCTGCACCCCAGCTGGCGTATGTAAAATGTTTGATAAACTGTAATTATTTTCTCCCAATTACCGGGCAATCTTCTTTTCAGCTATTTTCAAGGTGGCTTGAACACCGGGCTAGGCACTAACCATAACATGTAAATCTACTTGGTTTGGGAGGCCGGTGCGCGGTTTATTACTAAACTAACTATAGTATATACAGCGAGCTGGTAATGGTAATACGAATACTTTGCTGTATTCGTTTCTTACTGCAGCCATATGTTTCGCTTATCAGTTGTCACCCGTACAACAGTAAATCAGAATTTTGTCCTATGATTTTTAACGTGAAAACATTATTAACCTTTGACTCCAACCTTGACCTTTTCAGCATTCTGGCCTTTACTGTCGAGCGCTACATTGCCATCTGCCATCCGGTAAAGGCCCACATCATCTGCACCATGAGCCGCGCGCGGAAAATCATTATCGCCATCTGGGTCACCCTCATCCTGTACTGCTGTCCCTGGCTGGGCTTGGCGCTCATTAAACCCTTGCCCCGTCTGGATGCGCCGGGCTTGGTATACTGCGACTACCGTCTGCCGCGCAACGACTATCTGTATTTCTACTTAGCGGACGCCACCATCTTCTACCTCGTCCCGCTGATTCTCTCCCTCATTCTCTACACGAAGATTATCAGCGTCCTGTGGGAACACGTCAACAGTTTCCGCCGGGATAGCGATAGCAACTATACCGCCACGCGTCGGCGCTCGTCGGCGGTGGGCGGGGATAAATTGATGCTGGATGTCGCCGCGAAAGCGCGGTTTTCTATTGTCAGCGGGCATCCCCAGGCGGACGCCGTGGAGCATTCGGGCCGGGCACGCTGGCAGGTGGTGCGCATGCTGATTGTCGTGGTGGTGCTGTTTGCCGTGCTGTGGTTGCCGTATCGCGGATTGTTGGTGTACAATTCACTGGTGGCCACACCCTTCCAAAAGAGATGGTTTATGTTACTGGCTAAAACACTGGTGGTAAGCCCTCACCGAAAAACTTAAAATACTTCAAAAGAAGCTATGCTGCTGATACTTTGATAATATAAATCGTTTTGCAGTTCTGTAACAGCGCCATCAACCCCTTTTTGTATACTATCTGCTGTCCGAAGTTCCGCAATGCCTTTCTTGGAATATTATCTGGACGTCAAAAAGGTGTGCTAAACAGCGCCCGTTACAGTATTACATAGAACTACCAGAAGTCCCGTGAGTTGCGGCTGCAAGTTTCGCTTTTCGTCACCTTTGGCTTATTCTTACTGTTGAATTTAAAATGAGCTTTTAGACGCTACAATCAACTACAATCTGTACACATGCCGCTATTTGAAGTCAAAAATATTGCGATAAAATTAGAATTTTGGGAAAATCAGAACTGTGTATGTGCGCAGCGGTGTCACATCACGCGCTGTACCATAAAATTAATACGAGTAATTCTGGAAGATTATAACTGAACTTTTTACCTTTTATTTTTAAAAGTAGCCTATTCGAATGTCGTAACAAAAGCCAAAGATACCTAATTCAAAGTTGTAAAGTGTCCTCCGGTATGCTAACTTTTAATTTCTGTGTATTGATTTTTTTACAGAACCTGCTCATGGATTTACTTCGAGACGCAAATCATTCTCACCCTTGTAGATGACCGTCTGTAAAACGGTTGCACCTGGATGATTAAAAAGCGCAGATGAATTCAGTATCTTCCACTGATGAATATTATTCTTAAATAAAACTATGCACTGTAATTTATCATGGGTGTTTTGCTTTTAAAAGTAGGTAGATTTCTCTAAATGTGAAAAGGCTCACTGGCCGCAAACATGCTGCACACGCTCCCTGAACTGGTTTAGTAAGCAGTGCCCAGATAGTAAAAGTTCAAGTAGATCAAAAGCATCGTGACATTCCTATCTGATGTGTTAGTCAACAGTTACCAAATAAGCAAATAATGCTTTGGATGATAATAATGTTTTCAATCTAAGTTATATTTTGAACAGAGTTGTAATCATAATAATCCGGTTTCCGCGGTACAAATATTGTAAATTACATAATCTGCATGTACTGCAGCCTACTTAAACCGGAAATTATTGCTATTAATAATGACACTTTACACCATATTAAAGCTTTTGTTTCTCTTAACGGTAAACAGGCATACGCGTATATCTCCAAGGAAAAAAGACATATGATGAAATGACATAATGTTGACCCGTTTGACACAATGTTGACTCAGGTACACACGCGGATATATTTGCTTAATTATCGCGCACACCTGGATCATACCGCTTCTCCGCGAACCCCGATGTTTATGAATTTTTTCATTTGGCATAGTGAGAACAGCAAGCAGTTTAATTTCCTAACCAGAACGCCTTTCGTGGCAGCGAAGAAAAAAAGCGTGCGTACATAGAGGCATACGCTTTCATTTCCGGTAGAGCCAATGTGAACGAGCGTGCTGAATGCCCACATCTCTGTTGTCCACTTCTCTTGCTAGCCCAGAAAATATTATTGACACATCTTTTATAAAAACGTACTCCCCAGACGAGCTTTCTTGCTCATTTCTGCCTACCATCAACCGCTGACATAAAGCGTTACCGTCTCATAAGAAAACGCGAATTAACGCTTTCGGGATTTTGTGAAGCGAAGGGTGTTTTCCCAGAAACGTTTCTGCTTTTTCGTTTATTTCTCATTTATGGTCTAAGAAAGCTCGCCTGAGTTTCGCAGAAAATGATGAATGCGACAAATAGCACCTCGACGGCAGCGCATCTACACAGTCTAAACTGGACGCATCTGTTAATTATCAAGACATGCATCATGACGGCTGCCATCTGTCTTAATGCGGGCATAACCATTTACCATCTGTTATCCCCCTCGCAGCTGACCTCCTTCAGTATTTACCTCGTTGCTCTTTACCTGGCCAACATTGTCTACTGTGCGGTGGTGACCACCATGGAAATCACCGGTGATTTGTACGGGACGTGGTGGATGGGACACCCGCTGTGCATCTTCTACAACTACTTCGAATACATCGCCAGCCTAGCCGCGGTCATGTTCCACGCCCTGATCGCCATCAACCGCATCTGGGCCATCAGCCATCCGGTCTCCTATCGCTTGTACCATAACAAAAAAATCGCAGGATTGCTGTGTCTGGCATCGTTATTTTACGTGCATTTTTTGGAACTACCGGGTTTAATCATGGATGCGCTGTATTATCATCTCCCTGAGGAGGATCACGGATGCCATATCAACACCGTGGCCATGCCGGTATGGGGCTGGATCGAGCACGTTTTCTGCCGTCTTCTCCCGTTGGTGTTGGTTGTCTTCACGTTCGTCTACACGAATGCGGTTATCTGGTACCGGCGACGTCGGCGCGCAAACTTGGTGACCGCCCCACCGAACGGGAGCGATGGGAATCCAAACAGCGCAAACTCCATTCCGGCCAAAGGACGCGGTGGACAAATGGCTGCAGCATCCGGAAACCAGAAAAGAGAGGTCAAGGCTTCGCTGGTATTGACGATGAATGCTATCAGCGTTTTGGTGTGCTGGTTGCCGGCTGATATACTCTTCGATGGATACCTGTTCTTCGGCATCGCCTTCTCTAACACAGCGTTTACGACGGTTATGTTGCTCTACTCGATGCAGAGCGTTTTTGATCCGTTGATGCTTCTGATTAGTCTGAGAAAAATTAAGTGAAAACTGTAACTGTAATATTAGTCGCCGCGCCTGTGCAGACGGAGATTCGTGACGAAGACAGCGGTTTTTCTTAGGAAAAGTAAAACCAGTATGGTGTAGTCTTACCGTTTCTTAGCAGTTCTGCAACAAGATACTAATTTTGTGTGGGTGGATCTTATTAGCGGCAGGAAGCAGTTATATGACCTTTCGTTTCCAGTGGACCTAACCCGAATAAACGTGTTGATCTTTATTAAATTAGCACTATCTATGAATTTCAACCTGCAACGATGCTGTAAACTACAGCATACGATCAATAGGTGTTGGTTACATCATCACGGAAAAGAAAATGTTCAACCAACGCATGTTTTTACATTTCCGGTTTACATTAGCCGATCGAAACCTGACCTTTCCGAAGTAATGACCGCTATAAAAGCAGCGCGGAACGCTTCAGAATTCCGTTTACGGTTGTGTCAAATTTCGAGCTGCAATCTGTAATTGTATCTGTTTTAGCAACCAACATTACACTGTATTATACTAAGTAAGAGATCGGAAAAAATAATGAACGCAACGTACGGCAATATTACTTCATCGCTTGTCCACCAGCTGCATCCAAACTGGACATTTTACTGATCATAAAAACTTGCATCATGATACTGTCAATATGTCTCAATGCTGGAGTAACCGTTTATCATCTGGCATCACCGTCACAAGTGACCTCGTTTAGTTTGTATCTGGTCAGTTTATACATGGCCAATATCCTCTACTGCACTGTGGTAACACCCATGCAAATCATTAGTGAATTGTATGGGACATGGTGGATGGGACGGTCAGCGTGTATATTTTACAACTATTTCGAGGTTGTCGCCAGTTTACCGGCGGTCATGTTCCACACCCTGATCGCCATCAACCGCATCTGGGCCATCAGCCATCCGGTATCTTATCGCATGTATCATAACAAGAGAACTGCAGGATTTCTGTGTCTGGTGTCATTGTTTTACGTGCATATCATTGAGCTACCGGGATTAATCTTAGATGCACTGTATTACCATCTTCCCGAAAAAGAGCGCGGCTGTCTGGTCAATTATCCGCGATTGGCGGTATGGGCTCGCATCCAGAACGTTTTTTGTCGTATTTTTCCACTGTTTTTGATCATGTTCGCTTATGCGTATACCAATGTACTAATCTGGCATCGGCGTCGCAGACGACCGGATAACACTTTCCACAACAGCCTTGACACGAATCCACGGAGTGCAACAACAAACAAAATATCAGCTCTACAGAATCAAGCAGATAAGGAACACCATGGGGAGGAGGGCGTCGCGTCCGTTACGCGCAACAGGGAGGTCAAAGCATCACTGGTGCTAACGTTGACGGCCATCAGCGTCACTGTGTGTTGGTTGCCGGCTGATGCCCTTTATTTTGCATTCCTGTTTTTTGGGATTGGATTTTCTAGCACCGCTTTCACCACGGTCATGGTGTTATATTCCGTCCAGACCCTTTTTGACCCCTTAATGCTGGTGTTTAGCCTGAGAAAAATCAAGCAAAAGCTATAACTGACGTATAATATAAGCAATACCTATATTAAGAAGATAAACTATACAATTGCTGCTAGCAAGTGGTAGGAGAAACGCTTACTGGACACTGGATATGACGTGCAGAAGCCCAACAGGTTTCATGGGTCCGTGAAACTGGACGAGATTTCTGTTTCCTTTTAACGAAATCCTTCTGTGTCTTATTATTCTGTGTACTACTATTCTGTGTCTTGTTAATATCGAAGATAAGCCACAATAATCAGATGATAAGCTGTATGATTTGTGCATGCTTAACGGTAGCATGAGTATTTGGAAAACAGTAATCACATAAATCTCCAAATTTATCATAATATTAATCCCTAGTGAATGTTTACACATGCTTAGAGAGGTCATACACTGTAAGTGTGTGATAACTGATAAAAATTGATAATAGTAATAATTAAATTATAAGTACACGGAAGAAGATGAAACGTACTTATTACGACTATAGGATGCGGTTAAATCAGACCTAACATTTCTCTCCACAATTTTTAATGTTCTGTTTCAACCGGATCCATATTTTTGTGTTCCAGCTACTTCCTGAACAGCTTGGGGCATTTCCTGTTTACGGAATACATTTATTTACAAAACAGACTGTAGAACAGTCATAACGAGCTGCAGCGTGATAATCCAATCGTTGTATTGTCTTTGGGGAGAGCATACCGAGAGCTTAAAGTCCACTTAAACGTTTTACGTGTGTACCGTTGTTTACCGGTAATTTTCACCCAGATGTAGTGCAAACCGGCAAGTAAACAGTAAACCATACAAAGCACACCGCTACCTTATAGGAAGCATGATAAGATTAGCAATGTTAAAGGTACCACTTCCGTATTGCAAATTACATCGGCCGTTGCTTTAAAAGCCGTTCAAACTTTAATTAGTATGTAGCATCTGCATTCTTCTTAGGTTTGTAGTCCTACAATTTTTGGTGCAAATTGCAACAGTACCTAACAGTAAAGCACTGAAATGTACAAATTACAGGTATCTCTTTTTATTGTGTTTTTGGCTGTTGGTCTGAGCTATCAGAGCTATGTTAATGTAGCCACTGCCAAACAATATGCCCAGGATCAAAAGTTCTTTGCTCAAGGCTGCAGTGGATTGACTGCGGAACTGCTCGGGAAACCCTGGAAGGCGGTACGTAGATTTTCATCAGTTTTGCTGTTTGTCTTGAGCCCATATATATTTAACAATTGGTTAACAAATTTCTGCTTCTATGTTTTTGCTGGAAAAATACATGCATATCTGAATTAGTTGTACTAAATTTAAAACTGAGAAAAACCATTACCCATGATTCGCCATATTAGTTTAACAAGTATCCGAAAAATGTTCTTATGTTGTAAACTTGTAATTACAGGCAAATTCTTACTCGCAATCTACTTACATTGGAGCCAACGGAAGTTACTCAAAAGTGAGTCCCGGTGCCATTGTCGGATTTCCTGGTCACGTTGCGGTGTACATCGGGGAAGCCGGGTGTAAATTTGTCGATGTTCCGGCTCCCAATAGAAATACCCGTTGTCTTAGCAGCTACGGCGCCCAAAAAGTGTATAAGTACAATTACTAATGGCTTGTTTTTAACCTTGTTGCACTTGCACTGATGTTTTATCTGTCTAAAATTTTTGCACCAAAAGAATGCATGGCAGTTTGACTAGTCACCCATAGTTAAATGTCAGGTAATAAAAGGTATTTTCCATTTTTGAACGGGTGATATTTGATTTTGGCTTGTCTTTCTGATTATCGGTAAAGGCGCAACAGCAATACTAAACTGACGACTTACGAGTATTTATATGCGGAAGTGTATGGTTGGAAATTGAAAAACCACGTAATTTGCTGTTTTCCGGCTCTTGTTGATCCAACTTTAATTAAGCAGATCTCTGCTTTTGCCGAATAAATGAGGCACACCAAACGTTGCATTGCTAACAAGAACAGGCATAGATTTCTTAAATTTTACAACATGCTTCAAATAAAATCTTCGCAAACACCGTTCGTGCAGGTGCATTCGTTGATTAACGCAAACGATTAATCAACGATGTACATATCACATTCGCAGTAAAAGTTAAGGAACCTACTCCGGTTATGTCCAGTTAACTGCCGCCTCGATCTCTGTGCTTGTTCGCTTAGAGCCTCTTCAATAACTAATAAATTCATAGAGATTTTATTTAATCACTTAACTTCAAATAATTTTTTGTCCCAGGAAAACTTGTCTGAAATTGTTAACATGTCGATCGGCTATGGCAAAGTGATATAACTGTACACTTACCTCGCTCAGTGTCTATCTGGTAGCTCTGCACCTGGCCAAACTTGTGTACCGCGCGGTGCTGACCCCCATGGAAATTACGGGAGAACTGAACTGAAGGTGGTGGATGGGACATTCGCTGTGCATCTTCTAAAATATTTCGAATACATCGCCAGTCTCTAATTTACAATTATGGCACGTTTCGTTTACCGAAAAAACTGGGTACATATAGAGGTGTGTATAACACAACGTAAGCGAGTAAGGCACCGTTGGTTCGTAAGTGGGTGTTTCCGCAGCAGTTACTAGTGCAAGTTAGTAGATTGCATAATTAACTCTCAAGTCAATGTAACCTTTTCGGATTTCTTAGATTTCTTAGACTTACGCGGATAACAATGTCTTACACGAATCTGCTAGACTTCCAATCAATTACGATGACTTATGCAGCTTACATGACCGCCAAAATCTAGGGTATCGCGCAAAAACTGTAAACGAAACGTGCCATATCTACTTCGCCATGCCGGTATGGGGCTGGATTGAGCACGTTTTTTGTCGTCTCCTCCCGTTAGTACTGGTTGTCTCTACGCTCGTCTACACGAATGCGGTTATCTGGCAGCGGCGATGACATCGCACTAACTTGGTGACCGCGCCACCGAACGGGAGCGACGGAAATCCAAGCAGTGCAAACTCCATTCCGACCAAAGGACGCGGTGGACAAATGTGAACCAGAAACGGGGAGTCAAGACGTCGCGGTACTGACGCTGAACGCTATCAGCGTTTTGGTGTGTTGGCTGCCGGCTGATGTGCTCTTCGACGGATACCGGTTCCTCGGCATCGCCTTCTCCAATACGGCCTTTACGACGGTTATGATGACGTTATGCTGTCTATGCTCGTACTCTATTCAAAGCATTTTCGATTCTTTGATGCTACTGCTTAGTTCGAGAAAACAAGAGCTGTAATAACAGCCCATGTACAGGCGGAAATTCAAAACGCAAGTATATCCAGGTTATTTTTTAAGAATGCATGGGGAGGTACGTAGATCACTGGATGTACTTCTGTGAAATCTGCAACAAGATGCTGTTTTAATTTCCTGCGTTTAGAACATCTTGACTGTAGAGAAATGGATAAAGACTTTTGTTTCTCGCAAAACTAACCCAAATATCCGTGGCGATCTTTGGTAGTTAGCTGCGTATATTTCCAGCTGTCTCGATTTTGCCTGTGATCGATAGCGGTTTGTTACATCATCACGTGCACGGGAAGAAGAAGCCTTAAATCAACGCACGTCTTTTAATTTCCGATTAGCGCCATCCTATCCAAGAAATGACCTCTTGCGAAGTAATGAACGCTATCAAAGCAGCGCGGAACATTTCCCAGATACATTAATTTTACGCTTGCGTCAAATTCTCGTGTTATATTCTTAGTTTCTCTACGAGCAGCAGGCAAAATTACATCATATAAGATAGGTAACAATAATGAATGCAACGTACAACAACAAAACCTCATCGTTTGTCCACCAGCTAAATCCGAACTGGACATATTTGCTTATCATAAAAACGTGCATCATGATACTATCAATATGTTTGAATGCTGGAGTAACCGTTTATCATCTGGTATCAACGTCACAGGTGACCTCGTTCAGTGTGTATCTGGTCGGTTTATACATGGCCAATATCCTGTACTGCGCTGTGGTAACACCCATGGAAATCATTAGCGAATTGTACGGGACGTGGTGGATGGGATATTCAGCATGCATATTCTACAAACTATTTCGAATTTATCGTCAGTTTAGCAGCGGTCATGTTCCATACCCTGATCGCCGTCAACCGCATCTGGGCGATTAGCCATCCGGTATCTTATCGCATGTATCATAACAAGAGAACTGCAGGATTTCTGTGTTTGGTGGCATTGTGTTACGTGCATATTATGGGACTACCGGGGTTAGTCTTAGATGCATTATACTACCATCTTCCCGAAAACGAGCACGGCTGTCTTATCAGTACCCCGCAAATGCCGGTATGGGGTCGCATTGAGAATATCCTATGCCGCATTCTCCCGCTGTTTTTAGTGATGTTCGCTTATGCATATACGAATGCGCTGATCTGGTGCCGTCGCCGAAAACGAGCGGATAATACGGTTCACAGCAGCCACGACACGAATCCGCGGAGTGCAACGGCGAACAAAATATTCGCTCTGCAGAGCCAGGCAGACAAAGAACACCATGGAGAAAGTGTTGTTTCCGTAACACGCAACAGGGAGGTAAAAGCATCGCTGGTGCTAACGTTGACGGTCATCAGCATCATCGTGTGCTGGCTACCGGCTGATGCCCTTTATTTTGCATTCCTGTTTTTTGGGATTGGATTCTCCAGCACCGCATTCATCACGGTCATGCTGCTGTATTCCGTTCAGAGTGTTTTTGATCCCTTAATGCTGCAGTTCAGCCTGAGAAAAATCAAGCAGAAGCTGTAGTGGCACGACTTCCATTGGAAAAAAAACGATTACAGGGCACTGGATATGTCGTGCTGAAAACCACCGGTTTTATCCGTTTTGTGAAGTGTCCTTTTTATTTTTGCCAAAACTGCTAGATTTTCTTCGGTTAGCTGTTTCTTGAATCCCTGCGTTTTATGTACACACGGTACAGTCGCTAAAGATTAGCGGATTTTAGGCTAACTGATTTACGGATTTAGGATTAACTGATTTTATTTTACTCGTATTCCAGAAAATGATATCTGCATTTAATACCGGCGATAAGTCGCAACAACTGGATGACAAACCACATGAGTTGTATGCATTGCAAGAGTAGAATGGTATTATTTGGAAAACAATAACCCTATGTTTATTGCAGTCCCTAGCTAGTGAACGTTTAGGCATTAGTGCACGTTAATAAAGACGTAACACAGGTAAAATAGCATTCATTGATAGAATAATATAAGTAATAAAATATAAGTGCGTAAAAATGCAATCATGTTATGAAAAACGCGGCTAGATCGAATCTGAAATTCTGCCACAAATTTTCTATGCTCCAGTGCCACCGAGTTGACGGTTTATGCTTCAAATCCAGGCTACTTCCTGAACGGCATGCGTCACTTCCTGTTTACGGAATATGTTTATTTACAAAACAAACTGTAGAACAGCCACAGAGAACATGCAATAAGTCAACCGAAGTGCAAAGTATTGCCCTGTGCAGAGCATACCGAACAGCTTAAAGTCCACTTCCACATTTTGCGTGCATGCCACTGTTTACCAGTGAAATTTCACCCAAATGTAGTGCATATTGCCATGTACACAGTAAGCCCTACAAATCAAACTGCTTACTTACTGGAAGCGTGATAAGATTAGCAATCTTAAAGGTACCACTTCCGTAATGCAAAAGTATACCGGTTTTCCCTTTAAAAGCCGTTCATTTAGTTTGTAACTTTGTATCATTCGCATTTTGCATTAGGCTCGTAGTCGTACAGCTTTTGGTGCACACTGCAAAAGCTGCGGGCACATCATAATGAGAAAGATTCTATGAAAGAATCTGAGTATAACGAGGTCTGATGGTTGTCCTGCACTCAGCCTATGAATGGAGCAAAGACGGATGCCGGATCTCAAGCAGGACGGAGCAAGACCTATTTAAGTGCTTTACGTTAAAACGTTACTTCCAGTCTGTGAAAAATTTTTGTCGTTCTTCCCTATCCCGCCCACCCTGTTTTTTCGTTTCTTCTTCGAGGGCATTTGAAAAGAATGTTTTTGTTGTTCTACCACTTGACGTTGTGCATCTTACTGTGGTTGATGCTTTGTGTTCATCCTTTTGTTGCCATGAATGACACGTAAGACCCGGCGCACGGACATCGCGCCCAAATTAATAAACCCATGGCGAAAGACGAACCCGTTTTCCTTGCGTCCCATAGACCGTAGTTATTTGATACCAAAAATGTACAAATTACAAGTGTCCCTTTTTATTGTGTTCCTGGCCATCGGCCTGAGCTATCAGAGCTATGTGAGTGTAGCCACTGCCAAACGCTATGCCCAGGCTCGAAAGTTCTTTGCTCAAGGCTGCAGTGGGTTAACTGCCGACCTGCTTGGAAAAAAATGGAAGGCGGTATGTATTAAAGTTTTGTACTTTGTTTTCGTGATTTACAGTCGGTATTTTCACCCTTATGGGTGAGCTATCTATACTTTTGTGCTGTACGCATTTTTATTGGTACTTTTATGTCTTATAAAAGTATTCTTGCATTATAGGCAGAGAAATACACGCAGTCTACTTATATCGGCGCCAATGGCAGTTACTCGAACGTGAGTCCCGGTGCCATTGTGGGATTTCCTGGTCACGTGGCGGTGTACATCGGGGAAGCAGGGTGTAAATTTGTTGATGTTCCGGGTCCGAATAGGAACACCCGTTGTCTTAGCAGTTACGGTGCTCAGAAAGTGTACAAATACAATTACTGAGCGATCATTCTTGATCTTCTGCATTCAAACTATAGGTTTCTCGTCTGAAGAGATTACAGCATTACAGTAATATGATGCATGGCAATCTGACAACTCTATCATATGTAGTTAATTCACTTACGTTAAATGTAAAGCTTTCAACGGTATTTCCATTGTTAAAACACATATATTTGGTTTCCGATATTGTCTTTATTAATTACCGGTAAAGGTGCCGCAGCAATACGACGCTGATGACTTAGGAGTAAAGGTATATGCTAGGAAGTTAAAAATCACACGTAATTTCTGTTTTCTGGCTAATTTCTGCTTTAATCAAGGGTACTTTATGCATTCTGGCCTTTAAATTGAAGAGACGCTGAAGGCGTTGTATCGATAACAAGAACAGGTGTATGTTTATCGAGTTTCTCATACATGTATACTTTCAGATTAAAATCCTGACAAATAGCAGTCCGTTGCTTCTAGCAAAAACTTAATAATTATTTGATGTGCATGTACTATGTTTGCATTCGCAGTAAAGTTAACGATACATACTCCGCTCATGTCCAGCTGAATACCACCTTGAGCTCTGTGCCTGTTCTCTCAGCGCCTATTCAACAAACAATAAATTCATGGATGTTTTTTAAAAACAAGTTGACGTTTTTTGTCCCAAGAAAGTTTATCTGAAATTGTTTCAATGAAAGCTAAGGCAAAGTGATGCCCTTGTGGACAATAAACATTGTTATATGTACCTATATGCGGTCTATAAGTAAGATTAAGAAGATGTAACATAATTAACCGTTTTTCGTGTTACTAAATGCGCCGGTAGACTCGGTATAATAGTATAGATATGGGACGTGGTTTTCGCGGCAGCTCTTTTGACCAAGCTTTTCGTAAACTTCCAACCGCCACTAATACTGCGAATTACATCATTTCGAAAAATCTCACAAAAACGTGTAATCCGTGGTGTTTGTTAGCGCCTAATGCGCTGCCTGTTATTACTTTCTTTTACCTTCCAAAAACAGTTGTGAAAACTTTTGCGGCGGTAGCAATATTCGCTACTACCGAACCTCAAACTGAACTTGAAAATAAATGACTTATTTTCCAGCAGTACCTGTTTTGCTTGATATATGTAGCTTGCAATATTGCAGTGATATCGCTAGTGGTTTTTGGAACTCGTATGATCGAACAATGCCATAACAGGCTTTACTGACAAAGCATTTAAATCTTTCCATGCATAAAGTAATGAAAACAATATTCCTTAAATATTTATACACGATTTAATTTATGCATTTCGACATATTTTTATAAAGGACATATTTTTTTTGATTTAATGCAGCTTTAGCCTAGCGGCTGTTTCTGTGTTCAAAAACTGCATATTACGATGGTAAGAGATATTCGGTATGCCGAGGTTATTTTTAGCGGTGGCGTGGTGCGGCTGCACTTGCAACCATGCTATGGCATCGTGCTGACTTTCGGAAACTAATACGTCGCTGTCTCCCGCGTTTTGTAAGAGGCATGCGAAATCCGCGCACGCAGAGCACATGGGAACTTGAAAGGCTAAATCTGGCTGCGGAAGCAGTCAGTTTTTTTGCGGTGCTGGAGATCTGCCTCACTTATCAATCCCATCGAGTCATGGGAACGTTAAAGTACCGTTTATAACGTCTGCTGACCATTCAAAAATACTGCTTTAGCCGGAAAGTGTGTTCAGTGTGGATATAAGTGACAGGAAGATATTACACCGCTCGTGAATATTTTGACAATTTTCTCGCATCTCTGGTCCACCAAGTTTTGCAACTAGATGTGCAAATAAATAAAGCAACTATCTGCATAATTTGTTTGATGTTAAAAATTTAATCAAATTTTATTTTACCATTTTTATAGACCACACGTGCAACATCGCATAAGCATTCGTTTACGAGAAACTGAATTGGAATCCTAATTAAAGAATTTTGAGTACGTTTTTAAAATTGCATAAAAATTATTTTTTGGAAATATTAAAATCTAACTGCCCTCGACATGGACCGTGCTTATTACTCATGGTCGTATTTTAAAATGTGCGAAGCGGACATAATATTAGTAACTTGCATATAAACAGAAAAAAATTAGTATATTCGCACGATGTCCTGTTTTCTCTTTGATAATTATTTGCGTTTTTTGTTAAATATAAATGTTGTTTCCGTGGATAACTAAACGCGCAGTCATTCCTACATTCCGAGCGCTTAATCACGCATAATATATAAGCATTCGCTTGGAGTGGCTCGCCTTCTTTTGCAATTGACAATGGCCATATAAATTTCCATCGCTAACATCCCACGTCACCGGGCGACATTGCATCACCGGCATATTACATCCGATTAAGAAAGCGCGTCTAGCGAACGATCTGATTTCGTCGGGCCCGGTTAATTCATAAATAACCGCCGGATACAAGTTCACACATACATTTCCCCATAAGGCAGCACGTTCTTCCCAATAATATACGCCGGCACACAGCGACGACGTATAGCGTACATCACTCCACTCAGCGTACAAACTAAACAGCGCTGCTGCAAAAAACTACCACTGGGCGGCGCCTAATACTGTGGATGTGCGCCGGCCGAACGGAGCGCGAAGACGCCGGACTATTTAAACTTGGTGTGCATGTCATTAGCACTAAGGAACAGGCTCAGCTGCAGGTACGTAACGCTGCCCAATGCGTCCCACTGACTCTCACCATTATATGCCCAGCAACACAAAATACACGATTGCATTATTCCTGCAGATTCTGCTCTTGTGCCTAATCGGGAAACGGATTTATCTCCCTGTCACACATCTTGATACATCGGACTAACCATCCGTTGTTTTTTCCTTTGTTGCTTGATTTTAAAATCTAAGCCAACATGCCGAAGGTAGGACCGCCCCCGGATGCAGAGGAGCGCGACCCGACTCCCTTCCTGCGTCCCTCCCTGGAGATGCAGCGTGAAGACCAGAACCGGCCCTTTGATGGTAAGAAGAGCTGCTGGGTGCCGGATGAGAAGGAGGGCTTCGTGCCGGCTGAGATCAAATCCACCAAGGGCGAGCAGGTCACCGTCACCCTCAACAAAGGAGAAGTAAGTGTGCCGCAGCACTATCGCTCACAAGATTGGAAATTAGTAGTTGTTGCATGTAGCAAGCAATGCACGATTTTAATTATACAGTACTTAGACATTTTAATTTTTAAATATTCCACTTAAATGAACATAAAAATCAAAGCTTAGTCTTTAAAACTTCATTTTTTATTCACATCATATTTTTCGTGTGATATTTGCATGAATTAAATAAAACGCCATTATCTCACATATGCTATTTGCAACAATGTCGTATTTGAAATTTTAATTTTTATAAGGCAATCCAAAGATCACAATGCATTTACTATTTGTCACCAGCGTAGTTTTGCTGTGGTGGATATGCGCTTTATGCGTGAATTAGGAATTTTTTATTTTGCCGGTTAATGTTCATCGATATGCTTTACACCTTCCCCGCCCTTCTGACGGTGACCTTTTTGTATTGTAGGAGAAGACATTCAAGAAAGATCAAATCCAACAGGTTGGTAGCCGGAGAAGGTATGGAATCGCTGTCTGGATTATAATGTTGGGAATTCTATGCAGATGAATCCGCCCAAATTCGAGAAATGCGAGGACATGTCCACCCTGACCTACCTGAACGACGCTAGTGTCCTGCACAACCTGCGTCAGCGCTACTACAAGGACTTCATCTATGTAAGCGGCAAAACTTACAGTAACATCTCTTAAAAAACGAACGTAAAATCTATAGCTGAGTTACTAAAATAAATTCAATTTTTAAACCTTTTATATTTTACCATTAATCTTCATATCGAATGCCTTTTCGTGGAGTGGTCAGATGCTTTCAAGAAAAGCAGTGCAAGCTGTGGTTCCGTAGTATTACAGAGAATAACAACAGGACGAGCTTAACAGTAAACTTTGCTAACCCAGTTTTTAAGTCGTTTTTCGATGATTTACTCTACCGTTTTTTCTGAACTGGGCGCAGCGATAAGCGGCACTGGCCAATTCTGAAGAAAACAGTGTATACAGCAGCAGTGATCAGCGCAATGCCCGTAGAAGGCGAACCGGCGTTATGGAGGGTTTATTAATAGCCGCAGCGATGGGAAGCCATATAATGGCACCGTAATACTGGCGCACACGATTATGCATTAGGCACGATGCGGCTAATTTTAAACCTGTGGCGGCAACAGGGGGAAAAAGTCAGCTCCAGCTTAGCACAGCAGTTTGGCACGCGGCAAGGAGATGGAGTGAATATTTGTCGAGAGTTATCCAGATGTTCGAAAAACGATGCGGCTCGAGCGTACTTGACATTTGGCTGCGATCTGGCCAAAAAATCTCCACAGCTATAATCGCATTACATAAATGAAAAAATAATTCGACGCCTTTCCGTGTGGTCTTTTTGAATTTCTTTTTTAAATTAAACAATTTTAAATAGGTGCATTGTATTCGTACTGATAATAAGCGGAAATGAGTTTCATACCTTTTCGGTACTGTGTTAATGCGAACCGGTTAAAAAGTCTGGCCGATTTTTTAATGAGAGTTAACTTATGTAAGAATATTTCCAGACTTATTCGGGTCTGTTCTGCGTCGCCATCAACCCGTACAAATGGATGCCCATCTACAACAAGAAGGCCGTATCCGTCTTCAAGGGCCGTCGTCGCAATGAAGTGCCACCCCACGTCTTCGCCATCTCCGATATGGCTTACAGCAACATGTTGATGGGTACGCTAATTATTTTTAAACTGAAATAAACGATTCAAACCATTGTAATCATTCTAATGATTATTGCAGATCGCGAGAACCAGTCCATGTTGATTACGTAAGTTTCAAAGCAGACGTGTACAAATATAACAAAGACTGTTAGATGCCAGGAATCTAATAAATACGTTTTATGTATCTTAATTAAAATGATTATTAATGATAGTGGAGAGTCAGGAGCCGGTAAGACAGAGAATACCAAAAAGGTCATCGGGTATTTCGCTGAAGTAGCCGCGAGTGCTGCCGGTGCCGGAGAGAGAATTAAGTTCGCCAGCGGCGTAAGTCCCTGCATGGACCAACACCACCTCAATGTCCCTAATGACTGACACTGCATCCAATTTTGACCAGTCGTTGTCATTTAGTTGTCCCGTTCCATCGCTGTAGTACAGCTAACCTGATAACAACAATATATTAGGCTGATAGGAATTTTTAATTCAATGCAGGGAAGTCTTGGAGTAGTTTTGTGATCCAGTAAAGATGATAATATTTTCGGTAAAGATGGTAATAATTCGTAAAACCTTCTAGTGGGGAATCAGGAGCAGGGAAGACTGAAAATACCAAGCGTGTAATTCAGTACTTTGCTGCCATTACCCGTACTACGTTTGGACCCCAAAAAACCTTCGGTGCCAGTGGTGTAAGTGTTAACCTGCATGCATTAACATTCCATGTTATCGCCTCCTGCTTTTTGTTACCACTTTAATGCCCTAGATGATAAGGATTAATTACCGTGCACGATTTTATTTTTATGGTGATGGCTTTTAAATGCCCATTAACAGCTTTCCACATCAACTGTTGCTTCCGCATGTCTTTCCTGCTTTTAGCTTTAAGGCCTGATAAGATCGTCAAGTTAGCTACCATCACTGATAGTACTTGTGACAATATATAGTTCACTAAAAGTAAAAGTGTGATGGTGCTTTGCATTTTTACTTGTCGTTCGGTACTGTAACAATCGTGCATAACCAACTTATGTGATTAATCCATAGCGGTGAGTCTGGTGCCGGTAAGACTGAGAACACCAAGAAGGTCATCTCGTACTTCGCCACCGTCGGTGCGTCGGACAAACAGGCGGTCGCGGATCCATCGAAGGTTTGTAAACCAGACCCCGGGTGCTCTTCCCATCCCTCCACCGACGTGTGAATTCCCATTACCCTTTAAGTTTATCCCTCAATCCAACAGTGCAAATAAGATTTTATAATAATTATTGTACACCTTTACCGTGTGATTACGCACCAAATTCCCACAACACCCACCTTAAATCAAGGTTTCAGTTCCCTTTTACGAGTATTTATGCCTTATTTTTTTTATACTTTTCCCTTTCCCAATTTTTATTCGGTTACTCCTTTCCCTGTTAAGTTTTACATTTGCTTTGGTTTGTTTTGCGTGCCGCATGTTACAGGATGCCTAGAAAATTAACTAACACGCATGCATTTTTATGTTAATGAAAAATAATATAATAAGTTTATGGCAATAGGGTACTCTGGAAGACCAAATCGTCCAGGCTAACCCTGTACTGGAAGCCTTCGGTAACGCCAAGACCGTGCGTAACGATAACTCGTCCCGATTCGTAAGTATAATGCATTCTGTCCTATATACTTGCATCTCAGCCAGGAAAGCTTATGGTACATCCGTCAACAGGGTAAATTCATCCGTATCCATTTCGGTACGACCGGCAAACTGTCTGGTGCCGATATTGAAAGCTGTAAGTGCGATCAGAGTGATAATTGTACAAGAATGATTAATTTAGTATATGGAATAATTATAAATATTTTTGTATTTAAAGATCTGCTGGAGAAGTCCCGTATTGTGTACCAGCAGCCACTGGAACGATCGTACCACATCTTCTACCAGATCATGTCCGGTGGTGTGCCCGGCCTGAAGGAGAAACTGCTGCTGACGGAAGACATCTCCACCTACTTCTACGTCGCGCAGGGCAAGACCACTGTGGACGGTATGGATGACGCTAAGGAAATGAAGGATACCGATTATGCCTTCAACGTTCTGGGCTTCGCGCAAGACGAAAAGGAACAGGTGTACTCGCTGGTGTCGGCTGTCATGAACTTTGGTGGTATGAAGTTCAAGCAGCGCCCGCGTGAGGAACAGGCCGAACCGGACGGTACGGAATCCGCTGAGAAAGTCGGTCATCTGTGCGGTATCAGCCCGCAACAGCTGCTGATCGCCATCACCAAGCCCAAAGTCAAGGTCGGCACGGAAATTGTCACCAAAGGTCAAAACATGGGACAGGTATAATGCAGCGAAATGATACCATTGGAAATCATAATTTGTTAACGAATGTGTGATATAATTGTAGTGCATGAACGCCTGCTCCGCCTTGGCCAAGGCTCTGTTCAACCGTCTCTTTTTGTGGCTGGTCATCCGTGTCAACACCACCCTGGAGACCAAACAGAAACGCCAGTTCTTCATCGGTGTACTGGATATTGCCGGCTTCGAGATTTTCGACTCCAACGGCTTCGAACAGATCTGTATCAACTTTACCAACGAGAAACTGCAGCAGTTCTTCAACCACCACATGTTCGTGCTGGAGCAGGAAGAGTACAAGCGTGAAGGTATTGAGTGGGAGTTTATCGATTTCGGTCTGGATCTGCAGGCCTGTATTGAGTTGATCGAAAAGGTGAGCCTTATATGCACCACCACTTTATAATATCTTAAATAACTGTATGGTCTGCTATACAGCCTTTGGGTATCTTCTCCATCCTTGAAGAAGAATCTATGTTCCCCAAAGCCACCGATGAGACCTTCCGTGAGAAGCTCTACCAGAACCATCTGGGCAAATCGCCCAACTTCAGCAAGCCCAAGATCGGCTCCAAGGGTGCTGAAGGTGCCCACTTCTCCATTGCTCACTACGCCGGCACTGTGCCCTACAATATCAGCGGTTGGTTGGAGAAGAACAAGGATCCCCTGAACGACAACGTCGTGGATCTCTTCAAGAAAGCCGGCAACCCACTGTTGCCTAAGGTCTTCGCCGATCCCACGGACGCCGCGGGTGAGGAGGCGGCGGCTTCCGGTAAGGGTGGTAAGGGTAAGAAGGGCTCGGCCTTCATGACCGTGTCCGCCCTGTACCGTGAACAGCTGAGCAAACTGATGGCCACCCTGAAGGCCACCCATCCCCACTTTGTGCGCTGCATCATCCCTAATGAAATGAAACAGCCCGGTGTGGTGGACGCCCATTTGGTCATGCACCAGCTGACCTGTAACGGTGTGCTGGAGGGTATCCGTATCTGTCGTAAGGGATTCCCCAACCGCATGGTCTTCTCCGACTTCAAGCAGCGCTACACCATCCTGGCTGCCAGTGTCATCCCCAAGGGCTTCTCTGACGCCAAGGCCACCAGCCAGAAGATCCTGGAGCACATCCAGCTGGACCAGGCTGAGTACCGTCTGGGTAACACTAAGGTGTTCTTCAAGGCCGGTATCCTGGGTCATATGGAGGAACTCCGTGATGAGCGTCTGTCGGGTATCTTGTCCCTGCTCCAAGCTCACATTCGCACCTACTTGACGCGGTTAGGCTACCAGAAACTCAAGGAACAACGGTAAGTGCAATGAAAAAAACTTGGTTTCCGGTAAAGTTGTAATTTGGGGTGGTTCCAGCATTGCTTTGACCATCCTGCAACGCAACATCAAGAAGTTCCTGCAACTGCGCAACTGGGCCTGGTGGAAGCTGTACCAGAAGATCAAGCCGCTCCTGATGACCGCCAAGGTCGAGGACGAGCTTAAGGCCAAAGATGAGGAGATCAAGAAGCTCAAGGAAGAACACGAGAAGGAGGCCAAACTCCGCAAGGAGTACGAAGAGAAGAACGTGCAGCTACAAAAGGAGAAGAGCGATATGTTGATCCGCCTGGAGACGGAAGCATCCGGCTTGGGTGAGCTGGAGGAGAAGAACAACTCCCTCGTCAAGCAGAAGCAGGCGCTGGAATCCCAGTTGAAGGATGCCGAAGCGGCTTTGAACGACGCCGAAGGCAACACCAACCAGGTGCAGCAGGCCAAACGCAAACTCGAGCAGGACATCCAGGGTCTGAAGAAGCAGCTGGATGAGCTGGAGCTGACGCTGCAGAAGGCCGAACAGGATAAGACCAGCAAGGACCACCAGATCCGCAACCTCAACGACGAGATGGCCCGCCAGGATGAGCTGATTGCCAAGCTCAACAAGGAGAAGAAACATATGGAGGAAGTTGGCAACAAGACCAGCGAAGACCTGCAAGCCGAGGAGAACAAGGTCAACCACCTCAACAAGGTGAAGGCCAAGTTGGAGCAGACCCTCGACGAACTGGAGGACAACCTGGAACGCGAGAAGCGTCTGCGCGGTGAAGTGGAGAAATCCAAGCGTAAGCTGGAGCAAGATCTCAAGGGAACCCAGGACAACGTTGCTGACCTCGAAAAGAGCAAGCGCGAGCTGGAACAGGCTTTGTCCAAGTAAGATTATGCTGTAAAACATAATAATTTATTTCGTCGTAATTTCTTGCGTGTAAATAATATATAAGATTCGAAGGTTTATGGTGTGATTTTTAATGTCATCGGTAATTGTGCATGAAACTGACCGCGCCGGTATTTTTGCAGGAAAGATGTCGAGCTGAACAGCGTCAACGGCAAGCTCGAGGATGAGCACGGTCTGGTCGCCAAACTTCAGCGCCAAATCAAGGAACACCAAGTAAGTACCGAGCACGGCGCAACTGTTGCGTCACTTCCCGTATGGTCTCTCTGTGTTTCTCAAAATAGCATCATCTAACGCAAACTATCTGACAAGTTCATCAAGCTCGTTGTCACTTACTCATCCGCCCCGTTCTGCTCGTCCTTTCCCATAGATGGGCCCGTGTGGTCTGCTTGCATGTCTTCGTACAAAATGATTCATTTGAAAGGATTGACATGTGTAGATTCGTTTTGTACCCAGCGTCGCAAAGGAATGGCAACTTGTAAACGATTTAGTTGGTCCGCTTGCATGCTCGGTGAAGGTTAACCTTTCAACTTGAGAAATATCGTGGTGCTACAGTTGCATGCGTAAAGGTCACGCCCATATACACGATCATGGCCTTTAGCGACGCTCAGCTTAGAAAAGAGTTGTTCGGATTTGCGGGTGACCTGCAGAACCGGCGCAATGACAGGTTGTTCGCTGCGGCCGAAGCATCGTATAGTAATTATACCCCTACTGGGTATGTTCCACCTGCACGAACCCGGTGCTTTGATGCTAAGAACCATCCCTCGTTGAGTTTGCGTGACCCTAGTTACTTTGTGGCCCCTAAAACTGCCCCGCGTCCCATCAGATCCTCTAAGTCTAAACGGATACTGCACTTTCTGGAGAATGTCGCCCATGAGGATATTCCGATATTTGTGCTTGACATGTTTGAAGTCGGTGACATAACATTATGTACTAACACTATCAAGTCTTTTATATGCCTGTTTGTAATAGCACTGACATGTTATGAATTGTATTGGAAAGGTCATCGTTTCGTTTTTAATGGCGGTAGGTTTAACATTCTAATGCGATGTAGGCACGCTTGGGCGAGATGGAAGAGGAGCTGGAGAGCGAACGCCAGGCTCGCCAGAAGGTTGAGAAGCAACGCCAGGAATTGACCCGTGAGATCGAAGAGATGAGCGAGCGCATGGAAGAGGGCACCGGCATGAGCGCTGCCCAAATCGAAATGAACAAGAAGCGCGAATCCGAAATGGCCAAGCTCCGCCGCGATCTCGAGGAATCCAACATCCAGCACGAGACCATCGTCCAGTCGCTGCGCAAGAAGCAGGCTGATGCCGTCGCCGAGCTCGGTGACCAGGTGGACCAACTGAACAAGATCAAGGCCAAGCTGGAGAAGGAGAAGGCCCAGATGAAACACGAACTGGACGACCTCCAAGGCAACGTTGACAATGCCGTCAAGGGCAAGGCCAGCGCTGAGAAGCAAGCTAAGGCCTTGGAAGCCCAGGTGGCTGACCTCTCCGCTCGTCTGGATGAGGCCACCCGCAACCTGAACGAGTTCGGCGGATCCAAGAACCGTCTGTCCGGCGAGAACGCTGACCTCTCCCGTCAACTGGAGGAGGCCGAAGCCCAGATCAGCCAACTGCAGAAACTGAAGACCAACCTGACTGCTCAGCTGGAGGAGGCTAAACGCTCCGCTGAGGATGAGAGCCGTGAGAAGCAGGCCCTGTCCTCCAAATTCCGCAACCTGGAGGCTGACTATGAACACCTCCGTGATAACGTGGAGGAGGAACAGGAAGGCCGTGCTGAACTGCAACGCCAGCTGGCCAAGGCCAACAGCGAGGCGCAACAGTGGCGTGCCAAGTATGAAGGCGAGGGTCTGTCCCGCGCTGAGGAGTTGGAGGAGGCCAAACGAAAACTCCAAGCTAAACTCCAGGAAGCCGAGGAGGGCGTTGAGGCTGCCAACGGAAAGGTCAGCAGCTTAGAGAAGGTCAAGCAGCGCCTCCAAGGTGAATTGGAAGATCTGGCCATTGATGTAGAACGGGTAAGAGTCTATAATAAAACACTTGCTCAATCGCTTCCGCTGTTGGATATATCTGCATTGCATATACTTGGGCCCATAATTTAATATTATTCGACTGCTTTTAGGCCAACGCTAATGCCAACTCCTTGGAAAAGAAACAGAAGGCTTTCGACAAGACCATCGGCGAATGGAAGCAGAAGAACGATGACCTCGCTGCCGAACTGGACGCTTCTCAACGCGAAGCACGCAACTACAGCACCGAGCTGTTCAAGATGAAGGCCGGCCAGGAAGAGATGTCCGAGCAGGTAGAGGCTCTCCGTCGCGAGAACAAGAACCTCGCCGACGAGATAAAGGACCTGACTGACCAGTTGGGTGAAGGTGGCCGCAGCGTACACGAACTCTCCAAATCTCGCAAACGCTTGGAACTGGAGAAGGAAGAACTCCAAGCTGCCTTGGAAGAGGCCGAAGCCGCCCTGGAGAACGAAGAAGCCAAGGTCCTCCGTGCACAGCTGGAGGTCTCCCAGATCCGCTCTGAGATCGATAAGCGTCTGCAGGAGAAGGAAGAGGAGTTCGAGACTACCCGCAAGAACCACCAACGCGCTCTGGACTCCATGCAAGCCAGCCTGGAAGCTGAGGCCCGTGGCCGCGCTGAGGCACTGCGCATGAAGAAGAAACTGGAGTCGGACATCAACGAGCTGGAGATCGCTCTCGACCACGCCAACAAGGCCAATGCTGAGGCCCAGAAGAACGTCAAGAAATATCAACAGCAGATTAAGGACCTCCAGACCCAGGTCGAGGAGGAACAACGCGCCCGTGATGATGCCCGTGAACAGATGAACTCAGCTGAACGACGGGCCAACATGCTGCAAGGAGAGGCCGATGAACTCCGCAACACCTTGGAACAGGCTGAACGTCTCCGGAAGCAGGCTGAGAACGAGCTCAATGATGCCAATGAACGGCTGGCAGAACTCACCGCCACCAACACCTCGCTCAGCGGTGCCAAGAGAAAACTGGAAGCCGAACTGGGTGGTTTACATGTACGTATAGTATTGCCTTTAGCAAGTCAAAATATTGAGGAATTTAAATCAAATTTTTTTACAGCACGACCTGGATCAAATGCTGGCTGAGGTCAAGGGAGCCGAAGAGAAATCCAAGAAAGCCATGGCCGATGCCGCCCGCCTGGCCGATGAGCTCCGACAGGAACAGGAGCACGCGATGAACATCGAGAAGAACCGCAAGGTCCTGGAAACCCAGGTCAAGGAACTGCAAGTCCGTCTGGACGAGGCCGAAGGTGCCGCCATCAAGGGTGGTAAGCGCATCATCCAGAAACTGGAAGAACGCACCCGGGAGCTGGAAACCGAGCTGGACGCTGAACAACGCCGTCATGCTGAGACCCAGAAGAACATAAGGAAGCACGAACGCCGCAGCAAGGAACTGCAATTCCAGGCTGAGGAAGACAAGAAATCCTACCAGCGCATGCAGGATCTGGTGGATAAACTGCAGGGCAAGATCAAGACCTACAAACGCCAGATCGAGGAGGCCGAAGAGCTGGCCGGTATGAATCTGGGCAAGTACCGCAAGCTCCAACACGAACTGGAGGAATCCGAGGAGCGGGCCGAGATCGCAGAACAGGCCCTGGGCAAACTCCGTGCCAAGAACCGCAGCGGTGCCTCCGCCGCACCCAGTGGACCAGCGCCCAAGGTATGAGCTTGTCTGAAAGGTCACTTGTTGTTGCTTGGTTTGTTTAACTGTATGGTGCTGTTGTTGTTGCTGTGTTTCACTAACTCTCGCATGTCTGTTGTTTTGTGCACTGACTATCAAGGACGAGGATCTGTTGCCTCTGCCTCGTCCTCAGTTTCTCACTACCTCATCCAGATCAACTCCCGTTCCAGGGACACCATCATTAAAACGGAAATGAGCCATGCGCGCTAACACTTGTTGTTCCGGTAAATAACTTTTGCTATCATCTCGACAACTAAGCATGCGCATGAAATTTAAAATCTAAACTGCCCTCTAACTTTGCTAATGTAAGCTAATACATGGGATTTTTTGGTGACGGTTTTTCCTTTTTCCGATTAGGCGGGCTCGGCGTCCGGTGCAGGTGCTAAGCCGCCGCCCCGACGAGCTGCTCGTGCCGGAACCGGTGACGAGTGAATATAGCTTCTTCCTCAGCTGTTTCTTTCTATTTTTTCATGCGTAAGTTTTCTTCTCCTTTTCACTTTTCTTCCTTTTCCTTATTACCTTCACATAGAACATGTGTATAACGAGTTTTTCTGGTTGTACAGAGTTTTCGTTCGGTTGCAAGCTACGACGGTGACTTGAGTGGGGCCGCGTCATCCTACCACACCACAAGTTATCCGTCCCTGTCATCATCATACTCACGCCACATTATCGGTCATCCGTTCCCGTCACGTAGCCAGCAGGATGACATCTGATGATGTCTGCCCTCTCTTCGGTGCTCGAAACAACATTGGTTTATTTCCTTTTCTTCTTTTCCTCTTCTTTGCCGTAGTTGCTCTAGTTTCTGTCGCTTTAATCTGTTCTCTCTATTTAGAAGGAAGCGGTTACATATTTTAGAATACACTTGGTGTCTTTTGGCGCAGGGTGGTCAAAATTTTGGGTGTACGTTTGTCCTCAAGTTTCATATGATCCTTTCTGATTATTGCACGTGTCATAATTCTGCCTGAGCCTGTTCCTGTTCTTCTTTTTTTGCGCTATTGCATATTGTATGAACTTGTGGATATTTATGCAGATTTGTAGTCAATGTTTAATTTCGGTCAGATGCTTGTACGTTGACTCCAGTATAGCAGCCATTAAACACCGCACTAATAAGTCAGATTTCTGAATACTTCAAATTGAATGTTTTAATATTCCCGTTTATTTCAGTTTTTTACTCCCACAAAAAATATAATAAAGCATAACACAGTTTATAACAGAAGAAGTCTAGAAAGAGCTTAATAATAGAAGGAGTTTAATAACAAAAATGGAATGGTAAATAACAACTGACCTTTCCAAATACTTTAATTATAAAACATACAAACCGTCAAATTTCTTACATGTATTCGCAATGTTTATTGGTTTGCTGGTATTAGAAGAACAAGGCTTTTACACTGAATTTTACCAAACTGCAGGTACACTACGATAGCGTAGTTTTCCCTCTTATCTCCCGTTTTCTACGGAGCGCGAGGTGCCGAAATGCCACACAGCAGGTACGAACATTACACTACGCGTGAGTTTCCGATAACTGGCCGGCTCCTAGACACAATTACACAAATGAATTGCTGATTATGCTCATTATGCAATCTACAATGCTGCTTTCGGCTAGTTTACAATAGCAACTGATACTGAATACAATGGCAGCATCAACATTTACCTTCGCAACGGTAGCGCAAGCAAGCATCAGAAAAGATTAAAGGTAAAAGCCGTCGTGCGGCAGGTCAAAAACTAACAGCGTGAGCATTGTGTCAACGATAAGGGAAACAATAACGCACTGCATCTGTAAATTACCCAAGGAGTAATATTTTGATAATTCGTCCCCGTTATCAACTTATTACGGCGGAGCGGGTTTATTTGCAGAAGAGTAATTTATTTGTGGAATAGAATAGCTTAGGGCGATATTCTTAGTTCTTCTAGTCGATACTAAAATTTTGTGAACGGCAATAATCAGCCCAGGCCCCAGGTGGCTGCGTATCTGCCGTATTTTTAAGAAAATATCATTTGTCCTTTTGTGTAAACTTCGCTATGGCTCTAAGATTGAATTTTGGTTCGAGATATATTTTTCTGCTTCCAACTGTCTTGCTAACACTTTACGGTAAAAAATAAGATTGTTGCATTAACTTAACTTTTTTAATGACATTCTGATTAACAAGAAGTAATGCTGCCACTGTTACTGTTTTTTCTTTCTTATTAATAAAGTAATAAAGTACATTGTTTATTAAGTTATTCATAACTAATACGAGAATAATTAAAAAATACGCATCTATGGCGCCATGATTACTAAAATGGGGTACGTAAACTCCGTTACTGTTGAACAGATTACAATTAAAACATTTTATTGGTGAATTCAAGGTTTCCTCAACATCAGTGCCCAAAGCAGCATTGAAAGAGTAATAAAAGAATTCGAATGCCGCTTCGGAAATGGCACTCAGGATACTGAGAACTCCGACCAGATCGGCCAACCGGAAATCACCGCGTGCAATATTACCGGCATACCGTGGCGACGATCGTACACTTTTTTTCCAAATCGTTTTAGCCTTTTGGAAGATGACATGTTGGGTATAGGTGGCGGTGGAGTCGGTAAGTTTAGTCTGAATATTTACTATTTTATAATCTGAATATTTACTATATTTACCATTTTACTATGACTATTTCTATATCTGAATATCTATTTTCACTTGACATCTTGCCTGTAGCTAACGTTTACGTTTATGTGATTTTTATCAGCGGTATCAGCATGCCACAAAAAAGTCGGTAATGTAACGGACTGCCCGGATGCACTTTCGGCTGTGCTGCGCTCACCCGAATGGCAACCACAAGGCTGTCTAAGGGTCAAACTGATGTTTTGGGTGCGCTTTTCCCACACACCGGTTATCACCCGGAATCCCGAAACCCGGTACTTCCTGCAGGTGATGGTTCAGTATTCCTGGACCACGCATCGCCCGACACGACAGTTATGGGGCACTTTGGGCGATTATGCGGCAATTTTCGCAGCTAACGCACTCCAATGGCAGCGAATTACCGTAGAATTCGATATTGGCGAACTGTTTACGTTAAATTTCTTGGCACACCATAATGAGCGCAGTTGTGAACTGGATGCGGAAGCACCCTGGACGATATCGGTTGACGCAATTTCTGGCGAAGTCGGTAAGCTCAAACATGCAGGGGCACTATATTCCATCAACTTTGAATGATTTTGCATTTAGTAAATTCAGTAACCGGCGCAATTTTTACAGTGGGATCCGGCAGCTGCGCTGCGGACACTGGCCGCTTAAAGGAACAACATCGACCAGATTTCTGTAATTTGACCTTTTACCAAGAAACGGACAACGGTGTTTTACCGGCAGACCATGTGACGCAAGATTTAGGTAATGAATTTGAGTATAAGGGCAGAAAAGACAGTGACTACAGTCATAAAGAACCTCGAAGAAGGCTAGAGATACAAGTAGATCTGGATGGTTTTACTATCACTTCCATATTCATTGCAATAAATTTCAGGCAGATGCTCGGTAGCTCTCGATGATCCATCCAGCGCAGACAACGAAGGGCAGACATGTGACTATCCAGTCTGCTTCAAATGGAGCCCGCTGCCACAGATTGCTGCGCCAGCACTAAACTGCGATTTCGATCATATCCAACAAACCAGTATCAATGCAACTCTGGATCCCTGCACCGGCTGGTTGAGATCCTTCAGTTTGTTTCCGTACCGCTTTGAAATCTTAGAAGAGCGTCTAAATGCATCTGCCGAAGTGCCGCCGAACTATGAAGGTGCACAATGACATTGCTACAATTTATTTTGGTGAGCCACGAATCATACCTGCAATGAATTTTAACAATGAGTGCTCCATTTACAGCAGCTTCTACGCAGTTCGCTCGGTCAAATTGCTACGTCAAATATTTGCCAAATTCTGCGTACCTCGAGCGAGCAGTTGCACAATTGAGGACCGAGAGGTACAATCCAGCAACGTGCCAAATATTTCGGACATCCTTCTGGTATCGGTTTTCGGGAACGCCGGTGTTCAGTGGTAATTTAGAGGAACAGTATTTCTTGGACGTCTTCGTACATTACTCAGTTGACAAAGACTTTGACTTTATTCCAAAGCGACCAATATGGGGAAGCGAACAAGATTATGAAAATTTTCGCCCCAATGTGTGGATGCAAGCGTGTGCCGAATATAATGTTTTCCAAAGCGAGCAGTTTACTCTCAACTTCTTTGCTCACCACAGCAATAACTGCATTCCTAATGATACTTTCATTGACATAGATGACTTACGGACAGTCGTTGCCGGTAAGCCCGAAATTTGATTTTGAATATCGATCGAGCGATGATTATTAAGCTGGTGGAGGCGTTCGAGTAGTCCTTCAGTTCGGGTTGAAGGTCCAAAGTCTTGTTTTAGTTGCAGACGAATGCACAACAAGAGCAACAACACCAACAACAGAGCGAACCCTAGATTCATCGGCAACTTTACCCGACACGACATCATCGACTGCGGATGACACCACAGATGCAACGACCACCGAGCCAGATACAACAACGTCACCAGCGGATGACACCACAGATGCAACGACCACCGAACCACATACAACAACGTCACCGGCGGATAACACGACAGTTGCAACGACCACCAAACCAGATGCAGCAACGTCACCAGCGGATGACACCACAGATGCAACGACCACCGAACCAGATACAACAACGTCACCAGCGGATGACACCACAGATGCAACGACCACCGAACCACATACAACAACGTCACCGGCGGATAACACGACAGTTGCAACGACGACCGAGCCAGATACAACAACTTCACCAGCGAATGACACCACAGATGCAACGACGACCGATCCCGATACAACAACGTCACCAGCGGATGCCACCACAGATCCACCGACGAGCGAGCCAGATACAACAACGTCACCAGCGGATGACACCACAGATGCATCGACGACCGAGCCCGATACAACAACGTCACCAGCGGATGACACCACAGACCCACCGACGAGCGAGCCAGATACAACAACGTCACCAGCGGATGACACCACAGATGCAACGACGCCCGAGCCAGATACAACAACGTCACCAGCGGATGACACCACAGATGCACCGACGACCGAACCAGATACAACAACGGCACCAGCGGATGACACCACAGATCCACCGACGACCGAACCTGATACAACAACGTCACCGGCGGATAACACCACAGATTCAACGACGAACGAGCCAGATATTCTGGAAACTACACCCCATTCACTTGAAACGAGCATCACTGAAACTTCGGATGCTAGCAGTAGCTCAGTTGATGCTACAGCTTCTCCAACAGTTCCTGAATATGACTGGTTATCATTGGACGAGGTAACTGCCCAAAAGCTAAACTGCATGTTTGGATCTTCCCAGCCATCAGGAACGGAGGGTGTGTATTGGTGTAGAAACTGGAGCAGAAAACTACCATCCGGAAAGTTTCAGTTTGAAATTGTTAGCAATACTACAGGTAACCTATACCGTAGCATTTACTATTGCGAAAGGTTTTATTTATTTTCGAGAAACTTCAAATTGCGAATTCCATGCTTTGCAGCTCCGCAAAATTTTTTTGCGATATCACGTTGTTCTTCGGCAAGCACCGTTAATTTTGAAAATGCCGAGGCTGTTTTACGGACACCCGGCGTATATAGCAGCGAACACGTGACCTATAAGCTGCTGTTCAAATACATGCTCTCGAGCTCTCCGGAATTCGGCGAGAATTACTACCTGGACTTGCGAATAAGTCAACCAGAAGATACCGATATTTCTAACTCGACAGTCTTGTGGGGAAACCCCTCGCATTACAGTCATTTCTCCACTAATGAATGGCTTAGCGCAACGGTCATTTTTGACGTGACTGCAAACCAGACGTTTGTACTGAACTTTGTTGCGCATCATAATGACCGGTGCGCACCCGGCAAACGACGAACCGTTGCTGTCGACGACATCTTCACACAACAAGGTTGGAAATGCGCCGTTCGTTTTTTTCAAAATGACAACACAGTAACGGTTTCTTGCATTTTAGCTGATAAATCGGTTCGCACAACATTGGCAACAACAACAGCAGTATCGACAACCGAAATTGCAACATCGCCGCCAATATTGTGTCCTTTACCGGCTTGCGTCAATTGGGGATCGCTAACCGAACCTGAATCCGTCAGCTTGAATTGCAATTTTGGTCCATCTCAACCGTCCGGTTCCCAGGATCCGTATTGGTGCAGAAATTGGGAAACGAAATTTAGGTGGTTGCGTCACCAGTTTGACATCTTACAAGAAGGTAACACATGATTACTCCGATGTACCTGTATTGTGCGACTAATATCCCCATACCCCCTTTTGATCTATAACTATTACAGACATAATGAGAACTTGTTTGCAGAAGCAAAACAAGTGCGTGCGATATCGCGTTGTTCAGTGAATACACAATCAACGACAACGGCCGTCTCTCGGCAAGCTCTTCTTCGTACCCCGGTTGTTGGTGCTCAGCAGTGTACAATTTATCGCATGACGTTTCGGTATAAACTATCAAGTGCTCCCGTATTCAGCAGTGACGATAGGAGAAACTTTTTCTTGACGTCCGCATTGGGAAATCCGGAGAATCCCAAATTCCCCGATGGATTATTTGGGGCGGCCAGTCAGACTACGGAAACTTCAGCACAAACATATGGGAAAGAGCCAGTGTTGAATTTCATACCCCGGAGAGCGATCGCTTCACCGTAAACTTTGTCGCGCACCATCCTGATCCCTGTAGAAAGCAGCAAACAATTGAGATTGACGACATTGTCACGTTAAAAGGTTGGTAAATTACGATGTGAAATTTCTCTTGCATTCGGTTTCTCTAAGAAACTTAACAATTTTGACAACTGAGAACGGTTTGTCTTACGTAGCCGGATCGTTATGCCAAACTACTGTGGCTACTACACCAGGACCAGTTCCGGTAATTCCCCATCATTATGTGGCAGTTTAAACTGCACGGACAACTTGCTTTTGCCGGATTCCCTCCATAATAAACTGAACTGCAACCTCGGAAGCTCTCAGCCATCAGGAACAGATGGCGTCTACTGGTGTTCCAGATGGGAGCGAAAGGTCAAGTGGTTACGATTTCAGTTCGACATTGCGCAAGCGGGTACGTAAGCTCATGTACAACAAGATTTATCTGTCGTTACTGTTTTTTGCTTGTAGGTCGAAACAACATGCAGGCAATCTCGCAGTGTTCTATAGTAAACCGGCATCTCACAAGTCAAAATGCGTACAAAGCTGTACTGCGCACGCCTGCTGTTGTGATTGAGTCGGGAGAATCTGTGGTCTTGTTGCTGACGTTTACATACACCTTTGGTAGTATGCCAAACAGCACTTACTATCTGGATGTCAGGATTGGAACAGGGATAGAAGAAAGTGTACCAGAGATGGTAATCTGGACTACGACAAATTATGCAGTAGTGCAACCAAATCAGCCGATGAATGCCAGTGTATGTTTCGAAGTGAACGCTAACACGACGTTCACCGTGAATTTCATCGCGCATCATGACGTACGGTGTTCGGGATCAAAGCAGTCGATTGCCATTGACAACATTAAAACGCAACAAGGTAAAAAATTTTGTTTTTGGCTTCAAGATTCTCCTGCAATCTTTAAACTTTACGGATTTCGATCAGTTTTGCCTCTTTATTTGTAGTTGTTGCAAAAAAGAATTGCCTAGTACTATAACGATTTGCCGAAGCCAAAGCCCTGCAGCTGCTTGCAATCCGTGATGGATCTTTTTGCCGCACAAAATTGAAAATTCTTATAATTATTAGTCCATTACAGTCGTCGATTGTAAAATCACCATTGTGTGATGTTACGCAGAACTTTTGCAACCAATAGCGATACACCATCGAAGGTGCAGTTAATTCATAGCTGAAACCTGCCGTGATTAAAATGGTTATTGCGTTTTGAATGATGGAGAACTGCATTCCCATCGTTCATTTTCAATTCAAAATTATTCACTATTACGTAAGATGTAATTCGAAAACAAATGACATCTGCTCGGATTGTTACAAAGAAATACGACATTTTGTGATTGTTTGCTAGTAGGATTGAACGATTGTAGGAGGAGCTGGATTGTGTGTGCAGCCAATCAGTCACCCTTGCAAAGTTTCTGCAGCCGCCCACAATCCGCAAAAGAATCGACGACTACATATAACGGACTATTATGGGCTGTTTTGGAGCTATGCTGGTTGTAATTTAATTTCTCAATATATGCAAGGCGAGCTTCGCTCAACAAACATGATTAAAAAGCTATGCTGTTATTTTTACTACTGGACACTCCTGCAGCACTGAAAATCTAACAAAAAGGATATGAGTAGCATTATTCAGCTAATACATATTTCATTAAATTTTCGGTTTAATGACTGCACTGTAATGCTGTAATCCTTGCTTCTGCGTGTTTTGTTTAAGTCGCAACTTGGAAAATGGCGAAAATTCGAAAGTTTCCGAAGCGCTTAACTTATGATGATCGAGCGCGAGATGATTATCAGCGAACAATAATAAATTTTTATGACAGAGAGGTTTATTCATCACGCTTTCGTCTCCATTTCATGTCTGCCATGTTCGTAAATTTTTTATGGGTAAATGCTCTTCTGCTATTGCTCGTCAAATGTTAATAATTAACATTTGATGTCATACACGGTAGGCCTGTATCATGGCGATAAGATTATTTATTAATTTCATCGCCATAATCCACTTACTGAAAATCGACTGAAAAAATGCGTAAACCGTCTAACCCAAACTACAGTTCCAATTTGCAGAAACACAGTAGGATGATTATGGCAAAGTATGTATTGTACACATGTACGTTTTGCTTCTTGTTATCTGAGAGCATGTGTTCGAAGGGGTAATGCCATTCCACCGACACGTAGCCCGTCAGATTATGGAGCTGGAAAGAGGAACAACCAGAAGCTTGCGGAGTGCAAGCAGTCAGATCATGTATTTAACACTAACAAATCGGCACAGAAATCCGGGACGGAAAACTTATTATTACATATATTAACACCAATTATGATTTAAGAATATTACGTGTGTTACTAAGGAACGTTGAGATACAGGGCCAATCGGGAATACGTTAAACGCGTTTTATCTGATCGGATTAACAGGGCAAAAACTAATTGCTCATGTGATCCATGTGCTGGGTGACCCAGCTTATTCCTTTGCTATACAGTGAAACTCCTCTTAACATTCACCTTCCTATAACATCCACCCCTTTACTGCATGCATGAGGCTGGGAACCAAACCGTCCGGTAGACTATAACACAGGGCAGTTCTCTGTATAACATTCACCCCTTTACAGCTATAACATACACCTTTATTTTATGGAACCGGTAACAGTTTTACCGGCTTATTCACCCCTGCGTAACATACGGTTGGCTAGGCTGGAGAAAAAACCATTTCGGTGTCTCTAAAAGAAAGTTCCGGCTTCTGTTTTAATCTTTATAGTACCGGATCATCCAGCTCCAGGCGTCCAAAAGGGCAGCAAAACCAACGTTTACACCGAATAATGTCCATATTCCGATATTTTGTTAATGTTTTGGTTAAGAAACACCCTCCGGAGGATTTGCCCCTGAGCCCCTGAGGGCAGTGCCCTGGGGTGCAGTGCTTTCTGCATAACATACACCCCTCTGTAACATTCAGAAAGCCTGGAACGGAGGGTGTATGTTGTAGAAAGTTTCACTGTACTTCCGTATTTCTGAACCAGTCACTGAAACGACCTATTCATTTATTATTATTATTATTATTTTTATTATTATAGCAACTACAGTAGCCAAACTCCATTAAAGGAGACTTTAACCCTAAGGTGAAAACCTTTGGGTGTTTAGGCTATTGGGAAATTTTTTTCTGTTTAATTTTGAAAATTTTATACTTTTTTTGGTTTGATTTTATGAGATATAAGTTACCCACCTAGGAATCGAACCCAGGACATACAATCTTAAAGCCAGACGTACTACCACAAGGCTAGGCAATTAACATTAAATATTTGATTGTTATTATAGCAACTACAGTAGCCAAACTCCATCAAAGGAGACTTTAACCCTAAGGTGAAAACCTTTGGGTGTTTAGGCTATTGGAAAATTTTTTTGTTTAATTTTGAAAATTTTATACTTTTTTTGGTTTGATTTTGGTCGCCGGTCCCCTTAACAACTGGTCGCCGGTCCTCCAGGTAACATGTTACAGAGTGACCTGTTTGCTTTGTGAGTTTAGAGCTTGTAATTGGCACATTTATGAGTAAACGTTAAAAGATTATGAGTAGATTAAAATTGGCGACTTCCGAAAATGAAATTAATAATCTTGGAATTTTTGCACTTTTAACAATTTAGAACGCGTTGGTGACCGGAGAAAGCCAAAACCTTGTACATAAATAGACGGCATTCAGTAAAAATTGCGACGAGTGGATTCGAATGATGCGTAAATATATTATTGATTATCTAAAATAAATTATCAATCGCCAATTATTCTCCGGCTTTACCCCGCTGCCGAAGAAATAGTCATTCTGTCACCGAAACTATTACTTAAACGAAACAAAATTACCGCGGTAGACTGAAATATGGCTAGAGATTATGATAATGATGAGACAACAAGCTGATACCGTAAAGCGGCATCCGCACATTGCGGAAAGTAAATAAAGCATAATATGTCATAATAGCCATTGATAATACGCTGAAAGAAGCACAGATAAAAGCCACGTCAGTTGAAATACATATACAGCACACTTGGAAGTCCAAGTTTATGTTTTGTTACGTTTCGAATGAAAGTGTTAATTATTATCATGATACACAAGCAGATGATTCTTAGCTCTTAGCAGGAATACGCAAACTGCAGTGCAGTGTTCATGACGGTTTATGCAATACGTATGACGGTATTTAAAGAGCGCTCGTGATAAAAAGCAACTATACTATCCTTTCATTGATTAACAAATGCAGTTATTATCGGTATTTTGTTTCTGCGCTGCTTATTCTTTTGTGGGTAAGTCAATAACGGTCACATCCAGCATACATAATTTTGTTGGTAAGTGTTGCCGGTAGGTCGGTAAGTATTTTTTTCCGCAATGATGATTCGGTAAAAATAAAGGTAAAATGATCCCTGTAGAAAGCAGCAAACAATTGAGATTGACGACATTGTCACGTTAAAAGGTTGGTAAATTACGATGTGAAATTTCTCTTGCATTCGGTTTCTCTAAGAAACTTAACAATTTTGACAACTGAGAACGGTTTGTCTTACGTAGCCGGATCGTTATGCCAAACTACTGTGGCTACTACACCAGGACCAGTTCCGGTAATTCCCCCATCATTATGTGGCAGTTTAAACTGCACGGACAACTTGCTTTTGCCGGATTCCCTCCATAATAAACTGAACTGCAACCTCGGAAGCTCTCAGCCATCAGGAACAAATGGCGTCTACTGGTGTTCCAGATGGGAGCGAAAGGTCAAGTGGTTACGATTTCAGTTCGACATTGCGCAAGCGGGTACGTAAGCTCATGTACAACAAGATTTATCTGTCGTTACTGTTTTTTTGCTTGTAGGTCGAAACAACATGCAGGCAATCTCGCAGTGTTCTATAGTAAACCGGCATCTCACAAGTCAAAATGCGTACAAAGCTGTACTGCGCACGCCTGCTGTTGTGATTGAGTCGGGAGAATCTGTGGTCTTGTTGCTGACGTTTACATACACCTTTGGTAGTATGCCAAACAGCACTTACTATCTGGATGTCAGGATTGGAACAGGGATAGAAGAAAGTGTATCAGAGTCTGTGATCTGGGCAACAACAAATTATGCAGTAGTGCAACCAAATCAGCCGATGAATGCCAGTGTTTGTTTCGGAGTGAACGCTAACGCGACGTTCACTCTGAATTTCATCGCGCATCATGACGTACGTTGTTCCAGTTCAAAACAATCTATTGCCGTTGACAACATAAAAACGCGGCAAGGTAAGAAATTTTTGTTTTGGCTTCAAGATTCTCCTGCAATCTTTAAACTTTACGGATTTCGATCAGTTTTGCCTCTTTATTTGTAGTTGTTGCAAAAAGAATTGCCTAGTACTATAACGATTTGCCGAAGCCAAAGCCCTGCAGCTGCTTGCAATCCGTGATGGATCTTTTGCCGCACAAAATTGAAAATTCTTATAATTATTAGTCCATTACAGTCGTCGATTGTAAAATCACCATTGTGTGATGTTACGCAGAACTTTGCAACCAATAGCGATACACCATCGAAGGTGCAGTTAATTCATAGCTGAAACCTGCCGTGATTAAAATGGTTATTGCGTTTTGAATGATGGAGAACTGCATTCCCATCGTTCATTTTCAATTCAAAATTATTCACTATTACGTAAGATGTAATTCGAAAACAAATGACATCTGCTCGGATTGTTACAAAGAAATACGACATTTTGTGATTGTTTGCTAGTAGGATTGAACGATTGTAGGAGGAGCTGGATTGTGTGTGCAGCCAATCAGTCACCCTTGCAAAGTTTCTGCAGCCGCCCACAATCCGCAAAAGAATCGACGACTACATATAACGGACTATTATGGGCTGTTTTGGAGCTATGCTGGTTGTAATTTAATTTCTCAATATATGCAAGGCGAGCTTCGCTCAACAAACATGATTAAAAAGCTATGCTGTTATTTTTACTACTGGACACTCCTGCAGCACTGAAAATCTAACAAAAAGGATATGAGTAGCATTATTCAGCTAATACATATTTCATTAAATTTTCGGTTTAATGACTGCACTGTAATGCTGTAATCCTTGCTTCTGCGTGTTTTGTTTAAGTCGCAACTTGGAAAATGGCGAAAATTCGAAAGTTTCCGAAGCGCTTAACTTATGATGATCGAGCGCGAGATGATTATCAGCGAACAATAATAAATTTTATGACAGAGAGGTTTATTCATCACGCTTTCGTCTCCATTTCATGTCTGCCATGTTCGTAAATTTTTTATGGGTAAATGCTCTTCTGCTATTGCTCGTCAAATGTTAATAATTAACATTTGATGTCATACACGGTAGGCCTGTATCATGGCGATAAGATTATTTATTAATTTCATCGCCATAATCCACTTACTGAAAATCGACTGAAAAAATGCGTAAACCGTCTAACCCAAACTACAGTTCCAATTTGCAGAAACACAGTAGGATGATTATGGCAAAGTATGTATTGTACACATGTACGTTTTGCTTCTTGTTATCTGAGAGCATGTGTTCGAAGGGGTAATGCCATTCCACCGACACGTAGCCCGTCAGATTATGGAGCTGGAAAGAGGAACAACCAGAAGCTTGCGGAGTGCAAGCAGTCAGATCATGTATTTAACACTAACAAATCGGCACAGAAATCCGGGACGGAAAACTTATTATTACATATATTAACACCAATTATGATTTAAGAATATTACGTGTGTTACTAAGGAACGTTGAGATACAGGGCCAATCGGGAATACGTTAAACGCGTTTTATCTGATCGGATTAACAGGGCAAAAACTAATTGCTCATGTGATCCATGTGCTGGGTGACCCAGCTTATTCCTTTGCTATACAGTGAAACTCCTCTTAACATTCACCTTCCTATAACATCCACCCCTTTACTGCATGCATGAGGCTGGGAACCAAACCGTCCGGTAGACTATAACACAGGGGCAGTTCTCTGTATAACATTCACCCCTTTACAGCTATAACATACACCTTTATTTTATGGAACCGGTAACAGTTTTACCGGCTTATTCACCCCCTGCGTAACATACGGTTGGCTAGGCTGGAGAAAAAAACCATTTCGGTGTCTCTAAAAGAAAGTTCCGGCTTCTGTTTTTAATCTTTATAGTACCGGATCATCCAGCTCCAGGCGTCCAAAAGGGCAGCAAAACCAACGTTTACACCGAATAATGTCCATATTCCGATATTTTGTTAATGTTTTGGTTAAGAAACACCCTCCGGAGGATTTGCCCCTGAGCCCCTGAGGGCAGTGCCCCTGGGGTGCAGTGCTTCTGCATAACATACACCCCTCTGTAACATTCAGAAAGCCTGGAACGGAGGGTGTATGTTGTAGAGAAGTTTCACTGTACTTCCGTATTTCTGAACCAGTCACTGAAACGACCTATTCATTTATTATTATTATTATTATTTTTATTATTATAGCAACTACAGTAGCCAAACTCCATTAAAGGAGACTTTAACCCTAAGGTGAAAACCTTTGGGTGTTTAGGCTATTGGAAAATTTTTTTGTTTAATTTTGAAAATTTTATACTTTTTTTGGTTTGATTTTGGTCGCCGGTCCCCTTAACAACTGGTCGCCGGTCCTCCAGGTAACATGTTACAGAGTGACCTGTTTGCTTTGTGAGTTTAGAGCTTGTAATTGGCACATTTATGAGTAAACGTTAAAAGATTATGAGTAGATTAAAATTGGCGACTTCCGAAAATGAAATTAATAATCTTGGAATTTTTGCACTTTTAACAATTTAGAACGCGTTGGTGACCGGAGAAAGCCAAAACCTTGTACATAAATAGACGGCATTCAGTAAAAATTGCGACGAGTGGATTCGAATGATGCGTAAATATATTATTGATTATCTAAAATAAATTATCAATCGCCAATTATTCTCCGGCTTTACCCCGCTGCCGAAGAAATAGTCATTCTGTCACCGAAACTATTACTTAAACGAAACAAAATTACCGCGGTAGACTGAAATATGGCTAGAGATTATGATAATGATGAGACAACAAGCTGATACCGTAAAGCGGCATCCGCACATTGCGGAAAGTAAATAAAGCATAATATGTCATAATAGCCATTGATAATACGCTGAAAGAAGCACAGATAAAAGCCACGTCAGTTGAAATACATATACAGCACACTTGGAAGTCCAAGTTTATGTTTTGTTACGTTTCGAATGAAAGTGTTAATTATTATCATGATACACAAGCAGATGATTCTTAGCTCTTAGCAGGAATACGCAAACTGCAGTGCAGTGTTCATGACGGTTTATGCAATACGTATGACGGTATTTAAAGAGCGCTCGTGATAAAAGCAACTATACTATCCTTTCATTGATTAACAAATGCAGTTATTATCGGTATTTTGTTTCTGCGCTGCTTATTCTTTTGTGGGTAAGTCAATAACGGTCACATCCAGCATACATAATTTTGTTGGTAAGTGTTGCCGGTAGGTCGGTAAGTATTTTTTCCGCAATGATGATTCGGTAAAAATAAAGGTAAAATGATCCCTGTAGAAAGCAGCAAACAATTGAGATTGACGACATTGTCACGTTAAAAGGTTGGTAAATTACGATGTGAAATTTCTCTTGCATTCGGTTTCTCTAAGAAACTTAACAATTTTGACAACTGAGAACGGTTTGTCTTACGTAGCCGGATCGTTATGCCAAACTACTGTGGCTACTACACCAGGACCAGTTCCGGTAATTCCCCATCATTATGTGGCAGTTTAAACTGCACGGACAACTTGCTTTTGCCGGATTCCCTCCATAATAAACTGAACTGCAACCTCGGAAGCTCTCAGCCATCAGGAACAAATGGCGTCTACTGGTGTTCCAGATGGGAGCGAAAGGTCAAGTGGTTACGATTTCAGTTCGACATTGCGCAAGCGGTACGTAAGCTCATGTACAACAAGATTTATCTGTCGTTACTGTTTTTTGCTTGTAGGTCGAAACAACATGCAGGCAATCTCGCAGTGTTCTATAGTAAACCGGCATCTCACAAGTCAAAATGCGTACAAAGCTGTACTGCGCACGCCTGCTGTTGTGATTGAGTCGGGAGAATCTGTGGTCTTGTTGCTGACGTTTACATACACCTTTGGTAGTATGCCAAACAGCACTTACTATCTGGATGTCAGGATTGGAACAGGGATAGAAGAAAGTGTATCAGAGTCTGTGATCTGGGCAACAACAAATTATGCAGTAGTGCAACCAAATCAGCCGATGAATGCCAGTGTTTGTTTCGGAGTGAACGCTAACGCGACGTTCACTCTGAATTTCATCGCGCATCATGACGTACGTTGTTCCAGTTCAAAACAATCTATTGCCGTTGACAACATAAAAACGCGGCAAGGTAAGAAATTTTTGTTTTTGGCTTCAAGATTCTCCTGCAATCTTTAAACTTTACGGATTTCGATCAGTTTTGCCTCTTTATTTGTAGTTGTTGCAAAAAAGAATTGCCTAGTACTATAACGATTTGCCGAAGCCAAAGCCCTGCAGCTGCTTGCAATCCGTGATGGATCTTTTTGCCGCACAAAATTGAAAATTCTTATAATTATTAGTCCATTACAGTCGTCGATTGTAAAATCACCATTGTGTGATGTTACGCAGAACTTTTGCAACCAATAGCGATACACCATCGAAGGTGCAGTTAATTCATAGCTGAAACCTGCCGTGATTAAAATGGTTATTGCGTTTTGAATGATGGAGAACTGCATTCCCATCGTTCATTTTCAATTCAAAATTATTCACTATTACGTAAGATGTAATTCGAAAACAAATGACATCTGCTCAGTTGTTACAAAGAAATACGACATTTTGTGATTGTTTGCTAGTAGGATTGAACGATTGTAGGAGGAGCTGGATTGTGTGTGCAGCCAATCAGTCACCCTTGCAAAGTTTCTGCAGCCGCCCACAATCCGCAAAAGAATCGACGACTACATATAACGGACTATTATGGGCTGTTTTGGAGCTATGCTGGTTGTAATTTAATTTCTCAATATATGCAAGGCGAGCTTCGCTCAACAAACATGATTAAAAAGCTATGCTGTTATTTTTACTACTGGACACTCCTGCAGCACTGAAAATCTAACAAAAAGGATATGAGTAGCATTATTCAGCTAATACATATTTCATTAAATTTTCGGTTTAATGACTGCACTGTAATGCTGTAATCCTTGCTTCTGCGTGTTTTGTTTAAGTCGCAACTTGGAAAATGGCGAAAATTCGAAAGTTTCCGAAGCGCTTAACTTATGATGATCGAGCGCGAGATGATTATCAGCGAACAATAATAAATTTTATGACAGAGAGGTTTATTCATCACGCTTTCGTCTCCATTTCATGTCTGCCATGTTCGTAAATTTTTTATGGGTAAATGCTCTTCTGCTATTGCTCGTCAAATGTTAATAATTAACATTTGATGTCATACACGGTAGGCCTGTATCATGGCGATAAGATTATTTATTAATTTCATCGCCATAATCCACTACTGAAAATCGACTGAAAAATGCGTAAACCGTCTAACCCAAACTACAGTTCCAATTTGCAGAAACACAGTAGGATGATTATGGCAAAGTATGTATTGTACACATGTACGTTTTGCTTCTTGTTATCTGAGAGCATGTGTTCGAAGGGGTAATGCCATTCCACCGACACGTAGCCCGTCAGATTATGGAGCTGGAAAGAGGAACAACCAGAAGCTTGCGGAGTGCAAGCAGTCAGATCATGTATTTAACACTAACAAATCGGCACAGAAATCCGGGACGGAAAACTTATTATTACATATATTAACACCAATTATGATTTAAGAATATTACGTGTGTTGCTAAGGAACGTTGAGATACAGGGCCAATCGGGAATACGTTAAACGCGTTTTATCTGATCGGATTAACAGGGCAAAAACTAATTGCTCATGTGATCCATGTGCTGGGTGACCCAGCTTATTCCTTTGCTATACAGTGAAACTCCTCTTAACATTCACCTTCCTATAACATCCACCCCTTTACTGCATGCATGAGGCTGGGAACCAAACCGTCCGGTAGACTATAACACAGGGGCAGTTCTCTGTATAACATTCACCCCTTTACAGCTATAACATACACCTTTATTTTATGGAACCGGTAACAGTTTTACCGGCTTATTCACCCCCTGCGTAACATACGGTTGGCTAGGCTGGAGAAAAAAACCATTTCGGTGTCTCTAAAAGAAAGTTCCGGCTTCTGTTTTTAATCTTTATAGTACCGGATCATCCAGCTCCAGGCGTCCAAAAGGGCAGCAAAACCAACGTTTACACCGAATAATGTCCATATTCCGATATTTTGTTAATGTTTTGGTTAAGAAACACCCTCCGGAGGATTTGCCCCTGAGCCCCTGAGGGCAGTGCCCCTGGGGTGCAGTGCTTCTGCATAACATACACCCCTCTGTAACATTCAGAAAGCCTGGAACGGAGGGTGTATGTTGTAGAGAAGTTTCACTGTACTTCCGTATTTCTGAACCAGTCACTGAAACGACCTATTCATTTATTATTATTATTATTATTTTTATTATTATAGCAACTACAGTAGCCAAACTCCATTAAAGGAGACTTTAACCCTAAGGTGAAAACCTTTGGGTGTTTAGGCTATTGGGAAATTTTTTTCTGTTTAATTTTGAAAATTTTATACTTTTTTTGGTTTGATTTTATGAGATATAAGTTACCCACCTAGGAATCGAACCCAGGACATACAATCTTAAAGCCAGACGTACTACCACAAGGCTAGGCAATTAACATTAAATATTTGATTGTTATTATAGCAACTACAGTAGCCAAACTCCATCAAAGGAGACTTTAACCCTAAGGTGAAAACCTTTGGGTGTTTAGGCTATTGGAAAATTTTTTTGTTTAATTTTGAAAATTTTATACTTTTTTTGGTTTGATTTTGGTCGCCGGTCCCCTTAACAACTGGTCGCCGGTCCTCCAGGTAACATGTTACAGAGTGACCTGTTTGCTTTGTGAGTTTAGAGCTTGTAATTGGCACATTTATGAGTAAACGTTAAAAGATTATGAGTAGATTAAAATTGGCGACTTCCGAAAATGAAATTAATAATCTTGGAATTTTTGCACTTTTAACAATTTAGAACGCGTTGGTGACCGGAGAAAGCCAAAACCTTGTACATAAATAGACGGCATTCAGTAAAAATTGCGACGAGTGGATTCGAATGATGCGTAAATATATTATTGATTATCTAAAATAAATTATCAATCGCCAATTATTCTCCGGCTTTACCCCGCTGCCGAAGAAATAGTCATTCTGTCACCGAAACTATTACTTAAACGAAACAAAATTACCGCGGTAGACTGAAATATGGCTAGAGATTATGATAATGATGAGACAACAAGCTGATACCGTAAAGCGGCATCCGCACATTGCGGAAAGTAAATAAAGCATAATATGTCATAATAGCCATTGATAATACGCTGAAAGAAGCACAGATAAAAGCCACGTCAGTTGAAATACATATACAGCACACTTGGAAGTCCAAGTTTATGTTTTGTTACGTTTCGAATGAAAGTGTTAATTATTATCATGATACACAAGCAGATGATTCTTAGCTCTTAGCAGGAATACGCAAACTGCAGTGCAGTGTTCATGACGGTTTATGCAATACGTATGACGGTATTTAAAGAGCGCTCGTGATAAAAAGCAACTATACTATCCTTTCATTGATTAACAAATGCAGTTATTATCGGTATTTTGTTTCTGCGCTGCTTATTCTTTTGTGGGTAAGTCAATAACGGTCACATCCAGCATACATAATTTTGTTGGTAAGTGTTGCCGGTAGGTCGGTAAGTATTTTTTTCCGCAATGATGATTCGGTAAAAATAAAGGTAAAATGATTCGGTAAAGTTAATTCCATAATTATCATTTTCCATGTGGAAATTGTGATGAAAGCTTAATTGCATGAGTTTCTCATGAACTTTGATTAAAGATGTTCCAATGCACCGGTTTGCATTCTAAACTATCATATTGATTGAATCTCGCTATTTTTACGGTCAACGGAAACCTGTTGCTGCGATCTCTGCGAAACGCCATAATTTTGACATTTACATGCCACACATGCATTTACATGCAAGGTACAGTACATGCAATATTTGTTTTTTAACTAACACAAATGACTGGTTTTTAAATACCAAATATACAGTATTTTTTTGCCAAGAATTGTTTTGATGGAATCACGTTAGTCTTAAATGCCTACTCGTAGGGTAACTGAAAAAATACATAAACCGACTTACTGAAAATCGACTGAAAAAATGCGTAAACCGTCTAACCCAAACTACAGTTCCAATTTGCAGAAACACAGTAGAATGATGAATACTAAGTACAGTTGTTTTTATAATAAATTAACGCTTATCGAGCTCTCGGAAGTAAATCTTTGCCGCTTGAGGATACCGGGGCTTGTCGTCTACGCCGCGCGATGTCCGTACGGTGCACTGACGACGAAAGGCAACCGCAGGTCGCTTGGCAAATCAACACAAACCGCGCCGGACACCCCTTTAATCACCATAATTCACCGTAAAAAATGCACACAATAAGAAACAACGAGATGAATGACACCGATCAACAAGGGGCCGGGTGGGAGGGTTGCGCGAAATATACAAGCAAAACCTCAAAATGCAGTATTACGATAGTTTTTCTCACAACAGCCCTACGCCCTGCACTATACTTTTAGCTTTCAACGAACTGCTTAAGTTTCGTTGCCAAGCACTACGAGAGCTCTGCGTTAACGACATTTAATGCTTTCAGCATTAAATGCCATTAACGCTTATCGAGCTCTCGGAAGTAAATCTTTGCCGCTTGAGGATACCGGGGCTTGTCGTCTACGCCGCGCGATGTCCGTACGGTGCACTGACGACGAAAGGCAACCGCAGGTCGCTTGGCAAATCAACACAAACCGCGCCGGACACCCCAAACGGAACGCAACCCCCAACCCGGAGCGGAAGAAAAACGGATGAGAAAAATATTAATAAACCGGTTACTGCAGAGATGACATCCGAATAAGCAATCTGGAAATATGACAAAAATCAGACTTAATATAACGATAAACTGCGTCGCTCGACCATCGTCCAAGCATGCGGATTTGCTCTACAGGAATTCCGGCAGCGGCTGCTGTAGTGGCTGCACCAATTCTTATGGAGTGAGAAGAATATGCATGGCCCAGACTTCGTTTTAATAATGAAGACATATATTGACGAGTAAGAAATGGTCCATCAGGGAAAAGAAATAGAGGAGACGTAGAAGTATGAACACGATCGCGAAACGAAAAATAGGTACGACAGTTAAGTACTGGGCAGGTTTCACTGTGTAAGCTAGGAAGGAGAACGGTGACAGGGATCAACTGAGACGATTTCGAAATTTTTAAAGTGAGCCGAATACAGCAATCAGAAAAAACTATATCAGATCGTAGAAGAGTTGAACCTGAAACGGCTGTTTGCTTTGGTGCACAAAATTCGGAAACTCGAAGAAAGCCATAGAAAGAAAGACATAAGGCAGCGCGAAGCATAGCAATAGTGTGCGGAGGAACAGGCATTGAAGAAATATAGCGCAATAAAAAGGTTAGCCTGTCCAGAGTAATTCCATCGCGTTTACGAATTGGTTGCCTACGGATTCTCATCCACCCGGAAAACATAAACGTCAAAAACCGCTTGTCTGGGACGGGATCGGTATATCCGTTTAATAAGTGATGGGTCACTACTGCAGAAAGATAAACACGTGCCGTTGCACATGAAAGACCTTTCTGATATAAATATGCTAAAAAATCCCGAATGACATGAGAATCCGCGGGCATCGCGCAATACTTGAAGAGCAAACAAAAATGGTTGAAGCAGCGTAATGCAACTCCATAAGCTTGACGGCTTGAAGGGGCTAAATGAGCTCGCAAAAGGGACGTAATAGTGCAATTAAACTGCGCATTATGCGCAATTGGGTATCCTGAAACAAGAATGAATACAATTAGTAATAAACATAACAAAAAATCAGCAGGGTTAATACTTCAAACGTGACCGTTTAGAATCGGCAAGGCTAGGAAGAAAGGCATCAAAATCAGGCGTGACGGTGTTAGGTTCGGCACAGGCTGTCGGATATACGTTAAAAAACTTGACCATCTCGTGTCGAGATAAGGCATCGGCCGCTAAATTCACACAACCCGGAAGATAGTTTATTCGCAAATGAAAATTGTAGCGTGCTGCTTCGAAGTGAATGGCACGAATAAGATGCATGACGCCAGGATGCTTGCAAGAAAATTTACTCCAAACCTGAGCTACTGCTTGGTTATCGGTGTAAAAGGTCAGCCGTTTCCCATGCCAGTGTACTCCCCAAACGGAACAAGCAAAAAGGATTGGAGCCATTTCGTACCAGGTTATATGCGGTTCTAACTGGCGTACACTGTCTAGCCAGGCGATATAAAACCACTGAGAACCGAATATCCCACCGCAACCGGAACCACATGCGTCAGTAAAAATTTTCATGGCGGCGCAATCAGTCCATTCGGGTTCAAGAAACGATGTAGTGCCATTCCACTGAGGCAAAAACCGAATCCACCACTGAAGATCTGCATGAAATTCACGAGTTAACGTCAGATGCTGATGAAGTTGTTTAACCGATTGCGAAGTATCTATCATCCGCCGTAAGAAAATCCTGCCGGCAGGAATACACTTTGTTGCAAAACTAAGTTTGCCGATTAAACTGAGAAGGTCACGCTTGCAGCAGGATTTCTTAGCGGAGAAAATAATGAACTCATTCTGCAGCTCCTGCACTTTCGAATCTGGAATAGATAAAGTTTGTGTTTCCGAGTCGATACAGATACCGAGAAAAATTAACCGCGAAGATGGTCCTTCCGTCTTTTCTGGAGCTAACGGCACTCCAAGATCTTCGCACAAGAGTGTCATCAACTCCGTAGCAAGCCTGCAGATCAGCGAATTGCAAGCACCGGCAAAAAAGAAGTCGTCCATGTAATGTAGAACATCAGGGAATTTGCCGACATTAACAATAATCCAGTGTAAGAAGGATGCCATTCGATCGAATATCGCTGGAGACGAACGACAACCAAATGGAAGAACAACATCAAAGTAGAATTTTTCATCAAACGAGTATCCTAAAAGATGTCAATCTTCGGGCCGGACGGGAATTAAACGAAAGGCGTGCTTAAGGTCCATTTTGGCCATTAGAGCGCCTTTCCCGAGACGAGTAACGATCTTGACTGCGTCGTCTACAGAACAGAATTTCATTGAATACAATTTTGGACAAATGGAATCGTTAACGGAATCCCCAACCGGACGCGAAAGATCCATGATTAACCTCGCACCGCCGGTTTTCTTAGGTCGTACACCAAGAGAGGAAACGACAAAATTAGGTAACGGCATGTAATCGAACGGCCCTAGTGTATGACGAAGGCTGATCTCTTTAGCCAAGTACTTTCGTACAATCTCTGGATGACTTCGAGCTGTGATGACTTGCGCGAAATATACAAGCAAAACCTCAAAATGCAGTATTACGATAGTTTTTCTCACAACAGCCCTACGCCCTGCACTATACTTTTAGCTTTCAACGAACTGCTTAAGTTTCGTTGCCAAGCACTACGAGAGCTCTGCGTTAACGACATTTAATGCTTTCAGCATTAAATGCCATTATTGCATTAGCTACGCATAACAACGACGTAACTGTACTTTTGGGAGTTAATTAAACATCGAAACAGTGTTATTGTTAAGGTCACAGAAAAACGAAGTCAGAACAAAATTTCCATGCTAACGGCGAGGATACGAGCAATTTTGTGCACTTTGTGCAGGCAGTTGCTTATATACCTTATGCAGACGCTGACGGCTAGCAACTCTACAAGCGGGATGGCTTAGGTTGCGCCGCTAGCCAATAATAATGGACGAATTTCCTTTTTAGGAGAATCTTGTCTGTTGACAGTAACGCTCGCGCTCGTACTTATATACCGGTACATGGACTGGGGCATTAGCCAACAACATGTGCAAAAGGATGTGACAAGTTGCAGAAGGATCTGCGTTGCCTCATTCAGGGCCGCGCTATGAGTACTTATTTACTTTCATTCCTTATGTTCTCTTAGAGCTTCCAGTCTATGTATTCTTCTTCGCCCTAGTTGCACTTCCCTGTACGAGCTTTCTGCCGCTGGTGCTAGCGATGTCTACGTCGATGCTTGCAATTGTTAGTCTTACTTCTGCTTATCTAGATAGTGACCGTTGTGTTCTGCTAGTAAGGCAGTTTTCACTCGCCTCATCTGGTATTTCTATGATGAATTCGCTTCGCTCAGTAAAGGTACCTTGGGGTGCACAAATAACTGGCCGCTCTGCTTACCCCGACTTCCGGCCGGGATGCATCCGTCGGTTTCACAACCGTGACTAGGCTTTTCTTTGTCCATCGCAGGGCGTCAGTCTCCGATTTCCGAAACATTTCACGTTGCCGGAAGCAAAAACATTATTAGAAATGCGATTACTCGCGCGTAATCAGCGTAACCCCTTTAACAGGCATGACTGAAGTAATTAGTATTAAATCTAGCCGTAAGGCCCATTGCGGTATTTAGCAATTCTGTTGCATGACAATACTCCAACCCGGATCAAAATTTACGTTATAAGCGCACCGAAATCAATATTTTTAGATATTTCCTGCAAAAGCGTCTCGTTTTGGCCCCAGAACAATGTCATAAAACAAACCAGAAGTAGTTGTGATTATCGGGAACAGTGCTATAACTGGGGTTCACTGCCTTTCGGTGGCGATCAACTGAGCTGTGATCTGGATAGCGTCGAGCAGACCAATGTTAACACCGCAATACTGGACAATTATGCATGTCCCGGCTGGTTTCGATCATATCAGCTGTATCCGTATCAGTTTAAGATTTTTCCCAACGAAAAAAGCGCAGAAATCGAAAGCAGGATTTATTCCCAGTTTGCGCAGTCAAGGTGCTACATCAAAGCTGGTTCCACCTCCTTCCATCCTAACAGAAAATCGGCCACTATGAGGTCGGCTGCATTTCGACCGAATGGATGCGTCAAACTCCAGACCACTTTCTGGTACCGGCTGTCAGCTACGCCGATATTCACTGGTGACCCCGACGAAGATTACTTTCTGGAGTTGGTAGTGCATCATTCCGCGGATGACGCGGATGGGTTCATCCCGACCTGGCAGATCTGGGGAAGCGCAATCGATTACACAACCTTTCCTGGTCCAAATATATGGACGCGGATCCAAGCAGAATATGCAGCGGACGACCAGTTCACCATTAATTTTTATGCGCATCACGGCGACACCTGCAATACAACATTTATAGATTTAGACGGCATCGACACCAAAATAGCAGGTAAATTTCTGACGCAGAAAGATTCATTCACTCCCGTAAAATGCGTTTTACCACTGAGCTAACAGCACCCGCACGTACGTATCATGCTAACCGCCTTGCAGAAAAGCTACGAAGTTTACTTCGCATCTATCATTAATTTTAAATAATTCTCTTGCTACAATTAATACAGTTTTTAAATACAATCGCATGCGTCCTAAAGCGTCTCCGCTTAATAGAAAGTGAAACGACATACGAAGTATATGTAGCGCCAAATGTACTCGTATCAACGGTACATTCAATGGAATTTCAGCTTTCTGGAATTCCCAGACAATGTTTGGCATCACTATATAACGTTTTTGCGTTAAATGAGTTGCATATTACAGTAAAACAACTCCATAAAATACAGGCACGGTTCATCCGTTTCGTATGTTATACCGAGGTGTATTTTATAAAGAGAAACTGCCCCCAGGAGCACTGCTATAATTTGGGATGGGCGGCGTCGCAGTACATGTATTTTATAAATGCATTTTGCAACATAAGGCAGTAGCAAGAATCTGTAGTACGAGAATCTGTAATCTGTAATCTGTAATCTGTAATCGTACTAAGAATCTGTAATCTGTAGTCGTACTTTACAAATTTGTATTACATACGAGCACATTAAGAAATACCAACTTCGGTTTAAGGTCATCATAAAGTATGATTAGTAGTGAAGACTGGTAAAATAAAATTATTCTGTTGAGATAATTATATGGACTTCTGCATATTGTAATAATAATTGTAATACAATAACGCAAGCAACGTTAATTCTGCTCCATATTAGTTCAGGATGTTAAGATAACATCAGATTGCATCCCGCTACCTGTATGCAGCTGTATTTAACCGGAGCTGAATGTTGTTCAGACTTCAGAGGTTCTTTATACTTGTTAAGGTGCATTCGGTTCCGCGGAAAGTGTATGTAAGGCTTATAAAGAGGTGAATGTTATAAAGAGAATCCCCCCATGCTAAAACATGCGAGCCAATTCTGTTCCTTACAGGTTGTATGCTATAGAGAAGTGTAGTAATTTTAATAAAGAAGTGTATGTAACGAGAGGTTTATTGGTATACGGGCGTGCAATCTGTACATGTGCGCAAACACCCGGCTGAAGAGCGATGGTCAAACCAAGACTGCACGTACTCTAGGGGTTATCCCATAGAGTACAGATACACTCTTGGTCAAACATAATTCAAGTGCGTTCAGATGGGCTGAAAGTCACACTATACTTGAAGTATAGATCGATCGTCTACAAATTTATCTCGTAAACCAGGAAATTTTTCTTGTGAGTTCGCGGCAACTGTTGTTCGATAATAATAACAATAATCATAACGATAAATATGATGTTCATTCCTGTACCTAACCAGGGTTCCATCAATTTTTTTGAACTGCAGAAATTTTGAAATTTCAGAAATTCATTCTTCTCTTAACTGTGTCTTCTGTCCAATGGCAAATTTGTGAGAGCTGCTCCATAGAGTTCCAGATATTTTTATGTGAAACCAGTTCAGTATAACTATAACATACAGTGTGCGGCACAGCAGCGTATGATTTCAGCTGAACATTTGAGCATTCTGTCCATTTTCTACTTCAAACCGTTTCAATCTAGCACCTTTTTGTGAAATCTTGATCGTGAAGGAAACTAACGCAATTTTTTATCGACAATGAAGGGTGCTGCCTCTGCCGCGACAATAGATACTTACCGGTATTTAAGCGAGTTGCCTTATGGCTCATTTTAGTCCCATCAGCCCACTGTACAACATCTATATCAGAAACCACTCCTGAACTTGAGGAGACCACACCTGGTCCCGAGGAAACAGAGCCTCAACCCGAGGAGACAACACCTGCGCCAGAAGGAACCACAATTGTCTCAGAGGAGACAACATCTGCTCCCGAGGAAACCACAACTGAACCTGAGGAAACTACACCCGCACCGGAAGAAACCACAAATGTTCCAGCAGAGACCACATCTGCTCCCGAGGAAACCACAACTGCACCTGAGGAAACTACACCCGCACCGGAAGAAACCACAAATGTTCCAGCAGAGACCACATCTGCTCCCGAGGAAACCACAACTGCACCTGAGGAAACTACACCCGCACCGGAAGAAACCACAAATGTTCCAGCAGAGACCACATCTGCTCCCGAGGAAACCACAACTGCACCTGAGGAAACTACACCCGCACCGGAAGAAACCACAATTGTCCAAAAGGAAACCACATCTCCTCCCGAAGAAAACACAACTGAACCTGAGGAAACTACACCCGCACCGGACACCACAATTGTCCCAGAGGAGACCACAGCTGCTCCCGGGGAAACCAGTACCACACCTGCATCTGAGGAGGCTACAACAATATCCGAAGAAACCTCGCTCGTCCCACAGGAAACCACGCTAGAACTAGAAGAAACGACATCGGTGCCAGAAGAAACAACGACGCTAGCAGAGGAAAACACCCTTAAGACGGACAGTACCACGCCAACACCAGTTGTGGAAACGACACCTGAGCTAGTCGAAACTGCGCCTGCATTGGAGGAAACGACACTAGATCCAGATGAAATTACAGGTACTGAAATTATAGGCAATGCTTCAACCACGGTGTTTGTCGAAACGAAAACATCACCAGATACCGTAGTCACCAAATCGGCCGATACGATCAGCTTAGGCGATATCACCAGCAATGAATCGTCTACATTTATTTTGCTGGATACGGATAAAGCGATACCGTAAATGTTGATACAATCATACAAAGTGTCGGTTAAGGAAACCACGACAGATCTACTGTACGACTTTCGAGTTAAATGTCAACTGTGACGTGTACTGACCTTTAATGGGTATCACATGAAAGTACAAAAAGAGTACTAAAACAAACGAATTTAAAGCAAAAACACTTCTTCAATGCTATCCTGCTCGGGGATTGTACCCATAACACAACTGTGACTAGTTTATCCTATAGATACAACGTCAGAGGAGACAACATCCAACTCTACAGCCTTTTCATACGATTACTCCACGCCAACCGATTCGACTACTGCTGCTTGTCCTATTCAAAATTCACCATGTGGACATGAATGGGTGTCGTTGAGCTCTGCTACCGACAACAAATTAAACTGCGGTTTTGGAAAATCGCCGCAAGCTGCTACCGTGCCGAACATCCGATGGTGCATAAATTGGCAGAGGACGATTCCGTGGTTAAACTTCGTATATGATATTGTTCCATCGCCCACAAGTAAACTTTGTACCAGACCAACACGATAATAAATGTTAATTGCATTTTTGCATGGATATGTTTTTTCAGACGGGAAAGATTTTCTTGCTGTCTCACGGTGCTCTCGTAGGAGCAGCTCACCAATGAGGGAAGCTGCAGCAATAATACATACACCGCCTGTGCAAGTCAAGGAATGCGTGATTTATAACATCAGCTTCAACTACATGCTTGCCGCACCGCCAGATTTCGACAACAATTATTTCTTCGACGTAAGAATTGGCAGGCCAGGCAAAGCAGGATCCCACCAAACAGCTCAGTTATATGGGGCAAACGTCAAGATTATCCGACCGATTTCGGTAATTTGACCAACCAGCTTCTCTTCAATTCGACGACGTACACGGCCGCAGCAAACGAGATCTTTAACGTTCACTTTATTGCTCATCACAATGACGATTGCTTGAAAAATCGACGGAATATCTCCATCGACGATATTGTAACGCTGCAAGGTTTGTACCTTTTGCTATCGCATTATTTTCTGGAAACCTGCTGGCAGCGGATTCAAAACCCATTTTACAGCTAAGGAAAGAATTTGCTTTACCAACCCGCCGCCAACCACCCCGTGGACTACAACACCAGCTCCGAAATTATGTCCTGACCTTTCATGTTTCACCTGGAATGCGCCACCAGCATCGGAAAACTCTAAGTTGGTATGCTCTTTCGGCCCTTTCCAGTCACCAGCAGCGTCGGGCGTTAGTTGGTGCACAAAATGGGAGCGAAAATTCAGTTGGCTTCGCCACCAATTTGACATTACTGAACGAGGTAGACCAGAACTGCACAGTAATACTGCCAGAGAAAAACCTTTGCTTGCAACAGTTTTTTTTCAATATTGTCTGCGAAAGTGGCGGATCTATTTGCAGAGTCCAAAAACATGCAGGCAGTTTCGAAATGCTCTGTGGGAAGCTCGTCTGCCGGCACTGTCTTGGCAAAAGCTCTTTTGCGGACTCCTGTCATTACCATTGGTGCCTGTGCCCATTACAAACTCACTTTTTCCTTACAATTCTCGCACACACCGGTGATTAGTTATGAAGAGATGGATAGTTATTTTTTGGAAGTCCGTATCGGGAAAGGCAGTGAATCTCGTATTCCGGATCGAGTAATCTGGGGCAGCAGAGCGGATTATGAAGAGGGACAGATAAGCATGGGGAATAACAATGTCACTACAGAATTTGATACTGCGGAAAACGACAGTTTCACGCTAAACTTCGTAGCACATCACAGCAACGGTTGTACAATCAAAGGTCAATCCATAGCCATCGATGACATAAACACGATGAAAGGTTTGTTCTTTCTACTCGAGCAAACACTGTTTTTGTCGAAAACGCGCTGACAGCAGATTCGAACCCTATTTAATTGCAGCCGAGGAAACAGACTGCACAACCACCCCGCCACCAACCACCCCATGGACAACAACACCAGCTCCGAAATTATGCCCTGACCTTTTTGTGCGCCATCTGGAATACGCCACCGGCATCGGAATCCTCAAAGTTGGTATGCTCTTTCGGCGCTTCCCAGTCACCAGCAGCGTCGGGGCGTTAGTTGGTGCACAAAATGGGAGCGAAAATTCAGTTGGCTTCGTCACCAGTTCGAAATTACACAACGAGGTAAACATAACTTCACGATGATATTTCTTTCGAATATAGCTTCATTTGCGAAGATCGTTTATAATACATCAGACTGTACAAGTAACGGATCTGTCTGCAGAGGCCAAAAACATGCAGGCAGTTTCGAAATGCTCAGTGGGGACTTCGTCCGCCAGCGTTCAAGGGAAAGCTGTGCTGAGAACTCCAGTCGTTACAGTCGGACCATGCGCCCGGTATAAACTTACATTCTTCCTACAATTCTCCCGCACCCCGGTGATTACTGACAACGAGATGGAGAATTATTTTTTGGACGTCCGTATCGGGAACGGTAGTGAATCTCGTATTCCGGATCGAGTAATCTGGGGCAGCAGAGCGGATTACATGGAACTGATGGAAGGCAATATTAGCATGGGAAATTACACTGTGACCGCAGAATTTGATGTTGCGGAAAACGCTAGTTTCACGGTAAACTTTGTAGCACATCACAGCAACCGATGTGCAGTCAAAGGTCAATCTACAGCCATCGACGATATCACAACGCTGAAAGGTTAGAGCTCTTCCGTCACGCGCCTAAACGAAGCGCCGTTATGCTCTATCTGTTACAGAAGCTGAGGGCGAAATATGCAATACCGTAAGCACAACTGGATCGGAAGATACGACGTCTGCTGATGGCTCGGATGAAACGGATGGAACAACAAAAGACTTGATTTCGACAACAGACGCTTTCGAGACAAGCGAAAGTACTGCTGATACCGTTGTAATTGAAGAAACAACGAATTTAGACACAGATAAAATCCGCAGACATTCATTGTCAGAGTTGTCACCGTAGTGTTTCGTGAAATGGGATGTGTGTCAATGCAGCACGCACCATCCAATGGCAGTCGCTGTGGAAGTTGCTAACAAAGTTTTTTATTAGTGTTTATCGTTAACTGCACGCTTACCTTGGCATAGCGAATTTATTACAGTATATAATTGTTTAGGCAGGACTGCGACGGAAATGTTGTATGTTTGTATGTTTTAACGAATACATGAAGTAGGTACATGAAGAACGCAAAATTCCGTGTTGATGTTGCGCTACTCCACTAGGCGGTCACTTTGTGTAAATACAATAATCGAATAGTATTAATTTTCAAAAAAGTACTACTCGTAGTCAAGTCTTCAAAAAAATTAGCATTCCAATGCTTTTCTAAAAATTTTAGAAAAGCATTGGAATGTTAACTTTTACATCTAAATCTACATCTAATTACAAAATTTACATCTGAATCTAAATAAAACTTGTAACATAAAGGAATTGCAAATGTAAACCATTATCAATTGATACGATTATGCGAGTACTCGTACTTCTCCAGTGTACATACAGTATCTAAAAATTTAATATGTTTGTAACTGTAACCAATTTCGATGGTCATTGCTTTGCCATGGATGAAGAGGAGCTTAAACCGGCAATGAGTTCATATTAAAAACACTGATTTTCATTTAACAAACATTTCAAAAGAATACGATTGCCCGGCATGCCAAAAGCAGTGTACAGACACGAGAATCGCAGCACATACAAAATTAATATGTACGCTTTATTATGCCTGGGAACGTGAACGCCTGCGTAGGTTGCGTAAACGGGTGCAGATACTTATTACAAATGCTAAATTATAATGGAAAAAATTCAAGGAATGATTTGAGTGCCCACATCAATTTATTACTGGTAAAAATTCTTGCAGTACCTTTTAAAACTTTGCAACATGTGGAGCCAGTAGAGGCAACCGGGCTTCACTCGGCATATAATGTTATGACCGCAAGCAGTAAAATTCTCATCCATTAACCTGGATTATCCGAACGTGACTTCCACAAGTACTGTGGGCGTCACGAAGCAGTGAGTATCCTGGAGTGTGGTTGCAAAATTCAAGGACAGACTCCTGGAGTGTCGTGGGCGAGCAAAGTGTAAAAATGTCAAAACAGCGAAATGCACAGAATCCATTACAAGTATGTCTTAATTTATGCTATGTTCGACAGTTCATTTGTGGTCTTGAACTGTTAGACGGCTTCTGAGCACGGGCTTAAAATGACACTACACTATAGACTCTTAAAGTGATACCCTTACGTTGTACCGAAGTTGTGACCTATGCGGTTGACTGCGGATCTTTGACGCAGTATTAAATCCAAGAAAGGTGTTCAAGGTTTTTTAATTACATATAAAATACATGTACTTACTACTCGGACCATGGCAGGCCATTTTTCGTTGCCGATTATCTGCATTATTTCTCTGATTATGGGTAAGAGGTCCATCCAATTGGAAGTTTAATGTTTACAGATTTTTGCTTGTATCTAGGTCACTGTAAAATTGATACAGAACAAAATACACATTTTTAATTATTTTTCTCCGTATGTCAGTGGGATGTATCGCATGATTCGCATCGTTTTGTGTTTCAGGAATAACAACGCAGAAATCCAAGACAAATGGCAATGAAAGCTGCGCCTATCCGCACAGCTGTTACGAATGGATACCGCTGCCGACGGCGGACGACCTCAAGCTCAGCTGCAATATGGATTTTATGAACCCGTACAACAACGACATGGAAACTCTGGATGCATGCCCATTCTGGAAGCGGTCATCGATACTGTTTCCCTTCCGCTTTGAACTTCGTAATTATAATGGAAACGATTTCCCATCATCTAACGGCTCCCAAACATGTACTGCTTGCATTTGTATTAGCCGCAGTGGCGCAGTTTCTAGATTTTATGTATAGCTGCAAACTTAGCAACAAACAGTACAGCATGAATTATAACATCCTACGAATTATAACATCTTCGTCGGGCAGTTGGCAAGTTTTGGCCTTGCCCAGGCCGAAAACTAGTGCTGCGCGTGAGGACATATACCGTATCTGCAGCCATCTGTGGAATAGTACATTGTATATATTTGTATTCGCACATTAATCTAATTTTAACAATTTTATTTCTTTGTAATTTTCGTCTTCGTATTTGCAGCAGTCTACCGTTGGTTCGCGCAGTCAAATTGTTACAGAAAACCTGACGTTTCCGGAAAGACTGAATATCCTGACCGGCAAATCGCTCATCTCGGCGGAGGTTAGCATACCGTCCCGACGGTTGCCGTAAACTACGGACGTCTTTTTGGTATCGCTTTTCTTCAAAGCCAGCCTTCCATGATGATATCGCGGACCTGGAGCATTACCTCGAACTGGTGATACATTATAAAAAGAACACCGCGTCTAACTTCATTCCCAATCGGCGAATTTGGGGCGACGAGAAGGATTATGATCAGCACCCGGGTTCAAATATCTGGAGAAATGTCGTCGTCGAGTACACTGTCTACGAGGAGTTCACTCTTAATTTCTTTGCTCACCATAAACTTTTTTCCTGCCTTACAAATGAAGCAAATTCGATTGACATTCGCGGAATCGAGACAGCAATCGCTAGTAAGTATTGCAATAGTAAGAAAATACAAAATATAACAAGCATAAGAGTCGGAGTAGTATAGACACGTACGAATAAGAGGAATGATTACAGAACAATTATCCTATGTTCCGCTAGTAACTTATGTTATTTTGGTGGCTACTGCCTATAAAGAATATTATGCTATAGCGACCCAGTTCTATTGGTAATGTTAACTTGAACATGCGTGTGTAGTGTGTACCCAATCAAATTTACGTAATCATGGACTTTGACAATTCTTCGTCGCCCTCATATTATACATAATAATGCAGCTATGAAATAAGTTGCTGTGATCAACGCAGGTAGCTCGTTTTTTTATATTAATTTTTTGAGTAAACATGTGATCGAAGCAACTACTGGCAGGAATTTCTTTTTTCATCGCCCTCAAAAACAGTTCTTTTTTTGTTTTAAGATAGGGTAGTACTAGGCGCTTTGAATGCTTAAAAAATTGGCATTGATGAAAATCGGCATTGATGAAAAAAAAATCGGCATTGATGAAAATTTTAGGAGAAGTCACTTGTACAACTACAACACTTCCGGCGACAAACACATCTCCAATGACCAAACCAACACAAGCTTTCACTCCACCATCAAACACAACCGGCGATCTTTACGAAAATTCCACGTTATCTCTCGATACTACCAGCGATCCACTGGACAATTCTACTGCGTTCCTCAATACTACCGATGACTCTTTCGATAACTCCACAGTTTTCTACAATACTACCAGCGATCCACTGGACAATTCTACTGCGTTCCTCAATACTACCGATAACCCTTTCGATAATTCCACAGTTTTCTTCAATACTACCAGCGATCCACTGGACAATTCTACTGCGTTCTTCAATACTACCGATGACCCTTTCGATAATTCCACAGTCTTTTTCAATACTACCAGCGATCCACTGGACAATTCTACTGCTTTCTTCAATACTACCGATGACCCTTTCGATAATTCCACAGTTTTCTTCAATGCTACCAGCGATCCACTGGACAATTCTACTGCGTTCTTCAATACTACCGATGACCCTTTCGATAATTCCACAGTTTCCTTCTATACCACCAGTGATCCACTGGACAATTCTACTGCTTTCTTCAATACTACCGATGACCCTTTCGATAATTCCACAGTTTTCTTCAATGCTACCAGCGATCCACTGGACAATTCTACTGCTTTCTTCAATACTACCGATGACCCTTTCGATAATTCCACAGTTTTCTTCAATGCTACCAGCGATCCACTGGACAATTCTACTGCGTTCTTCAATACTACCGATGACCCTTTCGATAATTCCACAGTTTCCTTCTATACCACCAGTGATCCTCTGGACAATTCTACTGCGTTCCTCAATACTACCGATGACCCTTTCGATAATTCCACAGTTTTCTACAATACTACCAGCGATCCACTGGACAATTCTACTGTGTTCCTCAGTACTACCGATAACCCTTTCGATAATTCCACAGTTTTCTTCAATGCTACCAGCGATCCACTGGACAATTCTACTGCTTTCTTCAATACTACCGATGACCCTTTCGATAATTCCACAGTTTTCTTCAATACTACCAGCGATCCACTGGACAATTCTACTGCTTTCTTCAATACTACCGATGACCCTTTCGATAATTCCACAGTTTCCTTCAATACCACCAGTGATCCTCTGGACAATTTTACTGTGTCCTCCAATACTACCGATGACCCTTTCGATAATTCCACAGTTTTCTTCAATACTACCAGCGATCCACTGGGCAATTCTACTGTGTTCTTCAGTACTACCCTTGACCCTTTGCATAATTCCACACTACAATCAGGCACCACTGTTACTCAGACACCGATTGAATCTGTTTGTGACGTTTTGAACAGCCAATGTGGGCTTGAGTGGGCGACTCCGAATGGCAATATCGCGAATAGGTTAAACTGCCAGTTCGGATCTTCCCAACCCGCTAATTCGCAGAACGTTTACTGGTGCCCACAGTGGCAAAGAAGAGCTGACTACTACAGTTTTGCTTTTGATGTCACTTCTTTGCCCGCAGGTGAGTTCCTGATCAGGAATACAAAAATTAAAATGCTTCAGTATTACAATGTCATTATTGTCTCGGAATCAAATCCTGTCTTTGGCTTTATGTAACACTTATCCGTAACTTATTGTCTTAGATCCGAAAAATTTTTTCGCCATATCGAGGTGCTCGAGGAGCAGTAGTCTAAATTCGCGAGAAGCCTTAGCAGTCCTTCGCACACCCGTGACATTGGCCAGCGAGTGCTTAACCTTAAACGTCACGTTCAAATACAAACTTTCCGCTATTCCACGTAGCGATTTCTTCTTGGATGTAAGAATCGGTAAACCAGACGAAACCAGAGTTCCTGCTGACAATACCGTCATCTGGGGGAAGATGTCTGATTACCCGAAAACCAATTTTACCGACCAATGGGTACATGCCTCTGCGGTATTCGAAGTTGCGGCGGATGAACGCTTCACGATCAACTTTGTCGCTCACCACAATGACGGCTGTTCGACTCAGCGGCAAACGATTGCAATTGACGATATTGTTACTAAACAAGGCGAGTTAACTGTGCATTTCATTTGCACATAATACTTGAATACAGCTACTAGCCTACTAATACCCGAACTAATTAAAATGCTAATTGTTTTGCAGGAAGAAAAACGGATTGTACAATGCCAACTCCCAGTACAACAACATCGCTTACGACACCGGCTAAGCCTCTTTGCCCTGAACTTCGATGCCCTGATTGGAAACCGCTCCCGCAGTCAGACATGGCTAAGCTGACTTGCACCTTTGGCTCATCCCAACCGTCATCATCGCAGTCCGTATACTGGTGCCGAAACTGGGAGCGGAAGTTTAGTTCCCAACGATACCAGTTCGACATTGTACAGCGCTGTACGTCGAATTTTATCTGAACGCTTTGTTTATTTCAGCTTTCACCCGCATAATTAAATCAGCACGATTACAACGCCATCTTTCATTATTTACGTAGCTTGTCTTTTAAGTAACTTCTGTACTTCTACTGTTTTAGCTCCTAAAAACATGCAAGCCTTATCACGGTGCGGGTCTGTCGCCGGCAAAGCCCTGCTGCGTACCCCGCTCGTTACCGTTAGAGAGTGCTCCCATTATCAGCTCACATTCAGCTACAATTTAACCGGCGTTCCGGTCATCGGTAACCAGGAAGCCGACAACTATTTCCTGGATGTCCGCATAGGAAAGGGCAACGAAAATCGTATCCCAGACCGAGTTATTTGGCGTACAGATTTAGCATTGCCGGCCAACCAGTGGCAAAACATAACCGTAGAATTCGACGTCGACGATAGTTTCACCGTAAATTTTGTCGCACATCATAGCAGTCGTTGCTCCTCTCATAAGCAGGCCATTGCACTGGATGATATTACCACCAAGCAAGGTCAGTGTTGCGTGTTGCATTCTTCAGGCTATAGTCGATGGTTACAGATTAGCCTTGCAAATTTTCAGGAGAAGAAGGAGGCGGCGTGTGTACAACGCGCAAAGGACACTTGCAACCGGCTCAGGGCATTTATTAATATTACTGACCTTTCCCATAATTAGAAGGTACGCAGTAATGATTGCCTGCCATCAGTAGCTGTGCATGCAAAATTGCCCTGCTGTATGTTGCTGATGATTTGATTTGTTTATGTAGGCATTTGAACGCTATTGTTGAATGACCTGGCACAAATAACACAAGAAACTGGACAAGCGTTTCAACCTCTTGTGGTCTGGCAGCTGACTCCCGATAATACCCAATCTAAATTTTTCAGCATCACAAACGTCACCAAACAATGCTCCATTTAAGCGCTGAGCTTATCTGTACTTATGTACTGTTGTACGCTCATTTAATCACAAGCGCACCAGAGATATTTCATAGTTGTTATTTTGTTTGCTGAAACACTGAAACATTCTTTTATACAGATTTGCATTTGTGGGCACTTAATTTCACAAGTGTAAACATTGTGGTTTCTACGTTTACAAAAATAAATAATTTTATGATATGATAATACTCGATCGTTGGAATGTACTTTGCATCTTATGATACAACCGACGATAGTTTCAGGTCATCTTATACGATATAAAACGGCCGGATTCAGTGTATTCAATGAAGATTTTTAAACCTAGTAAGCTGCCGGAAGATCTGCCTGTCAAAAAAAGCGTCGATACTCTTAAACATACGAGATACACTATTCTAGAGTACCCCGGTAGTACCTCTAGTCTTGGCTTTGCCGATGGCGATGTAATGTTCTTAGCACTTAGCGTCAAATGCACCACTTCAAAACTACGCGATCACTAGCGTTATTTGAAGTTTTTGCTGACGTCCGAATTTGAACATAGCACACACGGTAACACACGGTAACCTCTTAATTTTATGTCAGCGATGTGCGTTTTAGCACGATTTAAATCTTCGTAACACCTCGAGGAACTTGAATCTACTTTTGTTCTTGCGAACTAATGCGAATAACAGGCAATTTCTGTATCCCAGATTCAACATGAGCAGTCTTTCACCCTGACTTTCTACAAAAATGCAAAAACGTTACTACGTAATAACACATCATTATTAAATTATTATCTATGTGCTAAAAATATTCTGAATTCAAATTGTAACTATTCGGCTCTAAGAAAGCCGCGGGCAGGAATCTACGCGGGAGGATGACCTTCGAGACCAAACAATTCATCCCTGCCACTTTCCAGCGCTGGCACCGACACCGCACTGTAATAGCACACACCAATATTGGCGCCGGCACCCCAGGCAGCTCGGGGTTTGTTAATTTTGGAGCCCAGGAAGACCGCCGGACCCGGCGGTACCGGCGATGCCGGGATATAATCCGCGTCGACATCCTCTGTATCGTAGAACATATTCCTAACATGGGCGGTCATGCCGTTCACGGCCTGGCATTTGTTGCGCGCCTGGTCGGTGGTCAGGAGGAAGAAGGGATCCATGGTCGGCAGTGTTATGGGGTCGGTGACGTTTCCGTCATCACGGCAGCATAAGTAATACACCGAAGCGATGTTATAGTATTCACCTGTAACTTCTCATGGTTACCTTACATAATAATGCCTATACTTCTACCATTAATACATTTATACATACTATCAAAATAAAAAAATTAATGACAATTAAATTGGCGATGTTTAATCAAATGGCAAGGACGCACACTAATCGGAGCTCTGTGCAAAATTGCACATAAACACAAAACATTAGCAAATTTAACTATATAAATTATGCAAATATCGTGTAACTACGATCGAAAGTGCCATCATAAAATGGCTTAATAAATAAATTGCCTCTTCCCCGGCGCCAGGGAAATAGTTCTTGGTAAATCAGAAATTATGACGAAGCAGAATTAATTCACAAATTTTTTTCGGTACACCCGGTACTTAAAGAAATCAAAAGGAGCTACAAGTAAACAGTCCAAAACAAGCCTATTTGACCTACCGCTTGGTATATCGCCCTTAACCCTGTCCGTATTATTTTTGTCCACTGTGTCGACGACATACCAGCTGTATTGGAAGTCGGCTGGACAGTTTTTGTCGATGCTGCTGCCCTCCTTGACCTTACCCAGGAAGATGCAGTATGAACCCGGGTTCCAGTGGGCCGTATTGTTGGCATTGCAACGGCTTGTGCTGGTGTTGGCATTGTGGTTGCAGAAGTTGACCACGGTACCATTGGAGATCTTCTGGGCGTCTAAATCAGCCGCTATGGTCGAGTTCGGGCCAAGGGTCGACTTAATGGAGCCGGTAGTCCAGTTGAGTGGGCAACCGCTGGTAGGTTTATACAGGACAAAGTTATCGTCCGGCCAACATACCGGCGCGGTTTTCTTCGTCTGGGTGTCGTTGCGGGGCGGAACGAAGGGTTTTTTATCTACTGGAGTATAGTGGCATATCTACAGTCAATTACAAGGTACATAATGTCAAATTTTCCAAAACTGTTAGCACGAATGATATTAATTTTGCCCTAGTATTTACGCAACACGTACGGTGCATACATTAACGCTGATCGTTAGAAAAACCACAACACTGAAAAGTGCAGCACGTGCAGAACAATTCATATTTCCTAAGGAAATTACGTAAGTTGCAAAAGTAAATGCTGCTTTTTAGTCCATACTAATGCAGTTCGCGCTGGTACACTTACCTTCGATTTAATTTTGCGCAAAAATTATAAGTTTGCAATTTACTGATTTTTTTACAATGACGTCAAATTTTTAAATTGTTAGCATCTGGCGAAAAATGTATATATCCATTATATGTCAGCGTTGCCGCGGTTCCTTAATTTCAATTAGCAGAAGCCATACAGTCCCTTACCGCCATATGGAGACCTTTGCCCCAAAATCCCGTATGAGTATCCAAGGAATATTCAGGCGGAGTGAAATCCGGTGCTGCTGGTGCGCCGTTGGTGGTCGCATCATCGTCATCCGTATCATAGAAGATCTCCGTCTTGTTCACTGTCATACCGGCAACTTGCTGGCAGGTCTTGCCGACAGCGGTGGGATAGAGAAGGAAGGCTTTCTGATTTGGTAGTTGGATTTCGGTGTCGGCATCGCCATCATCACGACAGCAGTAATACTGTACGGTGGCGAAAGAGAAGAACTCGCCGCTGGGCAGCTGACCACCATGGGACAGATTGCCGCCGTTAATGTCGTCAATGGCCACCCAGGTCCAGTTGAAGCCGGCCGGACAATTGGCGGTGATGATGCCTAAATTGCAAAATGCATTTATTAGTTTTATGGATATAGATACGTTTGACGTACATACGACTCTACCGTACTTCCCGTCAAATGAAACAAATTAAACTTTACTTTTGTCGTTCGCATGATGTAAACTATTTCTGGTTGCAGTAACTGCACTGCGTACCTTATTTTATGATGCATACGTTTTCTGTCATAAAGTATACGTAAGTTGCGTATATGTAAGTTACAAAAGCCAATGAAGCCAATGTTGCATTGTCTGTTTAGCCGAACTGGACCATGCTGCTAAATTCCTACTTCTATTAATTTTGTAAAGCAAGTTAGTCGAGCTGTTGATTATGCGAGAGGTTCAAGCTGCTTATGTGACAAAACGATACTAAAAGGTCAAGAATGCCGCTATGATTGCAGTTACCAGAACCAAGAAAACCCTGGATCAAACGCTCGATTCAATAACCTTTTAAATTGTCTAATATAAAAAAAGGGAAAAAAACTGAAGTGGGATTATTTATTACTTAACATGAGACCCGCCTCCAGTAAATCTACGCCCATGGCAAGCTAGTCAGAACAGACAGTCTCAACATGGATAAGACAGTACCGTTTCCGCTTTAGTACGCTTACCGCCCGGGGGATGTCCATGTGCGAACAAACAATACGATCCCGGCGGAAACGCTGCCGGCTCCTCGCCTCCCTGACAGCTGCTGTCATTGATCTGGTGCGAGCAGTAATTTAGTTTTACATACCGTCCCTGAACGGTTCCATTGACAAACTGTGGCGGGACAATGGACTTTTTGTGCGTATAATTCACGGTCCATCCCTTGGCCCACGATGGTCCAGGACATCCTTCTGCCGCACTCATCAAAGTGTACTGACCTTTCGGCCAGCACTGGTTGTCAGAATCGATGGCTGATCCGGCCGTCATGCTGACGCCGGTAATCAGAATGACTGCGAATAACATTGCACAGACAGCAGCCAAAACAATAACTATTGAACCCGCGAAAGATAAGAGAAACTCGCAAAATGATGGAAAGTTGGAAACGATGTAATCCGCACATTAAAGATTGTAGTTTTCTTTATGAAGTAATTGTATCCAATTGTTCTAATACGTCGAACACAAATTATACAATGAAGCATAAAATGATTTTATAAGTAGAAATCAATATTTAATTCATAAGCGCGATAACAATATCAGGACCCAGTTCCGGTTAAACAAACCGTAATCAGCAACAATGTTTTAACGCCCGTTCTACAGTGGCTTTTCGGTCTGAGAAAAATACTAACTTTTCACTCATTCAAACATAAACAATCTTGGAACTGACTTTAGATGAACTGTTTGTCGTACATGATTTGAGTTTTTCAGTGCGAATTTACATCATTATCAGCTGATTTATTAAGAAGCTGATGTCTTAATATCGATCTATTTCCCGGTTGTTGGCACTAAGGGCGGAAATTTTTCTTTTAGAAATAATTCTATGCACTGCAGATGTTGTCATAACCGGCTTTTAAAATATTCCTCGCAGTAGTGTGGGTTTGTAATTAATGATCGAGATGACGCAAAAACAGCCTGTTCCATAACAACAATCACCTTACTAATAAGTAAGAATTTTTAATTAAATTAACAAATATCGTACAAGCTACGGCCAATCGTACCAGTGTATTTCATTTTGCTTTTGTCGTAGTATTTGTTTGTGAAGAAGTGGCGTTGAATTTCATTCCCTGAAAATGGTCTATTTTCAGAAATTAATCAATCTTCGATGTACAAGTACCTGCTAAGTCGTACCACTACCGTTACTAGAATAGCACAATCATGACTGGAAAAAAACAAACCCCGGTACTCGACAATCATACCGATATGAATCATATGATTATCATTATTTTGGCCAAATGTTATTATCTTTAACAAGCTTGCTTTTTCCCAACAATTAACATCATGCATTAGTGGCAGCCCAGTTGTTGCACTACGGAAAAAGCGATATCTCCATTTTTCCCGCGGTTTTGCCTTAATCATTTGTCGATCTCACCACGTTTCTTTTTATTGGTTTTCCGAGTACTTGTACTCTGTACTTATCGTGGTTTCTATGGAGTATGATGAGCTTACAAAACCAGCACAAAGTAAAACGCAGTCATCCCACGCTTCAAAAATTTTCAAAATGGCATGGTCATTCGAAAACAATGACCAGAGGCCAGAAAAAAACAACAATTTAAAAAAATACAGATTCGCTAAATACAAGGCCGCAAAGGCGCCAAAATACCGGCCGTCAATAATGAATGGAAAGATGTGAAAAATTGTATATGCAGCTAAATTGCTTACACTATTGCCTTTCATTAGTGACGCGCCAAATTATAATTACAAACAAGCCTCATATATGTATATGTTATACACACCCTGTCAACTGGACATGCTGTTTCGTCCTTAATTGCTGGAGCGGTAATTTTGGAATATTATTCTTTGATTACGAGTATCTCCTAATTATACAAAACCCTTGAAAATAGGGTTTGTGTGGTATTTTTCATCCGTCACCATGCCATTTACCACCCTAGGTCCCTAAAATACCATTCTCAAATAACCGCACAATTTGCAGTCTGCACCGAAACTTTAAAGGCGTATGTATACTCATACTACGGCAGCTATACAGCTATCATATTTTAGACATTCACGGCCTACCCGTATCGCAAAAAAGTTTTGATGTGCTTGGGGCGATATTACCAGTGAATGAAAAGCTGCAACTCGTAAGACCACGAGCCTTACTTTCGCTTCCAAGCTGATAACTTGTGCAAAGTAAATATATTCTGTACACAAACATAATAAGCACAAATACAATAAAGTATATCATTTTCTTCAATGCAGCGTATGCATTTAATCTGTCTCCTTCTGTGTGTAAAAACAATGGGATCACCTGACTACGGTTGCAAGAAAGCTAAGAATGCACTAGAAGTATAGGAGCACCCGGCATCATCAAATTGCAGTAATAATTTTACTTTTGCCGGCAAAATGATCTCGGTTATTCATCTGGAGATGTGGTGGTCATATTCGCAAGCACCCCAGGGTGGCTACCCATGAGTCATGAATAAGCTTAAAAGCGAAAGCCGTATTATTGCGCTGGGGTACTGCACTTTCTCGAAGGATGATCTTTTACCAGAAGCATTAAAATGTAGTACAGTGTACAAGTACGTTGAAAATTTTTTATGTACAAGTACGTACGTTGAAAATTTTTGAAAAATAACACTTGCGCATATTGCGTTATTCTTAATCCTCCAGCCTGCTCAAGTTTGATACAATATTTTGAATTCTGGCTAGTTACAAGCATATATATTTATATACTGTAGACTGACAAGTGAACATCAGTACAAGTATCGCTTAAATATTCACTGATATATTGTAAAATATTACGGAACTTCCTTTCTAGACGTTTCATATAATTAAAAATATGGATGTAACTTCGACACATTCAGTATTAAACTCCATTATATTTACTTATTCCATGCAGCAGCATAAATTTACATTCCTGGCAAACATAAATCCGGAACAGTTATTTATAGCATGTCGGTGTAGATATGTAGTATCGACGCCCATTGTCTTTAATTTAAGGATGAGTAGCAACGCTTCCGGCGCTTATAGCGGTTGCTCTAGCTGTTTTATAATAAGTATACTGCAAGTACAATAATACTACTTATTGCATATACTCTGTACGCTACTCAAATTGCTTTGCAGAAAATCATTGGCCTGTCTTCACTTTATGCCTGCGGGAGAACGTCTTCTTTTGGAAAAACCAAGCATAAAGTTTTTAGAGAACGGTTAAAAGAGCATTCGCCGCTATTTCCATGCTCTGTCGCGGGTTGTAATGCAGTTGGCCAATGTATTAATGATTGTATAATGATCAACAATGTCTAGTACGGCCGCACCCTTGCAGAACGTGGATTACAGCGCTGTGCCCGTGCAGGTACCGGTTATCCACTCTGAAAGCAAAAAACTATAATCGTTATTTCGCAAATTTTTTTAATTTAAAAAAATGAGGCGTGTTTTTAAACAAGAGCGCTATAGCAGCCGTGAATTATATTATCAGCAAAGCCGCTAGAATACTGTATTATTTCTTGAAAACTTCTTGAAAAGTTTGAAAACCGAATTACTTCTTGAAAAATATTAAATAGAACATATATTGTAAATACAGAAGATTTAATTAAATCATGAAGTATCTCGACGATACAATATGTTGCAGATTGAGGAAGCTCTACCAAAGCCGGCATTCCAGGACCAGCGATCACTCGTACAGGTGCGGATGAAAGAACCGTAAAATTCGACAGAATGTCGCGATAATCTTAAAATAATAAAATGCAATATTGTTTATGTTCTTCTTTTAACTGTTAGTCTGTTTCTACCACCAAATTCGTCAAAATATACGTTGTAGGAGGAAATATGGGTGGAAAACTCCAAACAGATCCCCGAGATAGCCAACAAAATCTGCACTCAATGGATTCGTCGGCCACCGGATTTGATTGTCTCCTTTCTTACGAACGAGAATAACGGAGGTGCATTTCGCAACATCATCCAGCGTAATGCCTTTCAAGAGGGCATCAGTCAGGTAGTTACTCGTATTTAAATTATGGTTAAATATACATAAAAGTGCGCTGTGCATTTTGGAAACAGGGACAATTATTTGATTATATTTTTATAAATCGGCAACAATTACGTATTTAATAACTAACAGCAGCCGCTAACAGTTACTTTATAATTTGACTACAGATGGTCAACAAACTGCCAGACACACTGTTTTTCGACAACGGCTCGCGCAGCGGCCTAGCAAATTTGCTGGGAAACACGCTGTGCGGACTGGACCATTTCGATGAGCATGTGCAGCGGAGAAAAATCAGTACACGGCACAAAAAGAAGGCTAAGGACATCGTCTCCGATGTTCGGCATATTAAACAGCTGATCGGGGTCGTGTCGCAAACCCCCGCCCGGCAACATCGCGATCTGCAGGCGGATGCCAACCATACACGACTTGTTGTTCTGGATGCCGGTGCGGAAGACCAGAATCGCAAGATCCGTGCGGAAATGGAAATGGCTGTCTGGAAAAATCTGACGGATAACGAGAAATGGCTCACTCAAGGTACGCATTTTTTAACAAAGAATTTCGGCACTATATCCATTCATTACACAAATCTAACAATTTACTGACATAGAGTATTACCATCCTTCGTCCAAAATTGCTAATTATTAAGTGTTAATCATTGGATTAAGCATTATTATTTTGTTATTAGTGGGCTTCAGTGTTTAACTGAAAGTGTTAGCTGGTCTTGTTGTTGTTCTTAAACAAATTATATAAAAGGGCATAAGAAAGCAAAAACTTATGGAAATAAAGCAAAAATTATAATAAGCATGTTTTGTGTTGCTGTATTAACGTTTTCTAACTTTTGGATTAGAAATCGTATATAACACATATATTTTTATGATATTACAAATAGTCAGAAAAGTATGTTTGAACCACTGTGAAGAGAAGTATGGATGGGGCTTGACTATTAAGAACCTTTTACAAACGGTGCTAATTGCGGTGCGTCTCTTTTTCAGAATTTTCAAACGGTTTTATGAATTATGCCACTAATCTAAAATGAATTTACTAGTTTCGAAAATTAAGTAGTTTCATAAATAATATGCAACTATGTATATCTGAAACAAAACGTACGTTGTTCGCAATGATAGATGATGAGATGGAACGGGCGGACCTGCAACCCATCCACTTTGCCGCCGTGCTGATTAACGGCAACATCGAAGATCTATCGGGTCTCGCCGTCTACCTGCGTCATCGGGTTCCAGTCGTTCTACTGGAAGGCGGCGGAGGCGTGGCCGATGTGCTTGCTCACGGATTACGATTAAGGTAAATCAGCTAATTTACTTGCACTGCCATTCAAAATTTCAAACTAAGCACCACGCTCTATGTATCGTCGATTCAGTTCAGTGCTGACCGACCACGAGCGCCGCGCCGAGGTCACCGAGAAAGTCCGTACGGTCTTCCCAGAGTACTCCCGTGATCGCAAACTCCTCCGCATCGCTGTGGATCTGCATTTAGCCGTGCTGAAACTGGCCTCTATCGAAGAGGTCACCCTGATTGAAGTGGTCACGCCCAAACAACTGGCACATTTGGACGCGTTAATTGTGGATGCGGTGGTTCAGGCATCGGTCTCGTCGGCCAGTCAGCACAGTTTCTCAGCCAATCTGATCTTGGGAATTAAGGCCAACCGGCCGGCGGTTATTGAACGGGTGCTCTTTGGCCACCCGGTGTGGGAAAGCATGCAGGTGTGTGTGGCTAACCAAAAATGAGTACAGATTATTATACAGTGAATAGTCAGAAAGTAAATGTATTAAATACATATAAATATAATAAAGTAAGTACAGTACGTCTATAGTAAACATACTAAATATAATAAAGATTTTCCATGTAGCAAAAATACAATAAAGGTTTTCCACATGAAGAAAATTGCGGTTGTCGCAGATTCCTTATCGGGCCTTCGAAGAATCCCTGGTGCGGCATGATCGTGCGGATTTTGTCGATCTGTTCTTACAGCAAGGATATCCGATACATGAGTACCTGGATGATGAGTTGTATTTGCGGCTTTATCAACGCGGAAGCCAGGAAGCATTTTTCATCGACAATGTTTGGACACTGATGCTTAATCACGCATACAGTTAGCGTAACTTTCGATTTGTTTTCTAGTACATAATTCAGCATACTATTTTAATTAATCACATTTCCAGCACGTTTATTTAAAAATGTACAAGCTGCATTGTAATTTCAGATGAACCGGTGACGGAAAAGTTTGTCCGAGTGGAGCTGAACAATTTAATATTTAAATTAACCGACGTAAAAAATTTTATCAACATCGGTATGCTGAACGAGAGCGTTCATAGTAAATCGTCAACACTTCCGGATTCCATTGCTGAACGAATGGTAGGACTTTGTGCATGAATTTTGCCTGTTTGGGGTGGTTCTATTACTTTTTACTACTCTCTTACTACTACTTTACTTTTACTTACTATTACTATCCTGAGTAGTTCTATTACTATTTATTACTATCTATTACCACTTACTATCACTAGTTCTATTAGTATTACGTATTACTATTACTTTTTTTTATTTTTGTTGAGGAAATGTACTGCCTATTTCTCTTAACTGTTTTCTTTGCCCATTCGGCAAATTCAAACACATATAAATTCTACATAATATCTATAAAGAAATATGTCTGTATATAAATAAATATTTAGTGACAAATGGGCAAATTTATGATCTTTTTAGGCGTTCAACGCGCTGGCAGTATTTGGTGCACTGGTGGGAGACGAGGATCTGGTGCAGATTATGGTTAAGCATTCGCCCGAACCGATCCCGATTGCGTTGCTGGTGGAAGCCATCTTCCATGGACTGGGTGGTGAAACTCGCAAAAAATCCTCGGAGATAGAATTAAAACAATACGGGAACAATCTCAGTAAAATGGTTATCCGGCTGTTTGATATGGCGCTAGAGGAAAGCCCGCAACGAGCTCGCGGATTGCTGATTCGGGAATTGCCGCTGTACAATAATCGCAATGTCATTCGCCTGGCATACGATGCCAAAGATCGGTAAAATAACATTTGTATTAATTACAAATATATTTTTCTTATTAATATTATCTGATTTTTTGCTTCCAAAGTGATTTGAGCCACGCAGCATCTTTTGTTATTGTGGTGGTGGTTACCTGCTAACCATACCCGTTTTATAATAAATACGATTTCGAAATTTTTATTTACAGTAATTTTGTGTAAGTAAATTCAAAAAAATTTGGCATAACGGAAATCACTAATAAGGTCACTAAATCATTAATATATTTTAGCCGTTGCTGGAAAAACTATATCACATTATTATGTAGTAATTTTACATGTAATTTGGTAATATCGTTCTCGTAATTTCAAAATTCATTAGCAGTCTTAGTAAATTGCCAATAATGCAAGGATTTATAATCACTGCAGGGTTTTTGTTGCTCATCCGGCTGTCCAGGAGCTGTTGGACAAATGGTACTTCGGTTTTATCGATATCAAAGGGAGCTTCAACGTGGCGAAGTTGATCGCATCAGCACTGTTCATATTCCCTATCAACAAGTGGTTGCGATTTCCGGCATTAGAGAAACGCGGCGAACGATCCACTGTAGCTGGTATGTTTATACGACGCAAGTACTTTTTAAGGGAAGTTACCCGGTACCTAGCACTAATTTCGTGTACATCCACGGGAACTTTCCCTTTCGGATGTGGCGCGTGAAAACGGAGCTCACGCCTGTGTACACAAATCATTTGGCTACTCGATATCAAGAAGCAAACGGAAAAATATGTTACAAGTGCGCGAAAGTGAAAGTCCCCTTGGATGTATACGAATTTAGTGCTATGGACCGGGCCACTTCCGTCAAGTACCTTTTTTGCAGTGTTAAAGACGTAATATGTAGATACAAATTACAAACAGATGCAGGCATTACAGAATAAACTACCGTAATTCATTGAACCCGAATTCCATGCGGCGTTGTTTTAGCCAACGGATTCTTTCATCCGCGCCCTGAAAGCCAACTGGAAAAAGATGAATACATAACCAACATGCAGCTTCGAATGCACTCGACATTCAAGCCCGAAAAGTCCACCGGAACCCGTCTGCCCATGTCCAAGAAAATATTCGCGGTGTGGAACACTCCGGCGGTGACCTTTCACGTTAGCCAGTTCACTTACTGGATCTTTCTCCTGCTGTTGGCTATTGCCGCCATGATGCCGCCTTGCCGGTACAAAGGAGTTGATTACGCTGTCATGGTGCTGGCCGGGTTGCGCTGGTTGGAACTGTGCACGAAGTAAAAACTTTATAATAACCCTCTACTCTATAAAATTACCTGTTAATATAACCGGTTTATTGCGCTGATTTGCCTTTAATATCCGCAACTGGTATTTATTTATTATTTATAAAAAGATATATAATAATTTTATCTCTTAACGGAAACTCATTTTTTTAAATTTTTGACATAATGACTGATGGTTGCAGAGCGATCTATGACGCATTTGCACTGCCGGTGGTTAACTTCAAATGGCTCATGATGGAACTATTCGTTGAAGGCGCTTTTAACGCTCTGTTTTTCATCTACCGCATTTATCCATTCCAAGATACGAGTATTGAGTTCGTACGTACGATCGGTTGGTATGGTCGAGTTGTCTTATGTTGCGGTGAGTAAAGCTGGCCAAGATTAAATTCACGGTCTGTTATTTTCACCCCGAAGGTTGGATTAAATATTTTTTGTGTAATCCAGGCGTGCTGTATTACTACTACCGTGTTTGGGATATGTACTATTATATGGATGGCATCCTGGGACCAACTATCAGAATGGTGAGTGCGGTCTTCAAAGGAAGCACATCAATGACGTTCGTAACTTCGTATTAATGGTAACTGCTAGTCTGCTTCTGCTGCTGTAGACCATTCGTTCTTTCCGATATGATCTGATGAAGTGGCTAATGGTTACCTATACCCTGTTCGTAAGTATTGAATCCCGATTCGTTATTTAATTCCAAATCAATAGTGCTTTTTATTATTCTATGAGCGGTATTCGTTCTCAAAATAAATTTACAGAAAAAAGTGGTAATTTCCTTTATTGAAAATATGACAATAGAGTGCCGTTATTGCAGCATTAATTTCAATCCGACATTTGTGAGTTTTGGTAAAGTAAAATTTTTACGATCCTGAAATGTTTGATCGCATTCGACTTTCAAAGTACCTCGAAAATTATTACGCACACCGTACACGTATTGAGCTAAGTATATTATCAATAAGTCAATAATAAAATGGAAAGTTGTTTTCCTTTTACCTATTTTTTTAATACACAGATTGCTGTCGCCCTAATTTTTCAAGCCGTTGTTTATCCGGACTATCCGTCGGGAACCGGCGAGGACTGGCGGAAAGCATTTTATCGTGGATTTCATTCCATCTTATACGGTGCCCCCTACACTGATCTCGTGTAGGTTATTGTTATCCTTGAAAAATCCATTATTAATAAAAACAAGGCCAAGTTTTGACATACTTGTTTCATTTGCAATTGAAATGTGGTATGTAATATTGCAGTGCAACATGCGGCGCTGACAAACTGGTCAGTTCTTCCTTGACTCAGCCCATTAAGCAGTACAGTCAAGCCGGAGTTGTTCTGGCCGTTCCACCTGAACGCTGCTGGATTGGAGATTATTCAGATTATTCTTGTAGGAAGACTAATTTTAAATGGCAGCGCAATTTTTTTTTCAAACAAGGTTCTTTCAGGTAACACGGTGACCTTTTGGGCGTGGTTTTTCCATCTGCTATACTACTTCTTTGTGCTGATGGGGACTCTCCTCATGTTGGCCAGCTGGATTTTGTAAGTCGCAACAAAGTTTGATTATGACAATTATTGGCGATGACATTTTTCGTCGGACCTTAGCACGCGCTTCATCGACGAATGGGTGGAAAACGCGAATATCTGGAAATACCATCGCTGCCGATTAATTATGAACTACAGTATGCGCACCTCGTTGCCAGCTCCATTCAGCATCATCGGATATATCTTCAATATTGTCAAGAAACAAGGCGTGGAGTATGTGGATAATCAGCCGAAAACCGTAAGTTCACTCGCGCCGTTTATTTCAGTCTGAATCTGCACTTATTCTTCCATGTATTATAATCCAAACGTTCGACACAGGATGCTTCGAATTCACGGTTTATAAAATTTATACAATATTAGCAAAAACTCGAGATAAATGCAAGGTTTAAAATTTAACATTGGCAAAATACCGTATTTAAATAATATTAACAAAGTAAATGTTAAAAATATCATACAGTACTTTTAATTAATCGGAATCACTGAATTGTCCATTTCAAAGTAACAAAAGAAAAGTCTTGCATTTTAAAATCATTTCTCATTATTCTTCCGTATAACTTTGAAGGGTCTCAAAGCGATGACCGAAGCTGAGCCGATTCTTTCTCCGGAATCTCCCAACCATGCACCCGTTCCCAATGTTATTTTGGACTCATCCTTCTGGAAGAATGTAGCCCAGCGCTGTTATCGTGCACAAGCGGATGAAGCGGAAAAGTCCACTTTAGCGGTTCAGCACGATGAATCGTAAGAATGCTATTTGAACTTATTCTTAAATCAAACGATAAAAACATGCGATCAGCGGCAATTTTCCCGTTGCTTGTTGTAGGATCGGCGACATTGAAAGGGAACTAGCCGCTTTAGTCCAAGTATCAGGGAACTTGGCACACATTGTAGCAACGGCTCCAGTTTTGCCCATCGGGCAGTCTGTCGGCAATGCTCACGAGCCGCAACATCCGCTCAGTCCACTGAGTCCCGTTGCCCCAACCTACGCTATGCCGGAACCGTTCAGTGATTCCGAATACGACCACATACATCATGATGTTAACGAATAAGGAGCAGCTTCGTATATAGGAAATATGCCGAATTAATCCAATTTTTACATATAGAACGAAATGCATTTTTCGTAGGGTTTGCATCTGTTTACGTAACTAAATTGTATTGCTGATCTTACTGATTCTTCCATCTGTTTCAGAGTTCTTAGTATCTATTGCGCTTATGCCATTATTCCATATAAATGTATAACGTGTTGCCACATATCAAGAATCGCTATTATGTTGACTATTTGCAACCATAAAAATCCATTACTATCCATGACTTCACAAAAATCTTCCTTGATATTAAAAAAGTGCGATTGATAAACTGGTTTGCTGGTGTGGTTGAACACGGTTCTTTGATTAATAATGCCCGCAGTCATAAGCTGAACACTTCTGCATACTACAGACGTAATGTCTACAGCAACAACTCTGCTCGAAGGGATTTCACAAAATAATGATAAATAGCGGTAAATCGACGCCGCGCAGCTGCTAAACCGGCAACATTTTTTCCGCCCTGGCTTAGTTCCGCACGTGCACCATTACCACTTTTAGAAAATGTCAGAAAAAGCAAGCACAAAAATATAAGCACAAGCATTCAGTTGTCCTACACCGTGCACAGATATGTCCCGGCTTGATGTCGATTCAAAATTTTTTTTTCCTTTAACTCGTACAATGTTACGCGATTAACTGAACACTTAGCCTGTAGCGAAATGCGCATTTTTCTGGGAGCAGCGACGGCTATACTTTGTTGCAAGACAGGGCTGGCAAAAAATTACCATCGACAGGCTACAGCGAACGCTGGCAAGCCTTTCGAATACTGCACGTTATTTTACGATTATATCTGGACAGTTGACTTACAGTCGACGGTTAACGCTGCACATGGGTGTGATATTACGAAAATGTGAGGCCTTTCTGCTAGCTTTCTATCATGCCACCAGGACGCATGCATATATTATTATAGTAAAACCGTATATTTTTCTTTTAAATTATACATTAATTATACAATACTAGTACTCGCGCCATGAGTTCCATTCAGAACGGTCGTCCCATGTCACAACGCCCCAAGCCAACAATTCGAAATGAATTCGGGACTAAGGTAACCCAAAAGCTATCTATGTTATTTGAGGATTATTTAAAATCACCTTTGGTAAACTTATGTAATAGTTGCTACATGACGGTACGTTTGAACAGCGCTTTGGCAGGCCTGCACGTGCCCGGAAGTTGCAGTTATTAACTTATTACTGATTTACAATATGCTTTCTCTGCATGAATTATTCTAATTCTTATGCACGTAAATACGTATTTTTGGTTTCGCTGGAAAACTAATTTATTTACTGCACTCTTCACACATTTTATCTCCCTGAATCAAAAAGTTACTGTTTCTTTTATCTGTATAGTGCTTCGTATCCCTTATGGCTTTTGCTATACGGCATTTAACAGAGAAACATTTATAGAAGTATACATGCTTAGTCATACATAATATTAGACATTTTTTGCAATTGCTGCAAACCGCTGTTTTAATATCACGTGCTGATCTAACGCAGTAAACGCACCTAACATTCTGCAGGCATAATACGTATTATACTCGTAACACTGACAATGATTCTAAACGGAGTGACTGTGATTGGCATACGGGCTGTGTTAAATATTTGCGGCAAGACCATGTCGAGCAGTTGTCGGCATCCGAGTTATTCACACCTTTAAAGCTGTGTTTTTTTTAAAAATAACAAATTAACCATCATTAGCATCCATTTAGTATGCGCATGCATGCATAAAGCGCTGAATTATTTAATTGTGATATTATTGTTAACTACATAGTTTAAATTGCTTTTTCAGCAACAATATTCCAGTGTAAGCGATCCAGATCATCAAGAACAGACACAACGCATCGCTAAAATAGTTGCCAGCCAGTGCACCGAAATCGACCGGCTTCCCGATCTTATTTGCACATTTCTCACCGGTGTTGTGAGGCAAGGAAGACCAACATTTCCCACAATTCAGCATCGCCAGTACTTTTTGCATGGAATCGGCTCGGTTTGTGTTTCTGGCACTGCATACTGTAACACGCATCTAAAATAACATCCGATTAATATCGTATAGGCCAAATATAAAATTAATTTTAACACAATTTAACAAGTCTTTATAAAAATATGTAAAATCTAAAGATCAAATCGTTTTTTTGGCAGTTGTTAACCAACCTTAACGGCACAGTATTGATCTACGACCGCTCAGTTCCGTCGGCGGCCACCGACCTCCTTCAGAATGTTCTCACCGAGTTATCCCTTCATGAACAATCTTTGGGCGCTGGCGTGCACAAGAGGTTCACCGAGAGCCGCCGGGGACAGGATTTTATGCTGGTGCTGGAAGAGTGCATCCAGCGTAGTGTTATTGCCGGTGTCAGCTATACGAAAGCGGCTATCAGCCGGTCACCTAGCCAGCAAGAAAGTCTGCAGTTTATGATGGACCTGGAGAGGGCCATTTGGACAGAGATCTACCGTCAGTATGCCGCCGTCATTGCCACTCGTACGTACGAGTATTATGCTGTTTTAAAGGGAAGTCTGTCGGTACATGGTACATGGTGCCAAACTGGTGTACCTCAGTACCTGTACGAAAGCTTTCACTTTCACGCACTTCCAAACAATTTTTTGCATCGTTTTATGACACTGTGTGGCCAAATCATTTGAGTAAATCGGCGGTTGAAAAAGTTTAAACGCACGGAGATGTACCAAAAGTCTCATTATGATTCGATGCTCTTCAAATTTTGCTTGCGAACTCACATTATCACGGAGCTCGTTTTTAAACAATTTTTTTCAAATTTGAAAATAATTTTTACAATGGTTGAAACTCATTTTAAAATTTCAAAAATAGGGTGGAACGCTGGTTCGGTGTAAAAACTTTCCAGGATATTTTGCGTTTTCATGCGAAATTCGAAAATTCGCTTTTGGAAGAATGTCATGAAAAAAAGTGTTTGGGAGTGTGCGAAAGTTTTAGCAGTTGTACCCAAACGTGGTACACATTCCCTTAATTTTCGCAAGTATTTGAAGCTTCTAGAGATTCGTGCGAAGTCGAACTTTACGTACTGCGCAGCGAGCGTACAGCGCCGCAGCGCAGATACCGGCTTTGCTTTTAATATTAATTTTATTAAATTCTTACAACCGATCGGGCTTGCATAAATTTTCATAAGTACCTCAATATCCGCATGTGATCTTTTTCGTTGGTGAAAAAAACCGAAAACAGTAGCTCAAGTTCTAAGTGACCACGATCGGTTTCCGAACAAAGATTGCATGTGCCTGATCACACTCATAATTATTTTCAGGTTACAATGGCCGACAAGTAAATTCCAGTCCAGTTGGTTCGGCGGTCATATTACTGCAGGGCAACTTAGAGGACTTGGCTGTTTTGCCGACCTTTGCCAAAAACACCAACGTCATTGTCGTTGTGGGTGGAACGGGAGGAGTGGCTAATGTGCTGGCCCATGGTGTTAATCTTAAGTAAGGTGTTTCAGCTACGGTACCAGTTTCAATGTGTACTTTCCCGTACACGAACTGCGAGGTATACCGTAACTAGTCAGGATCGCTAACAGTAATAGCCTTATCGTTAACATCCTTGTATGAGAATAACGATAACGATTGTGCTTAGACAATCAGGAGAGGACGAAAGCGATCTCATCGATTTATTGGAGCGTTACATTGTGGAAGAGTTTCCCGATCTGGCAGATGATCCCACCCGGGCCCGCTCCATCGCCCGGCAGCATGTGGAAGTCATCAGTGACCGGCGCTTCATGGATATCGCTGTTGTCGTGGATGGGACCGATCCCGAAAAGCTGAGCCGTTTGGATCAGTTCATTGTGGAGGCGGTTATTAAAGGTTCGTTTTTGGCTCCAGAAGATCTAGTCTTCGATGCCAACCTGCGGATCGCTATGAAATGCGACAAAACAGATTTAGCCCTGCACATGATATTTGAGGATCCGCTTTGGAACGATTTCACAGTAAGAAAAATTACTAGCTACGTCACTGTAGTACTTCGACTTGTTTCGCATTCCGGAGTTCCGTTTTTTTACTGTCCAGTATACAGAAATATGTAAACTAGGGTCTCTTATGTATGCGAAAATAATCGAAGTACTCGCTCACTCGCTACGTCGAAGCATGTACGCACATTCCAAACATTGTAGGTTGGTTGGGAGCCCTTTAAAATGGCCATTGCCCTAAAGCGGTCAGAGTTCGTCGATATCTTCCTGCAAAATAGTTTCCCTGTGCGCCAGTTTCTTACACCAAAACGATATGCTCAGCTGTATCAATACGCTCTGGAAGGACACGGTAGCGAATTTTGGGCCCACGTGTGGCGCCAAGGATTAGGTTTCGCTGACAGTAAGTACTGTCCTTTTAGAGTGTAGGAATCTCAGAGTATATGTTGTCACACAGCAATCGTTTTCTCTTGCAGATGATGTAGTAGATGAGCACTTCATTATCAAGCACCTTAATCCTTACATCCATCAGATAACCGGTGTGGAAGACTATCTGGACTTTGCGGAAATTACAGCGCACGCTTTAAAAGGCGCGCCTCTTACCACGGACACGGATGGAGAGCGAAAGGTACGTTGATTAAAGTTAATTGCGGTTCTGAAGCTAACGAATCTTGTACAGCTTAAGTTGACAAAATAACGGATTAATATCTGGTTGCAATAATTTATTTTGCAGGCTCGCAACGCTCTCCTTGTGTTTGCGGTAATGACCTATGACGAACCAATGGTCATGGTGATGCTCAAGCACTCGCAAGATCCCATTCCCAATACGTTATTTGCTGAGTGCTTATTCCGTGGTCTGGCGCGCTCATGTCACGAAGTAGCGGCCAAAGCCGCACTGGTGGGTGTGGCCAATCGCCTGGGCAAAGTGGCCCACGATCTGTACGACATGGCGTACCACGACAATCGCAATCGTTCGCGCGCTATGCTCATCCGTGATCTTCCCGACTATAAAAACATGAATCCCCTACGATTGGCAGTGGAAGCCAGGGACAAGTAAATTATTCTACCGCATTTATTCTTGCCTGCGAAGAAAATTCTTCGCTGTTTCCTGGACTCTTATTTTGCAGGACGTTTATTGCGCATCCCAATGTGCAGAATTTCTTAAGTCATTGGTATTACGGCTTCATCAGTATTGAGGGATCTATGAACACGGTGAAACTGTTGTTGTCGGCGTTCCTCATCTTTCCCATGTTCATATGGCTATCCTTCCCAGCGCTGGAAAAGAGTCTGGAGAAAACAGGGTATTGGCGGCGACGCCGATCAACCATGGCGGCTGCTCGGCTCAGTATGACCTCATACGGTTAGTAACCAGCTTCCACCTTATCGTCACCCATCAGCTGTACATTCCTCGTCTAGATCGCGGCGATATGGCTCGGAACTTATTCACACGACCGGAAACCAGAGAAGGTAAAGAAGCATACGTGGCCAATCTAGGCAACAATCTCCACGGGAAGAGCCGCTTCGGTTCGCGCAGCAGCTCCGTCCAGTTGAGCCGGCCGGAACGCACCACCGTGCCGCTACGGAAACGCATCTATGCCATCTGGAATTCGCCCTGCGTCAAGTTCTTCAGCAGTGCATGGATCTACTATGCGTTCTTTATGCTGATGTCGGTGGATGTGATGCTGCCACCGTGCAGGTATATCGGAGTAGATATCGCGGTGTGGATATGGATTTTGATGAGATGGATTGCTATTATAACAAAGTGAGGATTGTGTAATGTTTGTGATATTCGCCATTCACGAGACCATTAAACTGAACTCGCACCAAAATTGATGGTAAACCGTTATACGTGTACCGATCTAAACAGGGAACTCTATGGATGGCAGAACAAATTTGCCTGGCGACCCTGGATGGTGACCTTCGAATTAATAACCGAAGGAGTGCTATGTATTCTGATCTTTTTGTATCGAATAGCCCCGTTCCGCTATGATCATCCGTTGGCCGGACGAGTCATTCTAAGTTTCGGTAAAACCAGAAGGTTTATCATTCACTGTTATTTTCAATCACGGAATGTCATGTCAGTGATTTTTTGCAGCTGTTTTATACTATGCGTACCGCATCTGGGATATTTTCTATTCAATGGATCCCATCATCGGTCCTTCAATTCGACTGGTACGCTGACCATCGACTCATTAAGTTTACAAGCGCATTTAACAAGTGTCTTGGTTGCTATTTGCAGATTTATCGCTCCTTCACAATCGATGTCTTTCAGTGGGCAGTTATAGCTTATCCAGCATTCGTTAGTACTTACTTTCTGAAGCATCCAAAAATCAATTATTTTTCATTATTATTTGCAAAACGTTTGTATTCATTAGTTCGCAGTTGGCCTCGTATGGCAAGCAACGGTTTTACCCGATTCTCCAATGACAGGCGATGAATGGCGAAAGGCAGCATACAGGGCATTTGGAACACTCTTCTCTTATGGTGACCCGAATGTACTTGAATAGTACGTTTTGTATATTAGTATCGGTAGTGCGAGGCTGTAAGTTTTTTTTCTTCATTGTAAAATTAACTCCCGATTTGCAGTACGCCGAGCTGTGATGCATCCAAGATAAACTGGTCCAACGTTACACAGCCTTTGAAGATGAAGGGCGCTTATCCAGAAGAACGATGCTGGATCGGCGACTATAGCGACCCTAGTTGTATGCAGTTTGTCAAGATCTTTAATAACATAACGTTAACTATCGTTAGCACGGGAATTTCGTAGCGTACCTGACTGCTATTGCTGTTTGCAGGTAACACCGTGACCTTTTGGTCCTACGCCTTTTATTTACACTATTACGTATTTTTGCAACTGGGAACGCTGCTAGTCCTTGGATGCGCTATCTTGTACGACCATTTTTTAAATAATAAATTGATTTTCTAAGGTACGATTAGAAACACTGTTTTATAGCACACGATTCATTGACGAATGGGTGGACAATGCCGTTATATGGAAATTTCGGTTTGCCAATTTAATTCTGGAATATGGAGTGCGGTCATCGCTGCCGCCACCGTTAAATGTCTTCGGTTACATGGCCAACAGCATCAGAATTTTCATGGGAAAAAGAGGCCAAAGTAAAGTTGGGGTAAGACATTTCATGCCAACGCAGTATGCCTCTTTACGAGCAGCAGCAATCGCTTTGTAAGCGGTGTGCATGTTTATAACAGGTGGTTAAAAACATGATCGAGATGGAGCAGGCCAACATGCCGGAAGCCTCCGCTGCGTCCGTCTCTACGTACTGGTCCACCGTGGCCATACGCTACTTTCTTAAGAAAGACTCGGAAAAGACTATGGAGGAGAAGATCGCCGCAGCCGATGCCATGTAAGGAGCGCGTAAAATGGCGACGAAACATCTGATCAGTTATTTCGACTAACGTACGGTTTCATTTGTTTTAGTTCGGACGATATCGAAAAAGAACTGAATGAGTTCATACAAGTCCTGGAGCTAAGAAAGGCTGAAATGTTTAAGAGCTCGGATTTAACTACTTCTATATAGCTGCGTACACGTTTGATCATTAATCGACCGTGCCATGCTCCCGTCTATAATGCAAAAGCAATGCTGTATTTAAATGCCTGACATTTAACAGTACTGTTTTATTCGGGCTCGGTCTGGGTTTCCGGCATAGATACATTCGCACAAACACTTCTGTGGTCATTCAATCTGTCTTTTTGGCATGTGAAAATTAGCACTACATCCCAAGAATTTTGCACATGCAGCAGCGACAGTTCAGGCAGGAAGCATAATAGTGTAGAGGTCTGTATCTAGTATATTCAAAAACAACAAACTTGAAAAAATACTTCCTTAGGATCCTTTAATGATAGGAAAATACAACGAATTCACCGTTTACGAGGCGTTGAAATGCGAGAAAAAATTTATCTACCCCGATTTCATGCAATTGCAAATTAACCGGCAAACAAAAATTGTCATAAAGCATTGTTATCCATAAAGTTCGTAAAACTTGTGGTGATTCGATACGAGAGCATGGATAGAGATATCAGCGCCCATTTCCCGGGACTAAACGCTATTGGCGCAACGACAATCATACAGCTATCAGGTAACAGTTACGCAAGGAACCAAAACGATACAGTGCTTAAATCAATCGCAAGTATGGCTGACCGTTTTTTCCTACTGATGTACGCCTTTCTTTCTTATTACTGTACCAGCTTTTTAATTAATTTAGATAATAAAACTGTAGTTTTGTGTTGTAGCAGCACTCTTTGTAAATGTGACAATGCTCGTTTGATGGTATTGCCCTAAGGTTGCAAAGCTGTCAAACATTCCTCCAGCCTTGACAGCCACTGATACATAATTGACGATCTCAAGCAGGAAAGGTTGCAACGTTGTGCGCTGTGCCGCAACAGCAATATTCAGTACTGATATTAAGACAACCTGCAGTAATACATTAAACAACACTAAGATGAAAGGCAAACATGATCATCCGACACCTTGGTCATTACGTGCCGCACATGGCAAATGTGTCAATTTCTGCGTATAACAGTGGTTTCCGCTTGTTTTCACGTGCATTTTTTCCGGTAACCGACAGAAACCTTGAACTGTTAATGTTTACTCGGGAAACTGCACTCGATTACTGCATGTTTGTATACTTTTGATTATTTACCTTTGACAATACTACAAGATGCGCAAGACTCACAGCAGCAATATTTTTGTAAGTACCGCAAATTTATTACCGTTTTCAGTTCCACGGTGTAGCTTACATTTACATCAAATTACTCTGTTTGTAGATATAAGATGCGTGATAATGTAAACATAAAAATCGAAGTGTACACTTAGTGGAGCGTTTAGTGGCGCTAACTAGCTGAGTAGACTTATGACTTAGACATATCTGTATATTATACGATCAGATACAATAATTATTGCTAAAATTTCGTTGTACTTCCTACAATGTATAATGACGCTTACATCCACAATATTTATTATAAATATAGCATGCAGCCAGCCAACGTGGAGCGCAGAAGACCATTGCTCCTGTGAAGTCCCTGTCTACTGAAACAGTGGTCTTAACACCACGAGTAAGTCAAGCCCATTTACTGGCACTTGAAACTGAAGGTGATACGATAGCCGATAAATTAGTTCTTTCGTCTTCCCAGAACTCACCTGCGCGGTTGAAAGCAACTGTCCCACAAGCCAAACCACAACCATCTGAATATGGCGACCTGAAACCAAGGGTACGGATGGACGATCTATCAGACTCTAGTTCTTTTGCACTTATAAAGGAGTTTTTTGTTTATTACCAAAGCTTACCGTTATTATAGGATTCCCTACAATATAACCGCAGACTGAGCGCTATAGTCGAATCAGAAAATCAGATTGCCGCTCTCGCGAAAGCCGTGTCAGCGCAATGGGGCGCCGACCGGATGCCGGATCTTATATGCTCTCTGCTAACAGGATCAGCTGGGCATCGCAAAGTCTTCCGCACCGTCTCGCAGCGCAACGCATTCCAGGCGGGGATGGGTGGAGTGAGCGTCTGCAGAACTTTTCATAATCTACACAAAGCGTCTGATATTGGCTTGTTTCATCGCAGCTGATTCTCCACTTGCCGGGCTCGATTTTCGTATACGACCACTCCATCCCGTCAGAACCAGCCACTTTACTGGAAAACATGCTGCTAGGAGTCAGCGAGTACGAAGAGCACGTGGGCTTCGCCGTGGATAAACAATGGCTGGACATTCCCCATGAAAACTCCGTCATTCGCCTCCAGCAGCCGGTACGCAAGAAGGCTAAGATTGGTCCGTATGTCGGAGCGTACTACGATAAGATCGTTATTCTGCGGGCGCCGAATGCTGCCGAAAGCAGCCGACTGAGGTCCGAGCTGGAACTGGCCATATGGATGGAGCTGTTTTATCAGTACTCGTATAGACCAGGTAAGCCAGCTAACCAGCCAGACCAGGTGATCTGTAGTTTTTAACTGTAATACAAACTTCAATGGTGTAATTTTCTGTTGTGACCTTTTCATTGGCTCACCGGCATTTCGTCGACTAACACTTTGTCGAAAGTCACGAGGGCGACAGCTGAGAAAACCTAAGAACGTAGAAACTAAGAAAATTCAGCAGAACGGCTGGTCGACTTTGCGACGGGTCGACATCGCGTGTGTTCGACGAAGTTTCGGTCGACGAATTTTCGTCGACAAAATGGCGGGTCACCATTCTTTTACAAACTTTGCACATGCTACAATTTACAAGGTATACGCTATTAAAAAGTAATGACCTAAGAAACTGTGGCGCAGTTTTGTAACCATTCTTTCCAGAGAAACGAGAATCCAATATCCGTGGAAGTCCAGTTGCGTCGGTCGTCATTCTGATCCAAGGGAGCGTCGACGAGCTACCCGCTCTGCTGACCTATATTGACAACAATGTGGCTATTGTCATTGTAGCGGGAACAGGAGGCATGGCGGACCTTTTAGCCGAGGGAATAACGCTGAGGTCTCGAAAAGACGCCTTGCATAAGAATCCCGATAATGGGTAAAGCAAGTCTCATTACAGAAAGAAAGTCAGCGGTGATGTATTAACCCATGACCTAGAAGCATACGCAAAACAGCTACTTCCTGCCCTGAGTAAACCGTCCATACAGTCTCTAGTAGAAACGGTCATAAAAGTTCTCGAACGCAAAACCATCGATGACTGGGCTGTCGTACTGGACGCTACCGACTCACAAAACCTGGCTAATCTGGAAGAATATGTGGTGCGAGCCATTGTGCGCGGTTCGTACGGGTTCGCGGAAGAATATATCTTTCATGCTAACCTTTCACTGGCGCTCAAATGCCGACAGCTAGAAGTCACCAAGGCGATGATGTTTCACGATCCAACTTGGAATGCTTTTCAAGTACGGTTACCTTTACTGTACCCGAAGAACTAGAATTCCAACGCTTCGTTACAATAACAGGTTCCTTGGCACATATTTGAACTAGCCGTTGGTATTCGCAACCGATCTCAGTTTGTGGATGTGTTTATTCAAGATGGGTTTTCCTTGAAGCATCACCTAACACCCGTAAAACTGGCACGGTTGTTCCAGTACACTTTTGATGATCCCACAGGGTTCTTCTGGAAACATGTGTGGAAAGAAATACTTGGATTTCGTGATGGTATGTAAAGCTTTAGCTGACTATGAGTGGACAAGTTGATCTTTAGTCTTACGAACTAGCACCTTTACGAAAGAAGAAGCCATAAGTTAAATTTCAACAAAAGCAATTAGAGTTGAGTTTGAGAGTGGTGAGAATCGATATGTAACGAATAGCTCCAACAATACAATACATAAAAGTGTCTCTACCGTAAAGTCTGCAAAGATAAAACAAACTCACGCTGGTGGTGCTGGAAGCTAACAGATTTCCTTGCAAAGAACATCAAAACTTTCAGCACATACAAGAAAAGAGCAACCGAAATTATCGATATTTAAATTTCTCAGAAATACTTTACTGAATAAAGAGGAGATGTGAGGTGATATAAATTTTTTAGATGACCTTCTGGACGATCGCTTCGTTACGCTGCACCTTAATCCGCTTATCGACAGGCTGACAGGAATCAGTCATTTTGTCGATCTAGGCGAAATTTCAACGTTTGCCTACGGATTTACATCAGGCGCAACCGAATTTAATATTGATCGAAAGGTCCAGGGATCTATTTAATTTGATTTATTCAATTTTTTTCTGTGGGGCAGTTTTCTGTCTTGCTGACTGGTGGTATGCGGCTTTCTAGGCAATGAATGCCCTGATGATTTTCGCTGTTCTTGCTGACGATTTCGACCTGGTATTGGTGACAATTAAACATTCTCTGGATCCCATCCCGACAACGCTATTCGCGGAATCAATGTACCGGGGTTTGGCGCGCTGCATGCCAGATTATAGCGTCAGACAGATGCTTCGCGCCCGGGCCGACCGGCTGGGTGAGGTGGCACACGCCATGTACGATATGGCGTACAGTGATAATCGGTATCGTGCGCGAGCCTTGCTGATTCGTGATCTTCCGGATTACAATAACCACAACGTCCTCAGATTGGCTCTGGATGCTCGTGACAAGTACGCAACTATAATGGTGTACTTTGTATTAATTATTTTCTGTAATAAAGCTGCACCCACGTTTTACAGGAAATTCTTATCGCATCGATGGATACAAGAATTTCTCAGTAGATGGTATTACGGCTTCATCAGCGTGGAGGGACGCTTCGATACGGCAAAGTTATTACTCTCCGCTCTGTTCGTGTTGCCTATCTATAAATGGTTGTCGTTTCCTGCTCTCGAGCGAACCCAGTATTATAAAAGAAGGAAGACGCTACGCTCTGGAAGTCGCATTGGTTTGGATTTTATAGGTAAAAAAACGTAAAAACTCCACATTGTCCTCAAATGACTAATTAACGTTTAGTGACTCGATTTTGTCGGCATTCCAGATACTAATAGCAGATTTCATGAACGGCCGATCACCGACGAGGAAAAACAAGCGTATATCGGCACACTGGCCACATCCCTTCGCGACAAAGAAATCCTCGGCAATCAACGCCGTACTAGTCGCCCTAAAAAATTTTCTGTCCCTTTGGTGAAGCGAATCTATGCGGTGTGGAATTCTCCCTGTATCAAATTCTACACCAGCCAATGGATTTATTACACTTTCCTGATTGTCATGTACGTCGCCATGATGCTGCCACCGTGCCGCTACATTGGCGTGGATATCGCCGTCTGTGTTTACGTGGTTCTGCGTTGGATAGCCGTAATCATGAAGTAGGTGGCGGTGACCTTTTTTCCAGCCTACTACGCTGCAATGTTCACAAACATTGCAGAGGATCCTACATGCACCAGAATAAATTCGTCTATGAACCTTGGAAGACCAAACTCAGTGTTTTCTTCGAAGGAGTGTTCTGTATTTTGTTCTTTTTATTTCGAATTGCACCGTTCCGGTACGATTATCCATGGGCCGGACGTGTCATTCTCGGATTCGGTACAGTATGCGGCGAATAACATGTCACCCGTAAAAACGAGAATTGGATTATAATAATTTGGAATTGATTTAGGAGTGTTTTATTATTCTTACCGCGTATGGGATATGTTCTACACGATGGATGGCATAATTGGCCCCACGATACGACTGGTAAATGACTGTGTATTGTATGCAGCAGCGGTATCAATATTCAGTATGCGCATCACATGATTATATTTTCAGGTTGTACGGTCCTTCACAATCGATGTGACCAAATGGGTCGCGGTGACCTATCCAATGTTTGTACGTATTTAAACAACAGTGTCACAATACTTACAATTTGACCGTATTCTGTTCGTATTTCTCTAGATGGCGACTGGATTAGTGTGGCAAACAGTTGTGTATCCAGACGCTCCAGCCACGGGCAGTGAATGGCGGAGAGCGCTGTTTCGGGCCTTCGGAGCGATATTCGGGTTTGCCGACTACCCTTCGCTGGAATAGTAAGGCTGTCACCATCCATTCATTTTGCATGATCGAGAAAACGTTCTATATGCAGCACTGGAGCGTGTGCGAGCTCTAAAATAGACTGGACGAACGTTAACCAACCGATGAAGAACATGTCGAATGCTTACCCAAAGGATCGCTGCTGGATTGGCGATTACTCTGATCCCGGCTGTACGTATTGTTGAATTGTATTATAACTGGTAGCATTTGCAACTTAAAGGATGCGGCGCCCGTTCCGGTTCCGTCATTTCGATAATTCTTTCGATTTTTCAAAACCCTATGTTGACCATAAGTGAAATGATCGTGATCACCTTATAACCTGTTTGGCTGGTTCCAGGTAACACGGTTACATTCTGGTCCTACGGTTTCTACCTGCATTATTATATTTTTGTCCTGATCGGATCCCAATTTGTTTTATCCTGCGCCATCTAGTACGTAAATTTGTAACTAATGACAGTACTTTTTTTTCGCTCTTAACGCACCTCTGCAATTTCCACCATGTAAACGATTTTCTTTTAGTACGCGATTTATTGATGAATGGGTGGATAATTCATTGGTTTGGAAATATTACCGCACGAAGCTGATTATGCAATACGGAGTGCTGTCGTCATTGCCACCGCCTCTGAATATTCTCGGCTACCTGGGGACAGTCATTAAATATTGCATCAGTAAAGGCAGAAAATCCGGCTCTGTAAGGCGATTGTGACCTTTTTGCCTTTTACGTTTGGTAATCTAATTACTTGGTATTTTAAATAGGGCCTTAAAAATATGATCGAGATGGAAAAACTGGAACGAGCCGATTCATCCTTCGGTGGTCCTTTATCACCATACTGGTCTTCCGTCGCTTTGCGGTATTTCGGTAACGAAGATGACAAGAAAAACGCAGTGTTGCAAAAAGAAAAAGATGACCAGGCGTAAGCAAATGCAAAATTATTTTTGTTGTGTAAATTTACCATAAGTAAGACTGGATGGTGAATTCTACAGGTGCCATAACGTGGAGGTCGGTCTGACCTATCTTCTGGAATTCATAGAAGACAAACAACGTCTGCTGTCTTCTTTGTAATCAGCAAATTTTGTAAATCTGTAGTATGGGTGTGCTGTTTAAACAACCATTCAAATTATATTTATTTACCGGTCAACGCACTACAGTAAAGTACCGTCCACTTCCCGCAACACAATACGGCGTAGGTGTACAATAGAAAAGAGCGGGAATTAATTGTACTATATTACGTGCCTCAATTATGTTCCGCTATTGGTGAATGCACGGACAAAGCCATAAATCATAAGAATTATTATCGGTTCTGCATGAGCTGACTATGTGTTCATAAACTTAGTTGTACTGTGATGTCATGCTCATATTGGACGCCCGTAAATACCAAAGGTTGCAGCATAATAAAAGCAACGTTTACGGCAATTTACATCAATGCTGATGTAAACGTTTTGTACTGCCGGTTCCACTTTACTGCGCACTTGATCACCTGTATATACCTTTCTGCTGACTTCTTTGCGCACTCGAACTTGTGATTGGTAGACGTTTTGCAATAATACGATGTTGAACATTCTTCCCGCTATATGGAGACTTTCTGCCAGATTTCGAAAGCGATCGTGTCGGCCTTGTGGAACGGCAAGTAGTAGGGGGAAAAATCATTGCTGACACCCGTTTGTTGAGTTCCTGGGGACGGCTGCGCTTTCCGCCGGTATTTGAGGATTATTCTTAACCTTGGACTTACAAAACGAAGATGACTTCCGTTACCGGTAAGTAAGTCAACCGAAGAAAGTTGAATGAGTGTAACATAAATCTCGTTAAATTAATCAATTAAAAACAATTTGCCAGTCGACTTCTTTTACTTGTCAATAATGTTAAAAATGGTCTTTCAGTGCATATTTCGATAATAAAACCGTAATGGCGTAAAATAGCTTCTGAATTTACTCGTGTTTACTCATTATATGTTTTACTAATTTCTTATAGTTATTTTTAGCTTTTATATGAACAGCTGAGTAAATACGTAAGTTAATCGCTCAACACATTCAATTGCATGACGTGCTTATTTGCAAGTGAATATTTGATGATCATACCACCAAGCATGCTTTTCCAAAGTTCGGTACGGTAAAAAATTATAATTTCTTCTATATTATTAAGGCTTTTGTTTAGACAGGAAACGGTTCAAAACTGTTATTTGTACAGCGTGATGCTTTACAATAGCTGTCGGAATGTAAACGACGTTATCTTCCCAGTTTTACCGAACAAACATCATAAATTAGGCACTAATACACTGTATCTTATATTCTTTATGTCAGGCACCGCTATCCACTGTGTTATGTTTGTCCTGTGCCTTACCACCAGCGCGACAGTTGTGCCTTCAGGATCAGCAGCCGTTGCAAACAAACCAGTTCCTCCTACGGTCAATCAACACGTGCACCGGGATAATACAGAAAGTACCAATAGTACAAAAGCTCCTCCCGACCATATCACGAACAGCTCAGCAACTTCTACTGCACCATTAGACACAACATCCGCGTTACTTAATGACAGTTCTTTCACGACAAATGTCAGCACCACTATGCCATCCCCCGTAACCACGCCCACCGGAAACCCCAGCACCGTTACCGGGACGACGGTTATTACGACCACCGGTACGAGTACACTTGTGGCAGTCGTGACAACGACGGTTACAGCCGCTCCCGCAGGGAACACAACGCCGACCACAGTATCCACAACGGCCCATGCAAAAGACACAACCACACCGACCGCCACAACTACACGCGCCAAAAGCAGCGCCACCTCCTCACAGTCCAGCACATCTAAGCGCCCGTCAGGCACTAGCCCAACGGTCAAGATTCCATCTACAACGCCGGGTAAATCGCAACAGCTGCAGTTGGTTGCGGTTAAGAGCGGATACACCGGAGGGGAACTGTTTGCCGCGATCTTGGGGGGTTGTGTTATAGGCGCACTGGTGTGCCTGCTCTTGATGTACGTCAAGCGCAGATATTTCACTCCGGCAGCGCAGTTTCGCTTTCGTTCCTTTGAAAATCAGACACATGATCAAGAGCTCTGATTTGGCGGTGATCAAATTTCGGGGGCTTTCTCATATCGGCAAAGGTAGCTTTTGTTTCACAATCGCTAGTCTTTGAGTTTGTTAATTAATAAATACGCACATTGTCGTGCGCAAGGTATCTAGAAGTCTCTGATGTCGCAGTTCGAAGTATACCATCATTATACTCGTTTTGTCTTAAAAAAATGTAGATTTTTACATTTGCTGATCATGAACAGCTCCCAAAAAATACAATCTAATAAATACAGTATTTTGTGCTGTGTGGCACCTATAAATGATATTCGTATACGCTGTATGTTCGCCTGAATTTTTGATGATAACTATAAGATAATTTAATTTTATACGTGCTCATTGTTTGGATCTCACGCTCCCGATCCCGTATACGTAATACCTATGTTAAATGTTAAATGCATCTATTGGTATGGATGAGTGCATGCACAGGTACAGCGTGATAATAATTACGTACGTACTCTGTAGGTAGAGGTATCGGCTCTGCACCTATAAAAGTATTCAAAACCCATACAAATGTAGACACTCACCAGCTCGAGCGGTCATGAATACTATTCAAGTACAGTACATACGGAAAATGGATGGTCTACCGCGTACACCGGCATCGTACTGCTTTGAACTGGGACGATTAGCAGGACTAGGAATCGATCTGGGAGAATCAGAGCAACCATGTCGTTCGCCGCAACCTGCAGTGGATGTGTGTCTTTGCACTGCCTCACCTGATAATCTACTCATTAGCTTCCACTTTGCTGAATACTACGTAATAACAATTCCATTTACAATTACTTACTTTAAACAATTCTTATTTATTCGCTTCTCACGAACGCTGCTTTGTTTCCAAAAGGAGGGGTAGTTGGCACTAGTTGCAATAATCATGAACCACTTGCCGGAAAACTTTTTCGTAAGTTTACAGTTATACAGTACATGCCCACAAATTTCTCGCAGTCTGCATGGCACTGTTTGTAAACACTGCACAGTACAGTACAATGCACTGTTAAACAATCTTTTCAGACTTGACTGTATGGTTTAGGAAAGAAGTACTTTAACTAAAGCCACTGTGCATTCATTTCTCAGGTGAATGTGGACTTCTTCCTTTCCAACCAAGTATTTGAGCAGGCGCGGAAGTTTATTAGGTCGATTCCGAACTACAGCAAGCAGGATGCGGCCTACACATTCTTCCTCGGTGTTGTCAACATGTTGGAAGGTGCACTTAATACTGCGTTACATTCTTGTGCATTGGTCATCTTCAAAAGCGGTTCTGTTTGCTAAGAATAATTTTTAAAACCGACAGGAAACTCACAGGAGTCACTACGGGATTTTTCCGAGCTCCTCGAACATGCTGTGTTCGCGCTTCCTGCGCTGACGGGACAGATGTGCATCTACAGTCAGCAAGATGAAAAAGGTGGAACGTAGTTATATTTTTGTAGGAAAATGAGACCACAATAAAAGCTCGCCGCTGTTGGGAATATAACTGCATAAAAAGTAAACCGTAAATCTGTAGAATGTTTTTTAATCATTTTATTCTGTAGACAGAATGGCTGTGCAGAAGCTTCGGCAGACAATCGAGCAGACGAAGACCTCCGCAATCGACGAGGTGCGTTAGCTAACCCATTGCAGCTATTAAAAAAATTTATTTTTTATAACTCTTCATGCATTTTCTAAAAATATAAAATAGACTGAAAAAATTAAATGTTTCTTATGTTTCTGGTTGAGATAAGATGGCATTCGAGTCAATGTTTTTCAGGCGCACTTTCTTAGCGGGTGGATATTTTACCACAACGGCAGCTACAGCGAAGCGCTAGCGTCCGTTCAGCAGAGCATCGCGGTCAACGCCGGTTATGGACGAGTACGCCTTTCGGCCTAAATTGTACTTATAAAATTATTGAAAATGTATTAATTGCGGTATCATGATGTTGCAGGCATATTCCTTGATGGCGATGTTGGAAATGCAACAACATGGTCCAACCGACCGCGTCAAAACCAACCTTCAGAAATCCATTACGTACGATGCGCACCGTTTTCCTCCGAATTAATTTTTAAAAAATACTTTGCACCCTTTTAGAGCAAATCCCAAGGAAGCCCTCCAGGCAAAACTTTTACTGATCCACTGGCATATCCTACAGAATGACCTTGCGACGGCAGCGGCGGAGTTTCGCGACATCGTCTCCAGCAATGAGAAAGCCGCACCGGTGCGCATCATGAACTTGACCTTGCTGATCGTGCAGAACAACTGGGAAGCCGTGGCGACGGCCGCGGACAAACTAGTGTCGGTCGATCAACAGCTGTTCTTGCCGCATATTTACTGGTGTCTATGCAACATTTGCTCCCGGCGACCGGCAGTGTGGAAAGAGTTTGAGGCGTCGGCCATTACCGTTCTGGAGCGTCTGCAGAAATTCGAACCGAAGAACCCCGGTTTGTGGGCGAAAGTGTGTCGTCTACTGACGAGAATGGTGAGCACTGACCATCAAAATTAAACTGCTATGTAATAATCATACAGTATAACAAAAGCTTCCGGTGGGTGAGTATCCAAAATACCGGATACATACTAAGGCAGATTGTTACAGATGTGTTTGCTTAACAGTTTCAAACCAGATCACAAGTTACCGTATAATTGCACGCACAGCAGACAATTTGCGTGAGGGATGTTTTGGATTATTTCGCGATATCATAATAATTATTTTCAAACAACATTATATCTTTTTAAATACGAGGATGTACCGTAATAAATATTTTACATATAACTGGTTTGCAATCCGAAGAATACCTTATTGCGAAGAAATGTACTGATATATGATAATGAATATATGATAATATATCCATATTAATTTTTAGAATAACGGCTCAGGGGCGGTTCTCGAAAGAGCCTCGACATTACTGCGGCAAGCACTTTCCACATTCACCGGCAATGCCACTCTGCTTCTGGAGCTGGGCGACCATCTGTTGACGGCGGGTCGCAGCGAAGACGCCCGCGGCATGTTTGAAAGGGCACTCAATCGACCGGCATTTGGATTCCGGGCCATGCTGGGTACCGTAAAATATAAATACGTATTAAATTATAAAAGTAAAACTACTTTGCATTACTTTACTTTCTGAATATTATCTTTTTCGTGCGTTTCAGGTTTAGTTAAGTGTGATTTAATGCAAGGAAAACATGAGAAGGCGCAAAGCGATTTGCAACGAGCGGCTCAGTTATTTATTTCTGACACTGAACCTCGAGAACTGGTAAATAATTATTGCGAAAAAGCAAGACGGCTAACATGGACAGAATTATTAAGTAATATGATACAGGTGCCGTATTTGCCCTTGAGAAGCAGCGAACTCGATTATCTGCACGTAAAACTGGATTTAGTCAAACAGAACTATGGCATCGAAAGTACGCCGGAAACCAGCAAAACCACCGGAACAAAACTACTGCGCATTCTTAGCCGTTCGACATCGTTCATGCAGACGGTCAGTAAACCAACATGTTAATTTTCTTTAAAAAATCTACTAAAAGCGTGATCTTTTTGTGGACTGACAAACAGAACAAACCGCTTGATCTGGATTACTTCGTCATGGTTGATCCATACTTCACAACGCGTCTCATCAGGGATGCACTGCAGTACTGCCAGTCAGAGGTACGTGGTATAGTGCTCCGATAATTACAATAAAATAAATGTATCCTACCCGTACTTTACTATGTAGAACAATTTTTATTTATGCTAGATTATTTTATTATGTCGTATCTTTAACTCAGCTTAGTCAAAAATCAAGCATCGTAAAGCCTGAATCAATTTGAATGTGCTTAATATTCATCTTAGAATAGTTCATATTTTCACTACAGTTTTATTTAACCAGGTACAGAATTTTATAATAGCTGCGATACTGACCTTTTCAGCCGCAAAAGCTGATTGCTAACAGCCCTTTACTGAACCATTGCGAGCAAGTGCTGACCTCGTTGCTCGGAGTCGCACCGGGATTTACGGACTGCGCAGTCCTGCTAGCACATGTACAGTACCTCAAATCGGATTTCACCAAAGCCGCCTACACGGTGGAGAATGTCCTGGAGTCGGAACTCTATGGGCGCGACGCGGAAGCGCTTCTTGTGGCAGCCGAAGTCAGTTTAAACTCAGTGAAATTTGTGCTTTCTGGTTAAGCAACAAGAAGACATAAATTCTGTATTCATCCGTACGCAAAACCACTCATTAACAAAATCTGTAATGACCCTAAAGCTGGGTTATAATGATAATTAAATTTACGGGAAGGCTTATTTCCGATATGATTTTCTGGTAAGAGTACTTTAGTATAAGTGCGTCTATACACTATAAATTTAGGTTTACGCGGCACAAAACCAGACAGCCAAATGCCGCACCGCCCTCGAACGGGCGCTTGCCAACAATTTCCGCTTAAAAGACAATCTCCGATACATCGTCCTCCACAACCAACAACTAGCCGCTTCCGGCAACAGTGCAGAGGCCATCGCCAACCTCACTGTGTCCCTCAACAAACCCGGCGTTTCCAAATACACCCCCGACACCGACTACACCCTCTCCGATCGGTGCAGCGTCTTTCTGGCGCTCATCCAGTTGTGTATTACCACCAGCCAGTACACCGCCGCCCAGGATACGCTGGAGGTGGCATTCGGGGTGTTCAAGGGAACATCACAATATCCCCGCCTTATTCTGGCTAAGGCGGATGTTTTATTGGCCATTGATAGCCGTTCGAAGGCTGTGATCAGTCTGCTGAATTCGGTTGGACCGGAAATGGAGGATAGCTACTATCGGACGCAGGAAAAATTGGCCGGTTATTATTTGGCCAACGGGATGCCGAATGAATATGCGGAATTGTATGAGAATCTACACGCGGCTATGAAGGATAAGATTGCGGCTGCGGTGATGTTGGGGGAGGCATACTTGAGAGTCCCACAAGTACGCAGTTCGTTTGATCGGTTTTTTCCTAATCTGAACTTTAGCTACAAGTGGGACATTTCTTCTACTAATCGACTTAATCATACATCCAGTCTTTGAAAGATGGTATTATTTTTCTAGTATCTCATAGTTAGTTTTTGTTAGACGTTTAATAGTGGCGATAGTAATTTTTTTTTATATAATTATTAAACAATACTCGTAATTTTTTCTGTACATAAAACTATTTCGTATATGATCAGTATAGAATATATAGCATACATCCTTTATAAATTTTATTACCCGTATTTAAACGAGTTTTTGACAAAAAAATGTTTTATATATCGCAATAAAAATGTTTTATGCGCACTGTTTCCAGCCAACCAAAGCTCTTCAAGTGATCCAATCAGCGATGAAACTCGACCCGGACAACCCTGTTTTGGAAGCCACAATGGGTCAGTTCTACACGAAAACCCACCTCTTCGCCAATGCCGTCAATTATTACGAAGCGGCAGTTAAGAAGGGTAACCGGACTGTGCGCTTGGACTTCGCCCGGCTTTTATTAAAACTGAAACGCCTGGAACGAGCGGAACTGCTGTTGCAGGAAATCATCGCCAGCGAAACTCCCGGTTTGTCACTGCATCTTTTGTGTAAAATTGCTTCGGCTACAGAATACATAAAATCATGTTCTGGAATAATTTACAGGTTTTGCTGACGCTATGCAGCAGATGGTCGCTTTTATGTTACTGGGAAAAACATACAAAGCGATGGGTTTAACCGATAAAACAATTGCAACACTAAAAGAAGGAAAAGAAAAACTGGAAAAGTACTTGCATCTTTGATGATTTTAACAGTTGGTATATAATAGTGTAATGGCATTCTCATTTATATACAGGATATTTCTGCGTGCGCGGCGAGAAAATCCCGATGCAATCCCGGAAATTTCGGCCTCATTAACTGAGTTAGTGGAATAAGCAATTCGTATCTTGTTATCGTGTTCGATAATTAATTAAATGTACCTGCACGTTTACCGGCTTTACCAAACTTTGTTGAAGCACTTATAAAAAAAGCTAAGTTATACGGCTTGTCAGTGTTTCGGTATATCTTCCCAGGGTGCTTCAGTTGCTGTGTGACCTTTACTGTAACCAAGGCGATCACCAGTCCGCCGTGGATATCCTGCAGCAGTCGCGGTCTCTGCTGCGCGAAGAGGATAAACTGACAGTAACCAAGACGCTGGCCCGTGTACTGCTCCTCAACAACGACGCCAGTGAAGCGTTTCGTTATGCCAAAGAAATCCAGAAAATGAATCCCACCGAACCACTAACCATTCGCTTAATGGCGGAAGTTGCGTTCCGCCGCAAAGATTTTGACATGGCGGTGGCGTATTACAAGGAGTATCTGAAGAAATATCCACAGGATCTGAAAACTGTGGCGGAGATGGCGCCGGTATTGATGAGACTGGGGCAAGTGAACGTTCTGCAATCGTTTCTCGAGGTGAATAAAATAAATCAGTGCGGTGCTGGCTTAGAGCAAACAACAAGCTGCGTTCGCGGGGTCTGCTTACCTCGATAATTAATAAAAATAGGAAAACAAATACCGGTCGTTATAAATTTTGGTATGGGAACCGCAGTAAATTTATGTACTGTAGTGCATATTTATGTTAATCGTACCACTGTTTGTTTATGTTGATTATGTACTACGCATGGCCGGCGAAATTATACACACTCGCTTTGGTTTACTCACGTATTTTAGCATTAGTGTAATCCGTAATAAAATGGCAGAAGTAAAAATCAAGGTTTTTCCCGCCTCGCAAATCTGATCCCGTATTTTTTCATATGTCTGTATTTAAGGAAAACGAAAAGATGCGCAGTCAGTCCGAATTCAAAGTGCTCTTCAATTTGTGCGACGGATTGCGTGCACGGTATTGTGGACAGACGCAACGCGCAGTGGAGTTGATTATGCCGGCTGTTGAGTTAACCGACATTGCAGCTTATGGTGCTCGAAACCTTATCGAGGTCATTTGCAACTGGGATCTCGAGCTACCGGGCAGTCAACACCTCCCGTCGACTTCCGCCTCCGCGACAGATCTTGTAAATGTCTGCAATGTTATTGGGCAGGTAACTGATTTTATTTTGCGGAAATAAGGGAATAAAGATTTATATCCCGAGTTGATTACCGTAATTTTTGCAGAAAGCGAAACTCTTGATAGGGAGCAACGATTATATGATTTGCGAATATCTGCCCATACTGTATCGAGGCGATCGAGCCCAAGTGGCGGAACTGCTCGGCAAAATAGAAAAATGGGAAACCGAAAAGGTATTACATGTTGCAAAATATTGAAGTATACAATTTTACTGTAGTATTTTGGTTTTGTGATTTTTTTTGTTTAGGTTATCCCGCCTATGAACGCATACATATTGGCTACTGTATTACTGCTGCTAAACGAAAAGCCCCGCGCTCTGGAATTATTGAGAAGACACGAAAGAATGCCTTGGAGCTTTCAGGTGAAATGCAATACGCCATTTACGATTAATTAAGAGTACATACAGATACGTAAAATGTGAAAACCAGTTTCGAAAACTATGGCCAACTTAATATACGAGTACAATGCAAGCTAATTGCGTGCAGTAAAAATCACCTGCAAACTGTACAATATGAAAAATATAATTAGTTGTTAAAATAATATATTCCGCTGGTTAAGTAAATAATTCTCTGCTCTGCAATTTATATACCCTATGTTGCTATACGGTGGTATCGACTTAATATCTGGATTAGAATGCCGGTTGATTCTAAGCATGCAGGTCACTGAATAATACGAGTAACTTTACAGGATGCAGAATATTTGGAGCGCTTATGGCTGCTATTAGCCGAACAGCTGGATCTGTCCAACCGCGGGGATGACGTCTCTCAGCTAATGTTCCGCTGCATCGAATACAACCGCACCGGCTACTTGGTCAACATGTACGATGGATTCCACTGCGGCAACCAGAACCACCCCAAAGCGGCGGAATGCTTCCGGCGGGCATTCGAAACCACCGGCTGTACGGATTTCGTCAGCGGGGAGCGCATGGCCCTGGCGCAACTTAGTTCCCACCGTCCCATGGACGCCGTGGATACCGTGGATCAGCTCAGCCGCCTGCCCGCGGACAGCAACGGCAACATGGCCCGGTCGATCGTGCAGATGCGACAGATTGCCCTAAATCAGCTGGCGTTCCGCAAGGATGAGCGGGATATGAAGGCAGATGCGGCTGGACGAAGAATGTCGAGAACTTAGTCTAATGGCTAATGGCGCAAAGGTGTCGCTATATAAATAACGCTAATCGCATTACAGCGCGTCTATTTGATGGTGTTCGTGTTTGCAATTGGCAGCTGCTGCGTGTTTAGACAATTACATCTTAGACTCGAAAAGGAATGTCAACAGCGGATTGAATATAAAAATGGAGGCTTCAGGAGCAAAAAAAGTCGCCTTCCGGGGGGCTCGAACCCCCGACATTCAGGTTAAAAGCCTGACGCTCTACCGACTGAGCTAGGAAGGCTTAGCTAACAGTTGAACACGTTTTGCTAAATAATGTGTTTATAAAACTACTTTCTCGTTTTAATTTTTCAACTAGTGGAACGATTTTGTTTACGGACAACTTAATATTTTTCCGTAGTATTAATATTTCATCGAAAACTTTTTCAACTTTTATTAAATGAAAAAACGTTTACTGGATTTCTACGAGTCGCGTGATTCCTAGCGTTTGTTTCCTTCCGCGCATGTTCGTAATCGCGATCGTAACTTCGCAAGTGGTTATCGGTTTTGAATCTCTGACTCATCTATCGTTTCATGCACCTTCTATTACGATGGAACTTGCAATACTTCTACTATATATACGTGTAGAAGTATACCTTATTCTTTCTCAATAAAATCGAGAATTGTTCTAACAATGGTCTTAGGGGCGCTACACGCAAAATAAACTTATATGAGACGGCGATCTATCATCTACATAACAATAATTACGCGATTTTACGATTAATTAACCTCAAATTGTTGCGTTAACCTCAAATGTCTGTGTGTCGAAATGGAGGGGGAACTAATTAATGTTTTAAAAAATTCTTAAATAAAGCCTGTACAGTATATCCGAGTAAAAACAGCTTGCAGAGAAAAACATTAGTTTTACGTTAAGTACCGCTAGATGAACGGATGTGTTCGAATTTTGGCTTATACCTAACGTTTGGCTAACGTTTTTTTACAAACTGTATTACTCGGACTCACTTCGAGTTGAAATACGATTACTAGTTGAAGTGCGTACATCAGCGGTTTGCGTATTGACAGTCTCAGCAGTTAATTGAAGTGCAATTACTGATAAACATGTAACTGTTAACGACAGATAACTATTCACATCGGCATTTACAGATAATTTAAAAACAGGACTGATGTTATTGGTTTTGTAACTGGTGATTTAAAAGCAAGGGTTAAAATAAATTAGTAACGCTAAAAAATTATTAGCAAAACCCGAAGTTATTAATTTATCGTAATTAATTATAAGTTATTGTTACCGTAGCTGATTTACATGCAATTAAGCCCGATTTATTCGAATATAGTATACAAGTATATCGCGCTTAAATAAAGTACGGCTTATTCTGTAAATTGCCGGTTATGTTTAGACAAGCCCTCCTAGCTCAGTCGGTAGAGCGTCAGGCTTTTAACCTGAATGTCGGGGGTTCGAGCCCCCCGGAGGGCGACTTTTTGCAATTGTTTTCTTAGTTTTACGTAAAGTTTTGTGCGGAGAATCCATTTCGTACTTTCAAGACTTGTTTGATATTAAAGCACTTATTTTTAACGGGCATTAAATCCTGACTTTTGATCTCAGCAAACTGTAAATGTTTGATGGTTAGATCAGGTACATATTCAGGTCCAGACACGGCACTCTGTTCACTGCAGCGACAAATGTCTGGTTCTTTTTAAAATTCTGCGCACAAATAAGCATACTTCTCTACCGTAGACAATTAAACAGAGACATACGTTTATACAAGAAAATATCCCTTAAACGGCTTAGGCCACAAAATAATGCTAAAACTGTCCAAAACCATCAACAGTCAACACGTTTAAAACCTGAAATCAGATGCAAAAAAGCCAGATTCATAAATACACGGGTACATTTCATAATACTTTTGTAAACAGTTCACAACATCTCTGGAGAACTTTTGATGAGTCAGGAAACATTATTCTCGGGAAGATAAAGATCTGCAGTATCGGAGAAATCCATTGACGGGAGATTCCAAACCAATCCATCCTCTCAGACCCCAAGAAAGTGAGTAAATATCCACAGGATAGTGAGGATACCATCAGGAACATCCAGATTCAAGGCAGTTAAATTCATCCAGAATATATCGTATCACAGAAGAATTTTTAGGAGTTTATTGCCAGGAGATTTGTCGCTTAGGATTTTTCTCCATGTCCACGCCCTCATATAAACAGCAATCCACGACCGACCGTCCAATCCACAGCAGAATTTTCATGAACTGATTGCGAGATAATTCTGCTGAATTTTCAGGAGATTTTTTTAAGATTTTCTCCATGTCGACGCCCTCATATAAACAGCAGTCCACAACCAACGGTCCAATTCACAGCAAAATTTTTAGGAGTTTATTGCCAGAAGTTTTGTTGAATTTTTCCACGTTCTCATAAACAGCAATCGACGACCGCCCGGAACCATTTCGGCCAGGTCGTGCCCACCTCCTCCCCGGCGACGGCATACCGCATCCGCCACTTCCTCACCAGCACCCCGTCCGCGGGATGAAACAGCTGATAATACAGCAGCATAAACCCGATCCCCACCCAGAACCCGACAATCACCGCCACCATGGCCGGCACCCGGAACCAATGCACATTCTCCGTGTGCGTGAACCACAGCGTAATCATCACCACATTCTCCACATAATAGACCGTATAGTACCCCACATACTTCCACCGGGTCCGCGCGTCCTTCACATTCAAAAAGGCGAACAGATAGATACACCCCACCGCCACATCATAGCACGCTTCCAGCGGCTTATTCGGGCAGAAATCCGTCTTCTGGCTGATTATCCACACGATCATCACCAGAATGTGCACGCCGCAGAAGATAATCCCGAAATACGTGAAGCGCACCGTGAAGAGCGCGATGGCGATAACGCGGGAGGCGAAAATGCAGAGATGCCAGGCTAACTGCATCAAGGAGCCGCAGATGGACATAGAGCCCTTGGTAGGTTGGGAGTAGCGTTGGGCGCGGTGGAAGGCGGCCATGGCGGTGGCCAGGGAGAACCAGGAGATGAAGATGGAGACGATTTGCACGGTTTGTAATAGATCGAAGCGCTCGTAATCCAGGCGTTTCTTCACCAGGATGTAGATCTGCAGGACGAGCTGCGGAGCGGCTTCCATGAAGGCTTCGACCAGACGCAGCATGGCGGCGTCGGCGTTCTCGAAGCAAAGCAGTTCGTACAGGTCCAGCCGGGATCCGGCGCTGGAGTTGCGGAATTTGTAGCCGTAGCGCAACGAATCGATGTATCTATGAGATAATAACAACGCGATGATGTTAACAAGGTAAAATTTGCGATATCTGCAATGCTGCATCTTTAGCTGCAGTTAGTTAGAACAACAATTTATTCTGAAAAAATTAACAGCAATAAAATAACTGGCTTTCGTTTGTGAACTTTCGTTCTCCCAGCCTGATTTAATTACATTCATGTTGTAAGGAACGATTGCATGTGTGTATTTTACACTCCGTACTACGTTTAATCCACTGTCTATAGTACAGATAGTAAAAAAAGTACTCAAAAACAGCAAAATCACAATATACTGAAATATTGAAATACACAGTCACATCAGTTCGAATCTATCGCTAAATAAATCACGAAAATAATTTACACGTACTTTCAGAAAAAGGTACCGACGCAGCTACTTAAGTACTTAATTAATTCGTAAAGGTTAAAGCGGTCTCCACTGTAGCAGTTTTTCGTTCCTTACCGCATAATGGGAGCCAGTTGTAAGAACAGGACAATAATCCTGATAATCCAATCCCTCCACGATAAAGTCCGCAACGGATGGTGTTTATGGTCCTGGATGTACCAAATCAAGCTGAAGCCCGTCATGCACAAATGCGGCACCAGGATAAACGTCACCGTCAGCGCGAACCATATAATATCGTTATCGTTATAAAATCCCACCGCCACGAACCTACAACGGCGAAATGCGAGTAGTCAAAATGTTGGCTCATCGTCAATAACTATCCCGATGCGCCATTAGCGCTCCATATAGCGATATCTACACTTTTTAATCATAATTATCACAGTACAGTGCCGAAAAACTAATAAACACTGAAAAGAGTTGAAATTATAATTCGAAATGCGAGAAAAATAGTCCAAAGAAATTTTACCAGTCGCTTACGATATCCGCGATATACGTGATCATGGCCCATCCGGTGAGAATCATGTCGCGGATCCGGTAGCGCTTCTTAATGGGTAAAGCATCCATGGCATCGGGATCGACGGACGGCACTGGCAGACGACCGGAATGCATGCGCTCGTATTTGGGCCGCGACGGGGCCAATCGCGGGTACGGATTGCTCGACACTCCATCTGCAACCAAAAGGCAGTTGACAATAAAATGCACTCCGCTTTCCAATACAGATTCACAAAAACGCCAAAATAACTAAAAATTTCTTCCTTACGACCTAACCAGAATGAAATGACTATAATTTCGTAAAGGGAAAATCCCATCAGCTAACGACAACGACGACAGAAAGGCCAGAAAAAAAGCTCCATAAAAAAACGTTGATTCACGTACTGTCTAACATATGCAGGAATCTTGAATCCTGCATTAAACAGCTCTCAAAAATTCCAGAAAAAGAAATACCATAAAGCATTCCACAACGAATCGTTTACGATTATCAGAGTTGTCATGCACTGACTAGGGAACCATCCTCCAGTAGTACAAAATTATCGTGCACTTCGCGCGCTGAGCTTACCGTTCAGTCGTTCGTTGTAGATCCTGGTCCGGTAGGGCGCCATCTCCACCGCAGGCGTCCGCACGATCACCGTACTCCGGCCATTCTCCACGACACCCCCATCGGAGATGACACTGACCACCCCGGGAGAGACCCCAAACGACGTCACCCGCTGCTCCAACGGCAGCACACTGGGTCGACGGGGTCGTGCCTCCTCCTCCAGGGGACAGGTGGAGTCCGGGGAGGAATTGGGGGACGTGCTGTCCGCGGGGTGCAGCGCGTCATCGGTCCCCGTGGGCGGGAAGACGAAGGGATTAGGGCGAAAGGCCGTGGAGGTGGACGGCGTACTGGGGGTGTCCTGACGAGCGCTGAACGGGACATTTAACGACGCCATGCAGAAATAATGATGAAGGTTTATCGCACGGGCATTTTGAAGGTAAGGAGTCGCGGTCTAGCATATCTGTTGGCGAATGGCATCCATCAACGTTGTGATAATGCGTGGCGATACGAGAAAGTACGATCCGCAATGGAGGCGTTGTTCATCACAAATCCGAGATGTGGTTAGTGTGGGTCGCAGTGAAAGCATGACGACATCATCGCAACTTTACTAGCAGTGCAATACTTGGCAAGCTTCGTAAGATCACGAACCCCCGTTGGAATTAGAGCACCGGTAGATAATTCTCAACACTGGTTCGTTTATCTGGCATTCAGGATTGCGACCTAACTATTCAACAACGGCTCCAGAGAGCCGTCCAAAATATTTCCGAAAAAAGAAAACAGAACGCAGAAAAACAGAGAAAAGTTGAAAGTCATTCCAGGTGCATTTCGCAACCGTCCGTGCCGTCCGAATGGTATTTCCAATGGAACCGGAAGCGGTAATGCGGCTGTAATTCCATTATTATTTTCGCTATACGAATTTTTTTGTTTAAGAGTTTGTTAATCGTTGTCGCTTATTTCCTGGGCTACAGTTATTTTTTCTAATACTGTAATATTGTCAAAAAGAATTATGTAAGCTTTAAAATATGTACATAGCACTGAAATATCTGCTGACTTCTGTTCTCCAAATTAATTTCAAATAGAGCCTGCAAATCTTGAAAACAGCCAGTTCCAGTGGAACCGGAAGTGAAAAGCGGTGCCACTGCGATATGCCATTCTCTCATTTACACACTATTCTAGATCTCTTCGCTTTACTGACTGCCGCGAAAATTTTTTGCAAAAATACTTGCACTCATTTACCATTTGTATTGGAAACTAATTTAAAACTTTGAGCATGCATACACAATATATATGTTAGGAAATTCCTATGCGATCCCTAAAAGTGATTTTCCAGCGCATGCGAGCTTAAGGGGGACTAATTTATAGCATGCTACACCAGCTGAGGCCAGTTTTGGCATGATTATGTAGGTATTGTTTGTGAAAGAAGTGTATTAAAATGTGTGTTTTTCTACTTTTTTTTAAATTTTAAAGTTTAAAATGCACCATTACAAATTTTACTATCGTGCATGCGGTAAAGTAAAAAATATCCTACTTAATAGCACTTTCACTTATGGCGTTACTATCATTCTACGATCACCAATTTAACTGAAAGTGAAGAACTTTTACGTATTTATTATAAATTAGTCCCCCTTAAGCCGACGACGTGTAGCGTGGTGGAGAAAACTTCCTATATACCGGTAAATGCTGCAGTTGTGCTTCCACGATGCCGGAGGTTCTGTATGGTTGCTATAGTGGATTGGTCGGTTGGTCAGTATCTTCCTCGTACATTGTCAAATATATGGAGAATCACCCGGTCCCGCGACAGTCGGACATTGAATATAATCAAAATCAGAGCAAAGTGCCCATAAATTCCGGCAAGACAACCAAATGTTACACTGCATCGCATTGTCATATATGATGATATATCTATAGTATTCTAGTACTGTATGATCGTATCCGTCGGAAGTGCAGAGTGCTTGCTAGTGTTCAGCAAGTTAGCGCCGCAGTCGCCATGAACGATCGAGAAAGCGAACACCCAGAACAATAGATTTATTGCGATGGATGATTACTTTCTTCCAGCTCTCAGCATAGGTGGCTTTAATGCATCCTTTTTGACGGTGCAAAGAAAAACCTAAGAAGCTAACTGGCAAGTGGCAATCCGCGCATCGGTACACCCGCGAATTATAAGACGATACTGACCGGCACAAAAAACGGTTTGTACATGCCGGAAATTCCGATTAGATGTACCGCATCATCTTTTGGATTACCCTGATCAGAAGTGACGATCAATATTCTACAACAACGATTTCTTACATACGTTTAATGGTAAGTTTTACTTTATAGCACATCTTTATTCCAAATTTTACAGGCAGAAGGAAAGCGCTATTTTGCGGCATAATTAATCACTGTTTATCGCAGGTTCATTCATTTTTCGTGGACGAATTACTGTCATCATCTTTGGAGACCGATACAATTGGTTCTTCGACAATGGAAAAGCATTGCAGCAATTTATCATATAAATAGTGGCTTTTTTGGGGCGTCAGTTTGTCGTTATTGTGCGTTAGGGCGTTCATTATCCGTTCGGCAAGCACGTCCTGCTGGAATGGATTGGAAGTCTTCAGCGACTGGTAATGCCGCAGACAACTGGCAAAACGGTGTAGCGTCTGCATATATCCCTAAAAACAAGTAGCGTGTATATATAAAAGGTACTGCATAAATAAAATTACCTCTGCAACTATGTGAAAGTGAAACATACTGGCCCAATATATTTAGTTACTGTTAACGCCACGTGCGATTACTGCATCTGTATTGTACTCGTACTTTTTACAGGCATGTTCGTAGTACACTTTGTATTACTGAAGTACGAAATTATTCCAGACTACATAGTTAATATAAGCCATATAACGTACGGACGTCGAATTAGATGTCAATATTATGATCTAGTCTAGTTGATTTACCGTCTTTCGCATAAAAGTAGTGACAGTAAAATGCAGTGCAAATTACCTGGCCGACGTTGAAGTGGTCCGCCTGAGTTGTGCGTCGTTTGATAAGCTTCCGTAGAAATTTTCCGTTTAGAAACGGATGCTGCAAAAAATATATTACTCGTATATTACGATGATGCTAAATGTTTGGACTATGTTGATGTGCATAGAGCAATATTAATAAGCACTTAATAAGCGATGCTCGCCTTTAAAATTATTGCGAATAAAATCAAAACTTAATCTCTTCAATAACAATCCTACAATAACAAAATTATTAAGCTCTTCCGTCGTATATCACACACCTTTAACGCCGCCATCCACAACAACACCAGACTCAATAGAAAATTCACATCCTCCCGGTGCTGCTGGATGGCCGCCAGGAAGCCGGTATCCTCGATGGATATGGACTGTCTGGCTAGGGAGTGTGCCAGCTGCACCGCCGCCGGCGACTCATCGGCCAGGTCACAGTTGGCTATCACGCTATCCTCACCGGAAGCCATACCTTCCACGGCGGTGTCAAGACACGTTAACAGCATATCCACCACCTGAAGGTCACTCTCTCGGTTGTCATCAATATTTCTTGTTATACATGTATGTCAGTGCTAATTTTCGCAGAACCACAATGACGCACTTTGGGGATGTAGCGGTGTGTGCGTGCTTCATCACCGTGGAGAACATGCTGTTGGCGGAGAAGATAGTCTTCCAGAGCCAAGTTCTGCGATGGATCTCTACAAAGTACATAACATATGGCAGTTATTCTTGGACACACGTGTTTTAATTGCTTAAATTACTCGCTGATATTACATAGTTATAATTAAAACACCGCGCTTTGCAAACAAAATATATATAATTACAGACAAAATATTTATAATTACAGATAATAACACCATGTAAAGCTTTTGTGTAAAGAGTATAAAGCGCGGGTTGTACGTATTTTATACTGGTCTCGAACGGGCATGAGTGCATACTAAAATCGTAGACTGTGCACACTGCATACATTCATTCCCTATGCAGTACAAGTATTAACGATAAAATATTTACCTTGAAACTTACAATGCCGTTTACGGTTTTTCATGCACTGATATATCGTATAGATATATCTGTATGATACATCTGTACAGGGACTACAGGCTGCAATTGCAAACTGATACAGTGAGAAGATCAGCAATTAATGGATATGATTAACCCAAGAAATATACTCTATAAATTAAAGCAACAGCAATTTTATTAATACATTTATTTATAGTAAGGTTAATAAAAAGCGTTGGCGCGATTGAAGTTGAATTTTGCGCGTGCTTGGCTAGCAAATCTTATGCAAAACGTTACAAAGACAAAAGCACTCGTTTATACTAAAATTTTTCTGTTATAAACAAGGCGGTATTGCTTACTTGAGCGAATACGGAAATACACTGCATAGGGTTTCCTTTAAATACACTTCGAATTTTGCCACCGCTTCCAGTTGATGGCGCGACTGAATTGCGTTGGTCCTACGATGTTAGCGGTATTTTTATGTGCTATTACAGAGCTTTATGGGGTCAGCATAGCAAATAGAAACATCTCTCAGAAATAAGATGTACGTGAATGGTAGCACAAGAATAAATCATGCATTTTCTTTGGAGGTCAACAATCTGGTTATTCGGCAAAAACGATTTCGCGGAACAAACGGCTCACCTTTTTGTGCGTACCAAATGTACAGCTTCTTCGGCCGGAAGCCCCTGCGAGAAAATAAGGAAGCAGGCTATGATGACTCCGGTACGACCTGTGCAAACAGTAAACACATCGTCTGCATGCCTTGTCTGATATAAATGGATGCAGGAAACATATAATATTTTGTATGCAACATATTGCGCTAAAAGGATCAATCGATGTGCGTATACATAGTAAACATTGCTCTCGATCGCCTTCGACCGGAAGTGGCAGTAATTACGCTGCGTGGTCTTTTCCAGGCGTAATATGAGGTCAGGAATATGAAGTGAACGGAAAAATGTTTCGCTTTACAGTGCCGACTGTCTTACCTAATCCGGCATGGCAGTGCACGGCAATTTTCCCTTCTGTCAGTGCAAAGGCCATGACCTTTACCATGCTCAGAATCTGTGACGAGGCACCCACGCCGTAATCACGCCTGGAATATAATAAAATGGATTGAAATATTGTCTTTTATACGTAACTTTGCTCAGTATTCTGGATGCTGCGAACCATAATTAATATTTATATGTGACCCCTATTAATATTTTATATTATTATACTTGTGCCAAGGTGTGTGTCATGACAGATTTGTTGTTCGCGCTTTGATTGGTGAAAAATTTAACAAAGCAACGTAACTGAAATTTTACGTAGTGAACAGTATACATGTATGCATATTGTATTGCGCGATTATTAGGACACAGATAACATTTCCCAGCTTACCATCCATAATTGTAGAAGTACACTGCAAAAGCAAAATAAAAGCCATATTAATCATCTTACGCAGTTGTCATTGGGATGATTGTTGGAAAGGTCATTTGTTAATCAATAATAACCAGAATCCTCGTTACCACCCACCTCCAGCATCCATAAAGGTTTGCGGATTGTAGGAGAAATCTTGATTTGGCGTGACAAGCGCCACATCCGGTCCGCAGTGCGGATGTTCGCCCCGGCACTGCAGATTGAGCAGAGTTTTTATGCCCAGTCTGAAATTAAACACGCCACCATTGTAGTCACTGCGAATACAACTCTCGTATGATATCTGTAAAGCGATGTTGCTTCTATTTTCGAAACCTATTTTACTTGAGATATATAAAAATAATTCCCACTTTCCCGATTTTGTCCTTTTTGTAGCAACCTGTAGAAGCTAGTATAGCGAGATAAACCTGGGGATGCCGAGAGTAGGATACATTTCTAGAGCTTTCTCGACGGACTGGACGCTGATAAACGATCAGCGATTCTCAATGCAGCGACATGACATATGGCTCCCATGGGACAGAGATTAGGGTATACGCAATCAGCAACAGGAAAGAAACGTAGAAAGCCGACACACTATACCTAATAAAAGTGATGTTCTAATAAAACCTCGAAGAGAACGCTAAAATAAGTAACTGCCTGCAAAATGCTCACATTATGAAAAGTATTCATAAAAATCGATACAGCAGTTATCTCTCTACAAAATTTCGCCATGGAAAAAAAACACGACAATTTCGCCACGGGAAAACGACACAGTTTCAAAGAACTCATATTCTTTTGCCAAAAGTATTTTTTTATTTATCTTTTGTCAAAATTGTATTCCTATTGCATCCAGTAACACATTTTTCGGAATTTCTCTGAATCGTCAGACACCGGAATGACAGCAAGTTACAAAGCAATATCCAAAACCAGAGACGAGCGAATAACAGAAAACATTTCGTCTAAATTCGCCACCGGTGCTGTTATTCCCCTTACTGATGCTGCGTTTCCTCGCTGAATTTTAGTACCGAACCGTTGACGGAAAACTCTGTTGTATTGTTTTGTTGTCAAATAATGTGTTATCTTGAAAGTCGTTTACACTTCCGCAGTAACAACGATTAAATGGCATCGAAATAATAAATTTTTCAACAATATTTCGTGGAAAATACACTGATCGGGATTACATATATTTTGCGAGTTTCGATTTGTTTGAATTTCAGCAAAGTAACCAGCATAGCGTACAGCACTGCTTTCACATTGTATATCGTTTTTCTACTTTGTGTATTTTTGTACATCTGCGTGCGTCAGATTATAAAATGTGTCCTTCTGTCCAGATCTTTCTGTGAAAGATAAAAAGTCATATTGTACAGTGACCTTAAAAAATCCACCATCTAGGCTTTTTCCTGCTACCGGAAATGGGAGCTGCACCTTAGATTACGAACAGTTACTCAGGTGTAACCCGATTACTGTCGGTTTTATGAATTTCTCCAGAAGCCGGAAATGTGCCGATCTATACCGGCGCTCACGGCTTCCTCAATTCCGCACTGACAATTTATGTTTCCCGTTTGTACAACTTGTGCGAAAGGCTTCTTACATATTATATCTGTTCGACAGGGCAAAAAATCCGACTCCGAACGTAAATAGATATACATAAAAGGACAGCATTTCGTCGGGCAGTAAAATCCTGCCATGCAGCAGATTTGAACTGTCTGATGTATTGAACGATACTCTTTTTTTTCCCTGGTTATCCAGTGAAAAGCAGTACATTATACCGAGAAAATTTTTACCTCTTCAGTTTAAATTCAAACGTACTCTGTACATGACCGAACAATAGAAAACTGAACAGATTACAGCAAAACGCACATATAATTTGTTAAAAAAAAACAATATCCTTGAACTTACACATCACCACGAACTATATACGAAGGCAGGTGTCATCCAAATTAATAAATTTAGTACAAATCTTTCACTTTTACAGGAAACTTGTGACTGTATCGTATCGCCAGTCTGAATAAAAAGTAGTAATAAATTCGATATATAAATGTAAATCTCGTTTTTCTCTGATAAATCATCATATATCTTTCGTAATCTGCCGAGGACGTAATAAACGTATGACTGCCGAGGACGTAATAAACGTATGATATGCGATAGTACGAACACCTGTGTTCAGCTACGCTGTTACATGTAGCCATAAAAGTCACAGTGAAAGTGTGGAAGCTGCCATGTGAAAACGACATACACGATCTTTACTGTTACTCGTTTTATTATTTTATAATGGAAATAAGAGTATTCATCATTACTGTGCATCAGTTTATAGCAATACTACATCCAGTTACGATCGATTATGCTAATGAAAACGGTTTGTATGACTACATAGTGGCACTAATCGGGTAGTATTGCTGCTAACAAACGACTTTATCCTGTACTGTTAGATATATCAATATTATTTCAGTATTACGGCTTGCCAACAAAACGGTTATGAGCTTCTTATAACAATATTATGTATTTCTTACCTATTGAATTGCTCAATAATCCCGTGCTTTTCAATGGCGTACGTCGAGGGCCGTGCCATGGCCAGAATCTTATCGTTAATCCAGTGCGAATAGATTCCCTTGATGGCTTGATGATCCATCGCCCAGTATGCTTCATTTTCGTATTTACACTTTCGTCCTCCACAGAACAACGAGCACTGCGAATTCTCCGGCGCGACCCGTCGCACCACTTCCGATAGTTTGTTATACCGTGGACGATGGTCCAGTTTAGGCGATACCGGTCGCACCGGCTCAACGGGAACTGTCAGTACATTCTCGCAGATTTTTTCCGCCATAATAAATTTTATACGATATTACCGATGGCTGTTCAATATCGCACAACACCGATAAAAATTATCTTTATAATTTACAGCTGTTCATGAAAGAGTTTATGCTGACGCACTTTTGACAAAGTTGCCTGTCAATCTGTCCTCATAATGACGCATATTAGAACAACCCAGCATCCAGCGCGCAGCACAGTAATAACAATGTTAACCTGGCAGGAACAGTTTTTACATTTTACTTTCCGGCAGCGCGATACAAAGTGAAATGACAGAAATCCCGGACGGTGTGCGCTGTGTTAAGCGCGCGTTGGTAACTCCCGCGGATCCGGCGTGCATGGCGTGTTATTACATTATGGATTTGTATCGGATTATGCTTCCATCAGTCAAGGTGCGTGATAGCCAATTAGGCCCTGCTCCAACCCCGGCGAAGGCTGGAGCGTCTGGAGAGTGTGATGATCTTCGATCTGTTTTCAGTATCGCGTCGACCTGCCTGTTGTCGACTTTGCAGTGGCGCTATAGACTTGTACGCTACACTCTACATATTGTCATATTATTAAATTATTTTCTGTACTGTACCGGTCGGCCTGCACAAGTACTGTGGGATGCACAGTTCTTCCTACCGGTACCGGAAGTGATGGAGTAACGTATCTGTATATTACTATATACATACAACCATCTGACTGCCGACAACGGCATAAAGACAACGTACGAGTAAGTAAATAAAAAATTACTGTATTATGAATGTCAGCAGCTGTTGAAGAAAATCTTCTTTTGCTAAAAAGTATGTGACAGCGATCTACAGTGCATGACAAAAATAAGGTGAAATTGGCCGGTCGGTCAGCGGATGCGCCTGATCAAACTTATTAACATGCACTGTAAATGTGTTCCACCGTATATGCAACATAGATACTTCTGTAAGTGTTTCCTAATTCTATGAACTCAGTTAATCATTTACAGTTCTGTTAATATCTTATTCTGGCTTTTAATAGTATCAGCGACGATTCGGTTAAGATTCTAAGATGCCAATGATTATGTTATTACACTTGAGTGGTTAATTTCGTGCGGTATATTCAGATTGACAGCCGAAGATTGTGCAGTCCAGTAGTGCATCAATCTAACGACCAAAATTAAAAGCACTTGCTGTTGAGAGAGATTGTTGTACTTCCACTAATCAGTAATCACTGATCTTGGTATCATCGCTAACTGCCGATGTCACTGCGAAACCGGCGTGTTAAAACTCGTCATGGTGCGACTGTGAAGTCTATAAATAACGTTGTGAGGTCTACTTCATTCAAAATTTTCACATTTCTCTTACAGTTAGTGGAAAAACAAATCCTTAATTTCCTTTACCTAATAATACAGTCCGGCAACGCATATATTATTTTGACAAAGCATTTTAGCTATAGGTAATTTACATATCCAGCAATTCAATAACAAATGCGGTTCTTACACCTGCGAACTGATTGGCTTATTGTTATGCGTCCATAAAACAAAGCCACACTGCTGAAACTAGTATACTATATTACTATAATGCTTGTGATTTTAACTACCTCCAAAGTTTATCTTGTGCGCACACAATCCGTGGCGGAACAAGCAAGTAGTCCACCAAAACGTATATCCTATTTGCCGACTAATCCCCTCGATCTTCCGTTGAAACCTCTCACGCCATAGTAGGGCATTTCCATTCCCTTATAAGGGCATGCAAAGGATATTCAGCAATGTACTGAATTCTATGTGTAAATGACAGTGTAATTAATCTTTGTCACATTTCAGTTTTCAAGGTAACCGTGTCTGCAACAAGGCTTCCGGTACTTGTAATCGTTTTCATTATTCGGAACCATACATGTGAGCGGCCTTCTCCTGAATGGCCCCGTACTCTCTTTCCCAGTTCTTTGATGGTGGCAGTGTCCGATGGACTCCACGGCCCCACTGTCTCGAAAGCGATAGGTGCGAAAATGTAACGGCCGTAAAAGTCTAGAAGTTTTTCTCTTCTGCCTGCACAGCGGGTGATCCTGCGTCAACCGATGTGGTCTTAATTTGGGAAGCGGCGACGGTATCCATACAAGTGACATCCCGGCCAGAAATATACCTCTTTGCCACACGAAAGTCGTGCATTCTCCGGACGTCGTTCACTGATGTGGGGCGTGCCACGAGGTTCAAGTCTTGATGGCATTCCGGCCGATACAACAGCGCGACATACTATACTGTTAAGTCCACCATGCCGTGAATGTCTGCCGGCAGAGAAAGGACACGAAAGACTCTGACGCTCATCCCGTCGCATTTCGTGCAAATGTGCGATTTAACAGACCTTGGCGCCGAGCCGGAGGTCTACTGATCATGAGATTTTTAGTATGTCATCGTCGAGGAGATTGCCAATGTGAGCGGATGGTAACGCGTTGAGCCAGACACCGACTTCCCGTTTTGACCGAAGCGCTACTTATCGCTTTTTTGACAAAGCAAATTAGTTAAAAATTCATGGAACAAAGTTCAACAAACGGTACTTCGCATTCGGTACCAGAAAAGATTTTGCATCGAGCGCAGCGAGATGCTGCAATAGTTTAGTTATTAGCCAGTAATTTCCACATCACATACGAAAAACATTTTAACACAGTTAAAAGCATTAAAACCATCGGAACGTGGAACAGTGGACGTCTGCAATGCTGTAATCCACATGCTGCAATTAAGCCTCAAGAGCATAAAATTTGTCTGACGCCACGCAAAGCGTACGAAGCCTTTTTCCAGTTCAACAAATCCAGTATCATTTTCAAGTGGTACAGGCGCTCGCGCTCGTCCATTGATTGTGGTTCACACCCACCACTAGTATACAGTTTTATACTTAACGAGCAACAACACCAGGAGAACGAAAATGTGTTGACTGAGTACAAATAAGCGCAGCAGATATTTTAATAATCGCACAAAAAAGTGCGCAACGGCTTTTACGTTCGTACGTAAATAATTACCTATATAAATTAACCGTGGCGCATGCAACTCTTTATTAGCACCAGTTCGTTTTGATTTGTCCCGAGCCGACACCGACGCTGCGCCAGCACCTTGTAAAAGGTCATTTCTATTGCGACATAAGTGGAGCTACTGCAGCCGAGGCTGTCGTATTGCTGTCAGTACTCTCGACCAGAAAGAATTATCATCGTATCAGTGATTATTTTAATAATACTGTAGTATTCTGCTGAATTGTGATATGCTGGTTTGGTTACGTCGAACAGTTCATTTTGAATGACGGCTCGCAAGGCTGTAGAATTCGGTATTGCAACAACCTAACGCCCAAAAGTTAGACAGCGCTTTGCTACTGAGAGGCAATATTGTATTCCCACTAATTTTTGGATTTTCATTAATTGCCGATGCTATTGCGAGCCGCCGTTACAAATGTACGGCGTTACCAACAGTCGGGTGGTATGAGTGCGAAGTCAAACGAATTTTATCAGTTTCACCTCTTTTGAAGGTTTCTCTTAGCGAAGCGATTTTGTGCGTTGTTTACTTGACAACACACTTGAGTATTACCAGTAACCAGCAGTGCCATAAATTCATCTTCCAGCAAAATGTTCAGTCATTCAAAGCTAGAATTGTACAACAACAGTACAATAACAATATTAATATATGTACGGGGGATGATATTATTTTGTTGCACAGTGCACCACTGCATTGTGACCTTTCACATAAAAGTGTTCTAGCATCCAACCTGTAAAGTGGCTAGAAACAATATCTAGTGTCTACGGGGAAGGACGTCCATTTCTTCCCTTGCATATGTATGTACATACAGAGTATCTGCGCAAATAACAATTATTCGCAGGGACTAACGTCCACAGTAGGGTTGCCGTTTCCTTTGGGGACAGTAACAACCATCTTCTTATTCCTCACAAAATCAGGACCTTTTGAACCGGCAGCAGGACCACGAAATTGCAGGTCAACCTGTATAGCAAGTTTCAGCATACAGAGGGTTATTCAGCCAAGTGTGGACACTTTTTGGGAAATTTCTCCTTAGCCGTCGCAGGCTCATTTTACTTTATACAGATACTTTATTCTATAATTCAGAACAAGGTAAACGCTAAGCGGTGCGTGACACGCAGCGCGGTGGCGTCGAATACGCAAAGCTATACCAGCGCTACTTTTACTTTGCTTACTTCAAAATAATACTTGGTTCCTCCACGGGTTTCTTCCTTCTGATAAGTTTTATAAATCACTTTCTGAAAGCTCATGCCGCATTTCGCCTGTCGCGGCATTCCCTTTTTATCCAGGGCCATAAATGCATCCTGAAAACAATAATATACATGATAGACAATTTATATGACTAACGCAAAATTACGGAGAAGCGACAGAATAAAGCATTCTTTAAAGAGTGCACACCACAGCCCACGGAAAGCAATTCAAGGCATACCTACTTATGGTTAGTATACCGATACCGATACGTACCAGCTTGTCCGTAATATCTACCCGTAGCGTTAAGCCGGTTAAGGTATTTAGCGCGAAGTTTGCGCAATGAATTATTGCCACTCATTACGTCTACTGTTACGGTCCACATATACGTTAAATAAATCCATATAAATATGTCTGCAGCAGTATGCGTATATATGTATCTTTTCACTATGTCTATAATATTACGTATTTATACCGATATGGACCACAGGACCAGCTTGCAGGCTGATTACCTTGGCCATTTTCTCCGTCGCTTTGTCGACCGGCTTTGGATCGGCTTTCGCTGCATAAGCCACACACAGACATCCCAGGAGAGCAATCAAAATTTTGCTGTCCATTTCAACTAATAATGCCCGAGCGCTACAGTATGGTTTACCTGACAGCAAACTTCTGACAGCTAACTGGACCGATAGTGAAAAGACTTCGGAAACGGGAAAGAAAATGAAAAGATCGAACTTTATATCGCATCCGATTTTGGACCGCCATATTTTTCGCCTGGGGTATAGCGTAAATAATTTTAATTGCCGTAATCCGGTAGCATCGACTTTCTGCTGGTGCCTGGAAACGTATGTATAATTATGTAACTTCTGGTTATTAGTAAATAATATAACGTACTCCCACAATTTTCATTGCCTGGGAGGCAGTTTGAGTAGATTTAGCACTACTCGTATAGCGACGGCATGCGCATGGGTAATTTCCTTTAGGCTACCCCGGAATTGCTGCAAAAACTTTTCGTGATCTGATTACGTAGAATTTTACAAAGATCTCAGAGCTAAACATTTACGCAAAGGAATTTCAGGGGCTTTCATCCATGGCGCAGTTGGGTCTGCCCGTTGCGGCTGCGTGATTTGCCTTCTTTTAATTTTAAAAATTTGTTTCTGCTGATTTTTGATTTTTTGGGCCGAAAAGTAACTTCGGCCCAAAAAATCAAAAATGGGAAAACGAAGGGCTAACTTGCAGATGGGAAAACAAAGAATTATCTTTTCGAGTCATTTTTAGAGAATGCCGGTTTCAATAAGATTTGTAAAAAATCAGCGTCACCCTGTTCTGCCTGCGCGGAAAAACAGTTGCATGATGGCCATCGCGAATTACTGCAACTGTTTTTTGTTGTGGCGGTTTTTAAACTGCTCTATTATTACCGGTTATTATGTAGCTAACTGCAAATGCTCTCGTAAAATGGCACTACGTATTGACTATCGCTTCCTGGCATGACAGAATTAACAGACATGAATTTCGAGCACCTTTGTATGTTCGATAGTTTTTGTTTTCTTTGGACTTGCAGACGTGCGGTTAATATGCAACCATTATAATATTTCTGATTTCAAGGTTTAGCGATAGATAAAAATAGTAAAGCGGTTTACATGCCGTCACGATAAAAAAGGTGCAATGTTGTACAAATAATTCTAAAATGTGTGCAGATTGTTATAAGTTAATACGAGTACATGTATGTACACGTAATATCCATCTGCTTAAAATAATTGTGTGCATTACCAGCATGTATTGTATTATATACTTCCACAATATAAGGGGTGTTATAGAGATATGTTGAGACTTCGGAATTCTGCTAAGCGAGGATGATGCTAATGTTGTTGAATTGATAAGACCTTCGATAAGACCGTTGTTGTTGATAAAACCTTCGTTGTTGACCTTCGTTGTTGATAAGACCTTTCGTTATTCCCTTCGTTGTTGTTGATAAGCCCTTCGATTACCAGTTTTTTATATGATTAACCACAATCATAGCTGCGATTTTACAATAAAATGCTCACTTTCAGAAGCATTTCAATTTTGAATTTTTGTTTTTGCGACTAATATGAAGCGAGTACAAACCTGGAGATGCCGAAAAAAAGCGGTTTTTTCCCTAAGTCTTCCGTGGCAAGTTACTTCTCTGACAAAGTAGCTCTGCAACGACGTTAACAACAAATCCTCAAAATTCAGGTTTCCAACGAAATGTCAATTTATCCAAAGGTTAGTATGCACATTAATAAAATGTGGGCAACATTCGTTCGAGTACGCTTCATGGCAGTTATGACCTTTCACACAAGCGTAATTTGGGACTGAGCTTGTAAAGTGGTTCGGCAAACCATCTGCAGTGAATTATTAATATTGCAAAGCACGTACATTTCGTTGTGTCTGGGCATGTAAAATTAGACGCATGGATTAAGGCATTGCCGCTCTATCGTAGTTTAGCCGATACCGGCCGCACCGGCTCAATGGGAACCGTAAGTGAATACAGCACAAATAGCCGATACCGGCCGCACCGGCTCAATGGGAACCGTAAGTGAATACAGCACAAATACTTTCGTACTGTACGAGTAAATAAGAAGAAAAAAAGTATGAGAATGACGTGTGGAAAGAGTACAATTGTACACATCGGATCCGTACTTACACGTTGGAATTACTGGATAGCTCACATCTGAACTCCTGTATGCCTTCACCTGCAACACACCGGATGTTATCTACTCGTTTCTGTCTGTGATTCGTCATTACTTGTACCTCGCGGAATATCTGATGCTGAAACCTGAAGTCTACGTAAGTTCCAACGATCATTGATGTCAGCAGCTCAGAAATTAGACTTACGATTTCCGACTTTCTAACGTCTAATTTCCTTGTGGAAAGCGTTGTGTGTTAATAAGAGGCAGCACTTTCGCATTGGCGTTCGTAGTCACCTTTCGGATATACATAACGTAATCTGCATGGTAGTCTCGTGCCACAATTGGTTAGTCTTATATTTGACCCTCGCACTACCTACGACCGGAAGTAAAAGTAGAACACGAGTTCCTGAATGGTTCATCATAGGGATTCGTGATCTTCGCGTTTCCGCTCTCATCTATTCCATCCTCGGATTGTCACTGTAGCAGTTGAGTTAAGAGTTTGCTTACCGACTGAGCATATACAGGTGGTTAAATGTCATTGAGATTAAATGTCCGTACTGTATCTTAAACACAACAAGTACATAAAAGTAATAAACTGCTAAAATAAGATAAAATTAATAGGAAAGCTGTCAGCTATTTATTCGAAGGCAACAAGCTGTTTCTTTAAGGAGTGCGACAGCAATCCTAATGTTCAGTATGTAATACTTGCCCAAGTTTTGCCTTTCCTAATCTCAGTAATTATAATTTACTAATTACTGCGTATAGTTTATTTCATCATTTTCAGCAGATATTTATATAATTGCCTAAAATGTGCTTGCTTGAGCTTAAAATTATGACTGCGGCAAAATCTACCGTTTGTAACGGTAAGAGAATAATATTATTGTAAATACTGTAGCCGTACAAATAAAACCATCAATGTTTTCTTTTTTTTGCTAGAAAATTTTTATGTTTACAGAAACGGTATATCATGATCAGCCCACCAGTGAGAAAAACTCAATTTGCTTAACCCGCTGTTCGTGTACATTTTTGTTGTTAACAACAAAAATTTTGCTATAAACTGGTAAAGTTACATTACAAGAAGCGGTAATAAAACTCGTTCTGATCGCTTTGCTTCGGTCTGCAAATGCATGCTAGCATGCATTTATCTAGTAATATTGTAAAATTCCATTTGAATTGTGACAAATTAAGCTGCTATGGTTATATCAAAGGTATTCATCTGGAATGGCGGCCGAAGGCTATATTATCCGGTAGTGCAAGAACCCATTGGCCAAAAGTTAAGACAACGCTTTGCTGTTGAGAGGGAATGTGGTATTCCCACTAACTTTCGGCATTTTCGTTAATTACCGATGCCATTCTATTAACATTTATCGTGGTACGACTACAAAATGACTGAATTTTAATGTCAGTTATACGCCTTTAAAAAAATTCCTCTACTAAAGCCATTCCTGCGAGGTTTATTTGACAACATACTTTGGAATTAGCAGACTTTGTGTTAGAAAATATGTGCTACACTTCTTAACACACGTATAATACAGTGCTCCATGGCATAATATTCTAACATCAAACTTGTTAAGTGGCTTGTTAGATACAATGTATCGTCTATTGGAAAGGACGTTTATTACGATCTTGTACCAGTATGTGTCTGAGCAAATAAAACTACTCGCATGGATTAACGTCCACGGTAGCTTTGCCTTTTCCTTTGGGGACAGTAACAACGATTTCCTTATCCTTAACAATCATAGGACCGTCTCTACCGGCATTACCGCCACGGTACTGCAGATTTACCTGTATCAAAATAACAAGTTCCATCATAATGCAGTGCAAGTAAACGGTCCGCATGCCGAATAAGCACGGCTCTGTTAATTATAATAAACACGTTGGTTGTGTTGTGCTTACATTAAAATAGTATTTGGTTCCTCCGCGAGTTTCCTCCTTTTGATAAGTGTTGTAAATCACTTTCTGAATGCTCATGCCGCATTTTTGCATTGGGGGCATCCCATCTGTTCCCGGGGCCATAAATGCATCCTGAAAACAGTACAAAGGAAGATAGGCAATTTACAGTAATTAAGACAGAAACGAAACAACAGAGAAGCTATGTACAGAGTACTGCGTCTACAGTATAAAACACTATCCAATTGGGCGCTCGCCGTCAACCGACAGGAATTCAAAACGTATTTGTGGACTGTGTTACCTGGCCTATTTTCTCCGTCTTTTTATCCACCGGCTTAGAAACAGATTTTGCGGCATAAGCTACACACAGGCATCCCAAGAAAGCAATCAAAATTTTGCCGTTCATTCTAGCAAATTATGCACGAGCGGTAGTGTATGGTTGACCACAGAGAAAACTTGCGGCGATAGCGGAAGAACACCGTATTTGGGAAACTAAACTAAAAACTGAACTCTTATATCCCATCCGATTTGGACCACCATGTGGTTTGCCTGCGGTATACGGTGAAGTTTGTATTATGTAAGTTCTGTGTAATAGTAATATTTAAGATACTTTCACAATTACCCCGGCCGGAGGCAGTTTGAGTAGCTTCAAAACTCGTATCGCGGCATGCGCGTGAGTAATTCTCTTTAGGTTATCCCGGAATTCCTGCAATTTTTTTATCTGATAGCGTTGAATTTTTACAAAGATCCCGATTAGAAAACCGATACGTAGGTATAACATCGTCTATATGTGATGCAGGGGATGTACTGACGAAATCCGGAATGCGAAATGAGAAACGCTTAGAAAAGTAACTATAATAAGTATCTCTGATGAGAAACGATAAAATAAGTAAGTGCCTGAAATGTTTACATACAGGTCGATCGCACCAAGTGTGGGCAGTAACAAAAAATTCTCCTTTGCTACCATTGAACCCGAAAATTTTTTTGTTATTTTTATAACTTTTTTAGTCATATTTCTGCGGTAGAAGTTTATACGCAAGGAACGGTAGCCGAATTTTTACTTTCATTTTCCCAAAAAAACGCACTGCTTATTAAGAAATATCCATGCTCAGTCTATAATTTTTTAAAAATTCTGGATACGTGAGAACTACCGAACAATAATCTGGTTTTCTAATAGTCCTTTTCTAACTTCCTTTGAATCACAAACACCTGGCTAGCCACGATCCCTACTCTAGGCAACCACATCCTTCGGATGGAATCTTTTAACATACAAGTCTATGAGAGCAACTTCTTGTTTTGAACTCACTACTGGCACTAATCGCGCAAAAATCTTTTGGTAACCCTTAACGAATGCCTTTAAGGCCACTCAATGGTTAACAATAAGTTCACAAAAAAACATCAAATACTGAATTTTTGAGAGGGGCGGTTATAATCGTTGAAAAACTGGCCCATACCCTCTCCTATTAAGCCCCGCCCTACGCGTTCCAGGCGCATCAACGGATCTCAGTTTTTACATCACTGGATCCGCAATAAAAAGTTGCACTAACAAAGATGAAAGTGAACAACAGAATTGTTTACAGGATTATTTTTTAAATTATTTTACTCAACTGCCCACACTTGGTGCGATCGACCTGTATTATAAGCATTCATAAAAAGCACATTCCCGGAACAACTTATTTCTTTACAGCAAATACAAAAGTTGTACAATGGCACTTTTTGTGTCAAAGCATCAGTGTTTTTTTCGCTTTGCGAGTGATGCTACCCGTTAGTGCATATACCGTATAACTGCATATACAAAATTCTTTATTAATATGAATAAAAAAAGGATTTGTTTTGTATCAGGGTAGTCGATTGACTCCTGTCGAATCCAAAAAATCTTGTCTGAAACCTGGTGAACCACAACGTTCCCTAACAGCGTACTAAACATTTTAATGCCACGAGGAAGCGACGATTTGAAACCTTTATAATTATTGTTTTTTGGCAGTAGAATAAATGTGAACATCTGAAGTAGTAATGCATTGTTTCTAAAACAGTTGTGCCTTGTATCAGAGACAACGATTAAACGGCCTAGCAATAACGAATTTTTCAACCGAATTTCATGTAGACACACCCCTAGTAACTATATTTCGGGAGTTTTGATTTTGTTCGAATACTAACAACGTGATTCACAATAACCAACCTACAGCACTGATTTCACATTCCACATTATGTAATTTTCTAGTTGCCTTTTTTTACGCCTACGTTTTTTGGGAGGCATGTGTCATATAATAAAATTGATCATCCCTGCCCAAATATTTTTATGAAAGGTAAAAGCTCCTGTTGTACAATTAAGTTCCTTAAAAATCCCGCCAGCTGCTTAAGGCAGCGCAAGCTGTTTCCTTAAAGGATGCACCACCAATCTTTGTGTTCATTATATTGTATGTTTACCAAAGTCTCGATTTTCCTAACCTCGATAATTATACTTTACTTCACGTCATTTACTGTAGCTTATTCTACGATTTTGGGCAAATTTTTCAAAATTTACTTGCTCGTTAAAACTTAGGACCATTGTAAAATCTGATATTATTTTGTGCTCGTTAAACAATATTAAAATAATTTTGCTTCTTAATCGACATCTTTTCGATGAGCAAATTTATTTCCGTATACAGACAAAATAGTAATAACATTGCAATGTTCCACCGATTTGTGAATTTATACTCGTATTACTCGTCAAACCGTTTATTTGGAATGGAGGCCAAGTCTGGTCGATCCCGTACCGTAGTGCCAAAACCTAAGGGCCAAAGTTAAATTAATGACGGTTTGCTGTACTGCCAGTCTACCACTTATCACTAATCTTGGCATTTAACTTATCGTTAATAACCGATGCCATTGCGACACCTGTGGCGTTAACGCCTGTCGTGGTGCGACCGTAAAGTCTATGAATCGTACCGCTGGTCAAATCAACCTTACCTTTTAAAATTTGTTTAACTCTCTTAGCAAAGAGATTCATTTATCAGATGCGGTATTTATTTGACAAAACATTCCAGCAATGGCATTAACAAACAATCCTGACATCAGTTTTCCAACGAAAGTCCTAGTCATTCCAAGGTTAGTAAGTACGTTAAGAAAATGCGTTTGACAGCATTTGTTACACAACGCTCCATGGCATTTATGACCTTTCGCCCAAACATGTTCCGAAATCAAACTTGTAAAGCTGGTGGTTAGAAAACAATGTACAATCTATCGGAAAGGACGTTCACTTCATTCTTGTACATGTTTGTATCATGCACAAAGAAAATTAGGCGCACGGATTAACGTCCACAGTCGTCACTAGACCTCTTCCTTTAGGTACGGAAACAACGAGCGCCTTATTCCTGGCAAACATAGGACGGCCTGCACCGGCATTATCACCACGAAATTGCAGGTCAACCTGTATCAGAGTAGCAAGTTTCAGCATAATGCAGAGCCAGTCTGCCAGACGAGGCGTGACACGCAGCGCCGGCGTACGCGTCGAATAAGCACAGCTATAACCCGCGCTGGTTTCTTTTGCTTACATTAAAATAATACGTGGTGTATAAACCGGTGAAGATACGGGTTTCTTCCGTCTGATAAGTTTTAAAAATCACTTTTTGAAAGCTCATGCCGCATTTGGCCGCTGGGGCCGGGCTGTTTTTCTGCGGGGTCATCATTGCATCCTGAAAATAATGCTCAAAAAAATCAGTTTGAATGCATAACGGAAAACTAAAGAAGCTACTGCAAATATATAAAGCATTGTTCGAAGAGCGCGCACAACGGCCAACGGAATGCATAAAAAGTGCGATGAATTTACCTGGCCAATCTTCTCCGTCTGCTTATCAACTGGCCGAGAAGCAGATCTGGCGGCGTATGCCACACACAGACATCCCAGGAAAATAATCAAAAATTTACCGTCCATTCTAACTAATAGTGCACGATCGTCGAAGTATAGTTAACGCTAATATTAACCTGATCGACAACGGAATTTTGAAATAAAATGAAAACCTGAACTTTATATCCCGTCAAATTTGGACCGATGTGTGTTCCGCCTGCGGTATGCCGTAAAATCATGACTGCAACGTCCGGTTGCATTAACTTTATTCTGGTGCCTGGGAACGTGTAATTATGTACAAGTTCTATGCGATAATAATATAAAGTAATCCTACAGCCTGGGAGGCAGTTTTAATAGATTGCCTAGCGCGGATTCGCGATATGTCCATGAATAGAATAATTTCACCGCATTTCTTCGAATTTGTCGAAAATCTCTTTCTTATCTAATGACTTTGGCTTTTTGGATGACGAATGATTAACGTGGTTAATCATAGTTTATTGTGGGTGAATATTCATCCCATTTCTTGTTTATGGCTGTTTGTCAGCTTTCAGTGGTTGCTTTGTTTCCTGAGAGATTGATATTCTGAGGGTTTCTGCGCTGCTGAAGTGTTGGTGTGTTCGTTTGAAATCATTTCTGCGTTTGGACAGTGAATTTTTTTCCCTTCCGCCCTTTCCCTCTGCATTGACTTTGTTTTCGAATGTTTTTCTGCCGCATCTGTTGTGGTGGTATCCATCATGTTGTTGTATGTTCAGTAAAAGGGGGCTGACGGGCCTTTGCCCAAATCACAAATGTCTTCCAGTTCCGGCAACACCACGCTATGTTTGTTCGTTTAAACACCCACTATTAACTGTAGTTTTCATTTACAAATAGTGTACAGCGTAACATGTACGTAAGAAAATTTAAAATGCTTTCGTCGTTTAACGCGGCTGGCATCGCCCGGTGCGGTTGTGCTATTAAGATTTTACCTATATTCTGTTTGAGAGACATAGTAATGGATAATACGCATAACTATTTCTGATTTTAATACCTAGCGATGTACTAAAATGCTACACCGGCTTCTTGCCCCACAATCAAAAAATGTGTTATGCACAAACTGTATGGAGATGGATACACGTATCTTTATGCTCGTATTAAGGGAAGTGGGCCGGTATATAGTACCAAATTCGTGTACAGGCACGAAAACTTTCACTTTCGCGCACTCCCAAACACATTTTTGTTTCGGTTTGTGACATTCTATAGTCAGAAGATTTGTATACACTGGCGTGAAAACCGTTTGTGCGCGCAACATCCGGTTCGGGAGCTATGGCTGTTAGAAAATTCCAAAAAGTTTAAATGCATTCAGGTGTACCAAAAGTCTGATTATGGACCGATCTCCCTCAGATTTTGCATATAAATGCGCATGTCTATGAAGATCGTTTTTACACCGATCCAGACTTCAATGATTTTTTTCAAATTTTAAAATAAATTTTAAAATTTTTGAAATTCATTTTAAAATTTGAAAAACATGCTAGAACAGTGGATCGGTGTAAAAACGATCTTCGTGATTATGTGCATTTACGTGCAAAATTTGAGGGAGATCGGTCCATAATGAGACTTTTGGTACACCTGAACGCATTTAAACTTTTTGGATTTTCTAACAGCCATAACTCCCGAACCGGATGTTGCGCGCACAAACGGTTTTCACGCCAGTGTATACAAACCTTCTGGCTGTAGAATGTCCTAAACCGAAACAAAAATGTGTTTGGGAGTGCGCGAAAGTGAAAGTTTTCGTGCATGTATACGAATTTGGCACCATGTACCGGCCCACTTCCCTTAAGTGTAATGGACAGGAGTTTAAATCACTGGTTAAACTGAGGCTGTTTAAGTACCGTTTGTGTCATCCAATACCGGCGAAAGAGTTTCACTTCGGAAGATCCAGCGGTGTGTACAAGACGATGAATTTCGTTTTAACATTACCGTCAGATTTGACTTGGTTTTTCTGTTTGAATTTTCGCACATACGTACGGTTTTCGGAAAAAGTAAATTACACTGTACATAACAATTAAAAATATCAGCGTTGTACAAGTATTAGTACGAAACTGAAGCAGTATGCATTAACTGGCACGCACTGCGTACCTTCCGGCGTAGTCTCGCACATCTGCTCCAAATCTTCTCCTCGTGAATGATCTACTTACGATTTACGAGTACATTACGATGTGATGCGCTTTGCCTGAATTCTGCAAGACTTTTTCATAGTGTATTAAGTATTGTTATCATTGCACGGTTTCCGACGGTAAGCCATGGAAGCGCATTAAAATTAAACCACCTGTTGATACACTAGCATAAGGACGTAAAAAGCAATGATCTATTATATGGTTTTATATTTTAATCAACCGCTCGACCTTTTTCTACGATGCATACTTCCATTGCATAATGGCCAGCTATACGATGAATAATGTCGCTGTACGCGACGCACCCCGGAGATCATACGATTAATCCTTCGAAATTCCGCATCCTACCGAGTTACCAGAGCGTTATACTGGACAGTATGTACCGGCGGCGTCGGTATCGGTTTCAGTCGTACCTGCAGCTATGTATTCTTATTTTATCTGGAGTTTGTTCGGTTTTATTCGTTATTTTTGGACTGGCCGCTGTTAAGCACCCGGCACCTTTGCGAATACAAAATCCTATTGACCCGGTTACGGAGCCATTACCGGTCAGACGCAGCCGATCGCGATCCGTTGCGCAGCCGGTAGCAATTAACGAAACCTTCATGAAGGTGCATCTACTGATCGGTAATGAAATCGCACAATATTTTATTCAAAAGAGACTTCCGGCTTGGCACAAGCTCAAGGAAGACAAGTTAGACTTCCGATTTGTAGCGGAAGTTGTGGCGAAACAGTATAGTATCATGCCCGAAGCCTGTGAAATCAACGGCAAGGAGGTGTTTGCCATTGTTATTGTGGTTACACGACCGGAAGCGTTTCGCTACCGCGTGGCTATTCGCGAAACATGGGGATCGCTGGCTGAAATCCAATGTGGTGTGAGGTACGAAAACTGCATGAGTACTGCTCATGCTCTTAATATATGCATGATTATTCTTATAAAATTAATAAATAATTAGGTAAATAAGCTGCTAATAATACTCGTATAATTACGCTTGTTCGATGTTAAACATTTCTGCGATCGCGATTCGCATTAGTCCATAATTAATACAGTGTCTTCAGCGCTTTTTTAAGCAATTATTATTATTATCGAACCAACAGTAGCCAAACTCCACTTGGGAGACTTTTAAGGCTATTGGAATTTATTTTTGGTATTTTTTATGATGCGACTACTTATCGTGATTATACCAGCTCGTAACCCTCCAAATTTTATTTAATACTTAATTTATTAGGTGTTTGAAAAATTAATGTTATGGGTTACACGATGGTAACAGTTTTACATAGTAATATGGGTATAATCTGTGAAGTGACGTTGTCCGTGGAGCATGCAGAATGTAACTTGCTTCCTCGCCGACTTAACTACAGCAGCAATTATCGTTTTCTTTTTTGTAGATTAATTTTTATGATCGCGAAAATCGCCAGCTCAACCATTCAATACCGCATCGGTCTCGAATCCGAAAAATTCCACGACATCGTTCAGTCCAACCGGTTCTACGACAACTACCGCGCTCAGTCTCTCAAATCCATCCACGCCCTCCAATGGGTAGCGGCTTTCTGCCCAAACTCCACCTTTACCGTTAAAATTGACGATGACAACTGGTTGAACCTGCCCCGGTACCTCCGCTACCTGCGCTCCCAACCGGCCGACGACCCTTTGGTCCACGGCGGAATTTTCAGGGGTGGAGTCACGGCGTTGCGCAATCCCGAGGAGAAGAACTCTGTGCCGCGGGAGGATTATCCACCGGATGAGTATCCGGAATACTTAACTGGCATGCTCTATGCGCTACCGACAAGATATGTCGGCAAAGTCGTGTACTTGGCCAACCGACTGAATGCCGGCTTGAACGAGGATATGTATATTAATGGGATTGTCACGGTAGCAGCCGGGTTGGAGCGCAAGGACGTAGAGGGATATGCGTGGCGAGTGGAAAAGGATAAATGTCAGAAAAAGGAAATGTGTGTGCATTATTCGTCGGTGGAGGATATGTACCGCATGTGGAATGATACGTGTGATTCTTACCAAAAATTATGTTGATGTGGAAATTATGACGTTAATTTCGCAAGGTTTCGTTTCGTAAGATATTTTCACAACTGTGATTCTGGATTTGAATTTTGTGATTTTATTATTGCTTCTTTATAAAGACTGAAAAATAAATTATCTGCAGCGTAAAAAGTACTTTCCAAAACGGAGACTGCTTTAATATATAATCGAGCACCTATACACATCTAAACGAGTGCCAAAATATTTGAGCAGATGAACTAGTACTTACCTACGTTAATTTGTACGATTTAATATCTACCGTTTTTCTAAATGCGTACTATTGTCGACTATGGTTAATGTTTGGCCGGCGGCTGTCGGTCAGCGTATACGTACTTAATGTATCGCCCTCTTGTCCGCGATATTCTAGCATTGCTGCATGCTGGTGTCGATCGCAGAAAACAACTTCCGCGTCTGGCACTTCTCTACGAAGCAATCTTTGTAGTTATGGCAGGAATTAGAATTTAGTTTCAAAACGTTTCTTGTGTAATTCACTCTCACTTGTTGTTTGTTACGTGTCACTTTTGTAATGGTAAAATCTTATCTCGAAAAATCTACTTGTATTGCTGCGAAGATGCAGATTTTTTAGAGTAAAGGCTAGTTTGCATTTTGAATTTTTTTATGGCAGGTTTTTAAACTGCCACTTCAGTTAGTACTCGTATTGATACTTAGTGGTCCCTGAAAACTTATGCTAGGCCCCGGTGCATGCTCTTCCCGCATCCTCGCTGGACATTCCACGTACCGAACTTTGCAAGATGATCATAACGTCAAAACGTTACCTGTTGGCCATTGCAACAGCCGTAGTATTTGGTAGTTTAGGCTTGTTGCTGGGATCGCTGACGTTTTCGCGCATACTGGTTCCCATCGATCAGACCGATTTTCCCGCGTGGGAACGAGAAATTGCCGGATTGGATAACAAAGTCTCCGGACTCTTGGTGAACATATCTGCACTGAACAGCTCGGATATTTTTATTTGAACTAGGTATATAAGTATATATATGGCTGAGAGGCGCTACCAGAGTAGTGGTCCATATTCCTGAAAGTTCCGGACGGAAACACTCGGAAGAATCTCAATGGCCATGGATGATCTGGTTATGCACAATTCTGCACTGCACACTGATGCAGCATCCTTCTAACAGAAATTCAGAAGGTGAAAATTTTTCGCCTTGCAAACGTGCACAAGGCATCAGAGCTATCCGGTGTATTGGATAGTGATATCACAAGCCATTCGGCTGCACCGGAAACAATACAGCGCACTGTACTGTACAACGTTTTCTCAGATGGATCTCAATATTAGCTTTTATCATGGCATTTCGCAATGGGCACTCCATTATTACATTTGTATTACCTTATTTATTAAGTATCTTGACGAACGACGAGCTTGTTGCAAAAGCTCTTAAGTTTTTACTTTGTTTTTTATTGCAGTTTATTTTTCTGGCATTTGCACATAGTTATGCCGATATGTATCGTGATACAATTTTATGCTATCGTGATACAGTTACTGTTTTTCTACAAGATAGAGCTCTAATTACCTCGCAGAGTAGTTCAGTGTTTTGACGTGTTTTGATATTTTTTGTGAACGTGACGTATTCTAGAACCTAGATCATTAGCCGGTTAACCGGCACAGTTGCATGCACAAATGCTACGTTTAAAAACGAGACTTCTACGTACAGTAAAAAAGCCGATGCCCACTCGGTCTCTTATACAGCAGTTATTCATTTTTTGATTAATGCAATCCGAATTAGAGTACATTTCGTTCATGCAGAATAATGTTAGGCAAAAACCACAAAGGAAATCAACAACAAAATAAATGCGGTTTTTGACAGTGGGAAGTGCTTTGCTATGCATCCATAAATAAAACTAGACTGCTGAAAGTAGTATAGTGATTTTAACAACCTTTTAACCCAATCTTATGCGTATACAATTCGTGGCGTAACAAGCAAGTAGTCCATCTTTTTGCCGGCTAATCCCCTCTTCCTCCGTAACTTCTTCCGCCATAGTACGGCATTCCCATTCCCATATAAGAGGGTCTGCAAAGATGTTCAACAATGTACACTGTGGTTATGCTACCTGTTATTAATTTTAGCCATACTGCAATTTTCAAGGTAACCGTGTCTTTAAAACGGATTCCTGTATTTATCGCTTTTTGGATAAACCAAATTAATTAAAAATTAATATTATAATTTAACAAACGGTGCTTGTACAACAGCAATAACAAAAGAGAGGATTTTGATCTGTGGTGCCTTTAGTTCTATGAAAAAAAATCAGTTTGCTGCATTTTTATGCGTCTTTGAATACTAGTATGTACAGAAGAATGAACATGTGCTAGACCGGGTATACATAACCGCTATAGATATTTTGGTAATCGCACGAAAAAATGCGTGGCAGTACTAACATGCGTACGTAAATAATTATATAAGTTAGTTGTAACGTAAGCCATTCATTATTGTTACAAGCTAGTTTTTATCGGTCATGAGCCGACACCGACGTTGGACCAAAATCCTGTAAAAGGTCATTCTTACTGCGACAAAAGCGGAGCGAGTGCGGCCAAGGCAGCCGTATTGCTGGTGCCAGTACTCTGGCGTCCCGTGAGTGATCCCAACATGAGGCTGGTTAAAAGGGCATTGTTAGCACCGCCGCCGTATCCTCCGTATCCATATGGCGACGGGTAACCGTATCCGCCATAACCATACCCATAACCGTCACCGTCCCGTTTGACCCTCTGCAGTTTGCCAAACAAGGAACCGTCCACCGCCAGCACACACAGCACAGCTGCTAATAAAATTCTAGCCAGCATTCTTTTTCCGGGCTATAACACTATTGTTAACGTTAGAATAATATCGGACTGTGTTATGCAAGCCGAAGAATTGACCGTTTCCTTGTTAGGCGAGTGAAATTACAAAATAACCGGGCAAAATGGGAATCGCTGTCTGAGATAATCGAGACAACTGGCACGGGCGTCCGTCAGCTGATTGAAGTGGGCGCTTGACGCAGACCGTCCCGAACCGGGTTTTTGACAGGTTCGTATACTAGGAAACAATTGTGTCAATTTCTCACTTCATCACGTTGGCAGCGAAATTTGCATGGGACAGCGTTTTTGGTGCGAATCATGACGAGATATGCATTACAAGGCACAAATAAAACGCCGGTGTTTTGTAAAATAGTAAGTAACGAAAATTATGGCGAAGGTATATATGATTCTACTACTTTGTATGTTTTGCTACCACGGTCACGTCAACTATTTACGTCAACTATTTTACAAGTACTTGCTTAGGTATGCGTTAGCATGTTCATATTATAACAATATTATGCATTACGTCATAAATCCCAGAAAACCTGAGAGCTCATGTTGCAGACACGTGAAGCTAGAGCGTCCTTGACTTTTATCGTCAGAATTCCAGTATAAGTTAATTCGACATAGTGTGTACCGAATTCCCAACCATGTAACCTTATATCGATTATGTCAGGGATCAACACATATATTACGATCTGTTAATACTGTATGAATAAATAAAACGCAGCATTACTGTGCGACTGATGTAAGGGTTAGTGAATCTTACACATAATCCACTGACGTCTCGATTTACTCGTACTTTGATTTCGAAGTAAGCGAGGTAACCGCACTTAATTTTTTTCGCCAATGGATGCAAATTTGCAAAACTTTTATGAAAAAATTAATAGTCGGCTAGTTCCGATTAATAGTTAGTGTCTCTACATGCACGGTACAATAATACGTTTTCTTCAAATATATTTTACCTTTAATTTTTCATATCTGCATACAAAAAGTGTTGAAGTAGCTTCGGCAAGAATCACTTATTAATGTAAGTACGCTGGATAAGCTAACATTGCAATTTAATGTGCGCTAACGCTGAATGCAGTAATTTACAAAGCAAAGCCCCAGATCCGCTAACGTCAACGGCATCCCTGCACATTGTTGCGGCCTGCGGCTGTAAAACAAAACCACGTAAACTCCCATAACCGCTCAACTGCAAAAGCGCCGCAGCGCGTATGCAAACTAAAATTCGATATCGAAGGAAAAATCTGCATTATTAATAAGCGCATAAATCAAAGAACTACGGTACAATCCAGCTTTTTCAGCCGGTGTTCAATTTAAGGCCATCACAAGGGTTTTTCTTGACAACTGGAGGTTTGAAGTTCTGAAAACTATCCCCTCCACTTGGTTTGAAGGCGTCCAGTTCCCTGTTGCGTATCGTCCTGATCTTGACCGTACCGCCAACTTTTTGTGGAATAAATAAATCAACCTAACAGAAGATCTGGGCACAAGAGTGAAGCGCATTCTGCTGTACTTAGTACTGCAGTACCTACATCTATGCAACAAATCTAGCATCAGTTATATCGGTAGAGGCCGAATTCCATGCACGTTTATAGAGGCCGAATTCCATGAACGTGCATTTTAACATAATATAAAAACGTTAAAGCGCATTAAAAGAACAAATGCTGTTCGATGCCAGTAAATATTAATCGTTACCTTCATAACATAGAGCGTGCCGTCCTTCTGCTTTTCGGTTTGGTAGCTGTTGACCTGGAGGTTGACCAATGTACCGGGACTGACTCCGCAGTGCAGAGCCGGTGGTTTATTACTGGCATCCAGGCCGCCAACAAAGGCTTGCAGAGCGATCGTCCGGCTTTCGTTGTCCCCGGGTTTGCTGGGGGACAGCTTGGCCATAATGACCAGTGAGTTGCAAAAAACCAAAAGCACGAGGGTTGCGATCCGCGGCATCTCGAAATGCCGTATTAATTAATGTAACGAACTCAAGTGCGAACTGGCACCACGATATTGTAGAACTAGCTGTGATAGCAAGTGTCACACTATAAGTGTATAACCATCAAAATCAGCACTGAATTAACGTCGAGATTACTACGTTCTGAAAAAATATTGCAGGTTTATAGGTGTGATTATGTACAGATATTGATTTACTGAATGCTGAACAGCCGAGTGTATTTACGGCGTAATGGGACTGGCCACTCCATACCCAGCTAGGTTTGAATTTACAGCGGTACAAGAAGTATTCTTCTAAAAAAGCAGCTACAGGCTATTTTCAGAATTTTATTATTGTTTTGTTTGTGCAGCACAATGTAGTACTATATATACATAAGGGATGCGCACAGTGCAATCGTATCATAATGTAAGATTCGGTACTTTTCGCACAAACGAATGAAAAGAATGAAAGAAATATCGCATTGCCATGTCACATCCGTTAAGATATACAATGGTTAATACAGTATTAAATATTTTGCACTTAAAATTTACTGCATTGGATTTCGGACATCGCGCCAATAAGTGCTAGATGTAGTACTCGTACGTACATCCCGATGCATTGGCAGGGAACAATGGCGCTCGTATAATATTACTAGGGTCGGGAGATAGCAAAATAAGGCAGCTAACTGTAATAATTGTACAATTATAGCCGTGATCGAATACTGGCATATGTGGCATTCTTTAGAGAGAAAATAGATGGTGTGATCTCAAATACAATCAAGTTCTCAACGCTTTTGACGGATTATTTTCATTATGCGTGCATTTGCAATATAAATTTGCTTTTCCTAATACCACACCCCGCATTTTTATTACCATGCACTATCAAACCTCCACCCCCTACGCACTCGTACTTTAAAGGCTGGAGTGGATTATTAAAAACGGCACGCACTGTAATACGTTGCACATACAGTTGTAAGACAAATTGGCCATAAGTAGTTGTACCAGAAATCAGAAAATTTTACTATATATTTATTCCTTATCCTACAGTAAACTTTGTGATGATTAATTGTCGCAAGGATTCTTTTTCACAGTGGGTGATGCTCTTCCCTTGGGCTTGAACACTTCCATGGTTTTGCCACGGATTAATTCGGTTTTGTGGGAACCCGAGGGCGGCATTTCCAGGTCGACCTAAGAAGAAGTGCAATGTTATAAGTGAACGCCTTTGGTAGCAATAAGTGCAAGCGTTAGTGAGTGCAAAATATGTACTGTAATTCAGAAACTGGGTAAAACCTCACGCCTACTGCGGAGTAGGATAGAGAAAACAAACACCTGTATTATAACTTCTGTTTTGCAGTACGCAAGTGTAGTGCATGTATTGTTCTTGATCACTACCATTGAGAAAACATTGTTATCGGTAAAGAGCAGCAGATGGCTGGCAGCAAACCACAAAACTATAAATTATGGCTCCAAGAAATTTTGCACTACATGCCGTAAATGATCGAAGTCAACGTAACACCGGTGAAAACACGTTTTAAATACCTTCAGAATATAAAGGGTTCCTTCACGCTGAAGTTCTCTTTGGTAACTCTTAACAATGACTTTTCCCTTGGCCATCCTGGCACCGCAGTGGGAATATTCAGGAAAGCACGAAGGAGGATTACATGATGGGTCAAAGAGGGCATCGTTGGCAACTTTGGTGCTTTCGGCATCGCCCGGCTTGGGATCCGAGCGGATGGCGAGGGCAACCGCAATACATACGCTAATCAATACTATGCTCTTTGCAAGCATTTTGCAAAGGTCAAGATGGGAGAGAGTGCTTAAGGATTGATGTAAAGTGTACAAGTTTTTTGGCTGGAAACTTAATGATATTGGTAATACTACATTCACGTTATGCAGGTTTTATAAGAGTTTCAACTCTAGAAACCGGTGATTCTGTCAGCAGACATTAATTAATTTCGAATGCCGCAAGCCTCCAAAAGCTTTGCACATCCGCGTATCGTCTCCGTTCGTATCAATAACAGCTTACTGAATTACCTGTTTCCTGAGCGCGTGGATTATTATTACCTTATCCTAGAAGGAAATACAAGAAATATGTACTCTGGCTTTACCAAAACTGATACTTGTGCTATTGGAAATTGAACTGCCAAAAGGGTTTTCTAAACCCTTTAGATGACTTATATCCGAGGTTAATGGTTTAATAGTGGTACTAAATCATTCTCTTCAGTACCTTAAAGCGATCATCGCCTTGTTTTGTTCAGTTATCTCGTTCGAAAACCTGTTAAAGCTCTCACGATTAACAGTCTTCTACAGATATCACCAATCACCATGATTAACGAGCATTAATTATTATTTTGGCAGTGAAAATGCGGCTGTGGGAGCGCCTTCAGTTTTTATTACATTAATATACTCATATTATTTTTCATTTATATTAGCTCCGCTAATGGAATATTGGAAACGTTTCTACTAAAAAAAAGGTGTTAGAACTCTATGCATGCAATATTAATTAATAATTTCAAAAATGGAGCAACTGCATGAGGCAGTCGTAAATTAATTTTGTGACGGGGTATTACAAGTGTAGTAATGCTGTGATCACTGACAAGAAATTCGTTCTCCTCGTTATGACAGCGAAATTAGCGTTCGTATTAAAATCCTTTAAATAATTCAGTTTTTATGCACCCCTTAACCCCTAACTGAAAGCAGAGATAAAAGAAATAATTTTTGAGTTGATTTTCCTGTCGTACTGATGGTGAGTAGTAAGTACTACCGACTCTATATATGCAAGTGCGGCAAGAAACAATTTTTTATGGGGGACTTTGGTTTGTATAAGTACAGAGTACACAGTTAAGCGATCTAACATACTCATAAATCATCATAACGACCACGGCAATGCCAACAACAATTAACGGTAATAACAGCTTGCGTACTAAAACAATGCATATAACATAACAATCTGGAAGAAGGGCCGGGGTATGTCAATATAGCGGTTCCAAAAGCATTTGGTTCTATCAGTTACCGGTCTCCACGGTATCGGTAATAGCCACCACTACAACACATGGAAAAGAGTTTCTTGCACCAATTTTCTATAATATATCCCCGCATACTGGAAATATTACTACGTACTAGTAAGGACCGCCAAATCCCATATACCCTCCGAAACCTCCGAAAGGTACAGCACCGTAGGATGGACGATATCCCCACGAGCCACCACCATAGTCCCGTTTGGCTCCTATGTGTGATGAAAAAGTGCAGCACCGAATAAAATGCACGAAGCGGCGAAACGGCCACATTCACAAAAGTATTCTGCATGGCGCTACCATTATTAAAAGATACTCACGTAAAAGTTCAGCCTCTTCCGCTCGGTTTATTATCTGCAAATAAGACTGCAATAACAACAAACGAAACAATAACTATCTGTACTTCTACAGTGGCTGCTGCATTCGTATTTATAAAAACATTCTCTTGAACTCCCTTTGCCCGGTCATTTTTGACGTTGGTCATATATTGCGGTAAAAATGTACAAAGAAATGTGGAAAGAATAATTTGGTTTTCCAGAAAATATTCCTGACTACTCTGCGCAGAGAAATAGATTTAATTTTGTTACTTATACGTACAGTATCTCGTAAGATTCACAAAAACCAATCTTGATTTAGATCTGAGGATGCTGTTACAGTTTTCTGGTATAAACAACAAGTAAACTTAAAGAATACCGAATGACACGATTCTTTTTTATTTACTTGTACTGCCCAACGGAAAATATAGTTCTTCTGACAATTGACACTACTTACCGAAGCAAAGGCCACGCCACAAAGTACCAACAGCAATAATAAGATAGTTCCTTTCTGAATCATCTTTGCAGTTTCAGATTAACCGCTACTTCGCGATCGTAAAGGAGAGACAAATGCTAAATCAAAGGTCACACGGTTATACACTTTGCTCGTGTCTTATACTTTGAAGGCCGTTGACAAATTGAACGGAAACGTGCCATTCATTAGGCTATTTATGGGAGCATGTTAGGAATTTGCATTTGATTACGAAATTTTTGTGGGTTATACAAATTTCTGGCGCATAAAATTTCAGTGTCAGCGTGTAGCAAACACTTGTGAGTGGACCAATGTGTATGCGACCAATGTGTATCACTTGACATTAGCGAGTTTTTCCAAAACTGTCATGTAACGTTTGCGTATTTCAGCAGTTACGAGCACTTTCTGAAGTTAGAATTATTTTGCAGTGCACTTCTTTCACCCACAAGAAAGATGTTAAGTAGCGATCAATGATAAACATTTTTGCGTTTAAATACAGTATTTAGACTATGATAAGACATAATGAATAAGTGTCTTTTGCTTTGTATCCGGCAGTATATGGAGCAACAATGTAAGATAGTATATACTTTATATCAACCTTTGTATGCTGTTATGCGGCAAAAAACCCCTATTACAAATTAGGGGAAACGGCACGCATAACCTATTTTTTTTCGAAAGTTTTGTATAGTTTTTGGAAATTATAGTGGTTATGAGTATTTATAGAAGACAGTTTATAGTATTTATAGAAGACAGTAAAATTCAAATATCTAATACAAATATAAACATAAATCAGGATGACGTTGTCGGGAGATCAAGGATGATTGGTTGGAATATTGGCACATTTCCGTCGAAAACGCCGAATATTTGGTAATCACACAAGCAACTGGCGAAGTTAAGGCAGTCTAATCGAAAGCGTGCTGCACGGTGCGAGCGATGGTCAAGACTGGAGCGATGGTCAAGATCGACTGGTAGCGAACGAACAATTCTGTAACAATTTTTAACAAGAACAATTTATGGAACAATTTAAAAAATTTAAATATCAATTAAAAATAATTCCAGGATAAAATTTCAGTATAATTTCAGTGTTTCGATTTAAAGTATTTTCAGTTTTCGCAGTGAATACGATAAAGTACAGATGTATAGTATACGCGTATACTAGGAAAATGCGCTATTCGTGCATTGGTAGACCGGAGCACAGCTAATAAGAGGTAGAAATAAATCAAGTTTAATGTTGGATAGTAGTTTTTTTTAGTTTTCATTCTGGTAAGCAGTTAGTATGGGAATTCGATAAAGTATGTATAATATAGGAAAACCCACTTCGAATCCTGGAATACGGTTGCTTATAGACAGCAATGTGAGCACAAAGCGAATTTCGCTTCATACTGCGTACTGCGAAAGTGCAGTAATACGAAAAATAAATAATTTATATCGTTTTCCTTGAAAGCTTTTATCCGCGACAGTACTACAGCACAATATACCTTGGACATACAAACTCCCCATTTAAACAAAAGTTGTATTATTAGTGCGGAGAACGAAAACAAACTTTATAAACCAAGTCAGTTACGTACATTAATTGTGTATTACGCATCGTCTAAATGAACTTGGAGTAGACTTCAGCGCCCAGAACGCTCCCTACAGCTTCCTGTCAAAAAATACAGTAGATTTTGTTGATACCGGCAAAACGGAGCATTTCGCACCGCTCCTAAAAGGATGTTCACATGCGTAGATTATCTTTAAGATCATCTGTAGGATGTACATTGAATTTATGATGACTGTATGTATACATACACAGTTACAAACTGTAAAATCGCCACCCCGGTTTCCGTTAAGTTGGATAAAATTATCTCATCCGATGAAATCATATCGATTGCTCATAATGCAAACTTCAAAGGCCAAGGCCGGTAATCTTCGCCACTTGCCGTGCACGTGCGCTTTATCGACCGAGCCGGCGAATTGACATGCACGGAGCGCGCGCCGGTATAAAATAACCGCAAAACCCGTTCTGCAACTTGACGAGTATGCAGTAGTAATGTAATACGGTCTGCATCCCGCATTTTAATCTACCCTACTGTCTACTTACTTTGCATGCCTTGCAGTTGTCTTCGAGGTTGGAAAAATTCAGGAAATCTATCATTTTTGTGAAGTTGCCTCTGATTTTGAGTTGGTACTACGTACTGATATTCTAAATTTGATAAGAATTCTACGCCAGAATCATGCCAGCCACGAATACTGCCGCTTGGATCAAGGAGGGCGGATTTTTCAGCTTGGCCGATGTCAGCCCCGTTCGCACATGGAACTACGAGCTGCCTACCTTGGTATATGAAAACCGCTTCACCAACCGGGAAGCCTGGCGAAAATCTCAAACCTTCTGGGACAAATTCATCGAGCTGGTGCCCGCCTTTGAAGGTGTCAGCCTGGAGGGTGTCGCCATCGTGGGTGGTTGCGTTGTCGACTTGCTGTTGGACAACAGACCCAACGACATCGATTTGTTCCTCGTCCTGGAGGATTCAGTCCCCAATAAAGGGGCTGTCTTAGCCGAGCGGGTACGACAGTTCGTCGAGGATCTCTTAACCTGGATGAAAGGGAAGAACGAGGAGAAGGATAAGATGAAGAAAAAAGGCAAAGCGGACGACGGGACAACACGGTATAATCTGAACGATCTGACGGTGACGCGCTACAAGAATGTCTACACCATTAAAGCGCAGTGCCTGCCGTACCCGGTACAGTTCACGTTCTGTCCACCGCTAGCCCAGCGTTTTAAAGAGACGGACATCAGTTGCACGGAAGCGGCATACTTCCGCAATGAAGTCATTTTTTCGGAGCGTGGCCGCCAAGGCATCGAGAGCCTGGTGTTTACCGTGGACGCCAAGAGCTCCTCGCCGAAATACATTGAACGGATCAAGAAGTATTTCGATAAAGGATTCGATATTGTCCTCCCGAATCTGGATGTCAGTAAAATCCCCACGCGAAATTTGAAGTTTGACGGCGGGGAGGAAGTGCTCGATCTGCCGTTTTTGAATGTCTGGATCAATAAGGTGGAGCAGAACAAAGTGTTCATCAACCGTTTAGAGCCGTCCAAGGATAACACGGACCGGCAAACGGATAGCAGCAGCGGGGCGTTCGGGAACTACAACAGTTCCAATATCACGGGTAGTTTGATCCATCAGAATATTCGGCGGATTATCCGCGGGCACATCGATGATCTCGTTTTCGAAGGGAAGGGGGAACTGTATGCCGATGCATTCTTCGTCGACCCGCTGATTCCGCCGCGCATGGTCAATAATACGTACGAGACTGTGCGCTCCAAGCTGTTCAAAAACGGCGCACTGGACTTTAGTGTCCTGGAGGACTATTTTACAGTGCGGCCGCTCAGTGATATTCTGGATGAAAGCATTCTGAAATTCCTCCGGGAAAACCATGCCAAACTGGCCGCCGATAAAGATAAGAAGTTGTTCGGGGAACAGTTCAATGCTTTCATGAAGGCGTATATCCAGCAGCTGATTACCGAGCAGGTGGAGGCAGCTAACCACCTGATCGCGGAAGCCAAAGGGAAAGGCAGTTTGGAGGACTATCATACCGTCGCCAAACCGGAAAAGGCCTGTACACCGGCGGAATGGTACGGTCCCTACTACAAAGCAAACTGAAAATGTTTGTCGTATGCAGATAGCGCTTTCATCTGTTTCATATTATGTGTAGCACATAGTGACACATACAAACGCCCCTTTTTTGGCTTTTATATTTTATTACAGTAATAAAATTTGTTCTTTTTAATTTTTGCGACTGCCACTCGCCATTATTTTAAATGGTGAATTGTCTGTGTGCGGATAAATTGTAGTTTATTTTATGCGCTGGCTTCGACTGCGAATTAAGCGAAGGAAGTAAAAAAACAATAAGTTTTTATGCGACGATCGCGTTTTGGAATTCAACTCTTCAACAATCTATTATAGAGTAGCTCACATATCAATCGGTGGTCCTGAAAATGAAAAATGTTTCAGCATACTACAACAGTGAATTAAGTATTTCAACATGTAACGTCCTTACCTCGTGTAAGCAGCCGAGAGTCCTGCTGTGGTCCTGCTGTGGAGGACAATAAATATTGCTGTTATATACTGCTATATTGTACATAATCGAATCAGTTCTATTTCTGTGTACCTACAGATAAATAATTAACAAACAATCATAATCATGATTTCGTCGGTACACGGTAGAGGCACACTGATCTTTTTTGTCCTGAGCATTTTCGTATAATAAAGTGTCAAAAGCTTATAATATGTTTTTCCATGACCATAAGTATCCAGTTCGAAATCGAGAAAAAAGCGTTCATGTTTACTTCATCCTGTACTTTCTGACCTTGACCAAGAATTGGGATGTCTCGTACAAGGAGTACTGGGAACGCCTAAATTAGCTTTCCTTTCAAAAAACAACGACAACGACGAGTTTACACGAAAGAATCATGTAATCAGGAAAGATTTACTGAAGCAAGTCGAAAACGTACCTGCAGAACTGGTGGTATCGCTTCGACTTCTGAGTTCCGTATTGGGAACTTGTAATAAAATTGATAGAGTATTTTCTTTAATGTCCCGTCTACGCCGTTTATCATCCCGAAGACACAAAGGTGGTTCCAAAAAATAACTTTTCCCGTCTTAATGCTTAATTTGCCATTAATCTTATTAGCGTGAGTGAGGTTGCTAGTATTCCATCCACGTCAGAGTAGAGCCAAAACAATTTATTTCCCTTGCAGACTAATCCATCCGGGTGAAACCTGCTGTTGACAGTAAATAATGGTTGGGTAATGCTCGGTAAACCACTAAAACCAGATGCTCTAATCATCAGAAGCAGCCATTATCACTACCAAACAGCATTGATTGATAACCATTTCCCTGGTTATCGTGGAGTTTGTATTCAAACTTAATTATTGTAATTAGGAAATGATGGATCGATCTGTTTTCTCTTTCCCCGATGCCGAAAGGATTACATAGAACACTACGATTTCGAGGCTAACGCTAGGTATATAAAGCTAAACTTTCAACTTCGTCCAATAATTATTTCCAGTTCTGTTTTCTATATATCGGCATATTTCCTCTGTGACCTCAAACCAGAATCAGTTTGTCATGGACATCAAGATTATGTTTATTCTGTTGGGATGTCTATGTGTGGCGTTTACAGCAAAGAAATCAGCTCCGAAGCCGGTTGACGAGAAAACGAAAAAAATTGCCACAGTAAGATATAACTGCCATTTTGGATTTTCCTCTATAATATTTTGTCCAATCTGAATTACTGCTGAAAAAGTGACCTTTGTTAACCCTTGTGGATTTTTTTTTACAGGACGCTTTCGCCTATTGGTCGGATGAAGTACCATTTCCACCACAGCAAAAATGCGGAATGAAGTTTCTTAAATTGGTTCCCAAAAGCTATCAGACGGAGGACGACGGTGACAAAACTACGTATTACTTTACTGTAAGAACAGTTATAAGTAACAACACCGAGCACAATAGACGTAATCTTGATGTTCGTTATGTGTAATCATCAAAATGTAATAGTACATACTTAATACTCTGATAACCGAAATGTACCGTAAAATCGCTAAATTTGTGTGTCAGGGGTGCGGTGTAGAGTTATCACTCGCTCCCAGGTAATGCCGGTACTGATATTAACACTATTTTGCAATGGGTAGGTGGACATCAAGTACAACGGCTATCCCGACGATAAGGGCAAACAGCTCGTTGTTTCCGTACCTAAGGCCAGGAGTGAAGTGGTGACCAACCCATGTGGAGATGCCGACTGACCGTTGGATGATTCGTAAGCCATAACAGCCCGAAAGCTTAATTCTCCATACTCTGCTTAAAATATACTGCTTAAAATATATATAAAGCATCTACAAGCTTGCTGTTTCTTTGCACCGCGGTGTAGGACTATCTGCATATAGGTAGGAAGACAGTTCGCTACTCTTTAGTTTTCGCCTTCTTTTACTGTGTGTTTTCGTTCTGATTGTAATCCTCATCGGACATTTCGTTGAATATTGTGGGATTAATGAGTCACCTAACAGGAATAAGAGCAACACAACTGCACTGAATAAAGTCGCAAATTAATGTTTCTGGCCTCAGAGCACCGCTGTAAATTGAAAGCAAACTTAAAAATCTGTTGCATATTCGCAGATTAAAAATACAAGATATTTTGTTCAAACAAATAAAGTTAACTAATAATAAGTTGCAGAATTGTAAGAAGAGTGCATTGTAGAATTGGAGGCGAATTCCAGTTATTCGGAAACTCCTACAAAATTGAACTGCAGTTAATTAGACCGTTTGGTTTTTTGTTTCATGAAAACTGGTTCTTTGGGGTTTGGATGACCAGTAAATCGGGTCAAATAAAATTCGAATGAAGTGTCGCCTGCACCTCTGCAATTTGTAAAGAAACCTTACTTGTTTAATAGCTAATGCTGAGTAGCTAATAACCGGCAATGAAAACGAATCAGACAGCAGAATCACAATAAACAAACTGTCCTCTGAATAATTATGTACAGTATGTATTTACAACTAATACATGATCAAGCGGTTTTAATCGGCAATAACTACCAAGATAATAAAGGTTGCAAGCGCCGCGCCGGTACACCACTTCAAAGTTTAAATTCAAACATACTTAAATTAAATCACACAAATAGAGCAAGTGCATCCGAACACTTCCTGTCAAATGTTCGGTTTATTTTAAAATTTTTAAACTCTCTCATTTTAAAATTACTCATTGAACGACGCTTTGCGCTCAATAAATCTTAAAATAGACTGCTTTGCTGGGATGGTTATCTGTGGCGTATGCTGCAACATCATCATCCAGGCCAAGGCATCGATAGCTCATATCAGCCTCCACTCTCATTCATTAATTTTCCTTTAATTGACACCCATTTTTCCAAAGATTTTTTTTTATCGAGACACCTGCGCCGAGAATTCCACCAATGTTCCAGTGGCGTGTCTTTCCAAAAGCTAATTCATAAGGCTTACAAAATGAAAGAAACTCGTGGGGAGAATTACACATCGCTGTAATGGAAAGAGAACGGCGCACGAATTATTGAAAGCAAAGTGTAATTGGTGCGATGTTATTTTTTTCGAACAGAAACTATTGTCAGTTAAGTTTGAGTTAATTAAAAAATATTACGCAGAACATAATCCCATGCTCTAATAAGTTTTAAATTAGTGTATCGCAAGTGGTGCACCGGTATTGTACAATAGGCTCCAGCTGCGTACGGCTACCCGGGACATTGGACTGTTGAAAATGTCTGTTTTTCTACAGTGGATCTGCACTATCGTGGAGTGAGCCTTGTGACCGTGCCGGCAATAACCGTCCACACATTACTATTATTACGGACAAGCAGCTCATTTCAGTACAGTATTTCCACACCACAGAGGAAGAGGCCAACCTACTGTTGGTGTAGTCCGCGTCAGTTTATCCAACGGTGGTAAGCTGTCGTTCTCGCGCAAATGCAGTTTTAGGAGAACGACAGTGACCTTTTCACTAAAGTAGACTGTACCACTTGTCAGTTTTGTTCGCAATACCAGAAGTTTTGTCAGTGAGACTTCATGCTTATCATCAAGAGAAATACGAATATTTAACTACCGGAAGACACAAGCTCGAGGAGCCATGCTCTCCAATATCGATGTATCAATTTAGATTGACTGCACAGCCACACGTGGGTATGGAATGCATCTGCAACTACAGTATAATCGAAGTGATCCACATCCAAGAAAGAAATCATTGGGATGTATCAAACAATCTGCATACCGTTACGTTATTTTACATATAGTTCTGTTAGTTAATTACTAACTACAAGTAGTTGAATCTTTTTGCGACGCTGCCCATTCTAATTAAGCTGAATAAAGTGCAATTGGTTAGTATCAGCTGGTGGATTGCTTTACTAAACGGGCACTGTTAATAATATTTTTTTAATAAATTTGGTACATCTTTACTGTTGTTTTTGAGTATCTATAGACCGAACCGAAAAAGCGCAGTCCTTCCGGTTAAGGTCAAACTCCATTGCAAATTCGAACTTTGCAGTATATAGCAATGTTGAAAAATTAAGGGAGTGTGTATCCTACAATCCCTCGCCTAGATTGTCCCAAACTTAAAATAAACTGCAGAGTAATTTATGCACACAATTAGTCAATTGATTCAGTTCTCCAATAACAATACAGGAACATTTGTTCGGTATGCATAGTCTAGCTTTCTAAGCCGCTAAACATTTCACTTCGACGTAATTTCGTATTTTCCGCCAGTCAATCATCTAAATTGATACTCTTTTGTTGTTATCGTGTAGCAAATGAAACAATCGTTGCATTCTCAAATGTTTAGCCGGACTGTAAGGAAAACAGCGATTGTAAAAAATAATGTCGTCGAACAACCGCGCCCGGTGCACCTGCTGTGCCGGCCACGGAAATGCATAAGTGCGTTCGCTCGGACATCCATTTCACACTCATGGAAAACCGTGTCATGATCAAGTTTACCGAAACGCCCTCATTAAACTTTTACACCGCTCATGCCGTTCGAAATCTTTTGCTCGGAATAGCCAACACATAACGATAAATTATTCATGTCATACAGTATCCAAAGAGATCGCACGGTTATGCCAGCATAAGAAAGCGGTTTTATTACGGAATTAGAAAATAATACTTTAGGTTTCAGTTCCCATTAAATTAGACCCTTTTAAACATCGTCAGAAAAAGGGATTAGATAAATAGTTACAAGCACGAGCAGGATGTCATTCATACAGCTGTTAGGCAAATCGCTTATCTGGCAACACTGTTTTCGTGACGCTTCGCTCGCTTCTCGTTTCCGTTGGACTGTACCGCACCGGTGACTTCCATTACGTAATTCGGTTCATCATCTAATAAAGGTGATCCCTCTTGATATAACCGGCTATTGGAGTAATCGTAGAATTGTTTGGTTTGCGCGCAGTCGATGTTGAACCACCAGTCACAAACTAACGTGATTTGATTGAATAACTGCAAAAACAATCTTTGACTTATTACGGCGACAATATTACGTTTTTGACACAATAGTTTTGATACAATGTACCGTTTCGTTTGGACAGAGGAAGCTGGTTAGGTTGCCGTTAATGTCGCATCGATGGAATAACTGGCAGCGACCGGTGTCCACATCGGCGTAGAAACCAGGCTGATGGAAGGATGCACAGTCAACGTGAACATCTTTCGGTACTTCGGCTAGCAAGGGGAAATCTTCGCCGGGTCGGACACTGTAGAAAAGTTCTTGAATTTCATCCACTTCCAGTTTGTGTTTTGTAGATCCGCCGCGCAGTTGGTCAAGCGCGCTGAAGACTTTCGGGTTTTGTTCGCTTGCCCGCTTAACCTGATAGCATATGCATAACGGTATAATATACTCTGTCAGCTTTTTGAATAAATTACTTTTAATATCAATATCGAGAGTAGCAATTATAACACTTCACTTAGTCAATAGGGCAGAACGTTTTGCAGCTTGACACCATATGAACGCTGTGATACCAGCCTAGTACGATATACAGGTACCTAGGTAGAAAAATTGGCAACAGAAGTGGAGAAAAATCAACCGGCATTGCTGCAATTATTGGTGTTACCAATAGCTACAGCACCATTATTATCGCTTCCCAGAAAAAAATTATCAGCATTACGAGATATTATTCAATTATGGAAATTAACTGACTAAACATTACCACCGATTCTTATAAAAAATTGTTATTAAAAATTAGTCAGTTTATTACAAAAGCATAACGAGTATCGTATAATTAGTATAAACACGAGCATCATCGCTTCTTACAAAAAACAGTACTTCTGTTTCAAAAAAATCTAACGAGTATAATCTTCTTATAAAAATCAATAGATTTATTGCAAAAATCTCTAGTAGAATCATTAACGTTAATATAAATCAGTGGTTTTAGAAACCCAATGGACATTTATCACATACCAACGTTTTGGCGGAGGCAACGCCCGCAATAATCAAACAAAGTCCGATAAGCCTCATTGTACGGATATATGGATATATCCCGGTATTGTGAAAGCTTATGTAAGGAAGTCGAAAAAGATAAAAATCACAGACTTTATAGAGGTGTTAAAAAAACAACTGACTGATCAAAAATGCGCGAAATATGGTTCTTGTTCGATTATGTAATGGAAGTAAGATAATTGTGCGTTAAGCAGCTGGATATTACATATGCGCGGTAAAAAAGCACTTTTATTTCAGCATGAATATCGTCTGAATGATCATTAACCTTTTTATGAGAGTCGATGCTAACGAGCAGCAGCTCAAAGGTATTGTTTAGGTAATGCGGTATAATAATCAACGATCGTTACATTTTTCTTTATTACACGGTTTATTGGCACAACAGCTATGAAGAATTTCCACGGCGCGGCGATAAATAACCACCCAACCTATCAATTATCTGCAACTGCGTAATCAAATATCTCCACCACCGTAAAATACGGGCAATTAAAATGCAAAAATTGAAATTAAATTTCTTTATTGAGTAATTAAGTCAAACGAGGCACTGCACGTGTAGTACAATAACTGGATTAGTGCAAGCTAATTCCCCTTAACCAAGTCGCGAAAGTTCATTAACACAGTTTATTTTTATTAGTTCTGTGTCATTGCTATGATTTGCCCTAATTCCAAGATCAATATTACTCGTTAACAATTAGTATTATGCAAAGCGGTTAGGAGCGGCATGGCCGCCTGCAACCATGCGCACTGAATTAGCAAAACGAAAACTTCCTTTGTACATGTACTGTCAATTTTAGTATCACAAAATTTAAACTCCAGTAATCCAGTTAATTCTGCTTAGCGATGAAGGTCATCTATTCAGCCTTGTTCTTCTTGCTGCCCTTTTTGCCGCCGCTCTTCTTGGCAGCCTTGGGAGCAGCATCGCCAGACGCAGCAGCGACGGCACCGGTGGAGGCCATGACGTAATCGGGTTCATCATCCAACAGCACGGCTCCCTCGACATACAGGCGGGAGTTGGTGTAGTCGTAGAAAGAGCGGGCTTGCGAGCAGTCAATGTTGAACCACCAATCGCAGATCAAGGTGATCTGGTTGAACAGCTGTAAATAAAAGGAACAAGACTGTGACATGGTAAGATGCGCGCGGTTATTTTCGAAGGTGTGAAAATTAACGGAGTATTGTGTAATCTTCTTACAACAGCACAAAAGTTTCTAATATCATAATACTCGTATAATAAGCCTTTAGGTACGTTTTGCAGGACTACATTCAACTTTTCACATAGACGTTCTTTGACGACATAATAAATTCCTCTTAGTACGGTATTGTTATTCTGATCTAAAATTTTCATTTTCAAGTATGCCGTGAATACTTTGAAGTGTACTCTGTTCATACGGATACTGAAGTTAACCGTAAAATGCACTCCTACTTGGTGTTAATTTCTTAATTTCTTTTGGTAAAATTATTAGCGAAAATCTAAAACTAATAAAATTAATAGGTTCAAAAGGATGCAGCAAAGTACGAATCAGTTTATTTTCGCAAAAAATAATTTTACACCGGTATGACCTCGGTCCTCGGTGCAAAACGAAAGTTGCCGGCAAACCCAGTCACTTACCGTCATGTTGGGGCACAGGTAGCTGGTCAAGTTTCCGTTGACGTCGCAACGATCGAAAGCCTGGCATTTGCCTTCGCCATCGTTAGCATAGAAACCTGGCTTGACTGAGGCACAGTCTACGTTGGCTTTGGGAATGGTGGCAATGAGAGGGAAATCTTGGCCGGGCTTGACATTCAACCACAATTCCTGGATCTGATCTACGCTCAAAGCCTTGTTGGCGCCTCCCCTGAGTTTGTCCAAGGCGGAGAAAACTTTGGGGTTCTGATCGCTAGCCCGTTTGTCCTGCAAATGACGAAGAGAATTTATTTACTGCGTCAGAAAATTTTAAATCGTTTCTACGCGTACCAGGGTGCGGGCACTGCAGACCACCACACAGAGGGCGAAAAAGATGGCGGATTTCATGGTACTTCGGTTTGGCGCGGGCTTTGGCTTGAAGATAGGAAAAAGTGCGGAAAGTGGCAAAAGATGATGTGATGCTCTTTGTCAAAACAACACAAACATTTTATATCACCCTTATGCTTTTCGAGTGGCGCCGAAGATGCACGGCGTTCGTCCATCGGTGGTCTGTTGGCATACATACACTGCACAGAGACACAGCGAAGTTGACCCGCGGACAGTGGCGCTATGCCGGTGTGCATACTGAACTGCCACTCTGAACGCCATGGAATTATGCTATTGCTCCACATAAAGATGCGCTAAAGAATATGAAAGCGCTAATTATCGGCCATGTTGTTTTTTCGGCTGTATGCGCTGTTGATCGAAGCCAGATGATCGGCGCAGGTGGTATAATAGAACGCGAAAGCGAAACTGGAGCAGCATATAATTTGTCGTGAACAAAGCGATCAGTGATTTTAATGGACTTGGCTTACCTGTGTAGATGTATCATGTTGAGTACATCTAAGCGTTGACTAATTATGCGCATATTAAAATTATTACGATCTCGATTCTCGACCTATCAGTGAGCGTTTTAGCACAAGATCAAGTGCGGAGACGTTTATGAGGATTTAATGTGCAGTTCCAAATAAATACCGTCGTATAGTGTGTTCTCAAGTTATGTCAAAATTTTTGATTTCGACAGATCTTCTAGTAATTTCCTTACATAAAATCTGGCAATGTTATTCAGAAAGCTAAGTGTAACAGAGAGTCTGTGCTTTTCGAATATTAGTTTTTGAACAATTTTCCAGTTCATGTATACATAACATGTTAGAACTCTTCATAATCGTTTTATAAGGCTAATCAAAATTCCATTTGTGCCGATTTCACGTAAAAGGTGCCCCAAACCACAGTGTACAGCAGAACAACGGCTCTTTGATACCGTGCCTGCACCAAATTTGCCTAACCTCGACGTCTCGTTTTACTCTTTTGTTGCAGATACAAAGTAGCTCTAACTTCACTAACATTTTATAAATAAAAGTAATTTTCACGTAAGGCCAAATTAAGAAAGGCTGCGCACCAATTTCATTAGCGTTCAGAGGCTGCGCACAAATGTACTCTACATACTTTGCAAAATCAATTTTGATTTCAAAATTTCTGCTTGTTATAAAATACGAAAAATAAGTGGCGAGATCATTACTGTCAGTGATTTCTGTACCGGTCTTAACTAAGAGAAAACTCCTCACACCACGACCGCGCCGGCTTTGTTCGCAATATATTGTGAACGCAGTTTCTGCTTGCTTAAACAGATTATCGATGTGATGTACTCTGCAAGATCTAATGCGGTGGTAGTGAACAGAGGGTATGTCTCATCCTCGACGAAGGCATATTTCCGGCGTTGCTGTCGTCAGCTTCATATGTGTTGTGCTACCGGCTTTCTTTGGGCTAGGGTGGTAAAAGACAGCCACAATGTCCCAGCACGTCACCCCCCACAACTGCCCCACCACTGCAAAAAGGAATTAGATCAAACCATCCGACCTCGTGTTATCGCTACCCAGACAAGGTTCGCTTTGACAACGGTACCCTCAATCTCCAGGTCGCATTTTGTTGGTTCCTCTTCGGTTCCGTTGTAACTAGAGACCTTGCAACTTTAGCAGCGAATTACGCATTTTGTCGTACGATGTCGTACACGCAAATCCATTCATTACAATTCATACAATATTTTCTGTGATACCTCAGAAGTACGCATAGTAAATCGAGTTTTGTTTTATTACATACGGCGTAGCGCTCTTGAGTCAGTACACCTACGTAAGTCTCAATTACATCACCTCTTGCAATCTTTTGATAATTTCAGGAATGGTTAGTGCTTTTATTCGAAAGAAGAATTTTTATACTACGTCTGTAGCTTATGGGTAAATATTTCCGTTCAGTTGTGTAAAACAGTGCACAATTACGTAATTTATTTTATTCTGCTGCAGATACTTTGCGTGATTATCTTCGAATCGTACGAGGTTGAGTGACATTCTTTGTCCTTGACTTGGGCGGTAAATGACATTAACTGTTTACTGAAAAAGGATGAGACGATGGAATCCTCCCACGCCTTGCACGGGAAAGGGCATTTTATGATTAATTAAGCATGTAAGTAGGTGTTTGCGACATTTTCGAGTTGTGCTTTCTGTTGCAACAGTTACTCGCTGCACAAGTTCGCAAACTCAGCCTTTAAAACCTGAAAATGACAAGTACAGTTAACCAAACGACAAACACGACATTCGACTGGAGCGCACTTCCGGTACGCGGACACACCACGCCGTTATTTTGCATTCGTGTTTTCATTGCACTCTCTTCACTATGCCTCAATGTGGCCCTTGGCCCTGGGCCTGGGCCCTGGTTGGCCTAGACTCCAACTCTGACTCTGATTCTGACCACTCAAACTCTGACTCTGACTACTCAAAGTCTGACTCTGACTCTGAAGGTTTCTTAGGTTTCTTAATAGGTTTCTTAGGTTTCTTAGGTTTCTTAGGTTTCTTAAGTTTCTTAGGTTTCTTAGGTTTCTTAGGTTTCTTAGGATTCTTAGGTTTCTCAAGTTATTCTTAGGTTATTCAGTCAGAGTCAGAGTTTGGACAGTCAGAGTCAGACTTTGAGTAGTCAGAGTCAGAGTTTGAGCGGTCAGAGTCTGAGTCAGAGTCAGAGCTTGAGCGCGGGCCCTTCTGGTTGTCCACATGGTCAAACCTTCTTACATCAACCATTTCACAGTTTACCTTTTGTTTTTATTCATCATAAACACGATCTACGTAACGGGTGCATCACCGCTACTATTTCTCAGTGAATTTTGCGGCTTGGATATTCAATCGTTGGGTTTCACCATCTGCACGGTTTTGGGCTATTTTCAGTGGCTGATGCCGCAATTCCCGGTTATCTGCCATTTGTTGATCGCACTGAATCGCTTTTGGGCGCTGCAATTCCCGCATCATTACCGGGTATATCACACCAAAAAGGTCGCGGTTATCATCTGTTGCGCCACATTTGTGTACGTACATATCCTGAAATTGCCGGGATTTATCTTGTACATGCCTATTCATTATCAACCTAAGCCAGGCGGATCGGTTGTGTGTTTCGGACCACCAAATGCGTATTTATACTACATGAAATTTGATAGTGTTTTTAATCGTTTTGCTCCACTGTTTTGCATTATCGGAATATACGTATTCGTCATTATAAAACGGTTCAGGTTTAAGCAAATTAAGAGAATCAGCGCTTTTAACAAGAACCTTGACGATAGCTTGCCGGTGACCTCTGTAGAAATACAGAAGCACCACAGGGAACATGTGGTCGGAGTGCAAAAGCAGCCAAGTGTTAAAGAGCGCAACATCGTTCGCCCTTTTCTGATTTTGACCTTCACAACGATTAGTGTAATAATCTGCTGGTTACCACTTGCCGCTACATTCTTCTACCAATGGTTTGCCAGTAAAGAGGCAGCCATGACGCTGTTCACTGTAGTCCAGTATCTTCATACGTTGTTTATGCTGCAAATTCTGTTCGATCCTATCATGTGGATTATCAGCCTCCGCAAGTTCGGCCGCGCGTAATTTGTGGACGTATACTACTGTTATATAATAATCCACAAATTTTGTGGATTACTTACTGCTGCTTAGCGCCTAGTAAATGTTAACCGTTGTGTTGCTTACCATAACTGTTTCAACGATTGCCTGAGTATGACTCTTTGTACCTGACAACGTGATTATCCGATAACATACGGTTTTGTTCGCGACCGTGGATACTACTCGTTACTCGTTAGCCTTTACGGACTTTACTTTATCTCCGCATGTTTGTGATTTGCGACTTGAAACGAAATCTGTCGTTTTTCGTCGCTTGCAGGTCGCAGCAGTAAGAAACTCCCGCTCCATTACATATCTCCGTTACTGTCATTAATATTTTTACGCTAATTCATTGATACCTACGTAGGGCATCTGTAGAAACTGATTTCTTTAAATACGCCTGGCTAACCAAAGATCACAGGCTATGGACAAAAATATGATTCTTCCCCTCTCCTTACAGTGAAAGTGAACCACGGACATGATTCACAACACTCTCCATCGTGAGCTTGAAAGCGTACCACGTACTGGGTAGTGCACTGTTATAAACTTCTGAGCCAAAACAGGTCATATTGCAGTATGCTACTTCCTCATATGGCTACTGGCTACTCGCGCAGCGTGCCATAACGTCAAGGTCGAAACCTAAGCGGTCACTATAGCCATCTGCCTTGCCGATTTGTACCTTATCAAACTATATCCGTTTTCGTTGTTAAGGTCGAATCGAAGACAATCAACGATGAAACAACAACATACCAACAAGAAGTCGACGATAAGTGTTGTGGTTTGCCAGCTGTCGGAAGCCAGTTCCTTTTAACAAAATTATGGCTACAGGCCCAAAGAAAACGCGAGTCAGACGAAACTTTTCCGTATTGTGCAGTACTGTCATACGGAGTACGTGCTACAAATTTTCCAGATGACCCACTAGTGTATGCAAAACTGCAAATACGACAAACCCCAAATCCGGCTGCAAGCATAAGAAGCGCCGTATTTGGGCAATTTGGCTAAAAAGTGAGATACGCTAATCAAAGCATATCAAGAAACGGTGAGCACTAATTTGAAGCGAGTATCACGTGGATATCAGATCTCTTTCACCGTAGCCTTTCAGCGAAATAAATGCAGGCTTAACTCTGAGGACTCACCGTCACTGGGGCTTTACGACCCATGCAGCTGCTTTTAACGTTTATTCACAGGCAAAAGGTGGACACCTGACACGATAATCAGTCGGTCACTTCTGTAAAACTAAGCGCCCGATTGTCACATCATTCGCCAGCTTATGACTAGAAAACCGCAATCCTCTTGCATCAAATAAACAGAACACATGCAGCGGTACTTATAATTGAGAAATTAAACGGTAACCATTAATGCTGCCGGCCAGCAGTCAGTATATAATGGTAAAATTGTGCGCACCGACAATTCACAGTTACTGTTCACGGGATTTCTTGTGCTTTCTCTTCTTCTTTCCACCGGAGCTCCCACCGGAAGAGTCCTTCGCAGCAAGCATCTGTTGCGCCGCTCCGGTAATGGCCATGGTGTAGTCTGGTTCGTCATCCAGAAGAGCCACACCCTCTTGATACAGGCGGCTGTTAGAGTAATCGTAAAACTGTTTGGCTTGAGCGCAGTCAATATTGAACCACCAGTCGCATACCAGCGTAATTTGGTTAAACAGCTGCAAAATCAAAAGTGCAAATTTAGTGTGTCGGTGTATCTGTTAAAAAGCGTTTTTTATACCGTCATGTTGGGGCACAGATAGCTGGTCAAATTCCCGTTAATATCACAGCGATGGAAGACCTGACATTGCCCAGCGTCAACATCCGCATAGAAGCCGGGTTGATTGAATTTTGCACAGTCGACGCTGGCTTTGGGGATCTCAGCGATGAGCGGGAAATCTTGACCGGGTTTAACATTTAGCCACAACTCTTGGATCTGGTCAACACCGAGCTGCCGATTGGCCCCGCCTCTCAGCACATCTAAGGCTGAGAAAACCTTGGGGCTTTGAGCGGAAGGGGCGCGTTTTACCTAAACAAATAAATTAGTTAACTATTTTTACGTTACAGAATATACCGCATATCAATTGCATAACGTGACCTTTCGCTCATTTAACCAGACACATAACGTTTCACCTTCGAATCCCGCACGATAAGTAATCGAAGTAATACCGGAGAAGAATAGCTAACTCGAAGCTTACCAACGTTTTGGCGTGGCATAATCCAACAAACAGAACAGACACGATTATGTACTTCATCGTGATGCAGTAGCTATCAATAAATGTCGTATAAGATCCTATGAGAACGGAGAAGTGAATGCTAAGAGGGATTGCTTAATTTTTCTTCGTTCCGTGACATCTTTTATACTTGTATATGCATTAAGTGTTGAGATGACTTGTGTGAACGGTGCCAAGTAACTACATGTGTAATTATCGCGCGACCCTGAAATCAACACCCGGCAGTGTCAAAGTATAGTGTAATAATGCTAACGGACGCTACCGAGTCACCAATTAACGGATGCTTGGCGGACGTAATCGGAATGATTCTCCACAGCAGTCATACTATACTTATCAGAAAGTCCATCAAGGTTGCCTGCTTTGCCATTGTCGGCGATGCATTTTGTTATTATTGATATGGTGAGCCGAATCACGAGCTGGTGGTCAGTGTTAACGACATAATGGAAGTAATTACAAATTTGGTGCAAAAATCACTGATGAGAACGACATCTGCTGATGATAACCCGCTATTTTCCTAAATTGCTATTTGCAGTGCAACCTGTCAAAGGCACGTTTCGGCTATCTAGTTGTCGGTTTGGAATTCTGTATATTTGCCGTTCGAATTTAAATATGATAGATTACTCTTCGACGACGTATATTGCAAAGTGGTAGCATTATATCTGTACACCAGATAATATAAGCCTGCACAAATTAAAAAGAGGAGCAAAGTAGCAAAAACATATGTAAAGTAAGCAGCGCGCCTTCGTTGCGTAATCAATAATTTTTACAATGGGATGGAATATAGAAATGCTTTTAAATAACTGAAAAATCATTTTAATTTTTATGCAGAGATGAAGTTGTCTGTGCTGTACTTCCATCGGCCCTGAATATGCTCTACGCGTAGGTGAAACACATATATTTTAGCACTGTTTTTGGCGACAATCGCAGCATGAATTCGATCGTGATTTTTGTACACGTAGTTCGTACTTCGTACTACTGCAAAACTTTCATCGATGCATCAAAAAGCGTAAAATGCACTAAAATTAAATAAATCTTAAATCGTTTCTAGAGCATCGGTCAACCAGCAACGCAAGATTTAATTACAATTCGGCACGAGTGTAGGTATTCACGGATCCGATTAGTTTGCGCCCAAAAACAGCTTTTAGATATCAAAATCCCGCTGAAATATCCTGATCTTTGTCGTCGCCTTAACGCTTTGCAAATCTTTTTTTCCGTCGACCGTTACCAGAGCGTTTACTTGGATGTACTTTCCCGCAGAAGCTTCAATCTGTGCAAAACTAGCAACGTTGTAATAATTAAGTATTGTATTAGTGATTATCAGTTTACAAATAATTAACCAATTACGTACAACACGTTAGCTTCTTTTTTATTGGCTGTGTCTGTAATAAGTCCGGAATAAAAAATCATAATTTGAAAACTGGTTACCTTCAAGTAATATGTCACATTGCCGGTAAATCCTCCACCAGACGATGGTATGTCCATCGTCATGTACTGTATCACTTTGTATGTGGTCAGCCGGCCAGCCGCACTTGACTTTGCTACTTTCTCCTAGAGTAGGCCTTTACCTGCCAACATATTAGTCGAACTTTAATTTTAAGCATTAATTTAGTTGTCACAAGCTTTGCAAATTACTGAAAAGTAATTGCAAAATACGGCTGTGGTTTTATACATTATAGAAGGGGAAGATGCAAGCTAAACATGCTCCATACCGTGCATGTTTTTACTTCAAAGCATATGTGCGTTGGAGTTTCGGTCAAGTACTTACAGAATCGGCGATGGACTGCGACTCAGCATCTGCTGGCCTCGCCACACTTATTCGGAAAAAATTAATTCCCGAGCTACTCCACGCAAACAAACGATGGTTCTTTAAATATCGGAGCAAACACGTACAAATATTTTGCAAAAACCCGGATTGCCTCCGTGCAACGCTTCAGAAGAAAAACAGACTGGAAACCTACCTCCGCATAGTATCCGGAAGTGATATTTTAAAGTCGAAATGCAAAACTCAAGAACTGAAATTGCACGTTATTTGCTAACGATGAGCGCAACTGAAAACATAATTTTACAAATTCTATCGAGTAACTCGTACCGCTACTTTCCACGCTTATCCGCTTTGTAAACTATGCGCGATCTTTTGGGTGCCAGAAAAATTGCCAGTGGCACACAGCTTAATGTTTTAGGCAGTTGAGTCCGATAGACTGCATTTTCTCAACTTCTTTGATTTCCGGTAGATAGAAACGGCTGCCTTCCAGGCTGAGTGCCAGAGCATTGTGTTGTGAAAGAAACCATCTTATATTAAATTTTGAAGTGTTAACTAATTAGCGAAATCCAGTTTCGGTATGAATATAATCGTAAATAGTATTCTTTTAATTTTAACTGCATGTATATGTTATAACTGGGTGAAATTTGCGAAACACCTCGTACATAGTGTTATGCTGCGGATTAATAATTAACTATGGCAGTCAGAGCATCGATTTCAACGCCAAAGCAGTTCTGCCTTGAGGGTTAATTACGGTATACCAAACACTCCAGTTCCAGTCGGCGCTGACCTTACACTGCATTACTCCGGTGTCACATAAAATATACGTACGAAAATCTGCTAACCATGGATGGTTTGAGGATTTTATAATTATGCAGTCCTGCACTGTACAATTTTCCCTAAAACAGGCTGTTAATTTCCCCTATCCCTTTATGTTATGTTCTTAAGAAAGTCTTTTTTTTAATTTTTTTGAATGTGCGCATCATGAAAAAAAGCGTTACCACTTCGAAAAAAGATTGCAGTTTATGTATTATCCTTATCATCGAATAAGGATGCGTTTCAATGATACGAGTACAAAGATGCACGTTTAAAAAAATTTATATAAATGCACAAACAGAGCATAACACTTATCACCAATTATGTAGGTTCAAAGTATGCTGTATCATGGCTGCCTGCAACCATTTGATTCATTGGTACAAAACTTTAGTTTCGAGTTTCGCTAAACAGTATCAGGGCGGATTCCGGATTACTGAGCCGCGGCTTTGGACTTCTTCTTGCCTCCCTTCTTCTTACCACCACTGGCGCTGCCGCCCGCAGGGGACGGTGCCTGGGCGGCCGCTCCTGTGATGGCCATGGTGTATTCGGGTTCGTCATCCAGCAGAACAACTCCTTCCTGGTACAACCGGCTGTTGGAGTAGTCGTAGAAATTCTTGGCTTGGGTGCAGTCAATGTTGAACCACCAGTCACAGACCAGTGTAATTTGGTTGAACAACTGCAAAAAGAGGTAAAATATAAAAAGCTTCATAAAAATTGTTTTATGCCATAATGGAAAATTAGTTTGCGAGTACCAGATGGGAAAATCCTAATCAAAACTTAGTCATACCGGCGTGAGCTTTTCGGCTTAACCAAGTCACAATACATAATAAACTAAATTAAACTGAAGTAGGAAAACAATAACTATTGCGCGTTTGAAAGTATTTATATACTGTAATGCATTGTGTATTTTGGTACATTCGGCACATATAAATAAGTACACAGCAGAAAGTTTTGTTAGTGAAACATATATTAACTGGGCAAGATATAACATTAATATATATTAACTGCGCAAGATATAACATTAATACGATATATATTAACTGCGCAAGAACATTTACGGCTGCGCTTACTGCAGAAGCGTTAATCTATAAAACGTGTGGTGACACACTTACGGTCATGTTCGGGCACAAGTAGCTGGTCAAGTTGCCGTTGACATCGCAACGGTGGAATACTTGACACTGACCGGCATCAGCGTCGGCATAGAATCCCGGCTGATGGAACGACGCACAGTCAACAGAGGCTTTGGGGAGTTCAGCGATCAACGGGAAATCCTGGCCGGGTTTGGCGCTAAGCCACAGCTCCTGGATCTGGTCCACGCTCAGTTGCCGGTTAGCTCCACCCCGCAGGACATCCAAAGCCGAGAAGACTTTAGGGCTTTGGCCCGACGCCCGCTTATTCTGCATCAACCCAACCGAAAAGGTTACCAATGCCGGTAGAAAATATCCGTCATACCCACCAATGATTTGGCACTGCAGAGTGCCGCGGAAAGGAGGAGTAATCCGAGAATTTTCATGGTTGCAGCGAGATCAGGGAGTGTTGAGAAATTAACCGAAGAAAGAAGTAATCCGAACGATGTTTAATTCGCATCACGCTTCGCTTATTTATACATGAATGCTTTCATTTGGGTGCCCAGCGGTTACATGATTGACTATCACTTTCGTTAATAAGATGCGTCGGACATACTGGCCCTGAAATGGTCAGTGGATAAATTAGCCGGATTAGTGTTGACGGACAGCATCGATTACACTGTTACAGAGTCCGTTGCAAAATTCCGTACGGATCATTGTAGCGCTAATAAATTTCAACACGCAGAAAAAATGCGTTGCAATACAACGGTGACAGTTGTAGAATAAGAGAAGATGGTGAGATTTATTGGCGAAATATTCATTTGGATCTGAGCGTACTTGTGTCATCGATGGCCCATAAAGATGTACTGAATTGGGTCTTTGTCAGATTTGCAAGACAACCGAGTGACAAAGTGTTGTTTACCAGAGCGTAGTGCCGTCTTTGTCAAAGCGCCAGTTGGTGGTCAAGCGTGCCGTGCCGTTCGTAAGAAACGATCAAATTGTAATTTCTAACTTGCCCGCATATAAAATAATTAATTATAACAATATTTTTATGGCGAGGCAAACCGTGATAAAAATTTTATAGAACAAGAACGAATCAGCTTCCTGAAATTGCTGACAAATCTGTCACGAGAACAATTCTGCTGCTGCTGTAGTACAATAACAATAATACCGGTTCAATTCAGATAACATTGTAGAATTTTCCATTTCGCAGTTGCAGTTGATGGTGGTCCACTGTCCAGTATTAAAATGCCAATGCTGTAATAAGATTGATTGCTGTGATCTTAGAATGTAACAAATATTTTAATCTTATTGCGTTCGTGTATCAACCTAATTTTTAAAACGACGTTAATTGCTAAACAAAGAGTACTACGGATTTACCGATTTCATCATACGGATAAATAAGTTTACGAGTACAGTAATACATGCGTCTGTGCGGTGGCACGGATGGTCTAATTAACAGACAACGAACCTGCATGGTGCAACAGCGACCAACGGATTATTCCGCGAGAAAAAGCTAGTTAAAGGTGTGTATAATTACATTGCGGTTTATGTTTATCACATCTTATTATTTTTATTACATACGAAAGCTTCTTTTACCGAAGCTGCAGCCGCCTTTAATTGTTAGAGCATTTCGTTATGAATGCAAGGCGTGCTAGCCGAAGACCAGATTGCTGTAATAAATTTTATTCTTTCGTTCATTTGGCATTCAGATCTGCTTATTACTTGATTCACAGTGCACATCATTGAGCTTATCTGTCCACGCCATCAAAAACATTCAAACTCATTCGAAAAATGAATTAAACTGCATCGAATGTGCGCCGGTTAGATCATTACAAACATAATGGTTACATACAGCAGAACCAGGGAAAAAGCGCGGATTAGAAAAGAAATTTCATTAAACAAAGGCCGGCCAGCTTTACAGATCATTAGTGGCAACGGCGTCGTGTTAACAAGCAGGAAAAATAAATTAAAGCCCCAATTTACATCCAACCAGCGGGAACTATTTAGGCCTTCTTGCCACCCTTCTTGACGACAGTCTTCTTGATGGTCACGGACCCGGAGGCCGATGCGGATCCCGAGGCAGAGGATTCAGCAGCACCAGTGGCGATCTGCACATAGTCTGGTTCGTCATCCAGGAGAGGAGATCCTTCAACGTACAGGCGGCTGTTGGAGTAGTCATAGAACTGGCGGACCTTGGTGCAGTCAACATTGAAGAACCAGTCGCAGATCAGAGTGATCTGGTTGAACAGCTGCAAAACAGACACACCGGGTTCAACGAACGCTGTCATCTGACGGCTCAGTGTGACACTTACGGTCATATTGGGGCACAGATAGCTGGTGAGGTTTCCGTTGACATCACAACGGTCGAAAGCCTGGCATTTGCCTTCGCCATCGTTAGCATAGAAACCAGGTTTGACGGAGGCACAGTCAACACCGGCTTTGGGGATCACGGAGAGAGTGGGGTAGTCTTGACCGGCTTGGGCGGCTTTGTACAGCTCAGCGCGCTGACCGGCATCGAGTTTAGTCTTGCCGTTGCTCAGGGCATCCAAAGCGGAGAAAACTTTGGGGTTCTGGTCGCCAGCAGCACGCTTTTCCTGTAGTTACATATATAATATTACCTTACATCCATTTGCAACGCAGCTAGGATTTGTTTTACAATGTCGTGGTGCTCTTCGTGCTCGTCGAATTCACGCTTGGGCTTGCCCTTTACGGAGACGGTCTTTTTGATGGTCACGGAACCAGAGGCGGAGGCAGACGAGGAAGAAGCACCAGTGGCAATCTGGACGTAGTCTGGCTCGTCATCCAACAGGACAGAGTTCTCCTGGTACAGACGGCTGTTGGAGTAGTCATAGTACTGGCGAGCCTTGGAGCAGTCAACGTTGAAGAACCAGTCGCAGATCAGGGTGATTTGGTTGAAGAGCTGAAATGATATTAGATCGTCAGAGCGTGTTTAGCGTGGTTGGTTACAAAAATGATACCGTCATGTTGGGGCACAGGTAGCTGGTCAGGTTTCCGTTAACGTCGCAACGATCGAAGGACTGGCACTTGCCGGCACCATCGTTGGCATAGAAACCAGGCTTGACGCTGCCGCAGTCAACACCAGCAGCGGGAATGGCGGACAGGGTGGGGAAATCTTGGCCGGCTTGGGCGTTCTTGTAGATGTCCTGACGCTGTCCAGCATCCAATTTGGTCTTTCCACCGCTGAGGTCATCGAGGGCGGAGAACACTTTGGGGCTCTGGCCAGCAGCACGCTTTTCCTGCAGACAAATGCAAACTGGTAAAGTTTGTCGAAGCATTATATAAAGGCTGAACCACGTACGATCTGATGCTCATCGAATTCCCGCTTTGGTTTGCCCTTTACGGAGACGGTCTTCTTGATGGTCACTGAGCCAGAAGCAGAGGCAGAGGAGGAGGATTCAGCAGCTCCAGTGGCAACCACAACGTAGTCTGGTTCGTCGTCCAAGAGAGGAGAGTTCTCTTGGTACAGACGGCTGTTGGAGTAGTCATAGAACTGGCGGACCTTGGTGCAGTCAACGTTGAAGAACCAATCGCAGATCAGTGTGATTTGGTTGAACAGCTACAAGGGCGTCGAACAATAATCTACATTTTTTGAAAACATATTTAGTCGACACTTATAACAAGCATACCGTCATGTTGGGGCACAGGTAGCTGGTGAGGTTGCCGTTGACGTCACAACGATCGAAAGCCTGGCATTTGCCTTCGCCATCGTTAGCATAGAAACCAGGCTTGACTGAGGCACAGTCAACACCGGCCTTGGGAATCACGGCGAGGGTGGGGTAGTCCTGACCGGCTTGGGCGGCTTTGTACAGCTCAGCACGTTGACCGGCATCCAGCTTAGTCTTGCCGTTGCTCAACACGTCCAAGGCGGAGTACACCTTAGGGTTCTGATCGCCAGCTGCGCGTTTGTACTAAAAGAAAGGTCACGCCTTAACATCATGGGTGGATCCCCAGATTACCAAATAATAAAGCAACTTACCACGCCAGCATGGCACACCGCCACAACGGATAATAAGCAGACAAACACCCTCATTATGCAAATGCTATGCTTTTTATTACTTTATAGGTGAAAACGGTTTCAAAAGGCGAAATCAAAGTGGGAAAGGAGAACTGAGCAGTAGATGACGATGGTAGTTGCAGTCACAGTTGGGTTATATACCAAATTTTTATTGTCTTGAACAAGCTTATGGAGACTTGTTGGCTGAGCACGAATGAACGCCGTGTCTGAGGAAAGTAGTGCAGGTAATCGAATGTTAACGAACGGATACGCATTAATCGTGTATTAATGTATTCTCATTAGACGCGTATGGTAAGTGGCAGCGCTAATCACCTATGCAAAGCATAAAAATGGCACTGTCTGAAGCAGAATTCGGTAAATTTTGTCCGTTCTCTGTGATTATTTCATGCATGCCATGGCGAAAACAATAGATTTTAAGATTTACTCTGGTTCGATAATTTTGTCCGATTAATGACGACTGACGACTGAAGAATTGGCCTATAGCCGCAATTAATTATTAGCACCAAAATTTTCTGTGTGTCGTTTATACTGAATTTCCGTTGTTCAAGCGTGTAGGTTACGTTAATTGTTTCGAAAGTGTATCCTGCATATAACGGTAGCTACATTCTGTAGTTATGTATTAGTAATAAAGACAATAGGATGCTGTAATATTGGCAGCTAGCCGTAATTAATAATTATTTCATAATTCTCTTGCGTTGTATCGACTACTTATACAGCACTTTTACTGCGATAATTATCTGTAAAAAAAAATGACAAGCTCAGTGCCTTTGAACATTAATTGTTGCTGTCGTTAGTGTCGTATAATTACAGATACATTTTTTTGAGAATAAAATAATTTTGTTTTGTTTTGCTCCTGTTTTTGTTTCTGTTTTTGGAATTTTTTATGACTGCAGACAGCCGCATTGATTAGATTGGCGCCGTTTCCGATTTCCATAGGCTAGCTTCCGGCAAAGATTTGCAAGTCCATCGCACTGTTTTTTGTACCTCTCGGTGGCTGCACCGTCCGACGATCTTGTCTCGCTGCGTGTGGTATATCGATCAATTTTGACAAGTTCATTACCATCGCAATTTTGGGAAAAAGGGAAAAATCTTATACACCACCACGGTGACTATCTTCAGGACGGCATTACTTATATTATGGATCAGCAATGCCTTCTAATAACTTCAACTTCTAAAATATACGTAATTTAATTCAGTACTATTGTGCTAGTGTTATAGGCTGGTTTTAATAACAATCGATCCTGATGGTAGTGTTCTTACGTACCAGGCGGTCACGATGTGAACTTTTGTTTGTATTAAATTTATTTTCAAAAATTTTGAATTCTCAAATTTTGCTCAAATTAATTTTGTTTGAGATAGTTTCTCTGTATTTAATAAATTAACAGTTTTGTTTCATTGCGTTTCTTCGATCCGCGATTATGCTAGTAATATGGTGAGCATCACCAGCATCACGCTAAATATAACGTCTCCCTGTTTCCTATAATTTCTCTCTACTTAGTCTTTATTTTGCTTCTCTCTCTCTATTTAGTTGCATGCTTTCCCATACATGTACATCACCGTGGCAATACGCCAAACACGGTATAAAAACGCTCGGCGCAGCCGGAGTGAAAACCATTAACTCTACGGAATAAATTCATGTTCATAACATTATTGATTGGTTCCCGCGAGTACACTGAGTAGACACACATCACACAGCATACAATCTTCTTGTTATGGTACGGGCATAACAAATAGCTGTGTTTCAAGACTAACAATTGTAAGCTTATCTGCGGTAAAAATATTGAAAAAGTTTTCACTTTACGTTTTACGAACACAAACAGATACTTTGTGTTTGTGCGAAATTTTACAGTCTGTTCTTATTTACGTGCAATAGTATCAGGACCCTCATCTGTAACTTTATATTCCGCTGCACAAAAACCTTTTTACTTCTAAATATTATTGTCCTGTTCGCGCAATTTTAACATGGCTGTTGATGGTGAGACTACCTGCGCCGTCGAGTAGTTTAAAATTTTTCCTAAAGCCGCTTGATAATGCACCGTTTTCTGGAACGGTGTATCCGCTGAAATAAGACGCAGCCGGCACTGTTATTCATTCGCCTGAAAACAACGGCAAACGAAAAAGGCGGACAGTATCGCTCAGCCGGCAAAACGTTTTCGGCCACACCACTTATACATTTCAAGACCACACCTGCGGCTTTATGTAGTCGTGTACTGTACTGTATGCGCTGTGTCCGGTATTGTATTTTCCGGTACCTAACACTTACCTTACGGTTAGTATGAGTTTTTACGTTACTTTATTTATGTGCAGGTTTGTCTATGCACGCATTATAAAAAGTTATTTTTAAAATTTATTTATTTACCATGCAAAGCTCTCTCCAATCTGTTATTATGACAAATAGCTTCACATTCAAGTCAGGTATTTGGCTATACCGTTGCATTAATTAATTATTGAATACCGTCGCATTATAATTATTATTATACGTAGTTTGTAGTATTTAAATTGCCACGTATCCTACGAGCAGATAAATACATTTTGGGTGTAATGCCGGCGTGCTGCGTATTCTAATCATACAGTGTAAACTCATTATTCCACTATACCCACGTGTAGTAGGGTATTCCTGTACAAGCAAAAATTTATCTGTACAACACTAATCGCATAATATCGTCACTTATGACCGCAAAATGAATAGCAATTGCTGCACATTTACAGTATATCACGACAATTTTGGACTTAATACCTTAAGTACCTTATACTGATAATATTATTTTATTTTATAATTACTTTCGCACATCGACAATGGCTAATCATGAGTCGAACAACAATATTTGCGCTGCTCCAGTGTGCAAAATCTGGTGCCGTACGGATGTTGCGCCGAACCACATGATTGTCCACAATTTTTAACACATCAAAAATAATTCATATCAGATCAAAAGTTTGATCAGAACAACTGGCAACGTTACTGCTACGATAAGCTTTTGTCCAGCATCAAGTTTGTTCTGTGACTTCTGTCCACTAGCCATGAATTCGAAACCAGAAAAGCCCTTGTGGTCTTGTTTGCCACTGTCACGCTTCTCCTGTAAGCATATAAGATTTTGAATCGATGAATTTTGTATTAAACTTAGGATTAAAATTGTACACCCCTGAAAGCCTCACCCTTTGGTGTTTAGCTTCCCGCTTCGGTTTTCCCTTGGGGACGGCCTTCTTGACGGTCACGGAGCCAGAGGCGGATCTCGACGAAGATGCTGCAGCACCGGTAGCAACCTGGACATATTCCGGTTCATCATCCAGCAGGGGCGAATTCTCCTGGTACAGGCGGCTGTTGGAATAATCATAGAACTGACGGACTTTGGTACAATCCACATTGAAGAACCAATCGCAGATCAGGGTAATTTGGTTGAAGAGCTACAAAGGTCACGAAGAAATTATAAGGCAAACTCTCAACGGTTTACTATCCTACTGTCATGTTGGGGCACAGGTAGCTGGTAAGGTTGCCATTAACATCGCAACGGTCAAAAGCCTGGCATTTGCCGACACCGTCGTTAGCGTAGAAACCGGGTTTGACGGAGGCGCAGTCGACACCGGCAGCCGGGATGGCGGTGAGCGTGGGATAATCCTGACCAGCTTGCGCGTTCTTCCACAGTTCGGCACGCTGACCGGCATCCAGCTTCGTCTTGCCGTTACTCAGGACATCCAAGGCGGAGAACACTTTGGGATTCTGATCACCAGCAGCGCGTTTATGCTGTTGGAAACATTTCAGTTATGTAAAATTCTGGATTTCAGTTTCTCGCTGACTTACCACTTTCGCTTGGCTCAGCGTTGCAGCCAACAGCAAGCAAACGAACACTTTCATTGCGTCGAAGTTAATTTATTTCCTTTAAATTTCGAAAAACAATCGGTCGTAACATATGGGGTGAATGTAAAGTGTTAAGTCAATAACAAACTGCTTTAAACATCGTTAACCGGCTTTTATGCATGTGTCAGCTAGGAGCACAAATTTAAAATTATGTCTGGGTTGGATAATTTTGTCCCAGTAATCATGTTCAAGAAATCATCGCCTATGGTCATGGTTATCGAATAAATTTCCTTGGTAAGGGAATTACATCTTCCTGCAGTGAAACAAAGCGGTTATGCTAACCTATTAGGCTCATTTTTTGCAGTTATTACGAACTCTGTGACAAGAATTACGTTGAATATGTGACAAAGCCCATCTACTGTACAATTTACATGCGTGGAGCTGTTTAGCAATGTAGCAATTAAGCTGTGACGGGTACAGTAATTAGAGAACGCCCTTAACGATTAGCTGAGGTGTTTTGTACAGTACGCTGAACTAACCTTATATATGTTGAACAGATGGCGATTTTATTTATTTCTCACCCGAGCATCCGGTGATAAAACTTAAAGAGAGGTGAAGGCGAATCCCGATCAACTTCCTTTTTGTGTCAACGTTCAAGTTCACAAGATTTGGCGTGGCAATGCTCAGTTGGTTTTGGCCACCGTCCCCTCACGCTAGAACTGGGATTACAGTTTTGTTTGATTTGCTGATATTGTTTCGATGACGCCGTCCAGTACCGTATACTCAAGGTCAATAAAATAATGTATACTACGAAGGCTAAAGGAATTTAAAACCTTTATCAAAAATGTTTTTTGTTATCAGGCAATATTGCAAATCAATTTTGAAATTATTTACGAAAACACTGCAAACTTAATTATTAATCCTGTAATTATTAAATTCACATTACGCTTACAACTACATAAACAGATTTTAGGTTATAGACTTTCCCGATCAAGTTCATGATTGTGTTCCTGATTATTATCAGCAAAATGACAATCCTACTCAATATGTTTTATACAGTAGTAATGCAAAACTAAGCACTTTGGCAACATTTATCATATAGGCACTACAGAAAAAACATCTTGGGAATTTAAGACTGTGATTACCCTTCTTGCACTTTTACCGCATGCCACATTTCTGTTAATTTACGAGTATATAACTTTAAAGTGTAAAACCACTGATGTTTTGGACCGTAATACTGTATATACTCGTTGGAAAGAACCAGTATAATGTTTTCCAGAGTGATGATGAATTACATGATGCTGCGGAGTTTTATTACATTTTCTGTGATTTCCTTGTTGATGTGTGACGGTTGGTAACTTTGGTAGTGTTTGTGGATACTGTAATTACATATCTTTGTTAATTGTTGCAGGATTTTTTAGACACTGCCACTAGTATATCCATCAGCAACCCTCAGCGAGCAGTAATTGTTCTAATTCAGGGTGGTGACCTCTACCAACTGACGCCAGAACTTGTCGATCCCATAAAAGCACAGGTGATCGAGCTGAGTTATAGAAACTGCAGGGATAATGCGGCCACGTCTAGTACTGGAGCGCTACGACTGTCGAATCTCCTTGGCCTGCGATTTTGTAGTTGCTTTAGTCTTATCGTGAAAAAGAACGACTTCATCCACTTCAGAAATCTGGGGATGCTGGAGTTTGATCTGACATCTATTGAATCTATTGAGCCAGAGACCTTCAAGGATCTCCTGCAGCTAAGAACACTCGCACTGGAACATAATTACGCGGGCCTGCTCTACTCCAGAGAGGACAACACGCGTCCGCAGACGAAACGCTACTCCACACCTCAAATACAAGCGGCCATTCGCAAGATTCACTGTGCTTGCGATTACGCCTGGTTGCGTAATTGGCTGGACGTTCATCCTTATCTTTTGAGCGATCGCGATGAAGGAGAAGTGTACCTTATCGGAAACCGTCCAAGCCCCAAAATTTCCCGAAGATTTATGTTCCTGGCTGTAGACTGCGCATTGACAAATCTTACTTATTTTGAGCGACGCCATCGTGGCTTCCAGAATGACTCTCATTATAGGTTTGCAATTAATAGTTCATGCTAATTAGGTCCTTTGAGGTTTCTAATTATGAAAGTACAATGTGTGTGAACATGCGCGACCGATTCAGGCTTATTGGGTACTCTAGGTGCACGCCGTATTCGTATTAAACTGAAGAGTACTTTCATAAATTCAGTTTCTTCAACGACCATATAAACCATGATATCATATTGGCGTTACGATTTGCTACAAGTGTCTACCGTATTTTTTAGTTGTTTTGTTTTAGTTTCGATTTTTCTGGGTTCTGCCTTATCCGAATCAAGTTAAATAGTTCCCAATTTCTTCCCGATTTTAAAGTTTTATTTTTCTGACTTTCTTAGAAGTTGGCTGAAGCAGAGACGAAAAAGACTAGCAGACCAGCTTTGATAGGAAAAGCAGTTAACAGGAAAGGTTAGTTTAAATAAGAAAACAAAGCCAGGAAACGTACAATCACCATTGTAAACATTCAGTACATCATACAGGAAATACTGCTGAGATACCTGGGCAAAACCGTCGGTGTTGCGTACATGGAACAGCTCAATCCAGGATTGCTGTTTATTGTTCTCTTTGACGTTTCCATCGCAGTACCATGGTAAACATTTTGTGCTTTGGATTTGCCGGTAATGTTCCCAAGTGACCTTTTACTCAGCCGCGGCCGCCTTGGCTTTGGCCTTGCCTTTGTTCTTCTTAGGTTTGGCTTCCGCTGGAGCAGCTTCGCCTGATGTCTGAACGGCGCCTTTCGCTTGCATTACGTATTCTGGTTCGTCGTCCAAGAGAACAAGGTTTTCCTGGTAGAGACGGCTGTTGGAGTAGTCATAGAACTGCTTGGCCTGGCTGCAGTCAATGTTGAACCACCAGTCGCAAATCAAAGTGATTTGATTGAATAACTGTAAATAAAATATCATCATCGTCAGTTCCTCTTACGTCAAAAAGCAAAGAAACCGATCGTATGATTCGTATCCAACAATTATAATACTGCAAACCGTGTAAGTGAATTATTTTTTGTTAGTCAAAATTTAAAAAGCACGATCAGAAATACCGTGAAACAAACATAGCCCGTAAAAGCAAAACTTTATTATTAAATGCGTGCTTTGTCACTTATGTACTTTGTAAATATCTAAGATGGTTTCTTAAATAAAACAAAACCAATAATTAATGCGAGTATTCGGCGGCGGACACATAATCGATTGATGAAGTATGTAAGTACAAAGACCTTTGTTTAAAACGTGGCCCTAAGCGTACCGTCATGTTGGGGCAGAGATAACTGGTGAGGTTTCCATTAACGTCACATCGGTGGAACACCTGGCATTGACCGGCATCCACATCCGCATAGAAACCGGGTTGCTTAAACTGCGCGCAGTCAACATTTCCTTTGGGAATCTCAGCAATCAACGGGAAATCTTGACCAGGTTTAACACTAAGCCATAGCTCTTGAATCTGATCAACACTCAGCTGACGATTAGCTCCACCTCGCAGTTTGTCCAACGCAGAGAAAACTTTCGGGTTCTGGTCACCAGCTGCTCTTTTATCCTAAATGAAAATAAAAAAAGTTTAAAAAATAACTGTATAGAAAATGGAACATCTATATACAAAGTAGATGAAAATTAAAGCATTAAAATATCGCTTACCAGTGCTTTTGCGCTGCAAGCACCGATCAAAACTGCCAAAACCAAAATAAACTTCATGGTTAATCAGGTAATGGTAAAACCAATGAAGATCAATAAATTAGCGGTATAAATAGATATACAGCAACAATACTGGCTTCTGGTGATATAAATTACTGATTAAATGGCTGTTTGAACAACTGATGACCATTGTGAGCCGGCGTCAATACTTTATATATATGCGCTCTTCGATTATTAAGACGCTCGACGCGTTTTTTGCAGTTTACGACGGACAACATGCTGCACTGTCCGTTGTAGCCCGCTGCCCACCGCGATGATTAATAAGCATTTTTACCAGCTGGAAATCGATGCTGACGGACGAGGCGATACTAATAGTCCGGCATGTCGTATACGTTCATACTGCGTTTTTATGCGCTGTATTTTTAACTCGTAACATCGTAATAATGGAGATGTACACACCACAGTAAGAATCGAACAATGGTGTGTAATTGATAATTGGCGAAGAATGTATCAGTTGTGTATCATTTCAATTAATAATACCGAACATGACAAGATGTGTGTAACTGGGAGTAAGTAACCCCATGGTGACAAAATTAGGCCGATGCGTTTTGTCATACACAAATATATTAGTGCGTACTTGTCAGTGATCAGATCGGCTCGTAGTGGATTGTCATAGTTTTTTAATGTAAACGAAGCCGTGAACATCCGAACTTGAGTGTTAATGAACAAATAGAATATTAATTCGGACCTGCTTTTGTCTTAAATTTAACATGCAAAAACGACCTTTGAAACTTTCTTTCCACTAACGCAAAATTAGTACGTCTGTCACAAATTAAATGAAAGTTTTCCATTGACCCGTTTTAAGTTGAACAACCTTTCATAGAGAGTGCAGCATGCTATTAAAACGTTGGCATAAATAATTCTTAATTAATAAAATCAGTTTATACGATCGCGATAAAATTCCGACTGTAAATTAACTTAAATATGATTGTAAAAGTTTACGACTTAACATTACCCTGATGACCACTGTACTGACAAAAGAGGCCTCTTTTGTCAGTACAGTGGTCATCAGGGTAATGTTAAGTAATGTTCTTGACTGCCTAGGCAGTCAAGAATTATGAAATTAGTTTTAATTTATTGTGCCACATTTATTCTTCTATCCAGCATTGACCTTTGCGTTAGGGTTTTGTTCCGAAGATTTAGTGCTTTGAATTACCAGCAAAACAAGGTCAATAATCTGATAATCATGGTTTACTGCAAGTCTGCTAACCAGCTGAACTAAATATGTTGGCGAAAATAAAATACTTAGCGGCATAAATTAGAGCATAGTTGCCATAATCGTGCAATGATTTACAGATCGTGCGTGTAACTTTTATACGACAAAATCGGTTTCTGCAGTGTGTGGGAAAAGCGCGCCGTACATTTATTGTTTTACTGTTGGAAACTTATTTAATTTTCTGTTGCAACAGAAATAACTATTTTTTCTCCTGAAATAGCATGCGGAAGCAAGCAATTACAGTATGTTTGCAGACAGATATTTTGTCCGACTGTTCAAAATGATATAATAATTTTTCATGAATCAGAATTAAAATACGAAGTAAACATTCTAACCCGTTATTTACATGCAAATTATAGTGCAAGGTTAAACGTTGTGCAGTTGGAAAAAACTCCGCTTATTTGTAAGCAGTTTCAATTTCATAACTCGCGCGCGGCTAAAAATTCGGACGAATTGCGGTCGCAAAAGTACTAAAATAAAAATCATCTGGGTACAAAGCCCAAGAACACATAAGCCTCTCCGCTAATTATCACTCGTTACCTTTGCATTTTATTCTGTATACTGCGCTTATATTCCCGCTTAGGTGACAAGTCCAAAACCAGTGATCCCATCAAAGATACGAGTAGATGAGTGTATTTACAACTTTAATGACTGTTGTCGGAATGAGATGCCCCAAACACCTTGCACAATCACCACACCCCTTTTAAATAAACATCCCGTTGTACTCACGTAGCAGGTGTGTCAACTCAAATATCTTTACTGAACGTGGGTTAGTCCCGAGCCCGATTTATCTACAGCCAGTTGCAATGATAATCTGATTAAGTGTAGCTAGGAGCATGAGAAGAAAAACTTATACAATATATACATATGCAGGCTTCCTAATGCCTCCAAAAGAAACTATATATTTCGAAAGAAATAAATAGCAGAATCATGGAACCGATAATTATTGCCATTGACCTTTAAAAAAGCGGAATTTTGCATAAAAAAGATGCTCGGCATGGGTCGACATGACGTGTATTGCGATCCTTAGGGAAATTTAGGCATTTCCACCGGCATCCGTGTTTGTATTTCCCCAGATCTGGTTTAGATAATTGCGTGTTGTGAATTCGCAAACTGATTGTCACAGCAACCGTTTTGCCAACACAGCTGTGCTGACAAATATCCACTGGGCATTCAATGTTAGTTTTACTAACGAGGCAACATACGACTTTTATACGTATAACAACTTGCTCTACACCGTTTGTGTTTTATTTTGCAAACATCACCGATGCTCCTAACTTTCGTTTTCCAGTATATCATAATACACATTTTCAACACTGAAGTATGAATATTTCCAACACATCCATTGATGTGGTCGATGTAATCAATCCATTGCTGGCTGTGTCCAACGCAGCAACGACGATTGTCGCATTCTTCCTAAACACCGGAATTTTATTGCTATACATTCTTCATGTGCGCCACAAAACTCCGTTTTCCCTGTACGTCGCCAATTTATTATTATCCAATATATTCAGCTGTTTGTTTGCATTTTTTGATCTGGTTAAGCTGGTTTATCGCAGCAAGCAGCTGGATATTTCCCCGCTATGTGCAATACATTTTTACTGGGACTATGCATTTTCCGGTGTTGTCGCCATGGCGCATGCCCTCATCAGTATTAACCGGATCTGGGCGGTTGTTCTGCCGATATCGTATCGGAATCTGCACACCGGCAAAACCGCTCTACTAATCTGCGGTGGCGCGTTTTTATACATTCACCTTATCGTTGTTCCGTACTTCATCTATAGATTATTAAGCATACGAAACTTTTGTGATGATTTTGCAAAGGACACCGTCTTCAACAGCTTTACGCAAGTGGTGGTGTACGATCTGCCGTCCGCAGTGGTCATCGCCGCGTTTCCGGTCATTTGGTGGGCGCAACAAAAACGTCTCAATCAGATTGCCGCTAATGACTTTCTGCGTGGACGCAGCCATTCGGAGGGTGTTCGGCATGTACACATCGACAAATCCTTCCTCACACTGACGGCTTTAACGGTGACCCTGCTGGTATTTTGGATGCCGACAAAAGTGTATTTTACCGCACTATTTTTGGGTGGTGTTGATCTCGGCCAAGTTTGTTTAGCGGTGATGCTGACCTTGTCGACGCTCCAGGCGGTGTCAGACCCGATTTGTTTCGTATTGACCTTTCAAGAGATGAAAGATGCTATCCGGTCTTTAGTAAAACGCAAGTAACTGCAAATTGTGTGCAGATACTGTATTCTATGGTGTTCGTGTATCATTTTGTAACTTTCCAGTATTGAATAGGCTTTTTCAAATAAAGAAATCGCTACTGCCAGTATCTATATTGTCCGACCGGTTAATGGAATAAATACACTGCTGGAAAACGTGAACCCATGTTGCCACAAAAATTATTTTTATTATCAAGATTTTGGTTAGTGCTGACAATTTCCGGCTTATCGTTACGGAGCAGATTTGCTTTGTGCTTGATCGTCGTCTTCAACCATTATAAAAATCCATCATTACGTAACACATATCAGTAGTTAATTTAATATCGCGAATTTGCAATATACTGTAGACCAGTACTCGAGATATGAAAATCAAGTTTTAAACCCTTGATTGCAGACGAGAGGGTTTATTGATTGAACTGCACAACCTCATTATTCTGTTTCGTTATTATGCCTTGAACGTCCAAGAAGAAGTCAATCGAGCCGTTGCTGTCTCATTGAGAAACCGACTGAGGACTTCGACCGACGGATACCTCCATAAAGTCCAATACTTATGACTCTCCATTTCTGGATAAGTGGCAGCAAAGACGAACTTGGCCGCATCATTCCTAGAAAAATTGTAAAAATATTCATTTTTATTTTTCAGTAGAATCTGTAGCGTACTGTGCACTAAAGCAGGCATAAACGTGTTTGTGCCTTAATGCCGATAAGCAACGTTATCGAGTAATGCCACTATACTTTATAGGATATGGAAATGTCGAGTACGAGGTGAGCATTATGTGGCAAGTTTATGCACGTAGAAAGCGAAATAATTACGCCAACGTACGCCTTGACCGTCTTTAGATCCTCGCGTCCAGTCAACGTAATCGTCAGTGTGATATCAGCAATCGTAAATGGGTTCGCTTGTGCAAATGCTTCTTCCACTGCACGAAGGACTAGCGAAGAATTCTAAAACCACCCGGGTACAATTAAGTCTGCAACTAACATCAGAATCTGCTTATACTGAGAGCATGGTACAATATTCACCACAAACGTCATAGGAGGTCTGGATCCGTACGCGCCAGATGCTCGCGGTTCCGGTAGCGATTCTGCGTACAAGGTTTTAGGTTTAGGTTTTAGGTTTTAATCGCTTAGTGTCTACAGATACAAGGAATCACTCCTTATCGAGATCTATAGACAGGTCAACATAATCTATTACAAAAAAAAACAAATAAAACTTATATAAGAAAACAGTAAAACATTTCATCAATTTCATCGATTTAACAAAAGTCAAGGTTATTCGACGGTGAAAGGTGAATGTCTCATTCACGGGACATAGTTCAAAGGGAATACACCCTTCTCTGCATCCCTTTATGATGCTTTGTTTCGCCGACTGATACCACTGCTCCACTTGACTGTCCGTCATAGTTTCTTTACCCTCCCCGAAAGGATATTTTTGCAGTATGTACGTTAGGTTAACATTTAAGCTGGGCACCGGCATCTCCAATGTAAGACCCTGCAGTCTGTCGTAAATGGTTTCAGCGTACGATAAACTGGGATCAGCGACGACAGAATATCCCTCAGAATCATAAACTATCACAAAGAAGTTTATAGCGTTTCCAACCAGTTCCGGATTCCAAAGCGTTACGGCCACCTTTAACGAACCATCTACAAAAACTAGCATACGTAATCTCGCGTATTTACGTAGCGGCGTTATGCATATA